CAGCAGCAGCCTTTTCAGCAGCAGCCTTTTCAGCAGCAGCCTTTTCAGCAGCAGCCTTTTGTGCAGCAGCCTTTTGAGCAGCCGCACCGGCGCATTCTGGGCAATCCTCGGTCTGTAGGTAACTTTTTTTATGAGCCGCACAATAGGTTTGATGCTTGGTACAATATGGTGCTTTGTAAGATGTTTTGCCCTTTCGGCAGTTCCCGTGTGACCTCCTAGGACAATGATGGGTGGTCGATCCTCTGGGGCCGGGCATTGTGGTGATGGTAATAATGCAGTGTGTATATATCAAGATTTTCGTGTCTATCTAGGCAATCAGCGAAATGATTGTAAGTATCTGTGAGACCCAACATACCTTTGATGTAATGTTCCTTAGAATGGTGATATGCGAACAGAATGAATGATACTACAGGTAGCACATGCTGAGTATTTATTTGTTCTTTTCAACACGCAGAGAATCATCTCTAGACGACTTGCACTGCTCACACCATCGAATGCTAGCCGCGCCGGATCAGAAACAGATGTGACTGAATACATCTGCTAGCCGCCCATGGTCAAAAACAGATGTGACTGCATTGACTATGCACATGAATCAACCATTCAATGGTGAGATACTTATCACTGAGGTCCGGGTAGCGTAGGTACCCTGTTCTGATACACGATGCGGCTTGGTGAATGCGGCGCAGAAGGACAGGCTTAGTATCGGGAGCGGGGCATGAACCAATCTGGAGCTCCTCCTATGCTGAGCAGCGGCTATGTAATGATTGATTTGACGCGTAGTTTGCGGGTCCTGTCCAATGAAGTTGAACACTCGAAACATACTAGCAAGGGAGAAGCCGTGCTGTATTGTTGACCTTTTGTAAAATGAACATATACTACAACGATCGACAAACTCTGTTGTCCTTTTGAAGAGACCTAGTCAACACCTCTAGCTTTCATGAAATCCACCAGATCAAAGAAACTCTTCTTGTAGTTCCTCTCCTGCGTCGTGCGATTCACAGTCTGAATACCGAAATGCTGACTGTAATCGCCAAATTCCCAGTTGTCAGCAAAGCTCCAGGCAAATGCTCCGAGCACCTGCACTCCATCTTCCCAGATTGCTTTGAGCACTTCAGACATGAAGCTGAGGTAGTAGATACTGCGGGGAGAGTCGAATAGTTGATCGGACAGGTTTTGCTTGTCGGCTTCACCGAAAACAGGGAAGCCAAATTCGGTTAGCACGATGGGTGTGCGGAATGTGTTGTGTAGATAGTTGAGATAAAGGCGCAGATAGGTGGGTGTAATGTAGACGTAAGACTGAGAACGGTAGCCGATGTTCCAGCCAAAGATGTCTGTAGTGGTTTGATTGACGCAGTAAGGTCGCAGCTCTGCTGTTGAGTTGCCTGCACACTCTTTGATGCTATCGATCGAGCCTGGTTCTGGTGGTGCAATCACGGTAGCTGTATATGGGTCAATGCCAAGGAAGTCTGCGGTTCCATTGATATATTCAAGGTCTTGTTGGCTAAGAGGCACGTAGTCAGGGATGGTCATCTTGTATGACTCTGGGTAGTCTTGGCCAAGGAAGATAGGGTTGCAGAAGGGGCCGAGTTGGAACGAGTTGAAGTGGTCCGCGGCATAGACATCAGCTTCGCTCTTGGGATCCCGAGGCACACCAAAGTTGTTGTTGAACTTGAGAGCGATCTTTCCAGTGCCCTTGAGTTCTTCTCTGTAGAAGTGAGAGACACGAGCGTGCGATTTGATGACGTGGTCAATGGCCTTGCCATTTGCAGAGTAGAGCAGAGGCTCGTTAAAAGTATACCAAACAGGCACACGATCGGCATAGTGTGCCATGACAATCTTGGCGTAGTTGAGATAAGCGTCCGGGAAAGTCTCGTTCTGGTAGCCGCCGTTGGTCGAACCAATCTCTGAATCAGAGAGAACGGCGGTGACATTGTTGATCGTGCCATAAAACTGTAGCGGGGTGTCGAAATGCAACAGGGTGACCTCAGGGGCCATGCCCTTCTCAATAATGTAATTGATCACATCATCATAGTGTTGGATGGCCTGTTGGTTGATCGGAGTTCCCGGCAGTGCAAAAGGTAAGATTCTGGTCCAAGGGATGCTGAAAGAGAAGTACTTAACACCCATAGCAGCGACGCGCTCGATGTCCTGTTTGTAGTAGTAATAGTTTTCGTTGGTGACATAGTCTTTCGGGCGGTCGTTCTGAATCAAGATGTCCATGAGAGATGGAGCCTTGCCCTGCTCTGCTGTAGCTCCTTCAATTTGACTGGCAGAGCTTGCAACGCCAAACTCGAAACCAGGAGGAAAGTTGTAGCAATCGGCTGGGCCGAAATAATCCCTGGGAGGCAGGACCAAGTCCTCAGTAGGTACTGGCGTCGGCTCGACAGTGGTACTGAAGATAGCGCTTGTGGCTTCTTGAGTGAAGTTGGGCGGGTTGGCCATCCTCCATAGCTCTGTCCAAGCGGCATTGCCGTATGGGTCCGCTGTATCCGTTGCAGTTGCATTCGATGTTGGGTCCCATTTGCCCCAGGTAGTATATGATACAGAACCAATCAGGGAGGCTAGACTCTCCAAGGGAGCTGCATAAGTCGTGGTAGTCGTTGGCGATGGACGAGATGTAGCATAGCGTACAGTCGAAGTCATGCTATATTGGAAAGGCGTGAAGGTGTACTGAGGCTCGCTCTCGGTGCACTTGGTGCATTGTGGTCGAGGTGTAGACCCATTGGTCGCTAGATATACCTGCTGGCCGACTACGACGGAGGTCAGACCAAGCAATTGGCCAAGGATATTCACTTTCACCATGGCTGGAAGATAGATAGAGAGTTAGTTGAGTCACTTACAACTCCTGTCGAAGTGGGCAAGGCACTCTTATGTAGGTAGAGTTCGTATTGTAGTCCTTGGCTCTGCCAGGATAGCATGAACTATTACCTCTATGGCTTGACCCGGATCGAATCCAAGGACACATCGTCATACCGCACTATACAAACGAGAAGTCTAAGAGCCATGAGGGGCATCTAACACGAAATGCTCGGGCACCCGGTCGGTAACTCTGCCTTGATCAGTCTCCCCCTCAGCATAGCCAAGGTTGAGGATTTGAGGATGTCTCGTAGACGGCCATGATCTGCAATGAAAGGTTGTACCTTCCGCATGTGTTTACCCGGCGGCAGTGGTGGGAGAAGGAAAAGTCACGTGCGTCGGGGATCACTTCGCCGAGATGGCGAGCTGATCAGAAGCTAACAAGTGCCACGAAGGCATTGAAGGCTTCACGTAGCCATCGTCTAATACAAGCAGCTGTTCCTCATCTTCAATGATTGAATGTGAAATTTGAAGTAACACATGTTACGTCTGGCAAGCGGATGTATGTGTAGCGAACTCTTTTCATTCTCAGTCCTAACAAAAGGCTGCTGGACGGTGTCTGTTCGGCCACCAAAGTCTCCGTTAGACCTCTACCCAAACAGCGACTTGATAAAGTGCTTCTTAACATGATCTCCAGCTGAAAGTTTCATGGCCGCAGCATGATTCGACTGTGCCTGGTTCGCCGATCCCACAGGTGTAACAACAACCCAATTCAAATGCTTAGCCTCTTTGTTCTCATCACGCTGGAACTTGAGAACCTCTTCGTCTGCATCTTGCATATCCTCCTGCAGCTTCCCAATCCCCTTATCCTTTTCCTGCTTCTGCAGCTCTTCCTGATACTTGCGTCTAGCCTTCTCTTGCTTGCCAGGACTATGTGCGTCTTTCCTTAGATCGTCTTGAAGTTTTTCTTGCAGCTTGCGAAGCTCTTCGTTGTACTTATGGGCATCTTTGTTGTATTTTTCTTGCGCATCGCGTATCTTCTCGTTGCGTTTCTTGTGTGCATCGGCGAGGTCTTCGGCTTTTTTTTCATTCTGCTTTGCAGCTCTTTGGCGGCTTGTTTTTCTCCCATGCGTTTGAGCCAGTCGTCACTCTCTGCTTGGGCTACAACGTGGTAGTCAAGGTGCATCACGTAACCGTCTAGGGCGTGCATTCGCATCATTTGACTCTCCTCTTGCTGTCGCATGGTTGCTGCGTTGACATTGTCTCCTAGAGTTGGTGTCTCCCATGGCGGTGGTGGTCCAGATTGAAATTGGTTGGGTGGGCAGCCGATCACTTGCAACATCGAACAGGTAGGCAAGATCTCGACTTTGAGGCCGTGTGTTGCAAACATGTCTCTATCGATCTCCTCCAAGAAGACCTTAGAGCGTTTGGAACAAACATGTCTCTATCGATCTCCTCCAAGAAGACCTTAGAGCGTTTGGAACTCACACCGCTGGTTGCGGCCTTCGATGCCATCTTGACTGCCTTCCCAATCATGAGGCCGTGAGGACCGCCAAAGGCTGAGAGGCCCATACCAACATGGGTGGCTGACTTCAATGCCGGATTGGCGATGAAGCTCTCATTCAACCCATCAACGAAGGCGAGGAAAGAAGCCTCGGGGATACCGTAGGCAGAGAGAGCTGGAGCGTAGGCCCGTACGAAAGGACTATTGTACTTGCCGCCAAAGAGGCTATGGCTGATTTGAGGTAGCACGCAGGGTAGTGCCCTTTCGTCGGTTTGTCGTGGCGTACATGACATTGTGGTGTTTTCGATCAGAAGCGAGAATAATTGTTCAATCTCTCGTGAGCTATTCCACCTACATTATATATCTTAGGGCTCATTGTGCCAGAAACACTCTTCATCATAGACTGTGGATTAAAGATTCTTGAGAAGATCGTGGCTGAGCGGGGTTCAACGATCCACATCCTGGAATCAGTATGCTTTGCGCTCCGCGAGATAAGCAGCAAGGTGACGAAGGAGGCAGAGTCTCAGCTACGATGTCTCATTCAGCAAGAAAGACAGTGATCGGCAGTCAAGCCTTGCGGCTCACAGATCCAAGCATTGCCCCGCCGTCGGCGTGGGGGCGCGCAACATACCCAAACCAGTCAATCATCGACGGCATGCCTTGTGCCATATTAAGAATGGCAACTGATTTACATCGGCAAGAGATCGTTACTGGAAGAATATAGCTATGAGCTTTCTACGCAGCAATTCTGTTCATGGCCCGTCATTCTTGACTTTTGACTCGTTAAACCGATTTCGCGTGATGTGAGTGCAAGCAAAAAATGCCTCTATAGAACAAGATTGCACTATGCATAGCGCAAGATGTTGAGGTGTTCTCCTTCAACCACCGGCGACAAGGCCAGATGAGCAATGGAAAAGATTGAGTCGATAGACATTGTTGAACACCTGTGCTTCATTGAGGTCAGCAAAGATGCCAGAAAAATGCTGAAAAGTGTGATGTGCAAAGAAAGAGCATAGTCAAATCGATATCAGATCAATGCCAGTGTCAATGGCGGTTTCGTCAATGTCCAACTTGTGGCTACGTAGACCGTCGTGATAAATAGAATAAATCATCATTGAAGTGACCATGCTCTTGCAGATGAGGGTGATGAAGATGTTGAAAGCTTACCTGGAAGAAGAGCCCATGGGCAGACATGGTTGACCAAGATGATAAGACACTATGAAGGTCTTTGCAAAGTCAGCAAACAGGGTCGTGATGAAGACTTTGAATGAAGATGGATGGTTATAGTGGATCAGACAAGACATTCTCTGCAGTACTACCGGTCAAGGTAATTCGGACATATGCTTGTCATTGTGTTTGGTTGGAATCATCATGTGAGGTGAAGGTAATGTGACATGAGCGACGACTTACGCTATCATTTGGTGTGAACCATGAAGAGAATCTCAAAACGGGAGAAATCTGAAGCTCAATTGTTAGTCACTGATTAACGAAAAGCAATGCTCAACAAGAGTGTGGTAGAATGGGCATCTATTCAGTTAGGCATGAATGGTATTAAATAAAAGGTTGTCTGCATGGATAACTCCGATCAGACTCGTCATCTAGGTGTTCATCATATGACGGCCACAAAGTGTGAAGAGAAGGAAGAAAAAGAAAGGGCAAATGCTGCATACCATTTGATATTTGTTTGGCTCAGTCGACATGCATATTTCAGCGATGTCAAGATGGAGAATAGTGTTACAAAAGGCAAGCCCTCTTTATCATACATGTCAGCCCAAGCTCTTGAACACTGGTTGGTGACAACGATGATTGTGTTGACGAGTATCAGTGGACGAGGTTTTCTAGGCCTGTCACAGCGGTGGCATATCTTGCTCATTTGGTTTGTAGTCGGAGCCCAGTGCCGCTTCATCACAAGAGAAGGATGGTGTTGGAGGAAGAGTGCGGTGTTTACCTATCAATCAACAATGTCAGTGAAGGTCCAAACAAGGGCTTGTGAAAAAGTTGAGATGTGTGTGTGTGAAACTCAGAAATAGCCATTTGATATCGGCACCACCCCGAAGGGCTTGGTCGGTAATTTCCAGCGTATATAAACGTTCAATTGTTCATCAGAATAGAGTGGAGGGGTGTTGTGAGGTAAGTAGAACAAAAAAAGGCGCATACCTGTTGTGACGGAGTCTCTTCGGACGTCAATTTGAACGCGCTGAAGAGACCAGGACCGTACACCTAGCGAAAGGGACGGAAGAGCGCGAGGTGCACAAAGCGCGCAAGCGAGCGGAGTGTTGAGCAACGCATCTAGCCTGGCATCTATTTTTCAGTCAGTCTTGTGTACTTGGACGAAGGCTGAAGCGAAAGAAGTTGGGTTGTTTGTTGTGAGTTCAGACTGACGTGCTTGCAAATGCGGTTTCAGTTCTCCGAAGAGATCAAAGACTCTAGTTTGATTGCGGTATTGCGGTTTCATCAGGTTGGGAGGGGAGGAGCAAAAAGAGTGCAGTTACCATTTAGATTAAAGCAGCGGCATCAGGCAGCTGTCTTGCGCGCTGATGCTGCTGTTGTGAGAGAAAGAAGTTTCTGTAGAGAAGAGGTCTGGTTTTGTAGCGCAAGCTTGCGCAGAAGATTTTGAGCGGAGAAAGGTCTGAGCGGGCGCCCTTACTAAGCGAGTCGGTCTTGGCGTGGACTAACACGCTTTGGGACACCTTCCACTCTCCGCGTGTCACAGGCATGTGGCAGAAGACATGCATACAATCAACTTCTATCCAGCCAATGTGATTCTCCTACGCTCACAGTGGCTTGTATCTGATCCTTACTGGTCATTCATCTTGTACCGTTGGTAGCTGAATAGGACACCGAGCTGGAAGGTTTATCGTACGACTTAGGCAGACAGATAGATCAACCTTCGGCCTGCCCGGCATAGCATGTATCCGAGGTCACAAATATCACAAATACATCCATCGCGATATCGTGTTCTTCAATTTGACTCTTTCCAACCTCATCTCCACTGCATAAGTTGATCCAAACACAATGTCACTTCCCAAGCAATGCTGCGTTAGCGGCTCTCTGCATACTGGCACTCCAACTGGCACCGTCACCAAACTCCATGGCCTCGACGTCTATATCGCCTCACCTCCGTCCGAACCACCAAAAGGTATTGTTGTGATCTTGCCCGATATCTTCGGCTGGACTCTTCCAAACACACGCATCCTAGCCGACAACTTTGCTGCCAAAGGAAACTTTCTAGTTATGCTGCCAGACTTTATGGACGGCAATGAGTTTCCGAAAGATCTTATCATCAGTCTTGACGCACTGGATGCTACTGGCCTATTCGCTTGGGTAACGAAAGCATATCACTTGGTCCAGATCATCTGGCGTGGCTGGCCATTTTTCAAGAACGACAAGGCACATCTCGTTCGTCCACGCGTTCACAAGTTCTTCCGTGCTTTACAGCATTCGCATCCCGAGCTCCCGGTTGCCGCAGCAGGGTATTGCTGGGGAGGTCAATGGGTCGTTGAGCTATGTACGAAACCAGATGATGATAGTTCGGAAGAGATCAAGCCTTTTGTGGTTTGTGGATTCACAGCTCATCCATCGCGCCTCAAGATACCTGCGGACATTGAAGCTGTTACTTATCCTCTTTCCATTGCGGCCGCTGGGATCGATCAGCAGATTCCTGTCGCAAAGGCCAAGCAAATCGAAGATGTTTTGAAAGCAAAGACAGCAAAGACAAAAGACCGTGGTGTTGAGCATGAATTTGTCTTGTACGAGGGCACTCACCACGGTTTCGCTGTTAGGGCAGACGAAAAAGAAGGACACGAAAGGGAGTGTGGAAAGCAGGCAGAAGAGCAAGCTATTAGATGGTTCACGAAGTGGTTCGAGCGTGCTGATGAGAACGTTAATGTTACGGAATGAAGGTCGAGCGTACTTAGGTAGTGTGGGACAGGTAGATGGACAATGGATTGATGATTATGAAGAGTTTGTTTTGGGTGTCGAGCTTAGCATGGAGAAAGCTAAAATCAACATCCGTTTGATCAGATTACGAGCTTCTAGAACTTGTCAACTATGCGCCCTGACAGAAGGACGATGACGAGATCACGAGGAGGACAGAGGAAGAGCAAGTGGAGAATTGAAGAAATTGGTTTCGTTCTGTGCTATTATACAGTATTATTCAACCAGAAGCACGGCCACATATCTCGGGCCCAATCGTTCACAGTCGAGACGCATCCGCGTCGATGAAACCAGACACGACGCGAGCGTAGTGTACAGCGTCAGCGAAGTCAAGGGTTCAAGGCGAGTGTGTCGAAGACGATGGCGAAGGATACGAGATGAAAGCGCATGGCTGTAGGTGGTCGAAGTCGGCGCTCAATGGCTAGCATGGCGCGACTTGAGGGTATCGCAAAAGATGAAGAGAGAAGCAGAGTAAAATCGTGGCGCCGGGATCATAATGTAAGCCGCTGAGGACTACCGTCGAACATCTTAATACTTGAGAATGATGTAACTGGAGCACTTGTTAGCAGTTGCACAGAGCGTGTCACATGAGGTCGCTAGCGACGTACAGGGCGTGAATGATGCCGGGAATGTAACCAAGGATGGTCAACAGGATGTTGATGAGGAAGTCAGCACCGCAGCCGCGCTCGAGGAAGACACCAAGAGGAGGGAGGATGATGGCGAGGATGATCTTGATGATGTCGCTGAGAAGGGGTCAGCACGCGTCTTGTCTGCGTTCGTGTTCCCACACCCTGTCTGGCTGACTGGAATCGGCCGAAGGGAGAGGGTGGAAGAGCTGACTCACGATCCGGTGAAAGGCATGTTGGCGGTATTGGGCTGAAAGCCTTGAAGTTGTTGTTGTTGTTGTTGGTTGGTAGTAGAAGGGTTGTGGCTGGTGGAGTGGATGTGAGTGTGGATTGCAAGAGCAGTGATTCCTCCGGGCAGGCAGCGTTTATGTACGGCCCAGCTTCATCCACCCACGCAACACAGGAATCAAACGCTCGCATGCGTGATGTCATTAGCGTCTACCATCCTGCCAAGCAGGAACTGACCACAACTGGAAATCTGACGTCCATCATGACTAGCCCTGCCAATTACGCATCAATCGAGACTTGTCTTTTCTAGAGATCAAGCTGTTCTTGACTGTCTATTGCATCAACATGCCGCATAGCGAGAACAACAGAAAACATGTACATGCAAGGGGAAATTGAAAAAGCGCGCGTTCCATGCTTCTATTTCGAACGCTTCTTTTTACCAAAGCTCCAGCCACTTCGGCTTCGATTGCTCCTTGTCCCCGTATGCACAATTGTTGATACGCCCACGGATCCTGAGGTTCCGGCCAAGACCATCAGGCAAATATCGGGCTCCGAGGACATCGACAGTGCCAATACTCGGCCGCGTGTCCTCTCAATGCCATGGCTCGTAAGGCTGACTTTGACTACCTAATTACAGCCCTCACCACCACCTCGTCAATGTTGACCGGAGAAAAGAGCCGCATGACACAAACCCAGCCACAGCTGAGCCAGACCTGCGCCACAATACGTCAGAGAACAGCATGATCTTCATACACCTATCATCGTGGTGCGCTCATGACGACGAGATTCGTCCAACAATTTACTGATCCTATAACCTTGCTTTGCTTTGCTCGAAACGAACAGCTTTGCATAGACACATCTTCCAGATTTCTGTGCCATGCCGACCGCTGTCGTGACGGGATGTAATTCTGGCATTGGCCATGCCTTTGCGAAATTGCTCATCTCTGAGGTAAGCTGCTAAGGTCATGTAGATGCTTTGCATTATGGCACAGCATTCACGCCATCAATTGTAGGGCTACGAAGTCATCGCAACAGACTACATTGTTGGCGACAATATAAAAAGCCTAGGATGTCGACAGTCTCAACTTGACGTTCGGGCTCCTGAGTCCATCTCAGCCTTTGTCTCGTCGCTATCCGGTCAATCGATAGATATGCTCCTAAATGTGGCCGGAACCATGGCCAAACATGAAGACGACTCTCTTGAGTCCGTCAACAAGGACACTCTGACCCGTGTCTTTGAAACAAACACATTTGGTCCTCTTCTTCTCACCCAAGCCCTACTTCCAAATCTCCTCAAGGTTTCTGGTGCAAGAATCGGCATCGTCTCTTCGCGCGTAGGTTCCATCGCCGACAACTCGACAGGCGGTATCTACGCTTATCGCGCTTCCAAGGCCGCCGTCAACTCGATTGGAAAGAGTCTAGCCATGGATCTCAAAGACAAAGGTATTGGTGTATCTCTCCTCCATCCAGGAATCGTCAAGACCGGTCTGGACCCTACTGCTGCCAACACACCTGAAGCCGTCATGCCAGACGAGGCTGCTAATAAGCTTTGGAAGGTCTGGCAGTCCAAAGGCATGGAGGATACAGGCAAGTTTTGGCATCGTGAGGGACAGGAGCTGCCTTGGTAGTCTTGTATACTGCAATCATGACATCTTTTTCTGAGACCTTGACAAAGAGAATCTAGGAGCAGCCATCGTTCCAGAGATGATCACCTAGCGTTTGCCAGTGTTTTCGCCAGCAAGCATTGTCCAGGCAATTTCTCTGGAGTGACGCTTCGTCACTGGATCTGCAAGTGATAGTCAGCTTCCAATGAAGCGCGAGCTACGGCCTTCAGAGTCGCCGAGATCTATATAATGTGTCTACGATACGGTACCACCGAGAAAATGACAGTAACCTTTGACGACAGTCGCGTTTGGCTGATGTGGTTGAACTTGTTCAGCACAGAGGCACATGACAACTTTGTGTTCCGCGTGGGTCTGACCTTGATGGATCTGGACCACAATCCATTCGAGGAGTACTCTATTCCTCCGTATCTCCGCGAGAGTTTCAAGAGGGTTGAGCAGGTCAATGGCCCCGATGTGGTCGCCAACACATCATCCCTTGAGAAGAAGGCTAGTGAAGCCGTGACATGATTCAGCAGCTTAATACTTTGGTTCACAGATGCTGAGAGAGCATACAAGATTGGAGATCTGCCGTCGCTTGGTAATAGAAACATCAATCATATTCTAATGGAAAACAAACTCCAATACCTTCCGACAAACATCAGTGAACACAAGCACAGGATAAGCATCTTAAGGAGCGACCATGTAAAGATCTTGCTGTTCGACGGTTCGAGCCAGGAATTCAGCGCTCTGTATAGTCTTGGAACAAATAACACACTCTTCAAGCATAGTCTGCAGCTTGGAAGGATTAGCGATAACGAAGGAGCAAAACCGCAGGAAGCGAAGGAATCACGGGCTGATCGGATCCTTCTGTTATAAATGCCATCCTTCATCTCTATCTGACGCTGGCGTTGGTTCATCATCTCTAAATCCCTGTGTGCATATTTATTTTTGGATTTTGCGTGCCAAGCTAGATTGTGCTCGATGTAATACTGTAATTTGTTGGTGTTAAATTCCGCACACTCACATCTGTTTCATGATTTGGCAGGTGCCAACCACCAAAGCAAGCCACATAGGTTGATTCGCTCTCGAAACAAATACACTGATTGGAGGTTGCAACACAAAAACGTCAAAAGTGGAAAGGTGCGTCTTTCGTATTCAGGCATCGCCCAAGGCAGCCACAAAGTCGTACAGCAGAATAAAAAGTATAGAGAAGTGAGATAAGCTGATGCCTGACATCGGTGAACCTCATGTTGCTCGATTCCCCGGACATCCATCTTTCGAAGGATTAGTAATCTTGCTCTTTGAACACAGTCCCTGTCCATTTCACGTCGCCCAAGCCATTTGTCATCTTCTCCTCCTTCCTCCTCTCCATGGTCAAACTCATCGTCTTCGGTGATCGAGACGAATCATAGCTCTTGCATGACATAAACAATGCACTCGTCTGAGGATTCTGCCTGCAGGAGGCGTTGTCTGCACTGCGCCTCAGGCCAAGAATAGTCCCGCAGGATTGCGGCTCTCAGAATCCGTCCGAAATGCGCGCTCAAGCGTGGTACTGGATGACTTATGTGTTCAGTGACCAGTAATTGTGTATTGATTACGACGATTCGAGGGTTATTCGGATGTTGAGGAGACCGTCTTGTGAGAGCAGTAGGTCTTATGTTAGTCGTATTGTCATCGTGTTTCTTATGTTGTTCAAAAGCCTCGTTCATCCAGTTCCGTTTGGGCGCCAGCGAGGAAGTTGTACGGTTTGTGTTGCTGCGACTTGTTCTGCAAGGTGTCTGATCTGTTCCCTCATCTCGTGGATCTCGGCCCGTTGACGTTCGCTCATGCCCCTCAATTCAGCATTCTCAAGTCGCAATTTCTTGAGCTGTGTCTTGATGTCCTCTTCCGGCACATCCTCACTCTGGCTTACAATACTAGTGCGCTTACGCTTCGTCGATCGGTTGTCGTCGTCAGAATCGTGATCAGAGGGCGCAGTCCTGGGTGTGAGTGCGTCCTGCGCAGCGGCTTCAACACTCTCGACATCTTGGAGCTTGTGCACCCTGCGTAGATGCTCCTGCAAATTCTCGCGTCGTGTGAATCCTTGCTCTGTGTGCCGTTTGCAGTGTTTGATAGGGCAAAAGAGTTGTTCTTTGGGCCCGCCGTGCATGCCGTGGACCTCGCGTTCGTGACGCAGAAGACCACCTGAGTATGTGAATCCTAGCAACTTGGCGCATTGCGGTTTGTCGCATTTGTATGGCCGTTCATGCTTGTCCATATGTTTGCTGTATGATGAGTTAGCATGATGTGCTGGAATCTTGGAGTCGGATCTCATGTTGATTGGTCGAACGGGTCGTTTGGGCGTGCCTTTTGGGCCGCAGCACAAGATTTCGATATGACGGCTTGACTTAAAAAGAGACTGAGGGACAAATGCATGCGGGAAGAAGCAAACGAAACGAAGAAATGGGCACTTACTTCCATTCACACTTGCGATCAAAAATTTGATGGCAGTTTTGGCATTCGAACTTTCCAGCATCATTGTGTTTGGGTGCAGTTCGGCGATGGTTTAATGGCTTGAAGCTTGAAGGAGAAAGAACGACTGAACTACTCCTTTGCTCGTCGTCCTTGTCCTTGATCTGAGATACGTCTTGTGATTCCGAGTCATTTGCAGGACTTAAAGATTTCGCAGGGGATATCAGAGGCGACTCTTTTTCGAATTTTTGTTTTGCCTCAGGCACTGCCATGGTAGACATTCAGTGTGATCCGGTGTAGAATGGTTGGTGGTGAAGCTTTGATGGCGAAGAAAGATTTTTTGATGGACAGTATGAGTCTTGCGAGCGAGAGTTGATACAAATTTGATGGAAAAGTGTGAGTCAAGAAGCCAGACCGGACTATGTATCGACGGTTGTTGACGCCCAAGACAAGACAAGCGGTGGTGGCAAGAACGTGGACCTACAGATATCGTCGGCAACAGGGAAGTCACGATGGCCGGACAGCCGTAGAGAAAGACAACGCTGGCCTGCCGATGAGCATCCACGTAAGTATCACGAGGCTGAGTCGAGGGGTGCATTGCCGCTCCGCTTCCTATTATATACGGCCGGGTTAGCTGGAAGCCTGTCGAAGGTCCGGTGCCTCGACGGCTGCCTTGTGCGTGAGCCATCCCAGACACAGGGCTGATTCACCACCACCAAAGAAAGCTTGTTGCAGACATTCTGTGGCTGTGAATGATCGCCGCTTGTGGCGTTCCAGTCGCACGGTTAAATCCGCCGGCCAACCGGACGTCCCGCAACCTTTGTCAGCTCCAGGGTCCAGCGTCTCTGCGACAAGTACGCGGACTCGTACCTGCGTGTACACAAATAACCAGGACCGACGAGGAAACCGTCGCGCCTGAGGCAAACGCTTGTATCGAGTAGTGAAAAATTGTCACTGCCAAGCGTCCACTTCCCTGCTTTCGACAACAGCAATCATTTGACCCAAAGGGAAAGCGCAGAGGGGACAAGTCAGGCTGTGCACTTACCGAAACTTGCTTCTGGACCCCTCGGCTGCCAGAAGAATCTTGAATCTCTAAACACCCTAGGCAACAATAAATTGCTCTGATTATTTTGCTGGTGGCTTTTGAGCATCGCTCGACAAGAACGTCACAACACTGCCCGTAGAGGTCGTCTAGGGCCATGCTCGCTAACCAGATGCTACGTTCGAGGTTCATGTTTTGCGACCTCGCTCGTGGAAAGTACGTAGTTTTCCATGGTCCAGGATACTTGATTACGACTCGCTTGGACGACGTAGCAGCAGGACTCGGAGAACCATGCGCTTCAGGCTCGCAAATCGATCCAAGACGTTGCATTGCAGACGAGCATTGCCTCCTTTGGTGTCTTTGGGCGCCAGTAAGTCATGTTCACCGACAGTTTGTTCGACATTGCTAGGAGTTCGTCGTCTGAAAATCCACATGATGATGGCGTAATTGCGCATCGCACTAAGCATTACTATTTCCAGCTGATCGCACATATCATTCTGAGTGTTGGGTATGAAGGTCTTGACCAGCGAAGCATGGTAAATGCGTCGATGCGTTCATGATTGCGATCCAGGAGGTAAGCAGCTGAACTCTGCGAGATGCTGAACAGATGTTGCCTGCTAGGTAATGCAGTATGTCGCTGTCTCTGTCCGTCGTACATGAGTCCTCAATACGCCATGCAGTCGGTCCTCAGCTCTGACATCGAAAATGTTGCAACAAATGGCGATACCGGAAAAGAGGCGTCGTAAGCAAGACCAGAATCTCGTTGCCTTCGAGGGACCATTAACGCTTTTAACACTGTGGTAAGGCACCTGAGAAGAAAGATGACTCGGACGTTGTGCAAAAGAGGCACTGCGCAAAGTTATATTTACTACTTAGAAGAAGGGTGGCCTTTTTTCTGCCTTCTTGCTTCCAGCTCAGCATGTCAGCCGGGCGCTTGACCGGTCAACCTGAGGCATCCAAACAACTACGCCCTGCTAGAAAAGCTGCCCGCGCCTCGTTTTTCAGCTCGCCAGTCTTCTCACTCCTCACTTCTTGCTGACTCTATGACTTTTCGCTGACTTCTCGCTGATGAAGTACTGTATACCTTTGTTGCTGAGGACTGTCTCTCGAGTTCCAGTCAATGTTGCAGATTTGGCAAGAGGGGTCTTTTCGCCATTTCCACAAAGTGACATACACACCTGCTGGAGACCACGGCAAGAAAAACTCTGCACTGCGGTCCGCGCGACCCCTGCACGGGATGTACTGTAGCATAATCGACCACCTTCCAGAAGCGTTGACTGCATGAATGGAACTTCCTTGGCTGCATGAGCAAAGCTGTGGCGGTGCGCATCAATGCTCATGCAACCCGCCCGATGACTTCTAGGCACCAATTGAATGCAGGCAGCAATCGGGACAACATTAATATCGCGGGTGCCGCGGTGCTGTGTGCTGTGTGCTGTGTGCTGTGTGCTGTGTGCTGTGTAATAAGCTGCTCCTGCTGGCGCAGTTCTGAGAGTCAAGATCCCAACATCGCTGCTTTTCTCAACGCTGAAAACAGGTGCTCTCATGCTTTCTCTGGATGCCGTGTTCATTGCAGTAATTTTGTGCTTTTTCGCAAACCTACACTCAGCGTCTTTTAGAACGGAAGATCACGTTCAGCCACGGTCAAATTCTAAAGGCACGACACAACAAGTACATTAGGCACAGAAAAGAAGGAGTCTTGATTGATACTCCTACAAAGAAAGTCGCTTCTGCTTGAGCACCTTGCATCAAGTCATAGCCACCTAGCCTACGCAACCATTAGTACGGATCGTTAACACCTTAAAATCAAGGCACAAACCTTAGTGCTTGCGCACATAAGGCGGAGGGGCACCAACAATAGGCGCAAGGAGAGGGCCTCCACCTCTTGTCTCTTTGTGGCAGAAGTCTGTAGGACCTCCCTGCCATTGCGCATTAGCACACCATCACTACAAGAGTGATTGCGATTATAGAAACTTACGACCACAAAAGGACGAGGAGGGGCCTCGTCTTTGTCGTCACCGGCGTGACAGGAGAGGAAGGTGAAAAGTTGTTTGAAAAAGATCTTGATTGATGGCATCGTGATTTCGTATGGTTGCTTGCTGGAAGATTGTGGCAGGTTTGCTTTGTTAATGCGCCTCCATGGTGCACTGAGCGCGACTGGACGTAATCTATACCTCGTTTGGCTTGAAACCGTGATTTATGGCATTTCCTACTGAACGAAGACAGTACACAGAAGGGCAGTAAAAGACGACCGACGGATATAGCAGACATCTGAGAACAGGATGGACCACCATCAGCCAAAATCTATATCGTTTCAACCATGAGGGGCAACTTAGCAGCTGTAAAAAGGCATAGTTTCATCGTCATCTTCACTTGTTCCGGAAGAGAGTATGGAGCGGAGAGGATGAATAAAATACCAGTTTTGAGCTCATCTCGACTTGGCTGTTACACAAGCACAACCTCCTTCCACCAGCGTACTAAGATAGGAAAGACTCACGTTCCCATCACTTCAAATCCCGAGACACTCGAATCTATCACTCTTCGAAGGCCTTTTTCTCCGGCTCAAGCACATTCACCAAGCAAGCCCACCAGGACCATCCTCAAGCGACGATAAGTCAATACCCCAAGCCCTAGCAACTTTCTTAGCTCAGATGTGAAGAGTGTCCTCGTCCGCACTCATCGTCAACAGTTTCTCCGTGTCCAACTCAAGCAGCAAAGCATTTACTTCGAAAGCCAGACTAGGTTGCATCTTGCGGACTTTGGGGTGTAAGAGGGAGGTCACCATCTCGTGCTGTTGAATTGGTGTAGCGGCTTTGAGAACGGTGAGGCCGTACAGGAGGGCGTTTATTGCTGTGGATTGCTCTGAAGAGGAGACTTCTTCGAGTGTGGACTTGGAGCTGGGTTTGATATATTGCTTCTTGTTCGTGCCTGAGGCGAGAAGGTTATCATAATCCTCGCGGCTCAGCATGCTGGCGTTGAAGTCGAGAATATCGCCGGGCAGGCTCTGCTCATCTTCGTTGTTGAGTAAGGAGTGCTTCTTTGCGGCGAGCATGTCCTTCCAACGCTGCAGGCGCTTGAGCAGAAAGTTGTTGACATCCGTCTCGTCTTTGAGGGTTGTTTGCGTTACTTCGGACCAGGGGTCAGAAGTGCTTTCGTCTCTGGAAGCAAGCTGCTCCTCGGTTGTGTTGTTGCTCTTCAACATGATCAGCGGACCGCGTTCCTTAGAGACTTCCTGAGTGGTAGGGCTGGTAGATTGGCTCAAGTCGTTTGAGATCGGCATAGACGTGTTGTCGAGCGAGGCCTTGAAATCATTGTGGCAGTTCATCGATGTCGATTGAGTTTCTTGCTTGTGCTCGGAGTGAGCGTCTTCTGACGATCCCCGGACAGAATCACTGTCGTCGATTGTGGAAGATGTCTTGGATTCTGTCATTTGTCCGTTGTTGCCGCTCTCAGCTTCCGAAGCACTCATGATTTTGTTATGGATGCTGTTGCTTGCTGGACTGCTTAAGAAGTGTGCATGCGCAAACAAAAAGTCAAGCGGGAATCAAACAAGGCGCAACAACTCATAAGATCTTTCACTGCCAAACAAAACAGAGAGTGTGAAAAGTTCGAATGAAGGGTTCACTTTCGTTAAGATATTACTGGCATCTGGATCATTTATAACACATCACTCTACAAAATATCGTGCTCAGCAGCAAGATAACCTCTTACTCTGCTCTGCCACCAACTTTAGATCCCGGAAAAGAGTCACGAAAGAATTCCATTAACCTTGCACGTGGAGAGCGAGTAGTCGAAAAGGCACTACCGTCTGTGACCGGAAACTAGTTTTTCTAGAGCATCATGCTTAGCAGCACGAAGAATCCTGCTGCTCCACGGAAAAAAAAAAAAGGCACGAAAGCATAACATCAATATTGTACGTAGAGAGCGAGTAATCGAGAAAGCATTTTCCGTCTATGACCGGAGGCTCGTCTTCGGATGCCGTGTCCTTGGGCGACATGGCGTGCACGGGGTATAGTTCTCAATCCGACTGGGGAGAGTGCCAATCCCTCGGGGAGAAGCAGAGGCTGGTTCTTCCAAAGAGGAGCTTCCTTCTAGAACAAGCGGCTATTTAAGAAGAGGTTTAAGTCAAGTAAGGATAGAGTGAGGACTGTGAGAAACGGCATGTGGCAGATCGAGTTCATCCCAGATATCAGATGCTGACTATTGAGACACAAATGAGACACAAATCATCTTTTACTCCTGCAAACTCTTCTTGAAGTCTTCCACCGCATCTCTGAACTTTTCATCTCGCTTGAAGCCCAGATCCATCGCTTTACTGACATCAAACCTAATCGGCCACGAATCCAACATATCCTTGATTTCCTTGGTCGGTTCTTCTCTCTTGATCAAATCCACCGCTTGCTTGCCTCCCACCTCCTCAAGCGCTTGTAGCATCTCTTTGACACTAGCCGTGATACCAGGCAAATTGATCTGGCGCATATGAGAAGGCAGACTATCTCGGTCCAATGTCAAGACATGAAGGAGGTTGGCAACCAAGATGCGGGGAGAGCATAACCAAGCCTCGAAGTCATCGGCACAAGGTAGTGTTGAGGGTATACCTTGCAAAGGCTCTCTGAACATGCCACTCATCCATGACGATGCAGCTTGAGTGGGTTTGCCCGGCCGCACAGAGATGGTAGGGAAGCGAAGCGTAAACCCATTGATGAATCCTCTGCGAGTAAAGTCGTTGATCGCATATTCAATCATTGATTTTTGAGTGCCGTAGGACGAAGAAGGTGTAGGTAGGGTGGCCTCTGAAGGCAATTCAGGCAGAGGTTGTCCATAGATAGCCGTACTAGACGCATAAACAACCCTCACACCTTTGCACTTCTGTCTCAATGTCTCCAGCAGATTCAAAGTCGATTGCAGGTTCACTCGATACCCCAGATCGAAATCGGCTTCGCTGCCTGCAGACATGATTCCATGGAAAACATAGATAGCATCCAGATCCGAAGGAATTACTGAGGCACTATCGGAATAGAGATCTGCTTTGATGCATTTTGCTTTTGAGGATTTTGAGGAGGCTTTGGGAGGGACTGGTGGTTCAAAGATGTCGATGAGGAGGACTTCGTGATCTGCGAGAAGGAGGTGTTCGGCGAGGAGTTGGCCTACAAAGCCGCCTGCTCCGGTGATTGCAATCTTCATGGTTTGGCGAGAGTTGTTGATTTAAATTTGTGTTCTTGTTGGCCACTAGACGGTGAAATAGAAATGGAATTGGGTTGAAGATGATCTTCGCTTCCAAGGAGGACAGTGGTGGTTATATAGCATGAGGCTCTTCGCCCCGGTAATAGGTGAAGGCGGGGTGGTGGGGCAGAAGATCCATCGGCAAGAAGACCGAACTTCGCCGGGACAATGATGTCGCGTGAACAAGAAGTCTTTTCAAAATGAGCACAATGACCTCAAAACCTGAATGCCGTGTGTCGCAACTCGTTCTTTTGGTTTCACGATGTGGTTATGAGACACAACTCAAATCTTGATGATGGAAATTGGTTTGATTATGTCAAATGGTAATCGCTAACAAAGCTAGATATGAACAATGTGTTTCCTCCAGCAGAAACCCGTATCATCATTCGAGACAACATAAATCATGAGCAACGGATTTATTTCTTGTGCTTGTTGTGGATGTCGATGACCTTTTGCACCTCGTCGTACGAGCCCATGAAGATACCAGACTTGTCGTGGATTGACTCGGGGACAACCTCGATCATACGGTCCATCTTGCTGTTGACTGCTTGGCCGCCGGCTGTAATGACACATTAGCTCATGTTTCTTGGTTTTGATATTGTGCGTCGTGCTTACCTTGCTCAAAGACCATAGCCATGGGGGCACACTCGTACAGGATACGCAGCTTGCCCTTGGGCGACTTCTTGTCGGCTGGGTAGGCAAAGATACCACCGTACAAAAGAGTTCTGTAGGCATCGGCAACCATGCTACCAATGTATCTCGCACTGTAAGGCTTGCCGCCCTCCTTCTCGGGCATCTTCATCGCGTTGCACCACTCCTTGACAGGCTCCTCCCACCACAGCGAGTTACCCTCGTTGACCGAGTAGATAGCACGCTTGGAAGGCATCTTCATGTTGGGGTGAGTCAAGATGAATTCACCAAGGGCGCTATCCATGGTGAAGCCGTTGACTGGACCATCCTTCATTGTCATGACGAGCTGAGCAGAGGCACCGTACATGGTGAAACCAGCAGCAACCATATCGGTACCGGGACGGAGGAGGTCTTCCTTGGTGCCCTTGGCGCCTGGGGCGAGCTTGTAAATACCAAAGATGGTTCCGACTGACACACCAGCATCCAAGTTGGAAGAACCATCAATGGGGTCGCAAGCAACGGCGTAGCGGGCGTTTGGGTGCTCGTCAAAGACAATGGGCTCATCCTCTTCCTCGGACACCAAGATGCGCACGCGACCTGATGATCTCATGGCAGAAATGAAAATGTCGTTACCGATGACATCGAGCTTCTTCTGGTCGTCGCCGGTCGAGTTTGCTGAGCCAGCAAGACCCGAAAGGTTGATCAGCGAGGCACGGCGGATGTAGTAAGCAATTGACTTGAATGCGAATTGCAGCGAGTGGCAGAGAAGGCTGTGCGACTTGTCAGCATTGAGAATGTCACACAATTGACTCGAACGGATCGTACGTGAAGTCACCCGTGGCCTCCTTGTGTTTCGTCTGCTCCTCAGTAAGGAATCTGGTAAGAGTGATAATCTCGGTGTTGATGGCTTCGGAACCACCAGGACCGGAGTGCGACTCGTTGTTTGAAGACATTTTGTGATGTGTTTGTATTCGGTTGAAAGGTTCGAGAGATGAAGCTTCAAGCTGTGATGTAGCGTTTGGTGGGGAAGAGGGGGGGTATCAATGGAGAGTGGGACAAAAAAAGAGGAATGGAGAGGAGGGAAAGAAGAGAGGAGCGAGACAGCAGCAAGTGACAGCTAAAAAGACTCTGACAACTCGACAGTACCAAGCACACAGTTCAGCGCGGGCAACGTCACAGAGAGGAAGTGTTGGTCGGTGTTGCGGAGCTCAAAACGTCAGATGTGGAGAAGCAGCAAGACGATCCTGCTACCAAGTAGAATGTTGACTCGGTCGCGATCTTGGTGTTTTGTTACAAGTACCACTGTCTGGGCGCGACAGCAGCTCCCTGGATATTTGTATGTCTACCCATTGCCGAGGTCAGTTTCTTCGGCGCAAGGAAATACACCTCACGCGGACAAAATGCCGCTCGTCGGGTCGAGGTCGCGCTTGCTGAGGGGCAGTTGGACGAGTATGGGGACGTCTATTTCTCCGTATTCACTCCGGCTTTGCCCGCAGCGACTTGGTCAGTGAGCTCTCTGTCATACCGATCCCGATCTCCTGCCCCGATATAATCCTCCACCTCTTGTCTCCATCTTCTGTCTCCAGATCAACTTCGGAGACAACCTATTTCGCTAGGCCGAATGGTACAAGGAACCAATCTGGATGCTCTCTTGTTACTGCAGTCCAATTCTTTGATGCTGCGAACGAATGCCAAGAAGAATGTTGTGTAAACATATGGACGAACTGTGGCCGAAGCCGCTGACCGGGTGACTTGATGAATATCTAAACATTATGCTGGAGTATTCCTCCTCTATAATTCTTTTCTATGAGTCTAGGAGTATTGAAACATTATTAGGTGGTGGTCTAAAGCAAGACCGCTGCTCCGATCCAAGCACCACCAACCAAAGCACCAATACGAGGTATAGCGCTGTTCATTACAGCAGCGCCAGTGCTCGACGATACAGCCGTCGAGGTAGACTTCGAAGTGGACTTGCTCATGGACGTGAGCTTGGATGTAGCTGATCGCGTAGGTGTGGTCATGGCAGATGTGCTCGTGATGCCAGACACACTTGCTGGTCCGATGCTAACGGTCGGCTCAAGTGTGCTCGAGACAGTAGCCGGCTTGATCTTGACATTGTTGTGGTTCATCAATTCAGGTGCCTCGTTAACAAGGAGAGCTTGAGTGACTTCAAGGGCTGAAAGTTCCTGTCCAATGCCATATTTTCCATCATAGTCCGTGTACCACTTCTGACCGCAAGTTACACCATCACTAGGTCCAGAGCAAGATCTGGCTGCGCCTTGAGCAGAGGCCGTAAGAAGAGGCTGGATGGCGGACTGGGTGTAAGGTGCAACGACCATTGCCTTTGCAAGGAATCGAGCGAGATAAGCCTTAAAGCTGTATTGATCGTTGTTGCAGGTACCGTAAGGTTCGCACGCTCCTTCGACCATGACGTTGGTCGCATTGTCAAAGGCTTGGAAGAATGACTGGTCGGCTTGTTCAATCAGACCAGTCAAACGCGTTTCCCAGGTGGAAGAACCGTTAGTGTAGTTGTACATGGAGGCAGCGCCATAGATGAAGATTCCAGGAGTGTAGGTCCATTGGAGCTGATCAATCTGCTGACAATTGTCGGTGGTGCTAGCACCGTCATAGACACGGTAGCTGTCGTCAATGAATCCAACACCAGTGGTCCAGTCCCAGATGCGCTCAGCCCAGTCAGCGTATGTGCTGTTGCCAGTGTAGCGTGCTAGACGAGCAGCCATCTGGAAGAAACCGCCGTTCGAGACTGAATTTTTGTAGTTGTAGCCCGAGTTTGACTCAAAGACCTGCCACCTCAATCCTCCATTGCATGTTGTAGAATCCCAGCGCGGGGCCATCGAGTCGAAAGCATTTACGGCGAGTGTCTCCCAAGATGGTGAACCCTCGGGAGGGTCGGGAAAGCCATATTCGAGGGCTGAGAGAGCGGCAAAGGTCCAGAAGGCTTGGTCATCGTTACCCTGTGATCGAAGTCAGTTGTCCGCTGGTAGGGTTGTTGTACAGGTGGTATACTCACCATGCTGCTGTAGTATGCTTCGGGCAGGAAGTTGTTGTCTGTGCCCGTCTGTGCCATCATGGCTTGCATGACAACATCGTTGAAGCTTGTATCGTTGGTGTAGGCCCAGTAATCAATGAGACCGCCCCAGACAGCGCCAGCCTCCCACCAGTACAAAGGCCAAGGTAATGTGCCTATCGACTCTTTCGGTGTGTCGGTCTTGTTGTTCTGGTAGTAGTTCATGAGGCCATGTGCGAGTGTTGATGCTGAACTGCGAATAGAGTCTGGTGATGAGACGTCGAGGTCCAATGCGTGAGCGCATGCCGCCAGGGCTGCAAGAGACGAGAGGAGTTTCATCGTAGCCAGCCGATGTGAGTATGAATTGTATAAGATGCAAGTGCTAAACGCTTTGCGATGATCCAACTCCGAACGCAAGATACCAAAAAAGCTGTGTAAGTCGGAGCAGGTAGATGTAGCGCCATCCTGTTGGTTTTGTATGCTGGGCGCACACTACTAAAGAAAGCGCGACTGTCTCAAAAAAAGTCACCCAAGTGTTGAATCTGCCTATCCAAGTCGATAGCCGTTATTGGATAGGCGGAAATTGGGTAGCCGTTGGCGCCTTCCTACCAGATACAGCTGCGACAACCAAGCTTCTTCGTGTTGGCCCGCGGCGGAAATGAGGTCGAACCATGGAAAAGCTTGGGTTGTACCATGTCTCTTCTACGTCCAGGATAAGCCGCCATATTATGTCGCAGATTCGAGATGGCGCAAAGTCATCTTGTGTGAGTGGAAGAAGAGGTAGCACTTTTGTTGTGGCTTTTGGGATGTGCGCTGTGCCGTGGAGCGTTGGCATCTGAGCGCCAAACTTTGCCAACGGCTGTAATAACGTTTATCGCCAGCCTCGTACGTCTCGATGAGCTGGACCTTGTAAGGCACACAGAGCTAAGAATAACTCTTGCGATACGAACAATGTTTTACACAACTATATGCATGCTCGCTCTCACTTTGAGCGAGTGTCAGCCAAACAGTATCGTGTGTCGCTACAGCTCTCAAAACTCTGTAAACATCAGTGGAGACAAATAGCAAACATGTCACTATTTCTGGGATCAATGCTCAACGTCCTCTACGCAGCAGTACTACGTATGCATCTTCTGCTTGTTCATTATAGGACGCATATCCATCAGTAGTATAACAACGCTGCTGCAGGCATCCTCTTTCCTCTAATTTCGATCAGATCTTTCACAACCGCGTTGTCGTAATGACTCTAGATGATGACTGAACTGCCGTGCAGAAAGTACAAATGATCTAGGCTCTAGGTTTGAGCTTTGAGGGCTGTTCGGGACGGTAGCGTGACAGCCATCATCAATCGGGAGTGGGCAAAGATGTTTTGTCACGGCCAAGTTTTTATGCTGCTTGTACCACCCTGGTCACATTTTACATCATGCTGTCAACGACAACAACCATGTCCTCATCGACCTGGTATACATTCAAGCAATGCATAAAGTCGAGCTTATATAGTGATTGCGCTCAAAAATAATTAGATGGCTGTATATGCATGTGTTCTTGATGGGTTGTGAATTATTGATTCGTCTCCAACAATGCGGTATGCAATCACACGTCTAACCACCCATGTCCTTGAGGTTTTCATGCGACCACCACCAAACACCTGACACACACAAAGTTCAATGCGTGACCCAATAACGCTGAAGAACATGGTTGAGACTAGGCACAAAAGCACATGTTCACTTGCAAATGTAGATACACGAAGACGATCACAGTAAGAACTAATGATCGAAGCACGAGACTGCAGCTCCACAATACAACATGACAAAGCATCAGCTTAAACAGTAGGCCATCCATTGACCCACTTGATCTTATTGACACCAAACAGCTTCTGGCCATCCGCATAACCAATGTTGGTATCAACATAGTGGTAGTACAAGATCCAGCCCATCACAGGATCGTTGTAAACACCTTGACCACCCGGAGCGTAAATGTTTCCATGCGAAGGCAACACAAGAGTACCACCACCGTTGGTACAGCTCTTGCCAGTCTGATCCACGAAGCCACCAGTAGCAGAGTTGGATCTGCAGACCTTGATCTTATACTCTTGGCCAGCGGCAGGGCGGTTCTTGTCCAGATTGCAGCAGATGCCTTCACTGAAGAACATGTAGTAAGCGCCGTTGTAGTTGATCATGTATGAGCCTTCGATGTCGTGTGTGCCGGCGGGCTTGAAGATGGTGTTGTAGGCTCCACCAGCCTTTGAGTTGACTGTGTTGGGAGTGGTGTTCATCTCAACTTGGTAGATATCGTGCCAGAAGGAGCCAAAGTTCATCAGATATTGGTTTCCGACCTTGACAAGGTTGGCATCGATGGCGTTGTAAGACTTGCTGCTGTCGGAGGAGATGCCAGCTGAAAATTGTTAGTTTTGTTGCTGTTGAATCGAGACGATAGTAAACTCACTGGAGCCTTTGTCGGACCAGGTGCCGACGTCCATAGAAGAGGAAGTTGCGAGACCAATGACAGAGTTCTGAGTGCCAAAAGCGCTTGCAGTATAGTAGAGATAGTAAGTGTTGCCAACCAGGGACACATCAGGTGCCCACAGATCGGTCTTTCCAGAGTTGGCTACATTTGCGCCATTGGGGAGTACTTGACCCTTGTACACCCAAGGACCCTGGGCACTGGAAGCAGTGTGAATGGCAATACCACCTCCAGTAGAGAAACGGAAGTAAGTGCCGTCAGAGGTACGGCGAATAAGAGAAGGGTCATGAGCGTTACCACAAGTACCACTGCATGGGAGAGGGTTCGAGTAGGCCAAGACCGTCGCGGCCAATGAAACAACTCCGGAAAGGATGGCGACAAGCTTCATATCGAAGAACAAGAACAGAACAAGTACAAGTCTCGGACGAGAGCGGCTGAGATGGTGCTTGATCCTTCTCGATTCAACATGGGAAGCTCACCTTTATGTACTTCTTGCCTCCATGCTGCTCGCAGACTACTCTCAAGGAGTTGCCAATCAAGGCTGATATGATCTAGCATTGGCTGAAACGAAGCATGGTGTCGAGTATATTATCCTGATGATATTCTCCGAGGTAGCGAAGAAGCATCATGCACGGTGTCTGCATGACAGCCATTGCGGGTCTAGCGAGGATCTAGGGCGGCATACCTACAACGTGCTAAGAGCAATGGTCGAACACTGTCGACAACAACGAGTCGTTACGACTGCACAAAACGTACTTCAGATGTACCTCAAGGGTTACAGTTTGTGTTACAGTGGTATGAACCATCGAAAGTTTTCTCGCCCCGGGCTCAGCAAGCAGAGATTGCTTAAATGCTCCTCCAAAACTCGCGAGTCTCTCTTGGCGAGTGTCCCAGCAATGTGACCTCTCGAAGGATGGTACTCCGAGTACTTTTGCAGTCGATGCAAGGTACCCGAGGTCTACAATCGCGATTGGTGCATTTATTCTCGGCGCTTTCGAAGCGCGGGGCTTCACCATGACTTTGACTTTTATATGTCGATCCAGGGGAATTTATGAGCATCAGCTTGTTGAAACTCGAGCCTCGGTGGAATGAGTAGCTGCTCAGAACGACATGGTTCGCGATCAAGTGAACAATGCGGCGGACGAAGCAACACAGCGAAGCAGGGTGTGATCAGGATGAGGCTTGTCCCGTAACTTCATTGACGGGTTCGTCCAACCGAGATTGGCAGATGGCGGACTCTAGTCGGCACGGAGGAGGGCCTGTTAGCACGAAAATACGCTATACCAAGGTTGTCTGGCTGCGGGCTAGGAGGGCTTTTCGGCTGAAACAACTGCGGGGGATATTCGCTGTATTCAGGGCTTGGCACTCAGTAATTGCAAAACAGGCTCTTCTTATAGGACGGACGTCTTTACTTGAGGAGTTGTGTCGCTTATCAGTACGCTTGAGTGAAGACAGACTGCAGCCAGCCGGCGGGGTGCAGATTCTGAGCCATTACAAGCAGAGAGATTGGCCGAAGTCTGTGTGATGAACCAAGCAGCTTGGGACCCCAACCTCGGTCATTCTTGTTCGAGCTGGGCTTCTGATCGTATCAACACTTGTCCGTGTCAATGTGTAGCGCCTTCCGAAAGAAGAGAAATGATGGAGCCACCAAACAGACTTCGTTGTTACCGTATCCAGAGCATGGCGTGACTCTGCTGAATACGTGCTTAGCTTCTCGATGAACTCTTTGTGTTGGACCCACACCGCAGAATCATGTGTAGGGGCAAGCAGGAACGTTGTGGATGGCGCAGACGTGGAGGAGCCCTGTGAGACCTCGAGCGTTGTCAACAGGCGAGGAAGCGAATACAGCTTCATCAAGGAGCAAGTAAGTGAAAATTGATGCCTTCAAGCTGCCCTCCAGTTGGGAACACGGGGTTGCCACAACAAAGGCTTCGAGAAACGCGCGGAGTTCCTCCGTTGGTCATAATTCTTGACCAAAACGGCGTTCCACAATCTTTAGGATCACGGCGAGAAGACAAGCTTACTTAGAGTAACCTCACCTATATCTCCAACGCTCGATAATTTGACGCCATGTTTTGACAGATGTCAGACAGCAGCTGTCGACAACAAGGGGACACTAATGGATAAGCGCGAACAGCAGCTCTCCGGCTTCTGATGCTTCTTCGTATCATCTCACTTCCCTGAGCCACGCAGAGTTTCTTGTTGTTGTATTCCAAGCTGATCCGCAAATCTTGTCTAGCAGTCTGCAAATTGAAGATACAGTGCTATGCAAATTTGTCTCGATTTCAGCTCTGACGGCTACGAACAAGTTTGTACGGGCTTCCTCGGTCAAGCCTCCGTACGCCGTTGTGTATAGGAGTCGGGTACCCCGGTCCTAAGATCTAGCCGCGAACGTCCCAAATGATGCCTACCGAGCTCTTCCGGAACGTTTAGTTGAAGATGAACAACAGACGTTAGGACCCCAGATGCCTGTTGCCTATTTTGCCTGAAGTAGGATCGTACATCTAGTACTGATTTGGACAGCTTATCCCTAGATCCCCCAGATCAATGCTGGTCCATGGCAACGGGATCCGGACAACCTCGCAAGCTGCAGATACCCGGTGATCCACAGCCATGATCTGTGGTACACATACGCAATCAAGGCTGAACAAGAATGTTCTAGGGTCTGTAGAAGCACCACAACGGGACATCGTGGAAGGCGAGCCATCTCTCTGGATACCAGCACTATCATCCGTCTTCTTGTGATATTGCTACCGAGATATCGAGATTTCAAAACGAGATAACAGCGGCTAATCTAATCATCTAATCACTATCGTGTGTCTGTCTGTCAATAAACCTTTCAGTAAACATCGACGTAGAAGTTTGGTCGCCATGGACCCCGCCCCCAGTCATCCGTGGACACCGACCTTGGGGGTTTTGACCGTTGAGGAGAAGGCATCGTGTCTGAATCAAACACTGTAGGAAGGAGACTTAGCATATCGTCTTTGTTTAGCCTCATCCTCGTGAACGGCAACTATCTGACCGTCGGGTGCTGCTTTGAGATCATAGTGGACCCAAACCAGCATAGTGGTTACACATATGCTTGGAAGCATGGAAGCGTCTTCTAGACTTACCGAGATCGTCGCTTGGTTGAGTCCCTGGTCTGATCTTCGTCATCCATTCAAGACAGCCCAAGCAGTTGGGTCAGAACAAGCACCACTACTTGCAACACCCGAATTGGCAGTCCAACTACCGCCAGGGACGATATTCAACGGCAAGGCAATTGTCTCGTTCAGTTAATCCACTTCTTCAATATTCTGGACGTTGTTGGCTTGACACAGAGTCTAGACTGTCTGGAAGGAGAACACTTCATGATATACCATCCACAGCAGATGATGCCTCTATGCTCATCGTCGAGTATAAGAGGTGGTATGATATCCTGTCATTCATCTCCTCATCCGCTTCAGCAACTTCCAAGGATCAAGGCGAACAATCTTCCTCAACAAACAACCCTTCGTTCAATCTCCCTTCGTTCTCAGTACTACTTCTCTATTCGTTTACAATCTTTATTCACTAATCAATCAATCTAATCATCATGGCCGGTCAAGCTGCTATCTTGGGTCTTCTGGCCCCTGCCATCATCCTTGCAGCCCCCTTGAACTCCAAGGACAAGAGAGATGAAAATGTCGACCTTGCTGCCAGAGACCCTCTGCTGGGCATTGGAATCACAGTTGGTATCTCAGCTTCGGTCGACCCACTCCTCTCTGGGCACGCCACTTCATCCAAGAAGCTGTCGTCCTCGACCGCCAAGGTTTCTTCAGTCAAACCGACTACGACTTTGTCCATTCCCAAAGGCTCTCCGATCGCAAAGTCTTCGAGCAGCTCCAAGAAGTCTTCCAGCAGCTCTAAGAAGTCTTCGAGCAGTGCCAAGGTGTCCAGCTCCAGCTCAAAGAAGGTCGCTAGCAGTGCAAAGGTGTCCAGCGGTAGCTCGAAGAAGGCTTCCACTCTCGTCGAGCCTGTTTCTACCAAGCACCTTACCCTCTCGAGCCTCTCGAAATTGACCAGCTTGCCTAAGACTGCCTCTTCTTCTTCCATCAGTGTCAAGAAATCGACTGTCAGCCCTGTCGCCTCGAGCAAGAAGACCTCCTCAGCATCGACAAAGTCTTCTTCTTCTAGCAAGAAGCCCACTTCATCGTCTTCTAGCAAGAAGCCCGCTTCATCATCTTCCAGCAAGGCACCTGTTGCACCTTCTAGCAGCAAGAAGTTGAGCTCGTCCTCTTCGTCGAAGAAGCCAAGCTCCACAAGCAGTGCTAAGGTCTCTGCCAAGTCCAGCAGCTCTTTCAAGCTTCCCATCGTACTTCCTACTTTGAAAAGCTCAAGCAAGCCTGCTATCAGCAGCTCTAAGGCTTCCGTAAAGTCCAGCAGTTCTGTCAAGCCAACCAGCAGCTCGGTCAAATCATCCAGCTCTGTCAAAGTTTCCAGCTCGGCTAAGCCCGCAAGCAGCGATGTCAAGCAAGGCTCTACTGTCAAGACTAGTCACGCTTCTTCTTTCAGCTTGGCTGTGCCTAGCATCGGCAAGGCTAGCAGCTCTGATAAGGGTGTTGTCATCTCGGTCAAGCCAACCCCTAGCTCATCCTCTGTTCACAAGCCCTCCGGAGTCAGTATCAGCGTTTCCGTAGGACTCCCCGGCGAGACAGTCACATTCCCCGGTGTTACAGTCACCGGAGGACTTGCTGCTTCTAAGCCTATTGAGACGGCCGTCTCGTCCGTGCTCAGCCGTGCCTCGGGCATAGTATCCGCTGTCATCTCGAAGGTCTCTTCTGGCGTGGTCGGCGAGGCTTCTACCATCAGATCAGGTGTTTCGCAGGCTACCTCCGTCATTGGCGGTGACGTATCCACGGTCAGATCTCAAGTCTCATCCCTCGTTTCTCAGGCCACTTCTGTGGCTGTTGGGGATGTTTCTACCATCAAATCCCAGCTTACCTCTATTGTCTCGCAAGATGTCTCTGCCATCAGATCTCAGGCCTCTTCTTTAGTCTCGCAGGCCACTTCTGTGGCAGGTGGCGACGCCTCGGTTATCGTCTCTCAGGCTACTTCTGCAGCTGGTGGTGCTATCTCGACTGCCAAATCCCAGGTCTCATCTCTTGCCTCTCAAGCATCTTCTAGAGCTTCCAGTGCTCAATCAGTCGTTAGCTCTGAAGTTTCTTCCGCTGCCTCGAAGGCTAGCTCAATCGTTTCCAGCGCCCAGTCGGTCATCAGCTCTCAAGTTTCCTCTGGTGTCTCAAAGGCTAGCTCTGTTGTGTCCAGTGCCCAATCGGTTGTGAGCTCTCAGGTTTCCTCCGACATTTCGAAGGCTAGTTCTGCAGTATCTAGCGCCAACTCGGTCGTCAGCTCCCAAGTCTCCTCTGTGGTCTCGAGTGTCAGCTCGCAGGTTTCTTCCGTGGTCTCGAGTGTTAGCTCCAAGGTGTCATCTGCAGCTTCCGAGGGTGTTTCGGCATCCATCTCTGCTTCTGCAGGTGCGAGCGCTTCTGTTGGAGCATCGAAGGCTCCTGCCTCTTCCTCGTCCTCTTCATCCTTGGTTGCCTCTAGCAGCGCTGCTTCGCCAGCTCAAGACCCTAGCCTAGGCCTCCCCCTTGCTCCTGTCTCGAGCCTTGTCAGCGAGATCGTGTCTCAGGCTACCAACCTTCCTGCTACCGTTCTTCCTGCAGCAAGCAGTATCGTGAGTGCGGTCGTCTCTCAGGTCACTGATCTTCCCGGAGCTGGCGAAATTCCCGCTGCAGCAACAAGTCTTGTTGGAGACGTGACATCTGATGTTGCTGTCCTGCCTTCTGCTGCCTCTAGCCTCGTCAGCGAAATTGTCTCCCAGGTTACCGACCTTCCATCAGCAGCAGTCAGCATTGCCAGTGAGATTATTTCGACCGATCTCCCTGTGATCACCGATATCTCCAGTGCCGTTTCCAGCATCGTAGCCACTATCGTTTCTGACCTTCCTGCCGCAGCTTCTAGCATTGTTAGCGATGTGACCGAACTTCCTGCAGCCGCAAGCAGCTTTGTCAGTGAAATTCTTCCTAGCGACCTTTCTCAGCCTACCGGACTAGTCAGCAGCATCGTCAACGGAATCACTACCGATCTTCCTCAGGTCACCGAGGTTCCCGCCGCAGTAAGCAGTATCATCGACGGATCCATCCCAACTCTTGCCTCAGATCTTGGAGCCGCCGCCACCTCAATCGTAGGCGACGCTGGTGACATCGTCTCCTCTATTGTGTCTCCCATCGCCCCCATCGTCACCGACATCGTTCCTTCTGTCGTCTCCGATGCCGCGTCGGCCGCCACCTCTATTGTGGGCAACGCTGGTGATGTGGCCTCTTCTATCATTTCTTCAGTTGAACCCCTCGTCACCGATGTTGTGTCTGATGGTGCAGCAGCCGCCACTTCTCTCGTGGGCGATGTTGGCGCTGCGGCCTCTTCCATCGTGTCTGCAGTTGACCCGCTCGTCACTGATGTGATTCCATCGGTTGTTTCGGACAGTGCATCCGCTGCCACCTCAATTATTGGCAACGCTGGTGATCTCATCTCGTCTGTTGTATCAGCGGTCTCTCCAGTCGTCACCGATGCAACCAGTGCGGCTAGTGATGTTGCTGGAGATGCCGGAGCTGCTATTTCGAACATTGGTGGTGCAGTTGAGACTCTTGTCAGCACTGTTCTCTCTTCTGATATTCCTGCTGCCACTGCAGTCATCGATCCCATTGTTTCGGGAGTTTCTCAGGGTGCCAGTGCAGCCGTATCCATTGCTACCAATGTCGTTGATTCCGGTGCCACTGCAGTCAGCCAGGTTCTATCTGCCGCCACTTCTGCGATTCTGCCTGAAGTCACTGAACTTGCAACTGCTGTCGTTAGCGCTGGATCGGCTGTTTCGACCATTCTCTCTGATACTGGATCGGCCGCCACGGCAGTGGTCGGTGGAGCCGTTTCGGGAGTTGGCTCAGCAGCTGGTTCGCTGGCAACTGGCGTGGGCAACACGGTTGATGGTACTACCGGTGCCGTTGGAGGTCTTGTCGGAGGTCTTCTTGGTGCCAGCTCGGCATCCAGCGCTACCCCTACTCCTACCACCTTGGTCACCAGAACCTCTTCTTCTACATTAGTCAAGGCCACCATTGGCATCAACCTCAAGTAGACCGACTCACAGGGTACACGATCAGAACACTAAATCACCTCACACATCATTTCTTTTGTTTGTATTTGGCATTTCTCACGGTGTTGGCTTTGGATGGAATTCATGTAGTCGCTGGACAACAACACGAAAACCAAAAAAATCAGGCTTGTACACGTAAATACAATGATGGAGTTTGGGTGGCACAAGTCTCTGATTTTAGACAGTTCTAATATAGTATAGCTCAGATAGTTTCATGCGAAGAATTATTTCCTCAGAACATTTGGTTCCAAATCGTTCCCTCGTGTGCTCAAAACGGCCAAAATGTTGCATCTGAGCCCTTCTCCATCCCAACGTACAGGGACTATAATAAGCTATCGAAATGCATGATTGCAACTCGAGAATAATTACGGCCATAGAGATAGCTTTAAATGGTATTCTCTCTGTGGACACAACATTTTCCGCGAAAGCATTGTGTACTTCTACAACTAAACTGTGACAGTATCAAGCACACGCAGAGATCCTATCTTGACTTCTGACGAATTGGGGTTCTACGCATGGACTGCTTTTGTTATCACTTTCTGTTGTCCACTCACTCTTGGCGCAAGATCCAATTCACCACCAACTTCTGCGCAACCAACTCGAGTGACTGCCGCCCAAACACTATTCCGAATTTTTACCCAAACACCCATCACGAACCTACCACATTCAGCGCACACACCATGGCAAGACCGAAAAAGACCCCGAAAAAGACCGAATCTAAGAACAAGGCTGGGACCAAGCCTAAGACTAAGAAAGGGAATGTCCAGAGACCTTCTTCGCTCGACCCAGCGCATGTCGTAAAGTTTCTTGTCAACGAACCGAATTTTCCGTCTCCTCTTCGGCTAACAGCCAAAGTACTGGAAAAGTGGCTCAGGGCCATGGACACTGGTGCTTCCAACCAGGCCCGCAAAGATGTCACAGTGGCGGTGCTTTCTGGGCTGCAAGCTGCAAGGTATGCCACTCTCGAACCCTGCATATAACCTCATTAGCTGACATGCATCTACGTTCTAGCGACCCACCAGTCACTCGTCAACAATGTGAGGATTTCATCCGCCGTCATGGCGTCAGCGAGACAGACCCTGTTCTTGTCAACTCGTGGTCTGAGTTCATTGCTTCCCATTCAGGGTCGGACGATTTGGAAGAGGATTGCGCAGAGGAAATTGGGGCAGGCAAACACAAGGTCAAGAAGCCTGAGGTCAGTAGGTTTGCGGCAGAGGTGCCCCCTCCCTGTGTACTCCGAGTACAGCAAAGAGCGAATTGCCTCCTATAGAGATGCACAATGTGTTCATAAGGAAAGGCGTGTCCACAGAGAGCCGGCAACTTGTTGCCTCTCAGTGGATAGCACCCTGTTTCCTATGGATATTGTGCATTTCTACAGCTGTCCGCAAGACTTGAGTACTTTGGGAGGCCGAGGCGAAGGCGTCCAAGGCAGGCCATCTTGAGCTCGCAAACAACGCTGACACTTATCCAGATAAGGACTCCGCCATTACCATCAACAGCAGTCCGTCTTCCCAAAAACCGCTCCCAGTGTCGCCAGTCCCGTGAGATTCAGAGTAAGCGTCAATCCCCAGGACAGAGAGACTCTCCAGCAGCTCGTCATAGACGAATTCAACCGCAAGTTTCTGAATCGGGCAAAAGAAGCCCGGGCAAAACACATTTTCCGCAGATTCTCCGGCGCAGGACTCGACGTCAAGAAGCAATGGGCAAAGGAAAGTGTTTACTGCACGACTATGCGTTCATTCTGCCTTAACGGCGAAGAGATGGCATACTGGAGCATCATGGCCAACGTGGCGGATTCATCTGCCAATGACAATATACCCGCGGCCAGAGTCTCTTTTGCCTTGGCGACTCTCATGTTGGAGAAATGGGAGCAGCTGCCGGAAGAAATGCCAGAATTAGCCTGGGTTAATATGGAATACACGACTTCGACAGGCCTCAAGAGATTCAAGACGCCATTGTTGCAACAAATGTTGAGGCCTCCACGCGATAAGAGCCGCAAGTTCGATGTTCTGTCGCCTCAGTACAAGTTTGAGGCACGTGTGCCTCGCCTTGAAACCATCATCGACCCTGGCCACAGGATGCATCGCACCCCAGGCAGCGCGGAAGTGGATGCTCATGCGCAGTTCAAGAGGTATGCACTTCAGAGTATCCTCAAGCTCATGAAGACATCTCCTCGTGGTGGTGCGGTCGTCAGGACCGTACCTTTGACATGGCCCAAATTGGTCACGCAAGGTCTCGCAAGACCACCACGGCCATTCAACCCAGTTGCCGGCAAGTTCGTGAAGTTGAGAGAGGTTGAAGACGTTCTTGCCTCACAACACGAAGCCAGGTCGATTCATCTGAGCCAGGCGCGTACAAATGATCGATTGGTGTGCGTGGTCCGCTACAGCTCGACCACCACGAGAAGCCTCTCGGCCGATGCAGACCACGTTCGAGATATTCTCGTCGGTCTACGAGAATCCTTCCCCGAGGTCCAGTTCCATCCTAACAAGCAAGCCGTCATGGTTCGCGGATACAACACGAGAAGCAGCTTGACACCTTCCCTTTGGCATGACATCGACCAGGAGATCAAGGTGTCGCGTTACGGTTTCGTGTTCCAGGACTACGAAAATAATAAGGTTCTGGACCACAAGATGCGTACACAAGCCGTTGCTGAATTGTTCACCAGACATCTATCTGGTCAGTTTGAGTTGGCCAAGGAGCTGAAGTTGTCGCTGGCACTTTTCTTGGTTGGTCATGATTCGTTGGGGAGCAGTCGGGAACGCATAGTTGCGTACGTCAAGGACGTCCATGAATCAACAGGACAGGGATTCAACATCTTCATCGACGCTTTGTCCGAAGAGACACCAATATGGGGCATGTGACTTCGATCGACGTGGGACCGCTCTCAATGAAGATATCGTTCATTGCCGTTGCCCTCGTGAGTTTTGCAGTATGTGATTGCGAGCAGTACCTGTTCGAGATGGTCGTACTCCACCACGATAGTGGCGACCTGTTCAACTTGCCTGATTGAAACTATGCTGCGACATTTCCCAGACTCTCGTATCGATTGAGACCATCGCTGAAAAAATGCATATTGATTTCCGGATTAGACGTGTGTCTCAAGAGAGCCCAAAAAAGGGGGTCCAGTGCAGGCTACAAGTGATATGCATCTTGATAGCACTGAGCAATATATTAGCATGCAGGGAGAGCCCAATTAACAACGATTCGTTGTCCCACTCCAAGCAGAATCAAGTGAGGCTAGTCATTGCTGAACGAACAAAGACCGAACCTACCCCTAAGCATCTGTCTGCCTAGACTCCTCCACTCGAGTAGTACCCTGCATACATGATCTTCAAGAACCCACTTTGTATGGAAGGTGCGGACGTCTTCGCTAGAGTAATCGTAAAGCAGATCATCAGATATCTCGCGACAGTATCGGGCTCATGCAGCGGCAAGTACTAACAATTCTTCTTGTCAAGAAACCATGCAGAAAGGGAGAGGGAGCGAGCTGAGTGGAGCTGCAATAAGGTGATGTCGATCTGTTTAGCTTCCGGTTTGCGGCTTGGCAGAAGCGGTGGAGGACCTCGGTTGAATATACGTTGGGTATGGTGAGACGTGAAGGTATCGAGAATGATAAACAGACCGTGGGCCGTTGGGATGCAGTGATCAAGAGAGTACCTCGTGTATATGATGATTGGTGTAGTCGCAATCATTGTATTGATGAATTCTGCTGACACCGGTAGTATGCCAAGTCCGAGACACAATATCTGTTGATGTGTCGATCCTGTGTGAGCGGCATAACTTTGCAGCGTTGACGTGTCAGTCGCGAGGGGTTGTTGACCCTTCCTTTTATGCTGTATAACTCAGCGCTCGATCAGAGGCGACCAGGACAATCGTGAAGTTCTGGCAAAGATGGCTCAAAACAGCGAGGAGATTATCCTCTTCCACTATTCAGTGTCAATATACTCGCATAAGGTCCTGTGGTCAGTGAAAGGCTCAAACATCTTGTCGAGACAGTGCTGACACTTTGAAGGTATCTCAAGTTGGCAGGCATCAAGTACTCAGAATGTGTTCAACCACCAATCATGCCTAGGCCTGATTTAGCAGCACTAGGCATCTCGTACAGACGCATTCCCTTGCTCGCTATCGGTCGTCATGTGTACTGCGATTCGAGGTTGATTCTCCAAGTCTTGCAAGAAAAATCATGGAATTTCAATGAGTGGTTCAGACAAGGCAATTCGACGACTGCTTCAGGACTGGCTGAATGATCAAATTTTCTGGCATGCATCACGTTGCTTACCGTTCGAACGTTCTGCAGTTGCTAGTAGTCCAGCATTTCTAAATGACAGGTCCGAAGCGCTTGGCAGACCATTCAGGATTGAGGACATGATAAAGGAAAGACCAGAGTCGTATGCCTATATCCGTGCCATGTTCCAAACGCTTGAGTCGTTCCTGGAAGATGGCCGTGACTGGTTTGTTGGCAGTGAACAGCCATCGCTAGCAGATATTGATGCTGTTTACATTGCGCAATGGCTCGTAACGAATCCATTGATGGAAGGCGCGACGCCGGAAGCGTTTATTTCCGAGAAGCTGTTTCCCAAAACATATGCTTGGGTCTATCGATTCAAGCAGGCGTTGAGAGATGCTGAATCTGGAGCAACTGTGGCTACAGTTGTTAGTGGCCAGGAAGCTTTGGACCAGATCACTTCAGCCCCGGTTACTGCTTTGCAAGGCGATATCAGTGACACTGACCCGCTCGGCCTGAGAGTCGGCCAGGCAGTGAGTATACATCCAACTGACTGGGCATCAAAACATATTGATCACGGTGAGCTCGTGATGTTGGCCGCGGATCAGGTGTGCATTCAAAATGCTCGAGGTGTTCTGGTCCATTTCCCTCGTTGGAAATTCCGGGTTCAGGCAGCCGAGGAGGACAGATCTTCCACCAGCGTCCCTATAACGGATGGTCTACCACTAATAGATCGTCCTCATCGGCTCTTCTACCACCCGCTATCCCCTTTCTCGCGCAAAGTGTATATGTTTGCACTAGAGTTGGGCACGGCAGATCGAATCGAGCTTCAAAAGGTGGTCGTTGCCCCAGTCAAGTATCCTGGATGGTCTGATGATGTCCCCACTGTCGCCGAGTCAAACCCTTTGGCAAAACTACCGACTCTAGTCCTCGGCAACAACGGCGATGGCGTTTACGACTCACAAGTGATCTGCGATTTTCTAGAAGACGAAGCCTTGACAAACAAGCGGTCTGATCTTGGACCACGCAACTGGCGCTTGAGAACTCTTCACGGTTGTGCGGACGGCATGATGGACGCGCAAGTACTCATCTTTTACGAGAAAAAGATCCGTGCTGAAAACAACATTGCATACCAAGCCTGGATTGATGGACAGAATGAGAAGATTTTGCGGGGTCTTGACCAATTCGAACTCGAAGTTGGTCGTGGCACGCTTCAAGCACTGGCTAACGATACACCAGCATCAGCGGCTGAATGTGCGGTGGCCACTTGTGTGGCCTTTTGGACACTGTTGGGGTTCAATGGCGCGACGAAAGACCGCAACTAGCAGAATGGTTCCAGCAATGGCAAAAGAGAGGTTCTTTTATCAAGAGTCGCGCCGATGTGGATTGGAAAACCGGCGAGGCTGTCGATATTGGATTCGGCCGAGATGTGCTGAATGGCAAAAAGGGTTGAGGGTTAGACTTGTAGATAGCAGATCTGTACACAGTACGGCCAAACAGTCCGGTAGAATGCTACTGTAGGCCGTGCTTTCAGAGTCTGGATCTGTTCTGTACGTGCGTTGGACGATGGAGTGCATAATGAATCAGAACTGGACTTCCGAGACCCTGTCAAACCGAGTGGCTGCAGGAGCTTTGAGCCGACTTGTGCACACGCAATATGCAGATGAAGATCGACCGAGCCGTCTCTGTCTTGCAGGTTGAATGAACAAGAGCACCGAGATTTGTCTGTGCACAGAGTCCTGCCGCCTCGAGAACCCTATGATGCTGTACAAGGCAGGTGGGTATGGGTAATATGAAAAAAGCGGGCGGTAGAAAGTTGCACCCGAGATCAGTCCACAGACAAAAAGTAGGAAGTGAAACAAAACAGTGCACAGCTCGTGGAAGTTTCGTATTTTTGGTGTTTGTCGGGTTTGTCTAGGACCAATGACTGACTCGGTTAGAAGTACCTTGCGTGCGAATAGGGCACGATGGCGCTAAAGTCATGGAATGTTGTTACACAGAAGCACGACGATAGATGATAAACTCACGTGGGTCGCTCGAGCGAAACACTAGACAGTACATTGCAAGTACGAATCTGCCTGGTGCAGCGATACTTGAATCGAACGAAGCCTTGTGGTCAGCTCCAGCCTCCACAGGCCTTGACCGGTCTTGTTGGGGAGGGTTCAAGAACAGAGCAAGCCGTGAGCCGAAGAATGCACTGCGGGAACATGCAGTAGTTGGTGGGTGTGTCCGGCGGCCTGAGAGTAACGATATCCTAGTTGGTCAAGTGGAGGACTTGATTCGTGAGCGAGTCGTGGTCGCCCTTGATCCCTTTTCTGCAACGTCGGACTTGGCGAGGAGCAAGTTGCAAGATGGTCGTTGTCCAAGCGCCTTCCCTAAGCGCAAGGTTTAAGCTCGGGACTTCCAGTTCTGCCAACGTTTTGCAGTTTCGCAGACAACGGTTATCTCCTCTGTCTGAGGCTGAAACATAAGCTACCATGGACTTTCTCAGCCTGCGAATTTCTCGAAGTCGGCAAGAACAAGTCAGAATTGCAGCGAAGACGTATCGCAACTTGAGGTGACAGAATGTCACGCACCAGATCGGGACTCACGGGCTGGTGCCTTCTTGTCGCTAGCTGGCCCATGCATGGCCTAAATGTTAGCGCGTCCATGGACCCCGCCCCGCATGGTAGCATCGATGGTGCTTCACCGCCATTTCAAGACCATGGCCTTTCGCTAATACCTATATGCCGCGCTTCCTCGTGCTGTTCTTTTGCAACAAGAGCAGCGGTCAGCGAAACCATCGCTGCTGACCCTTTTCGTGCCTTTCTCGTCGACTAGCTGTGTGTGCGACGGAACGCCTTGAGTATCCTGCCCCGAAATTGCTTGCATCCGTGCCTGTTGCTGTATGCATTCGAGCCGGAGTAGCCACCATCATGGACAACCTCGACTTCACCCACGCCGATAACCTTCTGGCTTTTGGCGACTATACCGATCCTCGCCACACCACCTCCTATCCCTCGTCATCTTCCTTGGCTTCGCAGCAGTGGGCATTTACCCTCGACTCCCTCGACCCGACCATGGCCCACCAAGCCTTCCAGTCGCAACAACAACATCAACATCATCACTCACATCAACTCGACCAATCTGTACCGCAACACGTTGACTACAAGTATGATGGCAACAATCTCGACCAAAAACAACAACTCGACTATGCCGTCAATCAGCATGATCAAAAGCCATACGAGGTCCACGATGTATCTGCTTCCGTTCAATCTAATGCTATGCAACTCGCCTATGCCCAGCAGCAAATGAATCAGGCTGCTGCTGCTCTGAACCCTCAGTGGCACTTCCAGTTCCCTGCCCAGCAAGCTTTTAGCCAGGACGCCACACTGGATCGCACCTATGACGCCTCATATGCCATGCCGATCCAGCAAGCTACCCCTCAGTACATGCCTGTGTCGGCTGAGAACACCATGGCCATGAACTCGACTGCATACATGACTATGGCCGGTCCTATGGAATCGATGAACGTTCTCTCCTACCCTCTGAATGACTACCAGAACGAGCTTCTGGCTTTCCAGATGGGTATGGCTGCAAACACCAATGTTCAATCAAGCCTGCCTAACAATTCACCCACTGGTTCCTACTTGGAGATTCGTTCTTTGTCAAGTAGTGACAATGGCTGGACTGCTGTTGACTTCCCCGTCTCGAGACATTCCCTCGGCTCCTATGTCGAGGCCAACAACAATGCTGTCTTCAACCCCGGCCAAACTTTGCACATTCGCAGTGCAAGTGACTCTTCGAATGACGATGCCAGTTCTGCGCAGTTGTCGAGTAGCTACGAAGAGATTCCGTTCCCTCTGTTCTCACCTGTCTCGGATGGCTTCAGCACTGGTGATTATGTTCAGCACAGATCGCATCATTCCAGAAACTTCTCATCCGACTATGAACATGACTACCTGTCTCACTCCACCTCTTCGTCGCCGTTGGCAAGTCCTGCTGATGGTACTCGCCCTTCTACTTCTCAGGCCGTCCAGACTTCTACCATCTCATCCAACGCCTCAAGCCCAGTGTCACCTCCTTTGAGAAAGCGGAAGACTCCTACTAACGCTCTCGCCAAGACTACCAAGTCTGCTATTAAGAAGGCCAGCCCTCCGGCTCGCAAGGACGGTGCTCCCGAGAAGCGAGTCGGCAAGAGAAAGGGTCCTCTCCGTGCCGATCAGCGTCAGCAGGCTCATGAAATCAGAAAGCTCCGTGCCTGTCTTCGTTGCAAATTCCTCAAGAAGACTTGCGATAAGGGCAACCCTTGTGGCGGTTGCCGTCCTTCGCATGCTCGTCTCTGGCAGGTCCCTTGCACTCGCATTGACATCAAGGATATTGGTTTCTTCATGAAGGACTGGAAAGCTGACTACGAACGTCATGTAAATCTTGGCGTCTCTGCTGCCAACATCAAGGGTTTCTCTCCTAACGAGCGCACTGTTTACATTACCCACGGCTACGGATATCTGTTGCCTATCAACGTTCGCGAGGTCTATGTCCGTGATGACTCTTGCTTCAACATTGACTGGTCCGAAAAGATCACCGACCCAGTCCAATTCGAGGCACATACCGCCAAGCTGTCGGCAGGTATGGAGGGTATTTCAGCTTCGAGTCTTTCGGACTACCTAGACTGCCATCTCGACAATGGTTTCGAGTCATTTGTTGATGGTTATTTCGAAGGCACACCCTTCTTGACCGAGATGCTTAAGACTGCTTACCACTACTGGGTCAAGTCCAAGTCCTTAGTGATTCGTAAAGCGCTCAAGTTGGTCCTCGCATACAACTTGACTCTTCACATCACTATGATCGAAGGTCTTTCTGAGGAAGAGGCCAATATTGGCAAGATTGAGGACGAGGATAGCAAGTTCTGTGGCAAGACTGTTGCACCTGGCATGATCAACTTCCAGGTCAAGATTGCCCTGGCAGATATGTGGCGAGAGCTTCAGAAGGATGTACTGGAGGAGCTCTCGGCACTTTACTCTTCCGTCTATAGTGGAGAAAAGCTGAAGAACTGGCCAACAATCTTCATGCTTGCAGCAATCTTGCTGGCTGTGTGGGAAGAGATGCAGTTTGACGCACACTACCGTACACCCGACGAGACGGCTGTCAACCAATTCTGCAATGACATGGAGAGCACTCCTGTTGGTGTCATTGTCGGCCTGTTCCAAGCCATCAGCCAGAAGTTGCCTAATTTCATGGACTGGGACACTCGCAGCCATCACCAACTTCTCAACTCTGACCCTGCCATTTGTGATGCTTTGACTGAAGTCAAAGAGCATGTTACCAAGCATGGTGAGTTACAAAGACTGTCGACCATGAAATTTATCACTAACGAATTTCAGAAAAATATCTCCGATCAAGATCGGATGCCAAGTTTGACCGCAACGACTTTGACTGTCTGTCGAACAAGTTCCTGGCTAGACTTGTCATTCGTGCAAGCTAATCATCTCAACGACACCACGCACAACTAACGTTCAACGACCTTTTTTACGGCCCAAAGATTAACGCCACGCTATGCTAAGCCGTCTTATGTTTTCCGGCATGCTTCACGACACGACCTTGTCTTTTACGCACCGTCCAGCGAAAGCGTCCGCAGTTCTTGTTATCTGTTTTCTTGAGATTTGTTTTGTTCTTCACTTCATGTCAATAGAGATTCCCTCCCAGTGGTTCTGATTTTATGATATGATGGCATTTTCGTCCTTTGCCAGATTCTTGTTCTCTTTGTCGTCTCCCATTATCTGTTCTTTTTCATGGCTGCCGGTGGAAATGGCTTAAAACTGAAATGAGCGCTGTGATTGGGATACGACTCTTGATGATATTTTAGGGTTACTGCCTGTGAGATGCACTGAACCCTTTGGTTTCTTTTGTGGTATTTCCTTCAGGAGAGATCGAGGGGGGCAGCCAAAACACAATACCAACAAGTGTCCAACAAGCTCATCTCTAAATTCCGGAACACGTCTTGAACGAGAATTGACACTTTATAAATGTCAAGATGATAAAGATGGTGGTGGTGTCTAGGTTGCCAAGGCCTGCGAAAACGCCGGTTCCTTGCATGGGCGGCTGAAAGTGAAATTGGGTGGGAGAAAGGTCCGTCCCCCAAGGCGCAGCATCAATGCTCTCCTCCACCCCAAGTCTTTCTGACCTCAGGCTGCGGGCGCACCAATAGTGTAGTGCTCATCTTGCGTGTCCTTTCTCGTCGCACTCGATCAGCGACCCATCTTGACGCCTGAAATTATTGAGGATCCGTCAGTGTGGTGTCTGCTGCTTTCCGCTCCTTTGATTGTTCTTGCGACTTCTTGTGTAGAGGTGTGGTGTAAAGCAGTTTTTCTTGGTGAGTAACGACTTTATCGTACGACCATCTAAGTCTTCACAATCATCACCGAAAACGTTCCTTCGCGATCAGCTACAACATAGTCGTGTATCTGGGTTCCTTATCTGTGGAGGAGCTTACAGCCTGGGTGGAGCAGAAAATAAGGGAAGCTGTGAACTGACTCAAAATCCAGCAGTCGTACCTTCCACACTGCTTAGTGCAGCACAAAGTGTGTATCTACAGAACTGGCTTTCCGAGACTGTATTATTCTAGTCGTCCTGCAATATCGAAAGTATCGAGTAAGTCTCATCTCCCTCTATCGGCCCTCTCAATGTTGGCCATTGCAATACACGATACACGCGAAGCCAGTCATGATTCCATCGAAAGCAGGCCTCTTCTGCCCTACTCAGGCTAGACCATAAAGCATTGCATCACAGAGACTTCTTTCAACCTCCCATTGCATGGACTTTGCCTCAAGGGATGTAAGACTTCATGAGACTGACAGTTGACTAGTCACAATTCATCGTCGGTATATCTTAATGAAACATGCAACCCGCTATCATCGCATCTCTTCTAGCCTCGCCTTTGCTTGTGCTGGCGCAATTCCCACCACCAGTTCAGTACTCCAATATTCTCAAGTCGCCCATCAACGAGAATATCACCATTGCATACAAAACTCCGCCTGCTGGCACATGTACCACGGCGTTCAGCACCCAGAAACAGTTTACTGGTTATATTGGTATGATTCATCGTACAAATACTCTGACTCTTGCTCATTCAATCAGGCCTTCCTCCTTTCACGCTGCAACCGATACAACAGAACTACTCGATCAACACCTTCTTCTGGTTCACCGAGGCACGGCAAAATCCAGAGACGGCTCCGCTGACAATCTGGATCAATGGAGGACCTGGAAGCAGTAGTCTGATCGGCATGTTTGCTGAGAACGGCCCTTGCGAGGTCGTCCAAATGGCAGATGGCTCTTATGGCACTCAGTCACGTATGTGGGGCTGGGACAGGAGCTCGAACATTCTTTTCATCGATCAACCAACTCAGGTACGTATTTCAGCAATATCGACGTGATTATCGCTCTCTGTCGCAATGAACAAACCGGTTGACCGCTGATCGATTGTAGGTCGGACTTTCTTACGACACTCTCACCAACTTGACTTACGGTCTCTTCGACAACACCTTTTCCCCATTGGCAAACACCACCGGTGACGGTGAGGGGAGTGAGCCTGCTTATGCATTCATGAATGGGACTTTCAGCTCTGGTAATCCAATGTCGACGAGCAATACCACCGACATCTCAGCCAGAGCTGCTTGGCATTTCCTTCAAAGCTTCTTGTCTGCATTCCCACAGTACAACCCTGGTGTTCGCCCAAACAGCTCTCAAATCTCAACCACTGGTGTCAACCTCTTTGCTGAGAGTTATGGTGGTACATATGGTCCAACCTTTGCAAATTACTTCGAGGAGCAGAATGCAAAACGCGAAAATGGCACCTTGCCTAAAAACTCTACCTTGGAGATCAAACTTACATCATTGGGCATCGTCAATGGATTGATCGATTCACTAATTCAGGACTACTATTACGCCACTTTCGCCTACAACAACACGTTCGGCATTCAGGCAATCTCGCAGACAGACGAACTCAATCTGATCCAGCAGTACAACAATGAGTGTAGCAAGCAGACTAACCTTTGTCGTACAATCGCCAATCAGACCGACCCTGAGGGCGAAGGCGACAGTCAGCAGGCCAATATGGCATGCCAAGCAGCCACATACTATTGCAATAGCCTGATGTTCCCATTCAGTCGAAGCAATCTCAGCGTCTACGATATTCGTGTTCAAACTCCCTCGCCAGATCCATCGAATGCCTATCTGGAATATCTCAATACGGCATCAGTGCAGCAAGCCATTGGAGCCCGTGTCAACTATACAACTAGCAGCAATGCTGTCATGGGTGCTTTTGTCAGAACAGGAGACTCGATCCGCGGTGGTCAGATCCAAGAGATTGCCAACCTTCTCCGATCTGGAGTGCGAGTGTCTCTGATGTATGGCGATGCTGATTACATTGTACGGTACTTACCAAAGAGAATGACTATTCATATCACTGACATGTATGCTAGTGCAACTGGAAAGGCGGCGAGGCTGCATCTTTCGCTGTCGCAGCTGCCCTCTCAGACTTCCCTGCAAACGGATCAGCACCTTCATATCTCTCTGGCTGGAACAGTGCAGGCTATGCGGATATTGTTGTCAACACGAGTTATGTCGGAGGTGCCGTACGCCAGTTTGGTAACTTCTCGTTCAGCCGAATCTATGATGCGGGCCACATGGTTCCATTCTACCAACCGGAGACGGCCTTCACCGTCTTCACTCGTGTCATCGATGGCACCGATCTTAGTACCGGAGAGCCGATTGATCTTTCGACTTTCCAGTCATCTGGACCGATGAATTCGACGCACACGAACTCGCCACTAGCGAAGCAGCCAGCACCGACTTGTTGGATCCGAGCAGTGCAGGACACTTGCTCGGCTGAGCAGATCAGTGAGATGAGAGAAGGCAAGGGCATTGTAGAGGCAGGGGTATGGTATTCGAACTCGAAACAGTACAGCGCGCCCAGCAGTACTGTTGCAGCTGGAAAGCCTGGCGCACCAGCCAGTCAGTCTTCGACAAGCTCGCAGTCGACCAGCAGTGGTAGCAGTGGCACAAGTACTGTCGCGCTGACAGGAGTGTTCACGGCAACTGCAACGCCCAGTCCTTCCAAGGGAACGGCTTCTGGTACAACGAAAGGCACGAACAAGTGGATTCAGAGTCTGCTTGGGTTGTGTGCCTTGTTGGTGATCATGTAAGAAATCGAAGTCGTGATGGTGAACAGTCGAGCCCAGGAGGCCGACTGTATTCTTATGGAGGATACCCTATGAAGTTGTGCAGGCGGCACGTTAATTGTACATGAGTAAAATGATTGTCTGACTGCCCTTCGCTTTATGTTCCACGTGTAAACATGAGAGAATGGTGATAATCTTGTAGGGTATAAATGGCATGTGAAGGTCGGCAAAATCCGAGCTCCGACGATGACTTCACCAGGGCAGCCTGGAGCTCTTCCAAATAATAAATCTCCCAACCACAACTCTACGCAACCAACCTACACCGTCGCCCGTTGGCGCGACTTCACCCATCGCCACCGCATCGCCCGGGAAGGCCGTCCCTCACGAGCGGCAAGATGGAGCGCGCAAGCTTCAAACGCAAAGGCGAATTCGGCGCCAACAACAACAGCCGCAAGAGCGCCAAACTAGATGGAACGAATGGACCACCTGCAACTTCATCCGGCAAGATGACTTTCGCCGAGCGCATGATGGCCAAGATGGGCTACAAACAAGGCCAAGGACTGGGAAAGCAAGGCGAAGGAATCGTCAACCCCATCGAAGTCAAACTGCGACCACAAGGAGCAGGTGTCGGCGCAGTAAAAGAAAAGACGGAACAATACAAGGCTGAGCAAAGGCGAAAAGCAGAGGCCAAAGGAGAGGAATACGAGGATTCTAGCGAAGAGGAACGGAGAGCGAGGAAGAGAAGAGCCGAAAGGAAGAAGGAGGAAAGAGCTGGTGGTGTAGGTGCTGGTGGTAGGAGAAAGACAAAGTATCGTACTGTCGAGGATGTGCGTGCTGCGGCGCCTGGATTGGAATTGCCGAAAGCAATGTTGGGTAGTATCGTTGATGCTACAGGAGGGACTACGAAATTGCTTACTAGCACTGCTGGACTCATGACATCAAACGTTGTCCCTGCCGAAACCGAAGCCGACAAGATAGCGAAACGCGAAAGATTGGAACTGGAAGCTTTTATCGAAGCATGGCATGGTCTACAAGAACGAAAAGTTGTGGTCGAAGAACAGCAAGGTCATCTACAAATGGACATCAACCAAGCCGACGACGATATCAAGAAGATGCAAGAGATGGTTGAAGCAGTTGAGGCCTTGAATATCGCAAACATTGATTGGGGTCAAGCAATGGAAAAGCTAGGGAAACTACAACAAGATTTCCGTCACGATATTGATAGCTACAATCTGTCTGAGGCGGCTGTCGCAACAATTGCACCCCTGTTCAAAGCCGACCTGGATGACTGGGATCCTCTGGAGACACCTTCATATCGCTTGGTCGAACATCTGACGCACTTGAAACCTATTCTGGGGTTGGAGAAAACCACATCTGCCTTAGCAACCTCGAATCCAGACATCGACCCGGAACAACGTCGCTACCGCAAACAGAAGACCACTACACCATATGAAAGTCTGATATATGGTGTTTGGCTACCAAAGATGCGATCCACCGTCACACGCTGGGACGTACACGATCCTTCCTCTCTGATCACTGTAGTCACAGCCTGGAGACCTTTGCTTCCTGCCTTTGTCTACTCAAACCTACTGGATCAACAGATCGTTCCGAAGTTGTCAGAAGCATTAAGTGCATGGAATCCAAGGAAAAGACGCCATCATCATAAGTCGTCGAGTAATGATGCACCGCATATCTGGTTGTTCCCATGGTTACCATTACTTCCTCCTTACCATCTCGATCCTAAATCTACTACTGGCCTGCTGGTAGATGCGAAACGAAAGTTCCGCCGTGTACTGGATACTTGCGATATTTCTACCTTGGTACCTGGTCTCGAGCACTGGAAGCAGCTCTTCGGCCACAAAGACTTTGACGCTACGATGCTTCGACACGTGCTTCCTCGCCTGGCATCTCATCTCTCCAATACCTTCGACATCGATCCAGCAGACCAAGATATCTCACCTCTGGAACACGTATTCGCCTGGCAGCCATTCTTCACCCCCGTCATCTTCGGCCGTTTACTCATTGCAGAATTCTTCCCTAAGTTACACTCGGTGCTGCATCAATGGCTTACCTCTCCCGAAGCTTCTTTCGAAGAAATCGGCGCCTGGTACACATGGTGGAAATCCGTGATCCCTGAAAACCTCCAACGAATCCCAGAAGTCCAAGCAGAGTTTGACAAGGCATTACAAACCATCAACGATGCATTGACATTGCAGGATGAAGGAAGGGATATGGCAGAACTACCTGCTCCAGCCGCTGGTCCTTCTCGTCCCATCGTCTCTTCCACCTCTACATCTGCAGCCACTTCAGCAGCGACCAAACCTCGCGAACAAGAACAACAAGATCTCTCTTTCAAAGATATTGTCGAGGAATGGTGTACCGAACACGATCTCACACTCTTGCCTTTACGAGAAGCTCATCCTGCAACTGGGTCGCCACTTTTCAGGATCACAGCAAGTGTTTCTGGTAGAGGTGGTGTGGTTGTGTTCTTCAAGGGTGATACACTGTGGGTGCAAAAGAGAAAGAGAGAAGATGGGTTTGAGCCGTTGGGGTTGGATGATAAGTTACTTGAACGTGCGGAGGGCAAGTAAGCAGGAAGCACCAAAGAAGGCAAGATGGGCAAGGCATAAGTGCAAAGCGATGGAAAGTGTTCTGTGAACTAGTCTCTTTATGGAGACTGTACCTTCCGTATTGCCCAGCTCCATCTATAGTCGGTCAATTCTTCTCTGCTTGTCGCCTAAATATTCTTGAACATACAAAAGTGAAATGGTGTCGCAGAAGGAGCGAGTCTATCGCGCCTGTCGACGTTCCTTTCTCGAGCCTTTGGAACCAGAGCCAGCAAACGGCAGTCGCAAAAGGAAGGGTTGCGACTTCTTCATATTGCTACTTCAAGACACTGTAGAAATCGATGAAACATGGGGAAATCGAAGGCAAGTCCGTTACGTGAGAAGAATGTTCTGAATTTTTTCTCTTGTTTTGTTCATCTAAACAAATGAAAGAATCCTAAATATGCACATCATGACCTTATGCTAATAATACACATCCCTGAGGGAAGGAGCTCTTGTTCAAGAATCGTCTTGCACACCATGAATGCTCGTTTCCTTGCCTGCTCTTCCTGCTTCTCCTGCAACACATGCGAAGCAGACTCGTCATACACACGAGAGAAAGCTTTGATCCTTGAACGTAAACTGTGACAGAAAGCATCCGTCAACGATAGGAGCCCGAAAGACGACAATTCAGAAGATCTCCGCCACCCCCTAATTCCAAGGTATGAGTGGCCATAAAAGGAGAGTTACCTATCGTGCGCCGGCGCAGGTCTGATGACCTACAGGTTGGTGAATGCCCACCAAGGGTCTAGCTCCTAAGGACCACTGGGATAAGGAGAAGGCCCGTCTTCATTACCACCAGCAGGTCGAGGACTGGGAACACCACCTGGACCACTGCCGCTACCTATTGAAGGTGGCACACCGAAAGTGGGAGGAAGAGGGAACTCCGGAACGTTCTTAACAGGAACATCTGGATCCGCCATTGGCTTCTTCGGTGACAGTTCCTCTCCCCGCACAGCTGCTTCCATCTCTTCTTTGTTCAAAGTCTCATATTTGACGAGCGCGTTTGCCAAACGTTCAAGTCCTTCGCGATTGTCGTTGAGGAGTTTTGTGGCGCGTTCGCGACCTTCTTCTACGAGTCTGCGGACTTCGCTTTCTATGAGTTGCTTCGTTTCGGATGAAAGACGAGCGTAGTCGCTATTCAGGTCCACGTTGCCGAGCTTCTCAGACATACCAGCTTGTGTCACCATCATGTGGGCGATACGAGTGGCATTCTGGATATCAGAAGATGCGCCAGTGGTAACTTGATCAGGTCCGTAGATTAGTTCCTCAGCAACCTTGCCACCCATGCAGACATCAATTTGAGCCATCATTTCTGCTCTGGTTTCTGACACCTTGTCAAGTTCGGGAAGCATTTGAGTAAGACCAAGAGCGTGGCCACGAGGCATGATAGTAGCCTTGTAGAGAGGGGTGGTTTCCTTTGTGAGCATAGCAACAAGAGCGTGACCACCTTCGTGGTATGCAGTCATGACCTTGTCTTTTTGTTGAATGACAGCAGAACGACGTTCGGCACCCATGAGAACCTTGTCCTTGGCCCAGGTCAGATCGTCCATAGTCACACGCTTGGCCTTGTTCTTGGATGCGCGGACGGCAGCCTGGTTGACGATGTTTTCGAGTTCGGCACCACTGAAGCCAGGAGTACCACGGGCAAGAACAGAAGCGTCAACCTCGCCATCGACACGAATGTTTTTGAGATGATGCTTGAGAATGCTGATGCGGCCACGAACGTCGGGCAGGCCAACAACAACATTGCGGTCGAAACGTCCAGGTCTGGTCAAAGCCTTGTCGAGAGACTGAGGGAAGTTAGTGGCACCGATGATAATGACTCCCGTATCTTGATCGAAACCGTCGAGCTCAGTAAGGAGTTGGTTCAGGGTTTGCTTTGCGTACGCGGCATCACGTTCGTGACGCTTGCTGCCAATAGCATCAAGTTCGTCAATGAAGATGATAGCGGGCGACTTTCCACGGGCCTGGGTGAACAAGTCGCGAACGCGCTTCGCACCGACACCAACGTAAACCTCGTCAAATTCAGAACCAGACATGTAGAAGAAGGGAACACCAGCCTCGCCAGCGACAGCGCGAGCAAGGAGAGTTTTACCAGTACCGGGAGGGCCAGTGAGAAGAACACCCTTGGGCAGCTTTCCACCGAGAGTCGAGAACTTATCAGGAGCCTTGAGGAATTCGACGAGTTCCTGGAGTTCTTCTTTTGCCTCGTCGCAGCCGTGAACGTCGGAGAAGCGAGTCTTTTGCATTTCTGGCTTAGCCTGAGCGTCTTGAGCTCCGCCAACCTTCTTAATGACGCTGGTCGCATCGATGAAGAGAGTAAGAAGGACCAGAGAGAGGTAGCAGGTGACACCAAAGACCATCAAGAATTTGACCCATTTGAAAATAGTGGAGCCCAGTGACTCGTCGACAACAACGTAAAGGGGTTCTTTCTTAAGACCGCTGCCTTTACGGGAGACGGAGATGTTGCCACCACGACCAGTGGCAGCAACAGCCTGGCCGGCAGCTTGAGCAGTTTCGTCAGAGTGAGAACCACCGGATTCTGATTGACCGACTTTTTCTATGGCACGCGAGTAGAGGGCATCGACAGAGGGACTTGTAGCATAACGACCAGAATCATAGCGCTCAACTAGGATATCGTGGTGACCGGCGCGGAGTAGAGCAGAGTAGAAGGCGTTTTGGGCAGTAGCGCTTTGGGGGTTGTTGTTGGCCGTCTTCTCCAGACTGGCAAGCAAGTTATGCGAGACGCTGCTGGCGGAACGGGTTTGACGAGAGATGGACTGAACATGCGAGAGTGGCGTGCGGGAGACTGCTGCAAACGAAGGGCGGTATGAGGCAAACGAAGAGTAGGGTTGGGTGCGCAGCACTGCGGCGGTCAGCATACTGAGTCGAGGGACTGGATGGCCATGACGAATGACTGCTGTCTTACCACTAGCGACTAGCGAGGAAGGGGAGGATGAGGCAGACCGCCGTGATAGTTGCTTAAGCGCGGACGAGGCAGATGGCCACAAGGCAATCTTTAGGCATGCGGTCAGCGGTTGTATGAAGAGTGGCCAAGTAGTTGCCTCCTTACCTGGGCGCCGCGAGAGGCCATGATTGCGCCTAGAGATGTGGTAGACTCAGTCGGCAATCAAGGCGGGACAGCTCGAGGGATTGCTGCGTGAGAAAGGAGAGGAATGTATGCGAATGTTTCGTGTATGCAGATAGCAATGATGGAAGATGGAAGGCAAGACCAAGACAGTTGACACTTCCACTTCGGTCGGTCGCATCGGCGTTTCGACCGGGCAGATGACGCTCACTCTCCCGACTCAGGCGCCAGAAGCTTCTTCCGAGCCCGCCGTTTTACCTACGATAAAACACTCTCACGTGGCACTTCTCTGATAACGAACAGGTGAAGCTATCACAATCTAACCTTCAACATGAGTCTACATTATCTGGTGGTAGCGTCATTGTGAGATAACACTTCCGCTCACGTCTCGAAAGCAGAAGGAGCGACAGAAATAACAACAACCAAACTTGCCACAATCAGCGCTCCTGCCACAAACGACACCACCATAATACTTCCTCTCGAAGCTGGGAATTTGCCTCGAATCACATAGTGTTGGCTTTCGAAATATCTGTGGAACCCGAGTAGAAGGATGAGAATTGCTGTTTGATACAATTTAGTCATTGGTATACGAGAAACGAAGCTAGTATGACAACTTACACACTCCGAGGAAGGTCACTCCCAATGGCTTGCCAAGCTGCCGCAACTTCTCTCTATCAATGTTGTTGACCGCAGTCGTCGCTTTCGAGCCGTCTTCATTCGCGATCGATGTGTTGAGTCTGAAGAGCTGTGTAATGGCAATCCCTATCGATGCAAATGACAGAGATGTTCGCAACCAGGCCAGAAAAGTTCTTTCTGTAGTCGTGATCAGTATTGAGAGTCTGTAAGTGTTATAGGATCGTCGTAACATACCCAGCGCAAGATGGTCGCGTGCAACGCTACCCTTGTTCTCGAGCTCGACACTGCCGTATTTTTCGACAAGCTGTCTCCAGTAGTGTTCCCTATCCCCCTCGTCCTCGGACTCTTGACTGGTGCCAACACTGCCCTGTCTCGAATCTCTGCCTCCACGGGTACTTGCAGCTCTCGATGATGTACCGCTTTTTCTTCTGCGCTCGACTGGGCTCAACTCTCGGTCTAGCCCTTCTTCTGCTGCTCCGTCATATCCTGCGGTAACAGTGTGCTCTGGATCTGTACTCCCATAGGTACCCACACCTGTTCTGCGTCTGACAATTGCCGTATTCTCGTCCGCACTGCTTTCTGCTTCCTCGCGTGCTCGGTCGGAACTGGCGTTGTTGCGTCTTGACATGAAAGATGAGGCCCTGTCAAAACCGTCTGGTCGAGTGGAAACAGTGGAACAAAAGGTAACACTGCGACGAGGTTCAAGCAATGGTGAACCTCTGCTTGGGTTCAATGAGTTTGAGGAGGCCTGTCTTGGTATGTTCTTCGGAGCTAATTTTATACCACGCTCTAGGCTCTGGCGAGGGCTTGTCTTTGGGCTCGATTTCGAATGACGGCCTGGACTAGCCTTGGGACTTGATCGAGGGCTTTTCTCCTTCGGTTGTTCTGTTTCTGTAGGCTTTACATATGGTTCAAATGGGTGGCCCTCAGTCTCCAGATGATCACCGGTATCCTTCTTATCGCTAGTAGGCGCAGTGGCTCTAGCAGGTTTTCCCGGGGTCTCCGATAGCTTCGATGTTGGTGGTTTGGGAGGGTAAGGCTCTACTTGAGGTTGCTTTGATAAGTCCTCCTCGACTTCGCTAGCGGTAGTACTGTGGTAAACACCTCTCTTCGGCCGCTCAATTTCGCTCTCGCTTGTAAAGTCATAGAAGCGATGGTCACGATTGCTCGACCAAGAAGAGAAAGGCGGCACGGGTGTTGATAAATTGGCATGGGTACGCAAAGACGGATTAGTAGGTCCCGGCGTCGGTGTGATGAGATCACTCTCAGACTCGTAATCCGTCGCCGACCTAGAGCTGTCTCCCTTCTCGGACGTGGATGCAGGTGAACACGGTAGAGGCATGACTGGCTCACCGTTTATTTTGGTGGCTGGGTATGGTTCAAGAATCTACCCAGATGGCGTGATTGGGCCTAGGCGGTGATGATCCGAATGTCGTGATTGAGTTTGTGGCTTCTGATATCGAGTACCGGACGTTGAAATATCCTGTACAACCCGGAAGCTCTGTTTATAAGACGTACTTGATGGACGCAATAGACGCTGCTCAAAGCAATTGGCGGTGGACCACGCGGACAAGCTGGGGTACAGAGTGTCGAGACGATCAAAATCAACGTACGCAGCTCGAATTAGGTCACGAATCGATACCAGGAATATTGCTCTTGCTCCTGGGTCAACTCGAAAGGTTGCATTGCTCTGCGCCTTTCGAAGGCGGGTGTTGTTGATGTCAATGTCAATATGAGCAGCTCGAAGATAAGCTGGAGGACGAGGTGTTCTCCGGCGAAGGTCGACCGGGGTGTATGTCGTCGCGATCGGCATCATTGAGCAACCCCGCCCGAGGCAAGCAAGACTAGCTAAAGGGACGACGAGGATATGCAAGCTGCTGCTTATCTCAAACATGCATATTCAGACTTTCCTTTCCAATTCGCTGTAAATATATCTGACGCGGCTCCTGAGAAGAGAAGCCGCGAGGCATTCTCAGTCCTACAGCAGTCAACTAGCTCTTTATTCCCGATGATAGTGATAAAACCCGTTTCCCCTCGATATACAACTCCATCTACAAAAATGCACATGCCTCATCGCTCTCTCGAACCACAAGCAACTAGAAGATTAGAATCCTCGATCGACTAGACCTCCTTGACCCAGCCAGCAGGCACAAGGCCTTTGCCTTGACCACCTGCTCTTTCAACCTCACACCATCCATCGCCCGAGTCTGGTGTAACCAAGACCATTTTCTCACCCTCGTCCATACTGGTTTCACCCTCGCCGCTAGCTGCGTACGTGTACAAAGCTTCAACATATTTCAGCTTCTTAGCACCACGCTTAGGAGCAACAGCTGGACCCTTCTTCTTGGTAGATGGTGCAGACGAGGCAATCGAGGTTGCGAGACTGGTTATAGACGCGCGATGGCCAGGCTGGGATTTGGCAGGCGATGAGGGTAGTGTCTCGACATAAGATGCAGGAACAAGGCCTTCACCAGTAGATGTGCGGACTTTCATCCAGCCGACGCCATCTGTATTCATCGTTAGCATTCAAGAGATAGAAAGACAAGAGCAAATGGCTTACCATCTGGTTCGACAATCGTGACTTCAGCACCCTCGTCCACGGTGATTTCACCATCACCACTTGCCTGGTAAGGATACATCATCTTGCCGCGAGGCTGGCCATCTGACGAATCGCCGTTGCTGCCCGCGTATTGGTCCGGCGGTGGTGCCAAAATGCGACGCTTAGCTGTGTTTGACCGTCCCAAGTCGTTGGCGCTATCATTCGAGTTCGAGGGCGGTCGAACGTTTGTTCCAGACACGCTGCGATTGGCGCTTGCAGCGTAGCCAGATGAGAGTGTGTTCATGCTACCCATAGTGTCGGTGCGGTTGAGACGAGGCATGTCATTGACCGAGTCAGAAGAGGCTTGTGCTGCTGCATTGGCTGCTGGAGGTGTTGATGCTGAGGCTGTGGCCTGTCTCTCGGCCTTGATCTTTTTCTTCTGTTCCTTGTCAAGTGGACCGGGGCAATTCGCTGGAACCTTCATTTGACATTTGCTGTGGCAGGTGAACCCACAGTCTTCGCAGTCGAAGCCCTTTGCTGAGAGTCCCCATAAGCGATCGCCACAAAGATCACAGTTGGTAGGCAACTTGAAAGTCTGTGATTTGAACGCATGGTTCTGGGCACCAATGCTCAAGTCACCAACAGCAGTTGCAATGGTGCTGACCTCAACTTCACATGTCACCTTCTTCCTTTCAGATTCATGTAGCGATTCTTGCAAGTTGAATTGTGCCCGCACAACTTCAACTTCATCGCGCTTGTCTGTGCCATCTCTAATCGCTTGACGCACCTTCTTCGCGCCCTCAACCTCGCGACGCTTAGCGTCACACTCTCTTCGCAGCTCGGTCAACTGTCCCTTGCTCTTCATCATGATGTTGCGAAGATAAGTCTTGCTGGAATCATCCGAGGCCATGACATCGTCGTCTAGCCATACTGGTGAGGGCTCGAAAGTGAAATCGGCAGGGTCTTGCCAATTTGCAGCGTTATGGCGAACGAACATCATGGAATCAAGAACGGGGTTGTTACGTGGAATCTCGGCCGAGAGGTTCTCGAGCAGCTGGGTGGATCGCGAGAGAGTCTGTGTCTCGATGGTCGCTGCTTGTAGCCACAAAGTATTCAACTTGGCTACACGTGTCTCTGACAGGTCTTGTAACGAGTCCAGCAAGTCGGGGATGTATTCGTGATAGTATCGCTCTTTCTGCTTGTTGGTGACGTTGATGGCGATCAAGTAGGTATTCTTGGTGTTGCGCATATCTGCCTGGATCTGTACATAGGCGGCCTGTGCCTTGGTCTTGCCGTGATCGAAACTACTATCGATCTTCTTTCTGCTCTTTTCGACATCCTGGCAGACGCTGTCATACTTTGTCTTTGTCTTGCGCAGATCAGCATAGGTGTTGTCACGCTCTTTCTCAAGTTTGGCGGCATAATCGGCGTGGTGTTTACGCAAGTCTTCGCATCTGGTAGACAGATTTTTGATAGGATCGGCGAGGTGCGAGATGAGTTGAGTAGCGAAGCGATCGTGTTCGGCGGCACGGTTCTCGAGGGTGGTGAGTTGAGTAGCCCATGTGGTCATGGAAGCACTGAACGGAGAGTTGGTCAGCACAAGGACTCTCGGGACAGGTGGGGACTCAATTGTACCTCTCTAGAGAGCCAGGAGTGACTGTCGGAGTGTCGCCTACACTCAAGCTGCTCTGTTTGCGGACCTTCTTGTCAAAGTACTTTTTGGCGAGGGCACTGAGTTTCTGGCTGTACTCCTTTTCAATGGCACTCCGTTCCCGGTAGAAGCCCTGAATATCGTCGAGCCATGTGATACCGCCTAACACCCAAGCATTCACAGGTTTGAAGCCATCCTATGCACTCATGTCAGTCCGTTGCTAGTCCAAGACGACCCAACGGATCGGCAGCCGACCAACCTTCAACTCGGCGCCAAACTGCGGCGCGATGTCTAGCTCGGCCATGCAGAATTAACAAAATGTAAAGGCAGGTTGAGACGAGAAGTAGAGCCGGCCAGGGCGGCTTTCTACACACAAACAATGCACGTAGCCTTTGAGAAGAAGACACGCGGGCAGGGCAATCACGTGCCTTCATGCATTTGTCTCAACTCCCCCTCTGTCTTAACTCCCCCTTATATGCGTTAGAAGTATTCTTACCGCTAACACTCTAGTATCTAAAAATACTCTAGTGCTCTAGTACTAAATATTTCTTTATAATATTATCTGCATACCTGGTTTCGTGAAGCTGGATAGTGCCAAGGCAATATGATGCAGGTTGGCACAAAGACCACGCGTCAAAAGCAGCTCCTTTCTCACACGAAAAGTTGCCGTATCAGGGCATACTTGGTTGCCAAGCTATAGACTGACATCATGTTGCGTAGGCCCATACAAGAATCGATTTTTGAACAGGTTATAGATGACGGCAAAGGTGTTTTATAAAGAGCAAGATGCGCCGGTGAGAGACGAGTTTGAATTGAAGTACTGCATCAAACAAACAACCTATAAATCCATCAAGCAAAACAACACATATTGACAACCATGGGTCTCATTCACAAGCTCGAAGAAAAGGTGCTTCACCACGGTGACAAGAAGCATGAACAGCAGCACATGTATGCATTGAATCTCTTGAGACTTTTCTAATTCCCACTGACCAGAACAAGGCCTCCTCAACAACAAGGCTTTGGCCAGCAGGGCTTTGGCCAACAGAGTTATGGTCAACCACAAGGCGGCTACGGTGGCGGCGGCATGGGCATGAACGGTGGTCGCCAGGAGTTTGGTGGTCACCACTCTGGTGGCGGGTTTGGTGGACCTTCGCAGCAAGGAGGACAATTTGGTCCTTCAGGAGGTATGGGTGGTCCTCAAATGGGAATGGGCGGTGAAGGTCACCATGGTGGTCATCATGGAGGTCCCGGTGGCCCTGGTGGTATGGGTGGAGGCGGCTTTGGAGGTCCTGGAGGAATGGGCGGTGGACCTCAGGGTGGTCCCGGAGGCCCTGGAGGTTGGTAAAGGGTCTTGCTGTTTCGGTTTGGTCGATTTGCGCCACACTCTAGGTATACGCATGTAATGAATTGATACGCATCTTCACTTTTGTCTGGATGTCTGAACGCCACAAGCACCCTCAGAGTAGTGACTGGATGACGGCTCCGTAATGGGCGACATTCGATGTCTAAGCCCACCTCAGCTCGTAACCAAAGACGGTTCGACGTAGAAGTTCATCCTGCTCACGTAGTCAGCATCATGTGGGAGCGTCGTAGTGGAGAGCTACGCACACCAGGGTCTTCTTCAAACATGACCTTGTCCATGACCTTTTCCAGAACTTTATCGACCTTCAGTCCGCTTTCCTTCGCCAGATCAAAGAAAGCCAGATCTTTCTCCAGCAACCATGGTCTGTACGGGGTAAAGAAGACGAGTGCGGTACCATCCTTTTTCAGAGACTTGGTGACGGTCTGAACAAGCTTTTTGTGCTCGGAGTGATTGAACAGTAGGTCAGCAAGAATCAAAACGTCGAAGGCCTCATCTGGCCTGACCTCCTCAATCAGAGCTGACGGATCAGCACCCCAAAGAAACCCTTTAGCAACGATTGGTAATGAGGGAGCACAAGCTTCAATGTTATAAGAAAGGTTGATAATGAGATCAGCATCAGGATAGTCGGTGACAACAACGCGCTTGGCAGAGAGATGTGCTGAGATGAGAGAAGGGAGGCCAGCACCAGCGCCTAGCTCCAGGACAGTCTTGGATTTGACAAGGTGTGGGTTTGATTCGAAGTGCAGAGCAATCGTACGGCCAGCGTTCCAGAGAAAATGACCCTGGATTCGTTGTCAGCCAATGCTCAAGAGAAGGCCAGGTAATGCGTCTCTGCCACTCTTGGCAGAGTAATGCTTTCCAATCCACACTTGGGGTAATCGAGATTCAATTCTGTGATGTCCGACTGCGGACGAGTATACAGAGGAGACAAGAACAGGACGAGGGGAACCTACCCAGAGGGGATTGTGCCCGACCAGGCGTAGATTCAGCTTCAAACCACTTTGCAAAGTATATTCTACAAAAGTGGGCTCTTTTTCGGCTTCATAGAACCCTTCGGGCTCTTCGAAAATGTCCAGTTCTCCTTCCGAATCCGACATGTTGTTCAATTGGTACTGGTTGTGGTGAGTGGTCATCAGGATATTAACTTTTTTCGGACGCGGCTATAAAGCTTTGCATTCGTCAACTGTCGCTTCGGCTCTGGTTCCGACGAGATGCGTCCGTGCGCACTGTCTCAACTCGTCGTTCGCTGAGGATCGTCAACTCCACTCGTTACACCTACACATGTCTGACACTATACCAAATATCGCTATAGACCCGCTTGAAAACCTTCAGAAGCAGAAACTATAAACCATTGTTATAGTCGTCTGAGCCCGCGTATTGCTTGGGAGCCATACAATTTCCTGATTAGTTCTGGCTGCGCGACTGCCTCAACAACATAGACGCACACCACGTGGAAATACTAACTAAAATATGACTGTTGGAATGGCATCCAACGATGGCAGCCAAGAAGGTGAGTCGAGTGCTGGATTTCCTTCGCTACAAAAGAGCAGGCGCCTCTGACTTTCCCCTTCCTTCCTCCTTCACCGGTAACCTCCCAGTCTTCCCTTGACATCCGTTCAACACCATCAACACTTCTTGTATTACCACTCATATCCCTACCATCCCCTGTCACCTTCTATTATCCTTCCCGGACACACAAACGCTGCGCAAGATGGACGACATCCCGCCAACCACAACAAGCGCAAGACTGCGCAACAAGGCAAAAATTAACCGTCGTGCAGCCGCCAGAAAGGAAAAATCCCCCAAAGACTTGATACGCATCCAAAATCAACTCAACGGCAAGACCTACAAGTTCGCTTGGTAAGTAAATCATCTCATTTCTCTTGCCACTTTGTGCTATTGGATCAATGGGAAGAAGCCTTTGCTTGAGCTATCTCATGATCGTCAACGTCAACATCCAAAGGTCTCTCTGCTCTCAGCAGACCTTACGGGTCGCAAGCTCGCTCAAATTCCTTCTTCATCTCAGATGCATGGGACTTGATGGCTGATAAATATCACAGTCACACATGTATCATGGGTCACCGAGCACCACACTGTGATCCCAAAAAACATTTCGACAAGATTCTGTTCAGACGCCCAGAGCCAGGAAGGCCTCCAAGGGATTGTGGACATTCCGTTACCCCAGGATGCGACTGTAAGGCAAGCCGAGAGCTGTGTTGTCAGCTCACAAAAGCACAATGGGCGACTCTCCAAGCAGGCGGTGTTCCCGTGGCGGTAATGTACAACAGTCAGCGAGAACTCGAGGAAGCTATGAAGGATGCAGAGCGCCAAGAATTCAGAGCGCGCGAACAAGCCAATATGTACGCATACCAACAAAATGCCTTACCGTACCGAGGACCATCGCCTGGTATGCCTTTCGGATTTCCTGATCCAATGGTGCAGTACAATCAGTACCCACCATTCTCTCCGCAACCACCAAACCAGCTTGGTTCTATCAGTTACCATCCCGCTCCAACAATGTTCGATCACTCTGGTTACCAGCCTCAGTTTCAACCAGTCGAGACTCATCCACCTAATCAGAACACGTCGATGCCAATGGACAACACGCTGGCACTACAGCAATTTGTCATGGACATGAGCCAGCAGGAGCAGGTGGCCGCACAGCCATCTTCAAACCCCTCGCAATCGTGTTGCTCGAGAAAGCAAGCCCAGCCGCCTCCTCAATCGTATGTGGGAGCAACAACATCTCCCTTCAATCTACCTGGTCCGGCTCCTAGGGCACAGTTCCCTTGCCAAAGCTGTGCTTCCTATCAGTGCACATGCATCACCTGTCCCGAGGTCAGACAGGTCTCAAGTGGTGCCTGGTCTCAAAGTTGCGGTCGTGGTGGCCATATTGATAACATGGTTCTGCCTAAGCAGGAGTACTCCTCCTTCCAAGAGTCTCAAGGTTCCTTCCAAGGTTATGAAGGTCTTCAGGGTCCTCAGCAGGACTACCAACTCATGCTGTCCCAACAACAACATGTCCACCAGTCCAACCTTGAAGCTCCACAGCTTGCTCTTGCTGACCAGCCCATCCATGCTCAAGCAGCTTATGGCTCGATGCCTTACGACTTTTCAGCCTTCACCGCCGATGAGATCAGCCAGGCTTTTTCTGGTTTCCAAGATGCCACGCACATGAGTGCCACACAGAACATCCCAGTTGAGTTCTCGAACATCTCCGAGCCCATGCTTTACCAGCATCCTTCGCAGCTCAACGGCTCAGAGTTTTCAGCTCGCCCTCCTCACATTCAGCGATTGATTTCCCATGACAGCCGTGTCACCCAGCTATCTCCCTCGCCAGAGGCGAGCGTCGATAACACTATCGATCCAAGAAACCTTCGTGTTCGTCCCCAAGAACGATAGAGTGTTTGGCAGGGCTCGAGGATGATAATGATGATGTGTTGACGCACAAAAAATTTGTCTTTTCCACTTGAAATGTTATTCGAGCATGGTGTTGGGGCTGGGTTTTTCTTTTTGCCAAAAGCTGGCGCGTTGAAACTTACAGGTTGCTTTTGGTTTGTCGGATACACTGTCGTTTGACATGTTTTTGTCTGGTCTCTCTCTCTTATTTTTACTATACCCAATCTTTTCTGTACTTGAGCATTAGACACAGTCTTTACAGTACTGCAGACAGTCCACAAATGGACACATTCTTCTCAAAATTTCAGACAGTCGACGGATACTCATCGTGCAGTTGGCCACTCGAATCACTGGTAGCACAATATTGTATCAAAAAGGTTGAGGTCTTACTCGAGAGCGTAGCATGCCACCCGACTTGTTCCGTCATGATGCCCGTTGTGTAGTTGACACTCCAACGCAGAATTTTGGCTTTTCTGCTAACGACACATCTCGCCTTGTATGGTCACTGTCAGAACTCACACTTTCTTCGGGGCAACAGGTGGTCTGTTGCTACTGTAGTGGATCGGTGATCGGTTCACTTCTTTGGGGAGTTCCGACCAACCTGTCCTTCGCTCGTACATCATCATTCAACCTGATGCCTTGTGATCAATTCTAGCGATCAGCCGAATTGCTGCAAAAGGCAGGTGCGAGACATTTACGACTTGACTTTCTCCTGCGAGTACACCCACCAAAGGCAACCACACTCGGCTCTCTTCCTTCCTGACTTTTGATTTGGCTCGCCATAGGCTCAGGTCTAATCTTGCACATCAGAAAGACTCTTCAACTTCTGCAACGTCAACGAACCGCTCGCATCGAGCACTGTCTTAGCTCAAGTCAACTTACGTGCGAGAGGTGCAAGCTCGGGGTCTCTCAGCCAGTTAGACACCAGAACGGCAACTCTATTACTTGCATTGATCAAATACATGCGTCACTATCTTTTGTCTTCTGAACGCTACTCAACTTGTGTCAATCAATGATACAAACATACAATGCAGAGGGTCAACCATTCAAGGACTGAAGTCAGAAAGTCTGCGACATACCACTACCTAATCAAATTCTGCATCTAGACTACAGCAACTTCCACCCATGAGAACGTGGGCACACTACTTCAGTCTCTACGGGTTCCTATTGGTGTATGTCACGTGTGTCACTTGCCCTCTTTCACATGTCGACTTGTGGCTATTCAGCTAGCTTTCAAGCATATCTACCCGATCGAAGAACCTTACAACTACAACGAACACAACCTCGAAGGACCTTTCATTGCTCAATACACACTGCATACCTCATGTGTTTTTTAAAAAGCTTACGATGCACATTTGTCTGCTTTTTTGTTCTACGTTTCGATATCTGAACTTCCTCCTCGACACTGGACTCCTGCTCTAACATCTTTGTTAGACTTTAACGTACGTTGAAGTCTGAAGTGTTTGCTGTGCTAACACACCACGAGAATCAAGGCAATGATTAGCTCGCCGGAAATAAGGTGAATGACAGACGTTTGAAGTCAATGTCTATGTACTTTCATCTTGCTCTTCTGCGACCTCAGCTTCCTTGTGACCGAGTGCACAAGTAGGTGCATGACCAAACTATGGCACTCGAATGGTCTTCTCCTCCAGTAAAGCTTCGGAAGTCTGATAGTACGATGTGAGGGTCTGCATCGTTGCGACAGACCAGTTCCTTTCTAACACTCTTTGACTTTCTTCTCGACGATAGTTCTGACTATACAAACGGCATGCTTGACCCACTGCATGCTTTCACATGCTCGACTAGACTTGCCGTATTCAAGTCTCACGACCTGTATACCCATGTCCTAGACCATTTCAACGGCCAGTGCTTTGGATCCTTGACTAACAACCAATCGAGATTCTCTTTACTGGTCTCTTGATCATCTACAGAACCATTCATATCGACTGGACAATTTTTTTGTCTGACCTTGTGGACATTGGGTGCAGATTCAACATGCGAGGTGTCTCCATTGACTTCAACGCTACTCATCTGAAACAATGGCATTCTTTGCTTCTTCTGAGCACGGAGACACCAGACACATGTCCCCCCAGATCTCAACCTTGCAACTTCGGACTTTCTACCGTCAACGACCTGGATGAGCACTACTGTTAAAGCGTCTTTTTAAGTTCGGTTCGACTTTCTCCCACTTCTCCCTTCTTTACACCACTTCTCGACCCCTCTTCACGACCCCTCCCTGTTCTTCCCCTCTTGGTTACGAAACTTTCCGGGACTGAATCTTGCCATGGCACGCCCTACTACCCCTCTCTGTCTCGGAGATGATGATCTAGCTCCCCGGTCCCCGTTGATATCTCCTTGCCACATTGCTCCACAGCATATTTGATTGACTTCCTTGTCCTGGCAGATGCCTTCTTGGCCGTATTGTCTTCCATACTCCGACACGCAGATGATGGAATTCTGTGCCTGAATTCAGAGCCTGCTGCTTATGTCTTGCCTTGCACAACCTTTACTGTTCTATTCGATCTATACGCTCAGATTATGTACTCGTGCCAAATACAGACTTTACACAATCCTGACTATAGCGTAGTGTTCAGTTTACATGCTAGGTCTATGTACTTATAACCAACCCAGACTATACATACGCATCTCTTCGTACACTTATTCTAATGCACATCGAGGCAGCTAGTGGCTTCGTGGAGACATAGTGCAGGAACTGGGTCTCCTACTCAATGCTTCATGACTTTTCATATTACCTGCCTAGCTTCCAATATCAACCAATATTCTTACTTGCCTGATGTGATGCCATTAAAACATATTCAGCTACACATTTTCATAACTTTGGTACATCAAATCCACATTGCAATACTCACGAAACAGCTGCTTGACTTGGACGATTAAACTTCCTCTGGTTTATGGATGAACGACATTACCCTGCATGTAGAAGGAATAGATTTCATGCATCGCGAGCGAACAAAAAGATAAATTTGGAAAAAGGGGCAGCTGAGAGTATTACCCTGGCCCTCTCGAGCGAGATCATAAACTTGCAAAAGAAACCGCAATCCTGATTGTTCTTCTGCACAAGTAGACAGAGGCAATCTTTACTGTCCCGAGCACGGTAGATGCATGGAGAATTGACGTGGCTATTGAGCCGGGCAGTCGCAACGATTGAGCTGCAATCTCACATCAAAAGGACATACACATAAGAACACAACCCTTTTGGAGTAGACGGTGGTTGAAATGATTTAGATTTCCATTAGCTCACTGACATGAGAGCTGTCTTCCTTTCTTTTCCTTTGTCATTACTAGCAGATCTCTATCGTATCTTATTCGTAGAACCCGTCAAGACCGAAGCAGCTAGACTTGCTTCAGTAAGCTACACCCTATGATTGCTCGCCGAACATAGTCTCAGCCTCAACCTTCTTGTTGCGTCCCGACTTGATGATAGACTTGACCACACGCTCAACATTGTCCCAGTCGTCAGTGTCGAGCTTAGTAGGGTTAATGGACAGTTCCTGGCAAATCTCGCGGAACATTTCCCAACTGCGCTTGTCGTGTACAAGAGTCAGAGCAACACCGACTTTGCCGAAACGACCGGTACGGCCGACGCGGTGCAAGAAGGTCTCAGCATCGGGCACATAACCGCGACCTGGAGCCGGCTTGTCAGGAATGTCGTAGTTGATGACCATGGTGACGGTCTGGACGTCGATACCACGAGCGAGGACGTTGGTCGTGATGAGGACCTTGGCGTTGCCCTCGCGGAACTGGTCGATGACTGCGTCACGCTCGACACCCTCGAGACCACCGGTCAGGGTGACGACGTGGTGGCCTTCTGAAGTCATGCGCTTGGAAAGTTCATCGGCTGTCTCACGCTTGCGGACGAAGATGATGGATGAGGCGATTGTCATGAGACCGTAGAATTTGATGAGTGCGTCGTACTTGTCGGAGTCTTGGCTGACATCGAGGTACATCTGCTTGATGCCCTTGACAGTAAGGTTAGTACGTTCAAGGGTGATTTGGTTGGCGTTGGGGGCGAAGAGAGCGGTGAAAGCAAGGACCTCCTGAGGGAAAGTAGCGGAGAATAGGACAGTCTGGACGTCCTTGGGCAAGAGCTGCTTCACACGCTTGCACTGGTCTCCGAGGCCCTGCTGATCAAGCATGTTGTCGGCCTCGTCCAAGACAAGGACCTTCATGCCGCGTGTGTTCAATTGCTTTCTGCGAGCCAAGTCCATGACTGTTCCAGGCGTACCGACAACGACTTGACCAGTGACGGCCTGGCCGCGTGTTGAGGGATCGGGAACAGCCTGGTATGTGCTAAGGCCTTCCATGAAACTACCCATGACTTGAACGACACCCAGGATCTGTCTGGCGAGCTCACGCGAAGGAGCGAGAACCAGAGCTTGTGGTTGCTGTAGCTGAAGATCGACACGCGAGAGGATGTTGAGGACGAAGGCGGCCGTCTTTCCGGTACCAGATTGCGACTGGCCGATGAGATTTTGAGGAGGGTTCTGGAGGAGCAGGGGCAGAGCGCGTTCCTGGATCTTTGAGGGTTTGGTGAAGCCAAGGGCAGAGATACCCTTCTTGAGCGATTCGGGGAGGTCGAGGTCGCGGAACTCCTTGACGGAGAACAGGGGGTTGTTTGGGTCTTGTTGGAGATCGTTCAGCTTGACATTGACATCGAACTCTGGTTCGAGCAATGCAGAGCCCATCTGAAACTCTGAGGCGCCATCTGTCTGATCTGAAGGAGCAGCTTCTTCGGGTGCTGCGGCAGGAGCAGGCTGCTGTGTCTCGGTCTGGTTGTCCATCTCTTCGCTCTCCTCAGCCCAGTCGAGCTTCTTCTCGGTAGGGAAAGTCATGCGGTCGCCGAGAGATTTGGATGCGTCGGCCATGTTTGTGATGAATGAGTGAAGAATATGCGCACTCGCGTTGTGATGAATTGAGAAGGTGCAAAGGAAGGATGGAATGTTCTTGGTTCTGGAGGCGCAAACCGCAGCTTCACTTTGGTGTCGGCGCAACAAATCTTGAGTGACGTTTGGTCCTGCCCAAACACACCCTCCACTTACTAGGCCGAAAAAGGAAATTACCCCCTCCAATCTTTCTGATGAGATGCTGTGTGTTCTTATCCCCATGCCCCTTCATGAATCAAAGAGCAGTGAAGACGAGTCAGACATGAACATATTGGCAACCAGCGCAGTGATATTTCAGTCTCTGTAGGCTTCATTTAATTCTGCTATTGTGATGGAGACAATTCACAATGAGCCTCTCGGCCTTTGGCATGCAGACCTGTCAGCAGAGTCACTTCCCCACTATTTACCATCACATGTATCTCTGGAACGATTGATTCACACAGTCTATTTGCATTATTCACGTTCCTTCCACCGAATGGTGCACCGAATGGTGTCTCTGTGTGAGCTGGGCATTTGAATGGCCTCGACCAGACGATGCCGGGCCAGTAGGCGTGCGACTTCAGCCGGCGACGGGGAGGGCTGGACCGATAGTAATACCCCGCCTTGGCTCTCGCGAGCGCTTTACTTCCCTCTCTTAGACTAAGGTAAGTATTTAACTGCTTAATGTCTATAGTAGGTTAGATTTTACTAATATCTAGTTTCTTACTATAAGTTAAATAAGACTACTAATAAGTCTGTTAAGTATAAGTAAACTAAGCCTAAGTCTACTACTAATAAGTCTATTAACTATAGCAATAACAGTAATATTCTCTTTACTACCTCTAAAATCAGTACTAAATATATATACTTATATATTAGCTCTAATAATAAAAAGGATTTCTAAGTAAAAGTAGTTCTATAAGCTTTTAGTCTTCTAGCTTCTATATATACCTCTTTTTTAAGGCTAATACCTATATATATAATAGATATAGAACCTTTAAATAATAACTAATATTATCTACCTTTTAATATCTAACTTTATAATATGTATATGGAGATTTAGCAGCGATTTCAAGACTGATTTGAGTAGAAAAAATTAAGTCGCTATCTAAAATACATATTCTATACTACCCAGATACAGCATAAGGTCTAAAAGTCGTTTTGAGCTAGGTTGAGAAATAATGCTGATTTCGCTTCGAGTTTTCGGGTGCTGCATGGCATCGTAAAGTCGTGGGTGTAGTGTTGAAGCCGGGTATCGTCACGGTTGGAAATGTCATCGTGTATGCATGTCACCAAAGATAAAAGACCTTTCGGATGAACCTCGAGCACACGGACCATAGAGAGTGCGCTGATGAGGTGTGGTGCTGGATCGTCAAGCGTGACTAGAGATAATAGAGGCCTTTTGACTCTTAAGCCGAGTTAGAAAACAGTCGTGGGTCTTCTTCTCAAACAAAATCAGACAGTGAATTGGTATTGAGTTCAGACCTGCATCTGTATCGCAGCCTGTGTAGTGTCGGATGCTGACGTTGAGGTCATGGCCAATAAGGTTGTGGCAAAGATGTTGAACATGTCTCTCCTAAACTTCGAGGTACTGTAGCACAAAAGAGTGACAAGAAGCAGCCGCTCGATGGCATCGTTTTGGATGTCCTCATGATCCAGAGATCAATGAATGTGGGCTTGAAGTTGATGCTACAATTCGAGTGTGATCTTCCTTGCATCCTTCCGAAGGAACAGACAGCCAGTCTGTGTCTCGTCATCAGGGGCAGCCAAGGGGCTAGCGGCAGGGGCGCAATGTAATTTGTATCATGGGTGTCATGCTGTATTGCTTTCCTCAAGTGATTTCGATGGCAGCCAGCTTTTGCAGAAGTAAAGTAAGTAACTTCAACGAAAGAGAGGACCGAGCAATTGCGCGTGTGCTTGTCGAAGATCAGAAGATGATGTACGGCTTCCGAAGTAGGACGGCCGCCGCAGAATCTGTGTCTGATGAGTATGTCTCTTTTCGGTATCAGAAAGGTCGCAGCATAAAAGAGTGAGGAGAGATTCCCATGTTCAGAGAGTTGACGGATGTGAGCTTGAAGTTCATGGCAAAGACATCGTGTCTTTATTCGAGATTCGAGCCGAGATGACAGCCGCCTTGTCGAAAAGCGAGCGGCTTGAAATTCATGACAGGAAGCGTTGAGGGACGAAGTGGACCAAACCAAGAAGATGTGGGCGATCCTCGGAAGAAGAGGCATTGCGGAGGTGGTGTTCGAAGTGAGGTGAAGAGACGACATGCTGTTCCGAGAGTCTTCGAAATATGAGGATGATTTGAGTGACAAAGACAAATTTGTCGAATTCCTGATTTGCAATTTCAAGCATTTTGTTCAAGCCACTGTCCGGATTGATGATTTTGATGACATCTTGGCGAGATGGTTGGTTGAGATTGACGAGATGTAATGCTTGATTGAAGGACTCCTTCCCAGTGGTTGATGGCCAGCGCATTTCTTTTGAACTTGTCGAGCCTCGAGCTCGTGCTAGGCGGTGTTGTTGACATTCCCGTTCGGCTGTGAAGTATATCCAGCTGTGCTATCTGTGAGAACTTGTCGCGCTGGATGCGAGGGTAAAATAATTATCCCCTGTATGGATCATAGGAAGTCAGATTCGCCGACTTTGCGAAAGACGGGAAATATCGCTCTCTCAGACAATTTCTTCGAGACCCGAAAAGGAAAACCAGATTGCGAGGATTTTCCAGTAGATGATTCGTCCTTAGTCCCTCCCTCCTCAGCAGAGGGCACGTCTGACCCGTACGATAGGGTTTGCGGCCTTCAATTAGGCCAGCGATAACATCTCACAGCGTGCATTTGCCGAAGATCGATAACGTGATGCCTCGAATATGTAGTGAGTGAAGTGACACGCTGTTGGAAAATGAGGCGTCGAATTCCGTTTGTTGATGTTTCCTTAAGAGTTTTGCTCTTGTATGACGATGAGATAAGCAATCAAATTGGCTTTTGTTGTGCTGACCTTTGAGCTATTCGCTCGAGTTGTTCAATCGGCGTCCACTATTTTTTGTGGTCTGACGTTCCAGTGACTCACATGGCTTAGGGATAGACAAGTTCAGAGCGACCTGCGGTACCAGTCGATCCGAAAGAAGAAAGAAAGAGATAACAGCGACCGAAGGTGCCTTGGCCAAGCTGCTCACGGCCCGAGTTGATATGCAGCGTTGCAGATGCTGATGTGATATACTTCGGTTGTCGAGTTCCAATGGCCGTTGAGGATCCTGCAATGAGCTCCAGGCGGTTTGCAAGGTCAACGGCGTCCTCCGGTCGACCTTCTCATGTTGTGTTGATTGGCGACCATCCTGTCCTTGCAACCTGGGTCGACCTTCATCATCTCGAACCCCTTCCTGCTTGTCCTTCTCCACATCCTCCTCAACCTTGCTGGCCCTGATACTGCTTCGCAACATACTCCCTCCTCACGGTCCCAATCCTCCACGGTCTTCCACAGTTCTCGCCACATTCTTTGTTCTTTTTGCTTCCTTCCTCAACAGCGCACTTCAGCCCGAGCCCGCGCCTTTTGCCACCTTTAGTAACCTGCCATACTCCGGAATGTGCTTTCTCCAATCATCCTTTCCTCGAAAAACATCCTCCACTTCTGCCTCCTAAAGTCCTCCATAAGATTCTGTGTTGCTTCTTTCTACCATTCTCATGCACGTCACTCATGCTTATCATGCATTCCTTTCATCCTCTTTCCTTTAGCCAATGTATGATCGAAGACAGGCTCGGAGCAGTCGGACTCCGTCACAAGATGAGCTAGAGGGACACGACTTTGTCCAAGACTTTGTGTGCATCATGTAGGGGTAGATCAAGAATTGTCCAAACAAGCACGATGCCGATGCTTGCGCTCAACACTCGGTCAGCTCACCCATATCGACGTCAGGAGGGGGCTATAGGCGTGCTAGAGTTTACTGCCCGAGCAAGGTGAGCTGCAGGAAATGCTCCACCAAGGGCCATGATGACTTCAGTGGAAAAGCTTCGAAAACTGATGCGTGAAAGAGACGAATCGCAGAAAGCCTTCAAGGTTGGTATCGTAAGCAGTATCGAGCTTGCCAGAGGTATTACTTCGCCATCTACCGCATACGCAGGTCGGCTTCATGCCATAGGCGTTTATCCGCCCTTTTGCTGAAAGATTGAATTTAGAAACGGCGTTATCAATTGAAGCGGCGTTTGCGGTTCCAGGATCTTTGCGAAAAGGATGTCTCGTTCAATGACGAAGAGCTTGTTTCTTCTCTCAACCAGGATATGCGGCGTTCTCGATCATCTCGAAGTGTAGCATAAGGTGGTTGTACTCCTGTTGATCGACTCGTAAGTGACGTGGAATTTCCGTGCGTTTCGGTTTGCTGATGGTCGAGCCAGAAAAGTTGCTCTCGCAGACCAACTACCCAAGGATGCTTCGAGACCAACGGCGCATCAAACTTGTACGGTATAGTGTAAGATAGACAAGGTTAACGATGTCATGATGCACACGTCTTTGAGCATCTTGTCGACCAAGGGGCAAGCGGAATTTTGCACGAGAAGTGTCCAGGGCATGTTGCTCGCCCCTAGCACTTTCTTGTGGAATATCCAAGCATTGAACATGCGGACGCCACCACAAGTGGTCGTCGATGAGAATTGCATGTTCGAGCAACGGTAGCCAAGTAGTCAGAAGATGAGATTTGAGTACTTCACTGGCTTCTTCACATAGCAGTATCTTCGATCGTAGCTTGCGCAGAGGCTTCAAGTTGCGTGAAACCTGGAGCGGTGACCCCATGGCGTTTGCTTGTATCAGCACAGGAGGATTGACTTCCTTCTTCATGGCGTCTAGCCTCAGTCTGAGTATGTTGGATGTACGAGGCTGCTGTCCATCGGCTCGAAGAAAGATGGATGGCACGATCTGCTGTCATGACCAATTATTTGAGGCACCAAGTATGTTCTTGCTTTGCACCGAACAATCTTTTGGAGTAGGTTGCACATAACCCCAGAGTGGACAGCAAGGTCTCTGATGGTGGCTTCGAACGATGCATGCTCGGTTGAATGCAAGAAGTGCAAGGTCGTTATTGACGATGGCTATCCATAGTTCATGTTTGTTGAATCTTGGGATGCGATTGTAAGAGTATTCCAGATCCGGGAACCCATAGTCTCTCAAGTGTGGACTGAGCTCTGGGTGATTTCGGTTTTGGTGGTTGAGTGATGACGAGCGAGTGTTGAGAGTCACTACTCCAAGTTCTTTCGGCGCTAACATTTGAAGGCAAGGGTGGCGAAACGCAGGCAAGGAAGTGCCGCTACTGGCATATATAATGTTTTCCACCCCGAAGACAGCAACGAGCTAGTGGATAGACTCTCTGTGGAACCCATAAGAGACACCGTAGCTGTGAGGAATGTTCTTGAATCGTTGCTCGATGCAACCACGCGTGTGTGTTGCCTGGAGAATGCATGCATCCTGGGTAGAAGAAACAACATCGCGCCGTCAAAGTGGTTGTGTGTGATTGGATAAAAGGCGTGCTCTTCGATATCTTGTTTCTAGTAGTCTTAAAGACATGATGGACGTTCTGTATCATGGCATTCGTAAGACTCTCGTGGATGTCTTGTCCTTGAGGATGGGATTTGAAGAGGTCTGTATAGCGCGCAGATGTAGCTCGGATTGAGTCTCAGCGAGACAACAGCATTCTGTGGCAGAATGATGAACACTCAAGCGCAAGATCGATGTCATATTTCGATCTTTAATTCATTCCAGCGTTGAGCTACTCGTTCCGAGCTTTGCAGTATGTTCTGGGTTTTGTTATGATGGTAGCTGGAATGCCTGCTAGGATTGATAAGGGGAATGATCTGTGTCTCAAAACTTTGATACCAAGTCTGTGGGTAATTTCGTGGCATATGTCGTATAAGCGGCAAGTTCTGCACGGTAGTAGCGAATAACCAGTGGTTCTTCGTGGGATCTGCTCGGTCGAATGTCTGAGTGGGCCAGAGCCAATAGATTGAAGGCTTTCCGCGGTATGATACGATCGTTCTACGTAGCTGACTGTCTTCTCATTGCGTCTTGTGAGTCGAATGACACAGATACTGCCAAGCTCGCCGATCAGCCAAGCTCGCCGATAAGCGTGTTGTGCAGTGTGTCAAGCAACTCGTGGCTGTTGAAGTGTTCTCAGAATGTGCCGAGATGGGCCATTCCAAGATGCTTTATATATATGCTGGTGATCACAGAATATCGTGCTTAGTTTGAATATGTCCACATGGCCTCTCGAACCACAAGTCTTGCTGCTTTTCCACCGCATTCCTTCACTCTCTATGGGAGGAACAAAGATCGTGACCGCGTATCTGCTGTGATGACCGTGAAATGATTTGACAAGAAATCGAGAGTGATACAAAATGGCAAGAACCGATGATATGTCGATCAAGGTATTCGAGAATGTGTACCGAGAGAAAAGGATGTAGAAGCCGGATGCAACCGTATCGCAGTCAGGACGTATGCAGTAGATGCTCGCTTGGCTAGGTAGAGGGTAGGCCGTCGTCGAAGTGATGAGACACCGCTGACACAATTTGACAGTGAAGCTTTATCTCTCTCGGAAAAGATGATGTGGCGAGGTGTGTTGTGAATAGCTGACGGTTCCCCAGTTTGGACACAGCAGAACTTGTGACTGATGTTCCAGAGTGAATTGGCCAGAGGAGTAGAGAATTCTGTCGCAATGCGGGCAGACAGACGTCGGCGGAAAGTGCCTCGCTTCCTGGACGACCATACTCAAAGAACGAAGAGAAAGAGACCAACTCCGGTGACAATCTTGGTGGTAGAGACATCGCACTTAAAGTGGCTGTGTTTTTCCCGAGTGATGCCGGATACGGTTTCAACATAAAATGCGAAAAGGAGCTATCTTTGAGGTGTATGAGTGCTGTGAACCTCAAACGGAAATTTTGAATGAAGACGAAAAACCCTAACCGAAACAGGTCCATTGTGTTCGATCCTAAGAATGGCGTAAGATCAAGTACTGTCTTTGGTTTTTTTTTTTTCCCTTCTGAATCGACTCATGACTGGCTTGTAGATGACTATCGTGACTAGGTCGTATCTCGTTTCTTTGGATTGGGCCGTATGTTGCGAAAGTGGCAGAGAAAGCAGCGCTGTCGTGCGATGATAGGGCGTTCGTGTCTTTGACGGACATGTAGGATTACCGATGTATTCGTCATAAAATACGATCAGGTCCCGCCGAATGGAAAGACAACAACTGCTGAGATGAAGGAGGAGCACCGCAATCAGTGGCTTTCGTTTCTCCAGAACTGTTTTTTTTTTTTTTTTTTTTGCGCATATCCAGCCATCGTTGATGCTCAAGAATGCCGGAGCATATTCGGTTGACCATCGTAAGCGGTAAATTTGACGTCTTTCAGCAGGCTCGTCTGGAGCATGTCCGATGATAGAAACTGTCATCACAAGACCAAAGGATGCTGCCGACAAAGACCGCGGGAGAGTTGTTCAAGCTTACACTCACAAACGCTGCCCCATACCCACCCCTCCGAAGAGAACCAAAGGAGAGTTGTTCAGGCGGTGCTCACAAACGCCAAGTGCTGTTCACAGCTCACTTGTCTGCACCTTTGTCGGATTCGTATTTGGTACGGAATATCTCGAACTTTTCGACAATAGCTGCGAAGGCTTCGGTGGCAGCTTTGTCATCGGCCTCGACACGGTCGTCATCGCCAGCCTCTTGAACGTTAGATGAACGGTGATTTAAACTTCTCACACCCCCTATATCGACGTGGTGGCAATTCTTCATGTGTCTGCGCATGGCCGTAAATCTCGAATTACTTGTTCCACAAAGATCGCATATGAAGATCAAGACATGAGGCTTGCCGTCGATCATCAGACACTCAGGATTGAGTTTATAATGTCGGGAGCCGGCACCAAAGTATGGCAGCTGAGCTTCGGCCAGAGCCATCCACTGCCTAGGGTCGATTATGACTTCCGTTTGCTGACTAACCACGGCGAGATGTCCATGAGAGAGATAGTGGCAGCCCATGTCCTCAAATGAGAAGCCTTCCCTGCCGCATGGCTCACAAACCCACAGCGCTGACCGGCGGTTTATCCGCACATTCATGCTGGGAGGCGAAGAATCACGCTCCAGTCTGGAGATCCTTCGCCGAATGAACATCCCGGCTGTATGCGGGAGTAGTTTTCCCCCGATACTGATGTGGGTGACACCAGATTGCCAATCCTTATTTCTCACAACCAGGCTGTATGCAGGATTCTCGATCAGGGATTTTGACCTCGGAGTTGCTGCAACTAGATTTGCGGGAACATCTTCCTCAGCGCGAAGGGCGCGAACGTTCAGCTTCCTTGGCCTGGTTGACCTGCGTGGCCTGTTTGGCTTGAATGACTTGTGTAGCTTGGCTGGCTTGCGTGACTTGGTTGCCGTTGACTTGCGTGGCTTGGTTGACGTGTCCTTAAGTGTGTACATTCCACCCCCACACGATACAACATCAGCAACCGCACGGGGCGAAGACATGTGTGATTCATCACAGCGCAACGTGGGTGACACATTGACAGAGGATCCGCGTCTCCATTTCACAGTAGTTGTCTCGGATTTGCATTCCTCGCACGATTTCGTCTCTTCTGGCAGCTCATCATAGCTTCGTCTGCTCATGAAAAGTATGGCGATTCCGTTGCTTAACCAAGGCGAGCATCTGAGGACTGAGGCTTCCTTGTAGAAGTCAACTTTGGCACAATGCATTGTATGCATCAAGTACAGCATCTGTTCGTGTCCGTTATTGATCAACCGTTCTTGCATGGACAGCGTGTCTCCTGCTTGTCCCTGCCAAAGAGTAACGAGCCTGTTCAGATTCAACTGATACCAGAGTATCTCATTGTCCGGCACTCCCCAGTTCAGCAGTGATTCTTGGTATGTCGACGTGTAGATCATGAGGTCCAAGTTTGTGCGTGGCCATTTGGTCAGGACTTCGGAGAATGAGGCGAGGTCAGTCGAAGACCCGTCTGGATTAGCTTGAAGCATCACAACTCGCCCTTGGACCGAGTCAAGAATATCCAGCAGCTCGCGGTTGCTCTGGATCATGTATAGCAAAGTGCCCGAACTCGACACGGAATCCAAAACAAGCTCGAAAAATGGTAGTTCCGATACATGGTCGATCGCAGCCCAATCCTGATGATGTTTGACCCGTCTCAGTGAAGCGGTTGACGACACAAAACGGAGCCAAAAGGCATGGGCGACTCGCAACGCCCGGTTCTTGCTTTGATCCGATGTTGCCCTTGTCTTATAACCTCGACTGGTACGCATGACGACGATGATCAAGCTGTATTTATTGTCCAGATAGTCTAGCACGTCAAGCACTCGAGAAGGAGATTCCAGACTCTCCAGTCTCAGACGTTCATTCGTTGAAAGGTTATGGCCAGGACCCTGGATCAGAGACCATTTGCCGGATTTCTCCACAAAGGTTGTCGGAGTGGAACTCAAGTAATAGCTCAAGCGTCGATCGAACAAGTCGTCCCCTTCGTAGACCTCCGGTTATAATTGCTGTTTGACAAGACCGAACAGTTCCCGTGTTGTGGCGTCACCATGCTCAAGCGCGTTGCATAGAAGTTCCCGGTAGTTGGAATTTTTTTGTCCTGATGCAGCATCATCCTCTCGTGATGCCTGGCTAGCAATGGGGTCTGGTGTATCCGCAATAGCCTTATATGCTAACTGGAAGTGTCGTAGTCGTAGGGCATTCGCATCCTTGGGCTCTGTATTCACGGCACCATGAACCAGGAGATCCACGCAGTTCTCTATAGCGATGGGCCCACAAGACGAACTGTCTTTCTGCTCGCTACTGATGCCCGGTTGAACTTCCCAACGGACCTCGGGCCAGGCAAGTTTTCGCGCATATTCTGCCACAAATGCAGGAAGCACCTTTACCGGAAGCAATGGTCGAGCTCTTCCTTTTCCCGCCCCGAACGAATCCAGATGAAGGATTTGGCCGACAGTTCCTGATTGAGGTCGTTGCAAATAGACTGTCGTCCAGTGCCCGAGCGCTAGCCATGCGAACACTACCGAATCAACGTTTTTTGGTGCTTGTGAAAGAGAGGCCATTCGTGGGTACGGATCAGTCGAGCCAGACTCCACATACCGCATGAAGCGTTCATGCGCGTCATCTCCGATAATGGTCTGGACATCTGGGACGGGTATAAAATGTGATACTGAGTCCGGGGACTTCGTGAGTGTGACAATCGCGTTGACCATACTCTCCGAATACCATCCAGACTTGAGAACCTCATACTTTGAACGTGTAGGTGGTAGGAACCTACACATTTGCTCGAAACCCAGGATCCAACTCGCCTCAATCGACGGATACAGCCTAATGCGGTCGAGCAGCCTTCCCAGTGGCTTGCTGTAGTTTGACGAATTCTTTGATGACTGTACTGCCTTGAACAGGCGTTGCGTAAGTTCAAATCTTTCATCATGGTTTTTTCTAGAAATCTTTGTAGACTTTGCAGAAACTGGTTTGAAGCTTCCGTCGGCAGCTTTCTCAATCTCCTCGATATCGCTGTCGCTGTCACCGTCGTTGTTTCCTGCTCGAGATCCTGGAAGCACAGGTGATACTTTTGGGCCAGGATTTGATTCCCCTCGAGGGTTTTTCTCCATGGCGGCAATCTTCAGAAGAACACCCTGCTCTTGAAGCCACTCGGGATTAATGGCCATGACTTCGTCAGCGTCAAAGTCGTATGTCTGCTTAGCTGTTTCTCTCCCAGTGGCAGGTGGGCTGTCGTAATAGACTGGCATTTTGCGATCAAGGATCTTCTCATAGACCGACTTCAAAATTTGTGTTCGAAGGTCAAGTCCGAACGCTCGTGCCTCTGCAAATCCTCTGACGATAGTTTGAGGCTGGCCGTGTAATTCCTTGACGATGGTATCCACAGCAATTGGTCCACAGTCTATCTGATTGGATTGTTCAGTTTGTTCAACGAGCTGGACTGGCTCATTCCAAGTCAAGTACGGGAGATTGACGTGCGGTGAGATTGCCATGAGTTCTCCGAAAGCTCGTAGATATGTAATTGCCATTTTGTCCGTCCCGACAAATTCGCCATTGGCACCTCGTGGTGGTCGACGAGAGTTGCGTACCTCGACTCTGCCTTTTGATGAAGCTTCATCGAAAAAGAATGACACACAAACCCAGTGATTTCCTCTGGGATTCCAGGCCATGACCGCTTTCCTCACGTTGAAGGCCGTTCTGTTGAAAGGCCAGATTCCTAATGGCACGTAATTCACGTCACTACGGGCTTGTCGTACGTGCTCCTTCAACTGGTTGTTGATTTCGTCGGGTGTCAGAAATCTGCCAGTTCCGAGATACAGAGGGTTCATGCCGGTAGTGATGTAAGCTGTCCCTGGGGGATATGGTCCGTTCTCTTCGACGAGGTGTTCGACCATATTGTCAATCATCCAGGAGCGAGGGTCGTCGTATGTTCTGGCGATGGGGAGCGTCTCCGGGAGGTTCATGTCGACACCCTTGTCCGAAAACCTGATCGTATGAGCTTGGTCGCTGGAAAGACCCCTTTCCATACAGACAACCTCGACATAATCGAAGATGTCCTGCATGGGAACCACAAGTTGTCGTTCTCCTAAATCGAAGCGTCTCTCGAGGTCAGACTTCTCCTTGTCGAAGTCAAAATCATCCGGGCTTCGATGGGTGACCTCGGCTTTGCCTTTACTGTCGCCTTGATCGCCACCTTCGTCTCGACCCTCATCGCCGGCTTGAGCCTTGCCATCATCCCCCTGGTCATTATGACCGTTGCCGTCTCCGAAGAATACATCGTCGTCATCGTCCTCGTCTCCGAAGAAGAAGTTGTCGTCCATCTCAGGATCCTGATCAGGATCAGAGGACTCCATCTCATCAGTGTCGTAGGCGTTGGGTTCCTCATCCTGGGGACTTGGCTCTCTGCCATTGCCAATGCTGGCTGCCTCTGTGGTTGAGACCTTGGATGCGAGTAAGGCTTCCTCGAGGTTCAGGGCTTCCTCTTCGATGTCAGACATAGCCATGTCAGGAGAAGTGTCTTCCATGATGTCGTTGTCGGCTTCCATCGAGGAAAATTCATTCTGACCAATGTCGAGGAGATAGTCGTCGAGTCCTCTGTAATTCTGAACCTGCGTGTCGTCCGTATCGACTCTTCTGTCTGGTACGTCGTCGTGATCGTAAAGAAGGCCGGTCAGTCCGAATGGAGAAACTGCTTCTCGCATTTCTGGTGACATCCATTCCGGAGGCATCTCGAAGTCTCGCATGATGATGCGAGTGCCGTTCTTGCGTGCGAGATTGGTTGCGGCTTGAATTGACTCCTTGAGTCCGGAAAGTTCCTGCTGCCGAGCTGGATTGATGACCCCATGTTGAGGTTGAGCAGTGCTGTGATTAGCAGACATTGCGAAGAAAGAAGATGATATACTGTAAGAGACACTGTCGAGACAGTGCCCAGTATCTACTCACCGAATGAACGGGAGCAGGCTTCCACAATGAAGTAGAAGACTACGGAAGAGAGTCCGTTAACTACAGTTGTCGCTCCTACTGTTACGTAGAAACTGGGGGTTTGAGTCCCCTGGTCTTGACAATGCGACCCCGAAGGATCAGCAAAGATACCAAAACGAGATATGCTCTTTTCGAGCACAGACGGGCGAAGGTCTTGCGTTTTGTGTATGAGGAAGAAGAATTGGAGGTGGGAGGTTCGCGAAGTTTGAACAGGGTGGCTGCCATTCGTGCCTTCCTCATCTGTAGCACCTACTTTGACATGAAGGCACACCTCTGCACATTTGATTTTCTGACGTAACATCGAATGGTTGTTTCATACTTCTATCTTATGACTGTCGCTCCTGTTGTTCCTATCCTATCGTCGGGTTAGCTTGATGCATTGAAAGTTCGGCATTCCCAGCGTACCAATCCGTCCTGAGCTGTACAATCTCATGTCTTTCGATCTGTGCAGATATCCCACCAAAGTCAAGCAGTCACTCAACGTTTCTATACCACCTGTCCGAACAATTAGCATGGGCCAGAGGAGGGTGCAGAGACATCACCAGCATGTACCGCAACAGATCGATTTGACCGGTCATCCACCTTCGAGGCTTCCGTTGCCTAGCTATAAAACCGCACAAGAGATCGAAGAAGACTTGACTACCGCACGAGATCGCATCAGCTCTTCAAGACAACGAAGCGGTCAACTGCGATCTTATCAGCCATCCTCGAGCGCCGCCGCAGAACCGCACACAGATACTCTAAGCAAACATCTCCCTGGAATGACTGGACGTAAAGGACTTCAAGAATGACAGCAAGAACAACAAGAAGTGCTAGAGCATAAAAGAAAGAAGACATGGGTTGAAGCAGACGTGGTGCAACTTTTTTTCGCTTGGCGCCACGGAATTTGTTCTGTCGTCGCGTTTGCTTTGTTCTCTGAGGAACTCGACTATCCATCGCGCTGGAGATCTCACTTCTCTGCTCGACTCTCCGAATCACGATCAGAAAGACACCAATTTCGACATGAGAGGTTCGCTCTCTTGACCTGGTCAATATGTCAGAGCCAGCTACAAGGGATCGGCCAAGGTATGTTTCCCCAGCTTCCAACGGCTATCAGCGGCTACCAACGGCCTTGTTCGGCCGAACTCAAGCAGCACATGCTTACAGATCGGTCGCTATAGTCTCTTCAACGATCAAACCACCTCAGATGTGCTCGTCAAGTTCGGCATCAAGCATCAACTCTATGCACACAAGCATATCCTGGCAGCAAAGTCGGCGTACTTCAGGAAAGCATTCACCGGCGGCTTCTCTGTATGTGCCTGGTCGTTACTTACCATCTGTAAGGGAAAGCTTATTCTTCTATAGTCCACCTTCGCAGACGAGATCATCCTGACCGATGAACACAACCCAGAGAATCCAGAAGCAATCCAAGCGATGATCCGCCACATCTATGACCTACCCTTCAACGACCAAGAACGTACACCTCGGACGAACCTGAAGCAGATGGATATTGCTTTCCATATCGATACATTCCTTGCGGCTGATGAGTACGATGTTCCCACGCTTCGAGATGAGGTCCTATATGTCTTCTGGAAAGTGATGATGATGTCATGGGAAGTACCAAGCTTCTTCTACGAGATCAGTAACCTCTGCAGACTTAGCACTGGGGACTGTCGCCTCCGCGAGCTTGCAGTATCTTTTTGTGTCAAACATGCCAGCATGCTGTTCGAGGAGAGCTCCTGGGCTCAACAGCTACTCAGTCAAGATCCACTGTTCGGCAGACTCTTCGTCGCCATTGTCAAGGAAAACAAGCAGGATGTTTCCTGGCTCGCAAATCTCTCCACCCCTCTCAGACCATCATTCAGATGTATTGCTTCACATCCAGAAAGGGGCATTGAACACATCATCGCCGAGCTGACGACACTCGACGACCATTTCTGGTCCAAGTTCAAGATTGCGAGGCTGCTGCGTGAACTCAGCGCCGAACTAAGATTACGACCGGACTTCAAACTCGACTCCATGCACCACCTCAGGCTGTTTCCTGTGCGTGACCCTGATGGTAGCTTCCGGCTCTCTGCTGCAGACGACTCGCGATGGTTTATTCCAGACGCTCCTTACTTGTATCAAGCTTTCGCCGAACTCCTCCCGCTCCTGGACGTTGAAATCATCGATCAAGAGAGCCTCGAGCCTCTGCTTGTTAACATGGGTACTTGGAACAAACGCCTATCCCAGAACGTAAGCGAGCAAGAGACCATTGAGGGTTTGGATGAAGCACAGCAAGAGCAAGCCCGAACCGACTTGTTCCAGCAGAAGGTTCGCTATCTGCTCTGCCTCGTCAGACCCGAGAAACACGACTTCATCCAGCCTAAGCTCGAAAGAATTGCTTTCTATTCGGTCAAGTCCATCTCAATCATGCGAAAGATGATCGTTGACGGTCAAGAAGTCAAGGCGAAGGTCGTTCCAGCTGGCTTCTCTGTGGGCAAAGACCAAAAAGTTTACGTCGTCAGTGAGGATCTAGCCAGCAACGATGTTGACTACTACGAGTTGGCAGAAAAACTCGCTCCTCTTTGCAACTTCCAGACCAACCATATCCAGATTGCTGCCAGAATCCTCTTTCTCAACAAAACCTCAAAGATCGAAAGCATGCTATCAGAGAATCACATCTACACCGAGAAGGGCACGCCGAGGTACATGCCGCATCAGTTTGTGGAATATGCATGAGCAATCCAGCATCAGACCACAAAATGAGCGGGAGGTTGCACCTGTCCCGGAAAGCGACTGCAAGGTCTCCAGACCCTAGATACCAAGAAGTAGTGTAGCCCATTCATTTATTTTTCTTTCACACTGATTCCCATCCGGTAGGATATCTACCTTCTTTGTGTTCCAGTGAAGCAAATGTCAAGCACCACCAAGAGGGACAAAGAAAGATGTCTAATATAGTTCTTCTATCATCCTGCGCAACCTCACTGACACTTGAATGATTGCTTCCATGACCAGGTACAGTTTGTGTCGTGTTTCTATCAATCGCAACCTTATCATCGGGTTACAAATTAAGACTTCAGCTCGACAAAAAATCAAAGTGCGTGACCAAGACCAAAAAAGTGTATGTACCTCAGGTTCTACTTGCTCGGAGCCCCTCTTGTCCCTCCAAGGTTTGCCCGACCGGTTTCCAAGGAAGAGGGAGAGCAAGGACAATGCTTGTGTTTGCAATGTCATTCGAAGATGAGGTATCATACCGCTAGACCATCGCTACGGAACTTGAAATCAATTCAATTCTCATCACTTATCATCACATCACTTCTGTGCAAATATCGAGTTCGAATCCCACGTTCATCTACATTGTTGCACTTCTTCGATCTGTGAAAGATAAGACTCTACTCTGCTAACGTAGCAAAAAAATTGTAGCAAGTAGGAGTCGAGCCTACGTCTTCTCAATTACGGAAAACGAACTGGACGACAGATGTGGAGAGCATGTAAGAGATAAGGGACTGGCTGGCTATACCGCTATTTACACTATACAACGAATAAAAGAAACGACCAGAGACAAGCTGCCACAGAGGCAAAACGAAACCAAACTTCCACACCAGAGTGCCAATTGCTCCACTTTCCCAGACGACTAAGAGCTCGCTTCCTCTTCTGCCCGTTGTGATGTGGAAGAGGGTTTTCATGACCGAGCATTGGCAAGATTTTGCTGGTGTTGCGGAGGTTGATCAATTTTTCTGTTTCGACAAACCATGACCGTTTCTGCCAGACAGTTGGTTAACTTGCAGTTTGTCATGAGTGAGTGACAGATCTGTTGATCAAGACTGAGAGTTTGTGCTCTGCACATGCGAGACGATGATACAAGTTGATCCCAAGCAGCAGAGTGAAGTCATGCTTTCAGCTGCGTAGGTCAAGTGTCATGGTTGTATTTTAGAAAGCTCTCTTGCTCGAGAGGCATACGCATTGGCCTTAACAGACTTTTTGCGATGGCGCATGGCGCCTCGCAGCTCATAAGATGTTGATGTCGTCTGAGGGGCGTGGTTGATGCGCACGGTCTCCTGACAAGGAATTCTTCCAGACTATCTTCATTGGAAGAAGGATTGGATGTAGCGGAGAACAGGCTTTGCTCGTGACCGCAATTGATTTTGGAGCCCAGTAGCATCAAGTCCGGTCTTTCACAGCTTTTGGAGTTGTCAGAGGATCAGATAGCGTAAAGACTGGCGAAAAGTAGCATGAGTCGGATGATGAAGGATGATCGGCTGGCTTGCTGGGTAAGCAGCGTCTTGATTTTATGCCACGATGATGATCATGAAGACGACCAAGAAAATGCAGCTTTCGCTAGATCAAGCTTTCGATGTAGGATTGAGTGCCGAGAACAACGTAGATGACTTGCTGTATTGGCTTCTGCTTTGGTTTTTGAGATGTTGACGCCCACCATGATGGTGGTATGTCTCGGCTGGAGGGAGGAATAGCGGAATAGAATGCTACAGATACGAGATAGGTGCGGTTCGAAGGGCGCGTAGAGACAAGGCTATGACTGAGCTGTCCGCATCTCGACATGTTGGTGTCTGGCGTGACTCGCTCTCACTCTTCTTATCCTGCTCGTATTCTGCGCGCTGGTTTTCGTTGTGGGTTGTCCGTGCTCTTTCTGTGCAAGTCGCGTTTACTGTGGTGGTAGTTTCGGGGATTCTTTCGTCCTGTTGTGGTGTTTCAAATATGGAGTGTTTATTGAGGCATTCCAAGCTCTTTCTCTACTGTCCATGTGGTGGTGGGTGGTGATGGTGTTCATCATTTTGTTGAGGAGCCTCATAGTGAATCTTGTCCGTCTGGTTCGGCAGCCGTAGCATCGAAATCGTCGGTAAGGCTTTGGTAAGTCGATCTTGCGTGCTCATAAGGATGTTGTTAGTTGAGGAGACCTTGAGAGTCTTTGACACGAGAGAGCAGAGTTATGTGGTGGGAGATGGAACGCGAAGCAATCTAAAAATTGTCAGCGAATGTTCTCGAACGCTGGATGCAGTACTTACCACCAGGATCTAAGGCGGTCAGGTTGGCAGCGAGCAGGTCATGGCGCAACTGGCTTGTTCGGTCTTGTGTAGTGCCGACAGGATCTTGAAAATGGACACTTAGGCAGCGCCGCCGCAGGTTTGCGTTACATCTTGGAGGAGCTTCAGAAGGGTTTTGTTGATCGTAAAAGAGTCGGCCTCTCCAGGCTGTGGCAGCTGAGGTGGTAGCGCAATGTGGTTGATCAGATTCAGAACGTCCACCGTGTAGACCATGGCGCAAAGACTTCGCTATTTCAATCTTGTCGGACTTGCAAGTGGGTGGCAGAGCGATGTGGTTGATCAATCTTCGAACGTCTGCATGAGAAGGAACGCGGTGTCCACTGGATAGAGTATTGTTGCTGTGTCGTGATATGAGCGGCGTGATATGCTTTCCAAGTGTCCTGCTTTACTTTGTCAGTCATTTCAGTGTCTTGCCCACGTCGAGGTACTCACCCTTCTCTGTCGTCCTTCTATTACCTCGTTGAGTTCCTCCTCTTATCACCAGCCTGCTTTACCGTTGAAAGCTTCTCCTTGCCGTCCCAGATCCAGTTCAATCCCTTGCTCTTGTATTCCAACCTCTCAATACCCTGTCCTCTCTTCCTTATCCACCTTCCATCCATATCTTTCCTGTTTCTTTGTCTTTCCTTCCTTCTATAACCTTTTCGAAGACGTGCTTGTTTGATTTGATGACTTTGGAATGAGTTGGTTTACTGCAATGAAGGACTTTGCTGGTTGTGCTGTGCTTTTGTTTTGCTCCCGCCAAGCTGTGATGCATCGATGCTGCTGGTTGCCATGAATACATACACGTTGGGCTGGGTGACTTGGTCATGACGTAACTCCCTGTCTGGGTGGCTAAAAGGGCGGCACCTTCGTGGAAGAGCAATTTCGGATCTTGGAAAGTTGGGTACAAGTCGTAAATCAAAAGATGGCGGGTCAATGAAAAGTGCAGAGAGAAGGCGCAGTCCTGCAAAAGTTGATCTTACACATTGGAGAGACATCAATACTTGCCATCGGACAGTAAGAAGTTGTACAAGTTCGTGGCATGATCAGAGGAGTTTTGTTGTTGACACTGAGTACTGATAGGTCGGAGGTGGAATGAGCTCGGCGGCCTTCGCCATCATCTCGAGAGCTCATTGTCATGACAAGGTACAACGAGCAAGTCTGATAAAGCCTGAAGTGATTCATGGTGACGATCTTGTCAGAAAATAGAGCTGGTTTGTGATTTTTCGCCTTCATGTAAGATTGCACGGTCCCAGTACACTGGCCAAGACGAGAGTTGTCGACAAATCCGTGTCTTTTGTTGATCATGCTCCGCAAAGCGTCGTGGATTATTGTCTCTTCAGGTCACAAGTTTTGAGCGCTTGAGGTAGACAGTACTTGCGGATTGGAATACCGCATTTCATGAGCCAAGTCATGTCGCGCGGCGGAATGTGATCGAGAAAGACGAGCTTAGAGACACTGACATGATTGGTGATGCTGTGTTGAAAGCCATCAAGGGTGAAAGTTCAGCGGACTGTCAAGAGAAACGAAAGCATTGATGAAACGACCTGGTCAAGCTTTATCGGCATCAGCATTGAAGTTGCGTGCCACGGAGAAAGACACAAAGGATCCAGAATGTCGACAGACTTGTTGTCGGGGACATGAAAGCTGCAGGATCTCGACCCGAAAGGACCGCACCTCGCAGCTTGCGGAGATGGCGATTCAACGAGTAGACGAAGTGATGTCGTTTTGGACTTTGATGTTGACGTTGAAACCGTCTCCACAAACTTCGACTTCTCCAAAGGTTACTCAGTATCATCAGAATGGAATCATCGAGCTGGGAGTATGCAGGTAGATTCGCATTCCAAGTTACGCTTTGCATAACTTTTAGGTGTTGCAGATAGAACTCACAGAAAGGGGTGAGACTGCAATATTCTCGAGGAATTTAATCTCCTGCTTGTTCAGCGGAGACGATGTGACCAAAACGCTCTCTCAAGGATGCCGATGGCCTGCTCAATTCCTGTAGTACCAGTATAGGGGTCTAACAGGCAGAATGAAGTGAGAACGTGAAGGCATGCCTGGCACAAAAGAGGCCAATATGTCTTGTGTACCTCATCGCTTGCGAAGATGGCGATCTAACAAGTAGAGGAAATGATGCCGTTTTGGACCTTCCGCATCTTAACCTTTGACGTTGACGTGAGAACCGTCGACTTTTCCGAAAGGTATCAGGACTTGACAGTCTTCATGATAGCGGGAGGACACTGCGGAGGACAAGCTTGTTGCGGAGGACAAAGGCCAACCATAGTGCCAATGTCCTGGTCAGGGTCTGCAATCGCATTGAACTCACGTGGTCCGGATTCAGCTTGCTAATGGCTCGATAAGACTCCTTGAGCTGTCTGGTAGTTGCGCTTGAGCTGTAGCAAAGTTGAGGTCAGAGAAACTCATTTTCCAGTTGCTTGGGAACCTCAACCAAGGATGATCGCAAGGCGAGCCAATGATGGCTTTCGTGGACAAAATGATCAGGCAAAGAGCCTTTCAAGGTCGGCCGTGGCAGAGCTCTGTGAGACAAACAGTACGAAAGTTACTATCATTCCAAGATGCTGTACGTCTGCAGTTTGTGAAGCGTTGTGACAAGGCAACTGACTGACAATGAGCTCGAGGCATTGTCAACATCGAAACAAGAGGCAGATAGGCATAGAAGCAGATAGAAATCCTTTTTGATTGGATCAGAGCTGCAATGTCTTGAGTCGCCGCAAGAGATGCCTCAAATGCATGAAGCTTTCGGTGAGCGTTTCGTTGTCTTCGCGCCGAGTCTCCGACGCATTGCGACGACGAAATGAGACCCAAGAAGCAGCGGAGAGAGTTGTAGATAGCTGCAGTCTCCAAGCAGAGTGGACCCGCGAAGAAATTCAAGTTGGGACAGCAAGAGAATCATGCAGGTCGCTCAAATAGCGTAGAAGTCCATGACCACCTCTGCGCAGCGAGCAGACTTCCTTCGAGAACTGTAAAGGTAATCCCACGAAAGGACATGTTTCAGGCCAGCCAGCAGCTTCGCGGATCTTAGGATCCACGTATCCATCGTTGTTGACCGCAAAGCTACCAGCACGGCGCGACTGCGAGACTAAACCCAGGAAACAGTGAAGAGAACCTTAGATAGCTGGGGTTTCCAAGTAGAGCGAGCCTGCGAAAAGATTCAAATTGCGGACGGCGGCGTCAGAGCAAGAGAAGCCTCCAGAAGTCGCACCAATAGTGTAGAAGTTCATGTCGTTGAAAGAGACCATTGCCTTGTTGAGGCGGGATGCAAACGTGTGCAAGCGGAATTTGGAGCTGCTCAACACCAAGTTGACGAGTCTGAAATAATCATCGACGGGTGAATGCGTGGAAGTTTGAGCCCTCTGTTTCACCATGACCCCCGAGCACTCGTGCCGGCAAAGATGGTGGAGGCGAATCTGGAAGCTCGCTCTGTCCCAGTCTCGATGTAGTGAGCCAGTGTCTTGCTGAAGTTGTGGTTACATGCTTTGGCTGCGTTGAGTTTGTCGACTTATCGTTGTCTCTCAATCTCATGATTGAGCTCACACTCATTGCGAAATGTTCGTGCAGCGAGTTTCTTGTCTGCTCGAGAGGTTCTCTGGCTCGTCGAATCTGACTAAAACCCGAAACAAAGTCTGATTCTTGGTGATAGCTGAGACTGGGCGACAGCAAGAGAGACGGACCGAATGAAGCCGACTGAAGTAGAAGAAGCGGAAATACTTCTGCACAACCTCCTCATCGTCCAGTACAGGTGAGAAACGATCCGGTCTTCCACAAGGTGATGCCGTTGCCGGACATGGTCGCCTTCGGCGAAAACAAAGCTGTGCGAGCAAACAAGAACACCAGTGGACGTCGGAAGATCTGGTCGAAGGCCGCATTCCTGGAGCTCCCCAAGCTGAAAAAGCTGGGAGGCACTCGAACTGTTCTGTCTGAATCGTCAGCCTGGAAAGAATGAAGATTGATCGCTTGATACTTACCACCACTCCTCCATACTCCGAACACAATAAACGTACAGCCCACCCACCACCCTTACGTTATCCGTACAACCCTCCCACCACCCCATACAATTGCCATTTTTTTTGTTTGTTTTTTGACCTGCTCTTTTTTCTTTGATGTTTTTGTCTTTCTTTTGCTTTTTTTGGTCTTTCGGTCTTTTCTTTCTTTTTTTTTTGTGGTGTTTTGACTTTTCTGCTTTTTTTTTTTTTTTTTTTACCCCAAACCCACCCCTCCGAAGAGACCAAAGAGAGTTGTTCAAGCTGACACTCACAAACGCTGAGAGTTGTTCAAGCGATACTCACAAACGCTAAACGCGCTGACAACGCCCAAGAGTCTATGGCTTCTTGGCACGACCGCTGCGGCGAGGAGTGTCGCTGCGACGAGGAGTGTTCTCGCGACGAGGAGAGTTGGGGCGGCGAGAAGAGCTCGCAGCGGGGGTCCACGTCGAGGCGGCTGCTTGGGGAGCAGGCTCAGGGAATCTCTGATGAGGAGGTACTGCATCTCCTCTGGCCTGTATCGTCACCGGTGGGGACTCGCCTCGTGTCTGCCTAAACGTCTCACTGACGCGTGAATTGCCGAGCATACGTCTTTGCTCACCCGGGGCAAGAGGAAGCTCAGGCTCCGACTGCTGAGATTCGACATCCATCTTGTCAGGGTCGGGCTGTTGTGTAGGCTTGGACAATGGAATTTTCGTGTCCACATCATCAGCCCAGGAGAACCTGGGATCCGGCAATGGACGTTTGGCCTGCTCAGCCAAGAATTTACCACCCACTCGTTTGGCGGTTTTGACCATAGCAGCTTTCAGGTCATTCGAGAGAGATGGCTGTGCATCCACGTCTGCAATAGCCTGTCTCATGGCGTCCATGTCGAAGTCTTCTCTCTTCTCAAGTTCTGAACGGTACTTGGCGAGGACTTCGGCATCAGCTGGCTCTAAACCCGTACGAGCTCCGTCTCCAGCAGGGGTGGACTTCTTCTTGTGTCTCTTACGCTGCTGCTGTTGCTGCTGGTCGCCATCCTTCTTCTTCTCATCCTCACCCTCAATACGGCGCTTCCTGATGGTGATGAGGTTTGGGAAGTTCTTGCTCGTCGGAGGCTGGTTTCGAATCATGCCAGACACGAAATCGTTCTCGGAGATGATCTTGCAGTTCTCGGCAAGATTGTCGGGCCAGAAACTGGTGATCATCTTGATAAACTCAGCCTTCTTCTTGCCTGAGCCAGGCAAAACCCAGCCGACGTAACCGTTCTTGATGGCGGTATGCAAGGGTTGCATGTTGCACACGACAACCTGACCATATTTGGCTCGCGACCACTTGACGTTGACAAATTCTGGAGTTGCAATGAATTTGACACTGCCGAGCTTCTTGACATCGTTCTTGACCAACGAGATGAACTGAAGGTCGCCTTCTGAACCTTGTGTCTTGCTGGTCGTGCTCACTCGGACTCTGTTGTCGCCAGATCCTCCTAGAGGCTGCTCCACACCATCGACACGGTATGTCCATCTTTGCAGCATAACCTTGAACAACGACTCCTGACCGGCGTAGTCGGTGGTGATGATGATGTTGTGGGGCTCCACACGCACGCCGTTGGCCGGAGGAGGATGCTGCAAGATAACCTTGATCATCTGACATATTGCGTCGGCCTCATGTTGATTGCACAATGAGGTAGAACCCTTCCAAGAGACAGATTGGTTCTTCTCGCCACTAATGTCGATAGCAAATCTGTTGTTGCCATCGTATGCAGCTCCAAGATGCTGCTTGAAGCAGTCCTTCCAAGTCTCACGCACGGGCTGGACCTGCATTGTGACCGGAGCATGAATGAGTTTTCCTCCGTAGAAGATGTCGCTGATTGGGCCTCCGATCTCTGGATCCATACGGTGCTGTACTTCCAGCTGGACATAGCTGAGGGTGTGATCTTCACCGGTTTGTGCCCTGCGGTTCACGACCTTGTGCATGACAGACTCCAATTGGATAACGAAGAACTCGTTTCTGCCCTCAGCCAATGCCCTGCCTCTGATCTGTCTAGGGTCACCAGCGCCAACTGCGTTCTCGATGGTAGGGAATGGTACCAAGACTGTCAGCATGTCGCCAAGGTTGGCCTGAGCAATTTCGTCCATCGCGGCGAGGGTTGGTTCGAATGAGGCCAAGGCGTCGTTCGAGGCGCCGTTCATGGTCGTGAAGGCGGCATCGACTTCCTCCCAGTATGCCTTGTAGAGCTTTTCTTGTAGCTCGTCCTTCTCGGCTATCAGTTGGCGGCGTTGTACTGCCGTCCCCTTCTCCTTAGAGATGAGCTTTTCGAGAAGTCCAAGGTAGGCTTTGGCATCGTTCTTGCTGGCATGATTCTTGGGCCAACCCTTGATGGTGCGGATGAAGTCTGCAATGAACTCTCTATCCTTGTGTACACCCTTGGACGGGTTCTTGGCGCCACCGAGGGTGGCTTCCATGATGTTCCAGTACGCATCTTCCAAAGTCTCGGCTGCGTCATCTGTGCCAGCCATGGCCACATCGTTTTCAGCGTCGCGCTTGAGAGAAGGCTTGCCTCCCTTGAAGCGGACTAACTTCAAACCCATCTTTTCACTACCGGCGGCGATGCATTTGGAGAGCAGCTCGTCAACGGCAACATTAGATGGCGCAGTCACCAGGATTTTCTTTGCAGAACCCTTCTTGCGGTACTTCTTGTTGAGAGTGAGGTACAGCAAGATGATGGCCGCCATGTCGACACTCTTGCCGGTGCCAGGAGGGCCAACCAAGAGGGAGATTCCTGTGTCGTTTTCGACAAAGTGCTTTGTGAACTCCATTTGCTTGTCGTTAAGGTTGAAGGTGTCCTTTGCTTCCTTGAGGAACTCCTCTTTCATGCCTTCGTATTGCTTGATCTCTTCGGTCCAAGCATTCCTCGAGACTGTCGAGGGAGTTGGTGGAGCATCGAACAGAATGTGATCCCAGTCGATACTCTTATCGCGGGTCAGTCCTTTAGCAGCGACAGAGAAGGCCGCGTGTTGACGAATCACCGAAACCTCGTTGCCCGTCACCTCGACTGAACAGCTGACGGTCTCTTTGTTGAACTTCCAGAAGGGTCTGCCTGAGACTCTGGCAACGAATGTGACGTTGGGTGTGTCGAAGAGATTCTCCACGACAGTTCCTTTGTAGACGTATTTCTTGAGCTCGGTGGCCTCCGGGGTCTCGCGTTCATAGAACGTGATCATAACAGGAGTGTCGGGCTCAGGAATGAGCGATACACCCTTCAAAGAAAAGGCTTGAAGGCTGGAGTAGATGTCGACTTTCCACCAGTCATCAGTACCGGGGGGGGCGATGGTGTTGCGGAACGGTTTGAAGAATGCCTCAATCTTGCCATCTTCCTCTGCCAGACGCTGGTCTCTGATTCTTGTCACTGTACCGATGGCACGACCAAGGCCGAGCATACCCGCCGTACATGCTGTCTTGACATTGGGGAAGACATTCGGTCTGACGAATGCAGACCATGTCCACGGCTCTAGAATTTCTTCGCCGTCCGGGCCAGGTGTGGCCAACCAATGTTTGGCCATCCAGTGTGGCACAGGCGCATCAACCCATGGCTTTTTGTCTTCAGTGATTGGACCTTCATGTTGCTTTGTCCAGAACCAGTAAAAGTCGTAAATGCAACATTGCTTGAAGCAAATTTGCATGAACTCACTGAGCTTCGCAAGCCTTTCAGCATTCTCTTGATGGATCTCCTGGTGTAGAACGATGCAGTTGGCCGTCTGAAGCATCACGATAGCCTGCTCCCAAGGTTGTAGGGGGCCTTTGGAGTTCCACACACTGATCAGCTCATTGATTTCCTTCTCCGTGATGTTGTGCCAGAGTGGTCGTGCGATTTGTTGGACACCCAAAGGATCAGGGCGACCGGCAGGGAGGAGGTGAGTTTCGACCTGGAGAAGCTTGTTCTGCTTGACCAGCTCCTGAAGCTCTTCGTTGTTGGGATCAATCAGCGGTTCTTTCGGTTTGTTGGACATTCTGAACCCAATCTCGACTTGGGAACTTTCGTTACCAAGACGCTTTCTGTTGATGCTGTTGGGGAAGATGCGGAATGTAGCGTCCCTCTTGTCAGGTCGCTCAATGCAGATAGTCACCGAGGGCACTTGAGTTTCAGGAGACCATTTGACTTGAATGAAGTGCTTCTTGCGCTCCTCCTTTCGCTTTTCGTCGTCAAGCTCGGTGACCTTTCCTCTGGAACGAAGAAGACCAAATGTCGTGAAGTGGTTCTTCTTGGTTTCACCCTCTTTGACAGGACTAACTATCGAGAGAGTGTAAGGCTGCTTGCTGCGGAATTTCTTGAACTCGACCGGGACGTCTTCTTGTCTGAAGTCACCAGTGACGGCCGCGGTCTGATCGTCGGGCTTTTGCAAGGAGCGCTTCATCTCGTCGGTCAAAGTCGTTCTGATGGTCTGGCCCTTGCTGAGCTTGGGAGGAGTGGCGTCGCCATCGGGTTCGGAATCAGAATCATTGTTATTGAAAAGATCCTCATCGATGAGATCCTCGAACTCGATGTCAATGTCATCGACAATAACATCATCAGTCCTGATGGGAACTGGGGAGGTGGTGCAAGAAGCAGACATTGCTAAAAGCGAAGATATACTGTAAGAGACACTGTCGAGACAGTGCCCAGTATGAAATACCTAACGTTTGACCGAAAGGTATGCTCCTACGGTGAAGTAGAAGACTACGGATTTGAGTCCCGTTGACTACAAAGCTGACCACAAAGGGTCGGCGGGGAGGGTTTATACGTACCTCCTGCTAGCTATGCGCGTAGCAGGGAGACCAGAGAGATGCGCAAAAAAAATGCGCAGGCGAAAGGGCGGTGTTGGTGCGCTAAGAAGAGAGGATGGTTTGGAAGCGCAGAAGCGGCTTTGTGGTGGACGGAACCGCGCAGACGCACAAGCGCAGCCACGGAACTTCACTTCACTTTTTTACAACCATCTACCTTTGCTGATTTCCAGATCTGGACGAGTGCTAAGAGCAAGAACCAGAAACTCCAAGCAGATTACATGCTGCTTAACTTTTACCTGGAAGAAAAAGACACCCGATAGTTGAACCTACTACACAGCTATAGGCGGTATATGGGCATCGATGTCCCAAATTCCACTCCCGTTGCCCAAGTAGACTTTACAGAAAGAGATGCATCACCTTGTTCTACGTCCTCATCGAGATACGTGGGTTGCCTGCTCTTGGGTGCCCGCCTGTATGGGAACCAATCCGCAATGAGTCCAACGATGGCAACCAGCTGGACACAAAGCAATTCGCTCACAAGACGCACAATTTTCACCGACAGACCTTTGTTCATTTTCTTTGACGAAACTTGTACATCGTGTACAATCAAACATTCGCACAGTTCGACCAAACGTCTCTTACGCGAGTCCACGTTTCCCAGGAAGACTTCCAGATACCTGAGATTGAATTTGAGAGCCGCCGAATGATTTGTTCAGATCTATGACTGATTGCTGACTTGAGGGGTTTGTCCATGTAGTTCCAATGCCACCATAGTGCTGGCCACTGAATCCTGCTGGCCAAAAGATCGTACTCGGATTCTCTGCCGCACGCAATATTGACTGCACGCTGAAGATACATCGGCCAGGCCTTAGCGATAAATTGATGTCAACGTTGGAAAACGATCCGCCATGTTGTTCGATCATGCCTTGAGGCATAGTTGCCAATACGTATCGGTATAGAGGAGAGGACATGCGAAATATATTGACAGCTACTTGAGAATGCCAGATTCGACGAGGCTCTCCTTGGATAGCCCCAATGATGATGTATGCATCGTGCCTTCACATGGGTCCATTCTCGGGCTCGATCGGTGAGGGGGAAAGGCCCTTGTGTCAAATCTGCGGTGTGCGTGTTACCCCTAATGTTTCTTGAAACTCTTTTTCCTCCAACACAAGAGGCGATGGTCTAGCGGAATGATACTGCACTTCTACTCGCTGCTGTGGAAGGGTTCATGGATAGTCATTAAGTTGGCGCCCTACCCACAGTAGTTTGAAGCTGCAGAGACCTGAGTTCAGCTCCCAGTTGCCTCATTCTTTTCTTTCACTGAAAGCATATCCTATCTCAGGCATCTGGTGGATTTGGTTTCGATCATGATGCGAGGTGACACTGGCCTTTCTCCAGGATATCCAACCAACATTGCCTTTCTCCAAGGTAGGCAGAGAATCAAAGATCAACCAGCTCTCCTCTGAGGCAGCTGATAAGAATCCGAAATCGTGAGGTGCGACAAGCAAGGAGGGAGGTGCATAAATTCTGAGGTTGCGGAGGTCGAGCGCCAAGCACCGAAGCCCGTCGTCCTTCGTCTTTACCAAATTATTATCGGCCCAACACAACATCAGCTCACCTCGCCGCCATACACCATGCAAATGTTCGAGGCACCGAGGAACGCAGGAACCCTGTGTCAGTTGATTTCCTATCAGTACGCTCAAGATAGACATTCGCTGACGTCTTTTCCAAACAGTCCTGGGCGGAACAAAAATCAGCGGATCAGACGTACGAGACCAATGCGTGCAAGCAACCCAAGCGATATCGAATGTCGTGCGGTCATCCTTTGGACCCAGTGGACTGGACAAGATGATGGTCGACGACATTGGTGACGTGACAGTTACCAACGACGGTGCAACCATTCTCTCCCTGCTCGACATCTCCCACCCCGCCGGCAAGATTCTGGTAGACCTGGCCCAACAACAAGATAAGGAGGTTGGAGATGGAACAACATCAGTCGTGCTCATCGCCTCAGAGCTGCTGCGCCGCGCCAACGAGTTGATGAAGATGCGCATCCACCCCACAACCATCATTACTGGATACCGCCTGGCCCTGCGTGAGGCTGTCCGTTACATGAGCGAGAACATTGCCACCAAGGTTGATACTCTGGGTCGCGAGTCGCTCATGTCCATTGCAAAGACCAGCATGAGCAGCAAGATCATCGGTGCCGACTCAGACTTCTTCGCTAACATGGTTGTCGATGCCATGCAGAGCGTCAAGACTATCAACAGCCGCGGCGATGTCAAGTACCCTGTCAAGGCCGTCAACGTCCTCAAGGCCCACGGAAAGAGTGCTACAGAGAGTGTCCTGGTCAAGGGTTACGCCCTCAACTGCACCGTCGCCAGTCAAGCCATGAACACCCGTATCGTTGACGCAAAGATCGCCTGTCTTGACATGAACTTGCAGAAGGAGCGCATGAAGTTGGGCGTACACATCACTATCGACGACCCAGCACAACTCGAGAAGATCCGTGAGCGTGAGGCTGGTATTGTCTTGGAGCGTGTCGACATGATTCTCAAGTCTGGCGCCAACGTCATCTTTACCACAAAGGGTATCGACGACCTGTGCTTGAAGTCTTTCATCGAGAAGGGTGCCATGGCTGTTCGTCGTTGCAAGAAGGAGGATCTCCGACGTATTGCAAAGGCCACCGGTGCCACCCTTGTCAGCTCCCTTTCCGACTTGAACGGTGACGAGAAGTTCGAGGCCAGCAACCTTGGTCACGCCGAAGAGGTTGTCCAGGAGCGCATCTCCGACGATGAGTGTATCCTTGTTAAGGGTACCAAGGTTCACACTTCCGCTTCAATCATCCTCCGCGGTCCCAACGAGTACTCGCTCGACGAGATGGAGCGCTCTGTTCACGACTCGCTTTCTGCTGTCAAGCGTACTCTGGAGAGTGGCCGTATTGTTCCTGGCGGTGGTGCCGTCGAGACTGCCCTGCACATCTACCTCGAGGAGTGGGCTACCTCGGTCGTACGTATCCTATCTGTAAATTCTATTTGATTCGTTGCTAACTCGACATACAGGGCTCTCGCGAGCAACTCGCCATCGGCGCATTCGCGCAATCCCTTCTTATCATCCCCACCACCCTCGCCGTCAACGCCGCAAAGGACAGTTCAGAACTCGTTGCCCAACTCCGCAGCCGCCACGCCCTGTCACAACGCCTCTCTGCCTCGGAAGGTGGCAGCGGCGACGCACACACCGCAGCTACCGTACAACCCGCCACCGAAGACGAGAAATCGCTTGCCAAGAAGAAGAACTACAAGAACTACGGTCTGGACCTCACCAAGGGTCGCGTTGTCGACAGCTTGAAGATGGGTGTTTTGGAGCCCGCCATGAGCAAGGTCAAGCAGTTGAAGAGTGCTGTCGAGGCCTGTGTGGCCATTATGAGAATCGACACGATGATCAAGCTCGACCCCGAGAACCAGGGTGGTGATGATGGTCACGGTCACTGAGGAGAGTAACCAAAAAGCATGTGTAAAAATACCACGGATTCCCGATTTTTTCTGCGAAACATTGAATGAAAGATACCATTAGACGTACAACAAAACGCCTTCGTTTGCGACTATGTCATGAATTGTCTGGTGTAAGATATTGACCATGAATCAGGTCCCACATATCTCGAATCCTTCCGTCCGTAAACCTTATACAACTCATCGTGATCTCCAAGTCTCTTAGCGAAGCTATCCTAAACAGCAACAAACCACAGTCGATACAGCAGAACATACAGAACAATTGCCTCACCATGTCTGAAAACAAAAACTCACCTCAACTCCTCCTTTTGTACACTCTCTTCGCAGCTACCATCTACCTACCACGCCTAACCACACATCTGAACACGCCGGTTACTGCCTCTTTGGTTTCTCACCTCATCATCTCTGTGGTATTTTGGAGCACACTGACTTTCATAATGATTGATGTTCTCCACGACATATCCAAAGTCTTGGGGTGGATATCACGACCGGGTTTTGACTTCGACCTTTCCGATCACATACGTGCTCAGTGGCAACTTCCCGGATCAGAAGGAAACGGATTCTGGATCAAGTTGGGTATCAGCGCAATTATGGGTGTCTGGTCTACATTCAACATATTCTTCAGTACCGCAAAACCACAAGCCACAGACTGGGAAGCAGCAAAACGCAACATCGCAGCAAGAAGAGAAGCACAGAAAGTCGCTGCTGCAGAGCAAGGAGGCGTATTAACAGCCGAGGATACTGGAATTGAACCTGCGTGGATAACTGTGTGGTTATGGGTTGGTTGTGCTTATGCATACGCCAATGCCATATTCGATTCGAGAGAATGGTTTTTGAGTATGCTGAAAGGCGGTGTAAAGATCGAAAGAACTATAGAATGGCAGTGGGTGTGTCTTTGTGCCCCAGTGCTTATTTCTGCTCTCGTGGGTTTTGCTAGGTGGAGATGGAGTGTTACAACAAATACCAGAGTGATCAATGTGAGAAACATCGAGAAGAAGGAATTGGGCCATGAATCAGGTGCCAATATAGCATGAATCCTTCAGCTCGTAACTCGTATACGAGATCGTATTCACTTTCATCATTCAAAAGCTTTCTGCCACAACTCGTTCTCCAACTTCCTAAAAGCAAAACCGACAACTTCTGCACACCTCGTTCCCTGCCATCCTTTTACAATTGTAGAATGGCGCGAAACAAAAATGGCCCACCACAATTACTCCTCTTCTACAACATGGTCGCAGCCCTCCACTTCGGGCCAAGACTATACACCTACCTACAACTCCGACCTTCCACCTCCTTAATCCTACACACAACCACAATAGCCTTTTTGATCAGCGCAATTGCTTTTATAGCCATTGACGCGTCCCTGGGCATTTCCCGCGTAACCTACAAATTACTCGGATTCCTGTTGCGATACTTCCTAGACTATCATGTCGACACTTCCATCGCTGAACATTGGAAACTGTCTGATTTGACAGAATGGTTGCTTGGAGTTGTGATAGGTATCGGCGCGATTGTCTGCATGATTAAAATCAAAGCAGGTGGTTGGGAAAACGCAAAACGCAATGTTGCAAGGACCCACAAAGCCCAGACGAAACCTTCAGCAGCAAAAGACTTGGGTACTGCAGAAAGAGGAGGTGTGCCCAAGCAAGATGATCACGAACCTTGGTTTCTGTGGGGTTGTTGGGCTTATATGTACTCCAGTGCTGTGTTCGAGTCCAAGGATTGGTTTAAATCGGTGATTCGTGGTCAGGATGTGTCACAGCCCAGAGGAAGGGAAACCGAGTGGGTGTCTCTGTTTGGACCGATGGTGATTGCAGTGGCGGTAGGTCTTGCCAGACGGAGATTGATTGCGAAGACTAGAAGGGTACAAGTGGAGGAGAAGGAAAACGTTGGTGAAGAAGGAGCGACTGTCACAGAGAAGCAGTAGATCTGCACATAGAAATTAAGAAGCGTCGATGAAAGCTTCAAGGCGCTTGCCTATATATTCAAGACCATCTACCATCCACCACCAATAGTGCTGGCAAGACCAGCCACTCTTTCCACATCAGTGGTCTTTCCAACATCGCTCTCAACCTTGCGGTAAGAGGTATATACTAGTTTGTCTGTCGCTATGCCTGTGAGCTCAGACCAATGCGAGAAGATATCCTTGATCTGCGAGTGCGATATACCATCAACCAATGAAGCATCCTCTGCATCCTCCATCTCAACATCACCATCAGCAGAAGACTTTGCCGTTGTAGCTGCTGACGCAGAATCTACATCTTCAACGCCTTCGTCCTCTGTATCTGAGGGTGATGGCGATGATGATGCAGACGATGACGAGAAATATGCTTCATCCACTTTTTGCAGCCACTCCTTTTGTTGAGGAGCAACCTCCTGGTCGCCTCCGTTCTCTACACCACTGCTTCGTAGAGCTCCAACATCTCCGACCTTTATTTGGCCACCACCGTTTGTGCAGCCACCAGGACATGCCATAACTTCCACATAAGCGTATTCATTCATATTCTGACCTCCCGCCGATCCTGCAGCTGCACCAGGCTTACGAGCACCAGCAAGTCTGTTTGCTGCACCTGGCATACGAGAAGCGCGTGCAGGCTTAAGCCGGCGGACCAAGTTCTGAATATTGCGGAAACCATAGTATCGAGCAGATCTCACAATGGCAGCGTTTTCTGAGTCAACCAAAGTGTATTCCACAACATCAGCATTGCGGCCTCGCTGAACAGTGATTTGACTTCCTGGATGTTGTGCGCGATACGTTTGCATGACATGCCATAGATATCCACCGCTGGTACCAGCATCTCGCGTGCCATTACGAGTAGTGGTGGCAGGAAAAAGGAAACGATCCAGTTTGGCGTCCGGGAAAGGCGTACGATGTTGCCTTGCAAGAGGCTTCTGTGGCAGTTGAGGGAAGGAAATGCCACGACTCTCTGCAAGCATGAGTAGCTCGCGAGCAGTGATTACACAATCGACGTCGCGTATGCCCTTGCGTTCAATGTTTGTACCATCGGGAGACCAATGCATATCTGTCAATTCTTCTCTTGATGCCTCCAGCTTTTTGTCGAAACAAGGCATGATTGCCATATGCCAAACATTTTCCGGGTTGACTCCGTATTTCCTTGCGAGCACGCTCTTAATCAATGTGCCTGTCAAGGCTTGTGGTGACTTCAATCGCGACATGTGGGGCAGTGCGTGAGGGTGAGTCTTCTCGGCGTAACAGATCCAGCCAGGGCAGGCAGAGGCAAGGATGGGCTTCTTTGGCTTTTCGGCGCGCGAACCACTAAAGTCTGACGTGTGTTTGGCTGTGGGCGCTAGAGATTCCATGACTTCGTCGGCTGCAGCGACCAGAGCAGCCTGACGCATAACGTTGGTATCAATGACCCAAGCGAAGCCACTGTTGTTTGCGCCGCCCAATCGCAGACCAGCCGGACCAGACAGAAGTTGTTGAATCATGTTCGTAGCAGCGACCTCAGAGACACCATATGTCGCAGCAATACTGGCGCGAGTCTGAGGCGACACACTTGCGACAAAGATCTTGCCATCCGAGGGACCTGGTAGAGACTCGCCTGGAGCAGTCCAGGGCAAGCGTAGTTCAGGATATGCTTCGAGTGTATTCAAGACTTCTTGATGCGATTGCAGACTGACGAGGACGGCCTCTGCTGAAGTAACGCAACCACTACATGCGAGACAATCGGTCAGGGATATAGTGGCTGGTGGGGCTTCGGCGGCAGCGATCTTGTCCTCGGTCGTGACTTCGTAGGCATTTTCTTGAGGTTGTTGTTTTGGGAGGGTTTCTACGGGCTTGATACAGGCGACACCGGGGGAGATGAAGTCGTTGAGGTCGTCAGCGGATAAGATGGCCGACATGTTTGCGATTCTTTTGTATGTGGCGGGGGTCGTGAAGGCGGGGTGTTGAGACTATAGGTACAATGCTTTGAAGGAAAAGACAAGGAGCAGCGGGAAATGCTAATGGGGAAAGAACGACGCTCGGAAAAGCAGAGTCATAGAAATACAAATGTCAAGTAATAATGGCAATAAGGGCGGAGAAGGAAAGAGCGATAGGGAAAATAATTCAGTTGGTCAGCATTGCAAATGGAAACCACTGACGGAATCGGCAGTGGCTCGCGAGTCTGTCGGCCGTTGTCGCCGCGCGCCTTCTCCGCCGACCGGAAGTTGTTGCCAAGCCCGCTCTAGCATCCATCTTTCTTTGCGCATACCTGCAGTTGTCGACAATACTCATCACACACCGCACCGCAATCATGTCGCAACAACAGACCAACAACACTACTGGCTTCCAGATCACAAACCAAAACACCTTCGAGGACACCAACCGCAGCGTCAAGTACCTGTGCGGTGACTGCGATGCCGAAGTTGCTCTCAAGCGCGGTGATCCCATCCGTTGCAAGGAGTGCGGTTACCGTGTTCTTTACAAACAGCGCACCAACCGGTATGCTTTCTCCTGATCGAGCTGCAATTCTTCACTTACTGACCCTTGTCGCAGCATGATCCAATTCGAGGCCCGCTAAAAGATTCATCCGCCGATACTACAAAATCTTCTCGCGCACCACAATACGCGCCCTTCTCAGTCCCAACTGCGCCAACATGGCGATCTCGAACCTTCGACACATCCAGCTCGACCCGCGCATCCCGCCCATCGAGTTACCGTGCTAAAGCGACAATGAGCTCTTAGCCCATTCCACCCACCCATTCGGCGTTTATCTCTGAGGAACAAAATACCATTTTCACGAGCGCGGCGTTCTATTGCGACTGGTAACATTCTATTCTGGTTTGAAAGGTGGTTGAAAGAAGGGAAAATGGGATGCGGACGCCTTATGCTTGGACAAGCTATTGATAAAGCAATCAATCACGAATTCAATTTCTTTGAAGAACATGTGTCTCAGACTGTAGATCTGTGCTGGTAGAATACGATAAGTGAAATATGTACAAAGGCTATGCTTGGTTACATCTATGAGAAGAGAGTCAATCCAGGTCGAAGACCTCGGCTTCTTTTCAGACTGATACAAGTATTGCAACGAATCAACAACGCATCGCTGTCGGCTGCGGTCATGGGTATATCGCGTCTGGAAACAAATGCAAAAGAGAGTGTGCAGTAAACAACAAAAAACAAAAGAAACAAAATCAAACTATGCTATCACAATTTGGATATATTCAATCAACAAAGACATAGGAAAATATCGCCCTCGACAACATACACATCCAGCTCTTTCAAAAAGGCATTGGCCAAAAGGCATGACCTACATTGCCTCTAGCTCGTTGGCCAGACTTCTGCCGACCAGCTCCTCGGCGGTTTGATCGCGAGGACTTTGGGCTTCATCGTCCATGTTGACAATTCTCTGCTCTTCCTCATCATCAGCTCCAATGCCAGTATCGATATCGCCGAGCTGTGCATCTTCATCATAGCTTTGACGTCTGAAGACCATAGGGCTCACTTCGCCCACCTCGTGAGCTTTGGTGTCAAAGTAGCTCATCTTGGTCTCGGCTTGCTGTGCGTTATCAGAGAAGCTGGAGCTCGAGCGCTGTGATCCACTAGGCACCTCAGCTGGACTAGGAGTGCGGCGGAAGTTTGTGGCGGGAGGGGTCATGAGACCGGATAGGACGGACGGTGATGGTAGAGGTGCTGGCTTAGAAGGTGTTTGCGTGCGGCCATCAGCCAATCGTGCGGCAGCAGCAGACGACCTAGCAGTTGCTCTTGAAGCTGGAGCTTTGGGAGCAGATGCAGGACGCGAGGCCTCTCTACTCTTGCGCCAGTTACCAAACGCCGCGGCAAGAGACACTGCCTTGGGTGTAGCGAAATTGGTCAGATTGGCCAGAGCTTGACCTGTCAGCGAGGGGCCAGCATTGATGAGACGCTCTTTCTCTTGTTGTTCCATCTGCAGATTGGCACGGATGCGGATAGCAAAGTCCCTGACTGCATCTCTGTCGTATTCCGACTTTGACAAGGTATCAACGAGCTGATTGAGATCTTCATTGCGGACAGAAAGAAGCTCGCGCAACCAGGAGATCTCAACTTCCTTCTCCTTCAATTTTGCAGGTGCTGTGGTATCGACATTTGCAATCTCATTCTGCAGACGCTCGATACGAGTTTCACGTTCCTGAAGCTGCTCTTGCAAGACCAGGATAGATTCGCGAAGAGCTTGAGGCGAGATCTTCTCAGGCTCTTCACGAGATACAGCTGTGGTTGCGGGTGTAGCCAATGGAGTAGACTTCGCAGCTTGAGCAGCGGACGCGGCTGCCTGTGCTGCAGATTTGGCGACATTCAGACGTTCCTCCAGATGAGCGACCTTGTCACGCAAGTGCAAAACCTGGTCATTTGACAGCTCAAGTCTGTCATTGAAGTGCACTGCGGAACGTTGCTTGTCTTCGTAGGCATTGGCGACACTTCTTTCGTACTGTGACTTGAGGTATCTGACCTCTTCTGCGTGTTTTTCGCGCAGATCATTCAAAGCAGCACTGCTAGTCTCGTTGACTTTGCGAAGAGCATCGCGTCTGAGGTCAGCCTCTTGCTCCAGAGAACGTTCGTGTCTTTCGCGGGCAGCTTCCGAGACCATCTTGATATTGTCAATCTCATTCTTTGCGAGCATGATCTCATGCTCCAGGCTAGCACGGATGATGTTGGCCTGGCTCTCGGCTGCCTCAATACTAGACTGCATAATCATCTGGGTGCGCTGAACTTCGGCTCTTCCAGACTCTCTTGACTCATGCAAGTCGCGTTGCAGACGGGCGCTCAAAGTCTGCTCTGAGGTAAGGTTCTCCTTGAGTGTTCTGACTGTCTCTTCATGCAAGGTGGTGGATCTCTGCAGCTGTTCAAGCTGAATCTTGGTGGTAACAGCCTCATGTGCTTGGGCACGCAAGCTGTGTACCTCCTCCTCCATGCTACGTCTAATGCTAACCTCGCCTTCCAGACGAGCTTGCAAGACAACGTATCTCTTCTGCAATTCCTCGTTGCGGTTTTGCCATGTTGCCTTTTCATTGGCTAATTGTTCAGCTGCCGAAATCATGCCATGGTTGATCTTATCGAGCTTGCTACGCATGCTTTCACGAATGTTGAGACCATCCGCAATCTGGTTCTTCAAGTCAGACATGCTTTCTTGGAGATTGGCGTTATCACGAGCAGCGACTTCAGCTTCTTGCTTCCATTTCTTGGCAGAGAGACGGGATTCCTCGAGCTCAGCAATCAGACTCGTGACACTGGCCTTCAGTGCCGTGTTTTCCAAAGTTGCATCGTCAGCAGTCTGTTGAACTTGCTTAACCGAAGCGTGAGAATCTTCCAACTGGACCATGAGTTCTGCAGCACTGGCTTTGATAGCAGTAGCTTCTATGGCTGCATCGTCAGCTGCCTGGCGTGCTTGTTTACCAAAGGCTTGAGATTCCTCCAATTGAGACAATAGCTCAGCTGAGCTAGCCTTGAGTGTTGCATTCTCGATGATTGTATCCTCAAGTTGTTGACGAGCCATCTTGACCGTCTCGTTGGATTCTTCAATCTGAACTTTGAGCTCAAGAGCACCACTTTTTAGAGCCTCATTCTCATTGGTGACTGCGTCGACTTCTTTTCTCCACTTGGTACTAGAGATGCGGTATTCTTCAAGAGTAGACTCGAGTGCTGAATTCTCTACCTCCAAGTCTGAAAGCTGCTTTCGATCATGCGCGTGAGTGACCTCGGCTGCATCGACGCGAATCTCAAGCTCTTCGCGTTGGTTTTCCAAAGAATGAATGCGCTGCTCTTTATCACCCACAGTCTTTCGGAGAAGAGAGAGTTCTTCTTCGGCGAGACGAAGCAGTCGGCGGGTGTCAGCCTCGCGTTCCTCAATCGTGCGGCGCTGGTTGGCCTCTTCCAGTGCATCAGCAAGAGTCTTGTTGAGTCTGCTGTTCAGCTCCGAAACCTCTCGTCTGTGCCTTTGGGTCGTTTCTGGATTCTCAACTGGTGCAGCGGGGGTTAGAGTCTGGCCCATGCGGTGTAGTGACTCGTCAACAACATGCTTGACATCGTCAATGTCAAGGTTCGACGAGGCGATGCGAGCGATGGTCGTGTTCATGTCCATGAGTGCGTTATGGATTTCGGAAGCAGATGAGAGTTGGGAACCATTTGCCTTCTGTGAAGCCAAGGCTTCAAGCACAGCGGCCTTGATTTGACTTGCTTTTCTCTCTTGTGCACGGGATACTGAGCGGAATGCCTGTCTTTCGTCGACAGTCTCATCCTCATCGTCAGCATCGCTATCATCGACGGACAAAGCGCGGTTTGTCATTGATCGTGGCTCACGAGTCATGATAGTGCTTACGGCGCGGTGGATCATCTGCAAGCTCTTTTCGAGAGGTGCTAGGCGATGGTCAATAACACCACCGACGATCTGGTCAACCCTATCGTCGAAGAAGTTGCTGCGTGTGCGTAGCTTGCTAGCCTCATCGACAGACAAATCATCAGACCATTCGCTCAAAGGAACATCTTCGCTGCGATTAAGACGATTGATGTGAACGGGGCGTAGCTTGACTTGCTCCCTTGACAACATTGGTTGGGGAGAGATTGAGCGGTCTCTTCCGCCCCGACTGGGGCTGTGGTGTATGACACTTGCATTGGGGCTTACAACCTCGGAAGCAAACTCTTGTTGGATCTGATCATACTCCTCATCATCGTCATTGAGTTGTTGCATAACAGCGTCAATTTCATCGAAGGTAGGCTCTGGGAAGTGGGCTCTTTCATTGCCATCGGTAGGGTAAGGCGCGTGTTTTTGTGGTTCGGGCGAAGGAGCATAATCGAGGTCTTCCACAGACGCCTGTGTCTTTTCGGATGTACGCGAGAAGACACGCGAAGGGCTGAAGTCGGGCTTGGTCTTGTTCGGGTCAGGGCTACGAAGAAGCGATTCGATAGGCTGGTTGCTTGACATTGACCCTTGAGGTTTGAACTCGAAAGGCTTTGCGAGTGCTGATAGAGAGCTTGAATTCTTCTTGTGGCCTTGCTCGTTTTGCGTGGTGGGAAGCTTGGCCAAAGTCTCGGAATTCTGCGCAGATGCGATATTGGCTGATGTTTTGGCAGCACGCTCTTTGCTAGTGGCTGGCTTGGTCTTGCCGCCTTCGACTTCTTTTTCAAGATTGTTGACTTGTTGAGGCTCCGGTGCAATCGAATTCTTCTCGATCTCAAGGCTTGGTGTCTCTTGAGTGTTGGCATGAGCAGGAGATGCAGGGCGCTCAGCGAAGAGAGGCACATCATCGCCATCACTCTGGCCGACACGAGCTCTCTTTTGCCTGTCCTCGCTTTGCACGGCACGTCCGTCTTCATCTTCAGCTTCAGGCTCTTCCTTGACGGGGGAGGACCTTGGTTGAGTGATAGCTACAGCCTTGGATCTTCTCACTGGCTTAGTAGCCTCTGGTATCGCGACATCACCGAAGATGCTTGGAAGAGCAGATTGCATAGGAGCCTGATAAGCGATGGGTTGCTGGACGGGAGCAACAGGGTTGAAGGCGAACGATGAAGCGAAGTCGAAGTCGGATGAAGGCATCACGCCCAGTCCAGAAGGCTGGAAAGCAGCAGATGACATATCCATGTTAACAGCAGACGGGTTTCCGATACTGCTTTGGATAGGAGGGCCGAAGTTCGACAGTCCCGGAAGGCTAGGCAGGGATTGTTGGAAAGCAGGGCCTGGTTGAAACTTGAATTCGGGCGCAGCCACGCTAAGTCTTGATGCATGTCCCTTGACTTTGTTGGTGGTTTTGTTCTGCAGAGCACCAGCCGGTCCAGCATTCGAAAGGTTTTCCTTGACTTCCGATTTTGCCGGAGCGTTGTTGAGATTGGGGGAATCTTTGCGACTGCCGAAGCCATTCACACCAAGAGACGTGCGCTTGCTTGGGGGCACGTAGGCACCATTACTAGAAGTTTGGCTGATGAAACTGTTGTTCGCTTCGTCCTCTTCGTCCTGAAGCTGGCGCTCGAAAGACTTCTCCAAGTGATAATCAGATCCTTGAATCTCTCTTTCGAGAGCATCACTGATATTCCGGTTGTGTCGTGGACTGGGGTGGGCAAGTTGAACCTCCTTTCGTGTTTGGCGTCTGGGTGTGGCACCAGCAAAGTAGTCTTGCATTGGCTCTTCTTCATCTTCAGGAACTTCGGCCAATGATGGAATCGGGCGCATTACCGAACCTGGAGTAAGAGTGGGCGTAATGCTTCTCTGAGCTTGAGGTTGAGGAGAGAAGCTAGAAAATACTGATTGATGTCTGAGGTGAGCCTGTCCAGGCCAGTCGCCAGGCTGGGGCTGGGGGCTTCGAGCGAACGGAGAAGGCATGCCGTATGGAGAGATAGGAGATTTTGATGGTGGTCCTTCGCTCTTGAGCCTTTCCAGCGCAGGCGAACCTCCTCTAGGAAGCCCATTCATGTTGAAATTCGCTGTTGAAGGAGAGAAGGCGGACAATCCATTGTGCTGGTTTTGCTGATTGGGGAAGCCAAATGGCATCCCCGGCATGCCGAATACGGAGTGTCTATGCGCATGGCCTCTAGGATCGCCAGGCATGGACAGAGGTGAAGCGACAGAGGCAGAGTAGGAATGTCCGGGAGTGGGGAAGTGGGCTAGTGAAGGCGTAGAGCGATGCGATCCTCCGGCCATGGCTGCATGCATCATATTAGGCGAAACAGACTGATAGTGGCCAGAAGATTGCCGAGACATGGGTGGAGGTTGAGCTGGAGCAAGATCATCTCCCAGACTCACACCCAAAGCACGCAGCTTCTGCTCCATCAGATCATCAACATATGACTTCCAAGTTTGCGGATTTGGTACGAAAACTTTGAAGTCTTTCTGCTGACGCTTGATGACATCTTCTGAATCGTCGGGATATTGAGCGCTGCTTTGTGACACGATCGAATCATGGTAGGTCCACGGCTCGAGGTCGAACCCGTTCACGTTGTAACCCTCCTCTTCAAAGTGTCTCAGACGTGATTGTGTTTCGCTTGCGCTTAGCGGTCTGTTGCCTCCGCAGGCTTCGGGAGCCATTGATGGAAGAGCGATCCAACAAGCCTTTCCTCTCCAAGCGAGTTTAGTTCTGGATCTTTGTGCCGGTGTAGGTTGCTGAATGTCTGAGTTTGGAGGAGAAGGTAGCGGTGGCAGTTGGCCATTCTTCTGAGGGCTGTTTCTAACAGATCTGACATCGCCTGGTGGTGCAGGTGGTGGGGGCAGAGGCTTCTCCTTCTGGGGAGACGAAGCCCATCTAGATGTAAATAGCGACATGTCGGGCTCGTTCAATTGACGTGTAAATTGCCAGAAGTCCTCCTGTTTCAAGGTCAAGTTACTTCCTCGGGACTTGTGGCCTCTCCGGAAAGAATCGTGCGATGCTGGTCTTTGCTGCCTTTCAAACAGGGGACTTGCAGACGTGTTCTTGCGACGATGGCGGCCAGAAAACCAAGTGAATGGGATAGGGGTCTTAAACTCCTCTTCGTCGTCAGAGCCCGAATCACTGCCACCAGATTCGTCGCTCAGCCAATTGCCTCTTTCTGAGCGCCACTTGCCAGTGGTGTATTGTTGGACCCAATCTTCAGTCAATCGACGAGTAATAGTATGCCGAGACGGTCTCTGTGCGACAGCCTGTGCCGAATCTTCCTGGAGAGCCAATCGCTCTGTAGTGACTGGGCTTGCTATGTGATGCTGGATGGGTATACGGGAAGGCAATAAATGGTCGAGACCAAAGGAAGGGCTGAAGTCAGGTCCTTGAACGGCGACTCTGGAAGGGACGAGGTGTTCGAGACCGAAGGATATGCTCGGCGAGGGACTCTCGCTTGTGGTGTGTCGTTGCGATGCGATTGGAGTGCTTTGGGCGCTGGGCACGCTAGGATCTTGGGTAGGTCGAGTATAAGGTGAACCCCAGCTAGCCGTGTAGTAGACCGAAGGAGCGTCCGTCGTAGAGGCTACTTCTTCGCGAGTTGAGCCAGCCGATGGAGTGTCGAAGACGAGCTGGGGAGCAATAGCAGAAGCTTTGGGGCTGGGCGACCGTCTCTCCCCTACGGCCCGCAACTGTGATGTTGGAGGAGAACCCACTAGACCTGACAGATCATACTCAGACCTGCTGCGACGATAGGGGCTGACGGCGGGAGTAGAAAAGCTGGTTGGAGGAGAAGCCGTGTCGTCTGTTTACCGAGTCAGCTCAGCAATTGTGAGCTTCCTTGCTTAGGTATGTCACAAACCAACCTTCTGTGGCGCCTGAGCAGTCAGGCACCTGGGCGATCCAAAAGTCGAGTGCAGTCGGAGACTGGTAATTCGAAAGAATGTGTGTGATGCTCTACCCCGTACTATGAGTAGCAAAAGCTCGCTCGGACTCAAACGTGGAAATTACTGTCTGAGATCGACTCGCACTTGCCTGCTTGGTTGACGCTAGGAGACTGCAAGAGAAAGAGAAGGAACGAAACACTCGACTCAACACGAGAAGTAGCAATGCGAATTAAATAACATAACAATATCGCTCTTCATCAAGGAGCAGTCTGGGTTGATCGTCAGCCACTTGAAGGGGCCCATAATAACAATGAAGGTTATCCCGGCACGTTTGAACTCTAATTTGGTCCCGTCGATTAAAAGGATATATCATTTGTTAAGTCCAGGTCACTCCTTCCTCTTATGCTTGCGCCAAACCCTCAACCTCTTTCATCCAACATGAATGCGAACGCTATCAAAGAAATTCAAATAAAGTACAATGAGTCAATCCATCGGAAAGCTCATCTAGGCCTTGAGCCTCCGCTCTTCACATCTTACACATACGGGGTCTTGATTGTTGCCTCTCAAGAAATATCTGCCATCATCGAAACCATCACCGCATTCCTATAATCAAATCAGTCAGGGTTCATGCTCACAAGTAAAGCTTTACTCACAGTGCAGCAGAAGCACTTTGCATGCCACTCAGCACCCAGGGCCTTGACCACGATCTCCGTGACTGGGCGTTTGCATTTACGGCACTTTGCGCTGTATCTATTGGTGTGACAGCCTACGCACCATGCGTATCCATCCTTTTCAACAAAGGGTGTTGTCGAATCGAAAGGCTATACAAAACTTAGCAACATGTGATTGTTTGAGGGCTCTCCAAATTTGAACTCACATCACCGCACTGTGCACAGAAGAAATGGCCGACATGCCATTCTGCTCCACATGCGACAACTACCTCTCCTTCGATAGGTGTCTTGCAGCTCTTGCAACGTGGACTGAAGAATTCGTGGAAGTCTAGTCCGCAGAAAAATCGAAGCGATTCATCGCCATCCTCTTCCTCTAGTCTCCTCACGTCTTCTTCAGTGACGCCTTCAGGCAAATAGACATCAATACCCTGTTGACGTTGTTGAATGCGAGCCAGGCGCTCCGCACGCTTCTTGTCTGGCTCAGGGTAGAACGCTACACACTCGAGGTTGATGCCACATTCGTGACACTTGAAGCATGAAGGATGAAAACGTTCGCCTGCGGCACTCAAGATGCGCCCTGCTATGGGCAATGCACAATGGGCACACAAAGCTGTGTTTCGTCTTACTGATGGCGTCATGTGAGGTTTGACTGTTGGGTATGGCGATGTCTTCGAGGGTACAGGGAGCGGACGAGTAGCTGCGGGTGTGGGAGTTGGGAGAGGTCGTTTCGAGAAAGGTGAGGATGTCTTCGGCGGCGAAGATTGCGGACGATGCTGGAGCGGTGGCGGTTGATCATTCTTGACGCTCGAAGACTCGTTGATGACAAAGACGGGAGGTTTTACTGTGTCTGAAGACAGACTTATGCCAGGGATATCCGGCTCTTCAGACAGTGTCTTGGAAGGGCTTGAGCTAGGATCATCTGGGACGACAATCATGGGGATATTAGCACTCATGACAGAAATTGTAGGCATAGCGTCCGGTAGCTCGGGTGTTTTCATTGCTGGTTGATCCGGTGTCATGATTGTAGGGATGGTAGGCGGGCCTTGCTGGGAACGAGGCAAAGAATAGCGTCTCTGCTTTCCACTCAAAGCAGCATCGGAAGGAGCATTCTTCCCTACCGCCAAACACTCGGGCAGACCTGTTGATTTCTCTTCGACCAACTGGATCTCCTTGGGCTTCCATCCTGACTGGAAACTGACAATGGGTCTGCCAGGACTGTCGCTGACTGCCGTTGGCTGAGGAAGGTTTGGACTCCTGTCCTTGCGCTTCATGGCGGTTGCAGAACGGATGTCGTCGCTACGTATTTCCTTGCCATCCTTCATCTTCGGACTGTCCTCTACAGACTTCTCGGGTATGTGCTGAGGAGGAAGGTTTGGTGAAGCTGGTAAGGAATCGTTGACCGTGTAGAAAGCGTTCCGGGATTGCGAAGGTGGATTTCTCTGAATCTCAATCCTTTCGTGCCTCTTCGCTGTGTAGCCAGAAACGGACTTTTTCTCGTCGTTCTTCTTGACCGAGTAGCCAGACGGCGATTCCTTCTTCTCGAACTTCTCTTGAGCCAATCTGACTCGAGCAAATGGGTTCCTTCGAACGTGACGTGGAACCTCTTCCACCCTCGTTTCCGCCTTTGGTGTCACCTTTTGTGCTTCCGCTGCTCTTGCATCCTTCGGTTGTTCGTCCGGTTCCTCGTAGATCTTGTCGGTTGGGCTCATAAATCCAGCTTTGATATCTGCGCTGGCTCGTCGTTTGGAGCCACTGCTTACACGTCGCTTTGAGATGGCAACATCGTTCGCCACGGCATTTGCGAGCCCTTCATAACTTTTGCCTTTCGCTCGTGTGCTTCGAGGTGTAGAGACAGGAGTGGAGATGGGCGTAGTCTCAACGAAAGGATCGTGGGTGAGAGTACCAGTGCGAGGCCTCTCAGGAGAAGAGATTGGTGACTCGCTCACCGCCGGACGGCCGGTGGTGAGCGGAGGATGATCTACCTTGTCCTTGCTTGTTTTACGAAGGTGGGCACGGTAGTCTTTTCGCGCAGCTTTGGGGTCCACATCTGGGTTTGCGTACGCAGAAGCACGTTCTTTCTCGGGATCGTAACCAGTACGGTGCTTCCAGACTAGCTCGGCCGCTTCGTCTTGGGCGGCTGCATGTATGCGTTGTTCTTCGTCCAAATTCAATTCTTCTATGGCCTCGTGTAAGGGTTGTGAGACCAGTGATAACGGTCTGGCCGGACCGAAAGGTCCTGGTTGCGCTACAAGTGGACGACCGGTGAAATTCTCACGATTGATAGAATCGAGACTCTTTTGGCGGGTATGCGTGGTTGTCGTTGCTGGCTTGTTAGTTATGGTCGGAATAGAGCCGTCGCTAGAATTGGGTCGCTGCTGCTGGCGCTTGCTTGCAATTCTTGAGGGTGGAGGTGGTCTTGAACCGTTGAGTCGCGCGACGCGGTTGTTGCGAAGGTCTTGTAAGTAATTTGCTGAATCATCGTCGTGTAAGCTCAAGTTGTTGATTTGTTCATAGTCTGGTATAGAGGAGAGTCGTTGGCATTGTCTAAGTGGTGAGGGTTTCTTTGGAGAATGTGGTGGCTTAGGAGGAGAAAAATGAATGTGCTGACCCAATTGTTGATCTTTGTGGTTGTTACTGTTGTCGTAAGCCATGGCGAGGCCAGAAGACAGGGATGTCGAAATCGTCTTGGGTCAGCTTGTAGGAAAGAAGACTGATGGCGGGCGTAGGATGATTAAAAGAGATACAGCAAAAGACAAAGAGAATCGTTATCAAAACAGAAAATCAATAGTGCAACGAGAGAAACGACAGTATAACGACGTGGAGGTAAGGTAGGCTGGAGCGAAGTATGGACGATAGGCATGACGGTTTATTTGCACTTCAAAACATAGCAACCAAAAGCTTGGACCAACAGGGGCTCAAGCACCCCGATCCACGACCCTGTGGGCGGTCAGACAATCTTCAATGACAAAATTGAGCTGCCCTAGGCTGACGATCCATTCGAACATGTTCCTTGGAAGCGTCAGGCAGCTTTGAGAAGGTAGACAGCCTGAAGAAGACATGTCATTGTCGAACGACAGATGAGAGATGATGGCTGTGGCGCCGCGAAAGTCTGCATCACCGTTGTCTTGGTGAGCAGAACCGTCCTCCCCGACAATCGATGTGACCTACCTAGGTACAGCAGACCCTAGCTGGCACACGCTTTGCTGTCTCGGAGTGGCCAGACGAAATTGGGAATTGAAGGTAGATCTTTGAGGGAGCGGTCAATGTGCGCAGAGCGGTCTATCAATAATTTGCCTTGCCGCAATATAGAAGTAAATAGGGGCGGCTGATTGAGCATCAACAGATTGGACAGGAATATACTAAGTCCCAGCACTTGAGAAGAATAGCTGTTGGATGATGTAGCTAGTGAACGGGTTGCCTCAGAAGAGGTCATGAATGGCACGAACCAAAGATGTGAAAACGTACCTGGCAGAGCGGACTCGCACCTGACACGGAGACAGTGAAACGTGGAAAGCTTAAGTGATCGATATCAGGGACAACGGGATACATATACAGGAAATATGACACAAGCACTTTGATAGCTATCTCAAATAGCTCTGAGGAACAGTCAGGAGTAGACCGTGGCAGTGAAAATTGAATTATTGTTGAGTGAATGAATGGTAGAAAAAATATGGGCCAGGGTCGTGGCGGCTGTATAGGACGGCGGAAGCAGCCGATTGTTGATGTTTGGGTGCCAAGAGAAATCAAAGCAGGAGCGCTCGGTGCTTTCCTCCTGCCTACCGCCTCCCCTTGATCCCTTCCCACGCCCATTGCCAACCGACAATCTCCTCGACCACCGTATCCCGACCCTCCAGACCTCTTCATCACTCAGCCCATCACAGTCACTATGCGTGAGATTGTGTGTACACCCTGCTACTGCCTGCGCACACAAGAGCTTTGTTGCTAACGTCTTTCTCCTATAGGTCCACCTCCAGACCGGCCAATGCGTATGCCTACCTGAAATGAGCTCCAGTTGTTTCGGGAACCACGCGTCTGACACTATCAACAGGGTAACCAAGTTGGTGCTGCCTTCTGGCAGACCATCTCTGGCGAGCACGGCCTTGACGGTGCTGGTGTGTACGTTGACTCCCTGCGCATCCTCACCCGCAATGACAGCTCGCTGACTGCCTAACAGCTACAACGGTACCTCAGATCTCCAGCTGGAGCGCATGAACGTCTACTTCAACGAGGTCAGTCACCAACAGTCCGCCCTTCACTGACTACTCCAATGCTAATGCGCACCATAGGCCTCTGGTAACAAGTATGTCCCCCGTGCCGTCCTCGTCGACTTGGAGCCTGGTACCATGGACGCCGTCCGTGCCGGTCCCTTCGGTCAGCTCTTCCGTCCCGACAACTTCGTCTTCGGTCAGTCCGGTGCTGGCAACAACTGGGCCAAGGGTCACTACACTGAGGGTGCCGAGTTGGTCGACCAGGTCTTGGATGTCGTCCGTCGTGAGGCCGAGAGCTGTGACTGCCTCCAAGGTTTCCAGATCACCCACTCGCTCGGTGGTGGTACCGGTGCTGGTATGGGAACGCTCCTCATCTCCAAGATCCGTGAGGAGTTCCCCGACCGTATGATGGCCACCTTCTCCGTCATGCCCTCGCCCAAGGTCTCCGACACCGTTGTCGAGCCTTACAACGCTACCCTCTCCGTCCACCAGCTGGTCGAGAACTCTGACGCGACCTTCTGTATCGACAACCAGGTTTGTCTCAATCCAGCTCTTCTACACCGCTCCGCGGACTAATCGTGTTAGGCTCTCTACGACATCTGCATGAGCACTCTCAAGCTCAACAACCCCTCCTACGGCGACCTGAACTATCTCGTCTCCGCCGTCATGTCCGGTGTTACCGTCTCGCTCCGTTTCCCTGGCCAGCTCAACTCCGACTTGCGCAAGCTCGCCGTCAACATGGTCCCCTTCCCCCGTCTCCACTTCTTCATGGTCGGTTTCGCTCCTCTCACCAGCCGTAACGCCCACTCGTTCCGCGCCGTCTCGGTTCCCGAGCTCACCCAGCAAATCTTCGACCCCAAGAACATGATGGCCGCCACCGACTTCCGCAACGGCCGCTACCTGACCTGCTCTGCCATCTTCCGTGGTAAGGTCTCCATGAAGGAGGTCGAGGACCAGATGCGCAACGTTCAGAACAAGAACTCCGCCTACTTCGTTGAGTGGATCCCCAACAACGTCCAGACCGCCCTCTGCTCCATTCCTCCTCGTGGTCTCAAGATGTCATCGACCTTCGTCGGTAACTCGACCTCGATCCAGGAGCTGTTCAAGCGTGTCGGTGACCAGTTCTCTGCCATGTTCCGTCGCAAGGCTTTCTTGCACTGGTACACTGGTGAGGGTATGGACGAGATGGAGTTCACTGAGGCTGAATCCAACATGAACGACTTGGTCAGCGAGTACCAGCAGTACCAGGAGGCTTCCATCTCCGAAGGTGAGGAGGAGTACGATGAGGAGGCTCCCATGGAGGCTGAGGAGTAAGATGTTGGTCAAGCACACGGCCAATTCCTAGTTTCGTATTCACGTTGTCCGAGAGGGGAAAGCGCTTGGATCCTCTTTTTATACTCTTGTTCTTTTTTTCCACGATAACCAAGTCAATGTCCGAGCATTGGGCGCCTAGCGAGTTTGAAATGAAAGCCCTTGTCTTTTTGTAATTACCACAAGCTCCTCTTTACACATTCCTGACCACAATTGAGACACTCGTTAGTAAAGTCATCTATCAGAACATGCGACAAAGCATGATCTTGACAACGGAAGATGTTTGCAGATGCATGATCGAACGGCGAAATATGCTTGCTCCATCCTTCAAGCCATGTGAGCCATATACATCAGCAAGGTCTACAATATCAATGGTAGCGACATACGAACTATGCCATTAGAGCACAAAGCACCAGCGTACTGAATGCCGAGACGGACATCGACCGCGAAAACACACTTCATACCCGAGACAGTGCACAAGATACCAGACAGGGGAAACAATCAAGATGCTTTTGATAGGGTATGCCGGAGGATACAAAAACAACAAGGGGGGTATGTGTGTAGAAACAAAGTCAGACATTGATGAGTTCATTGGTGCGAGGATGATGGAAAACGAAGAAGATCGCAGTGCTATGCAGGGAAGAAAAAAAGAAGAAAAAAAAAAAAAGAGGAATACAAGAACAAAAAACCATCAACTCCTTTCTGTCTCCTTTTCTTGTTGACGCCTTCCATCCCAGTTTCTTGTGTTTTTCGTGTTTGTGCAGTTGAGAAGAGAAAAAAAAAAGAGATAGAATGCCCATATGAACTCCTCATTTTCCCCTGTATGCCGCCCCCACCCTTTCCTTTCGCGAAAGTAAAGAAAAGACCCACTACTACTACAACAGATTGGTATAGAGAAAAGAGAGAAAAACAAATCCCTAAAAGTAAGGGCGTAGAGAAAGATCCAGATGAGACAACCTCCTGAAAAGCCGTGTCGAGCATGAATAGGTACATTTGTGTGTTGTCGGAAAGCGAAGCTTGGGTCCTCCAAAGAATCGGAGACTGTTTCTTGTCGAAGCCGGATTCGTATAACGAGGCTGATAGGAAAATTCGAGCAGAGTGCGTATCTTCGTGTTTGTAACCGAGTGTTGGGTATAAAAGCAGCAGCGCAGCCAACAAAGATGTGTCGCCAAAAATTGGACAAGAACGGTAGGTGTGATAAGAATGATTGATCAGGGAAGAAGGTTAGACTGGCTCTGCTGCGAGGGGTCGACAACTTGGTCCGACAGAGCTAGAAGCAGTTGTGCCAGACAACGCTTGGTCGCGGCATCGTCGCGCAACACTGAAGAGAAGGTGGCATCGCGGAGAGGTTCGGGCAAGCATTGGCGGAGTGCTTCGCGAGCGCGGGCGTTGTCGCTAAGGCTATAGTGGCCATTAGAAAGTGGTTCCTGAAGATTGACAAAGGTAACTTACCGAAGGAAGCATCTCACGACATGCTTGAGCAGACGCACCGTCTGTTGCTCAACTAGCTGGTTGACCATGTTGCTAAGCACGGTTCCAACAGCGTAGAATCGCTCGTAGGTCTGGCAAATGTACTGAAGGCCAAGATCATCGAGCAAAATCTTCTGAACAATGAAGATAGCAACGGTCTTGCTGAGTTCGCTACCAGTTTCCATAATACGGAGGCAGAGAGGAATGATCTCAGTTGTGAGGAGGAAGTTGATGACCTCTGAGCTGTCGTTCTTGACCAACGCACCGATGACACCAAGAGAAGTCAGACGCAGGTATTCAAAGGGCCTGGACTTGGACGTTGTGTTGAGGAAAGGATAGAGGAAGAGAGGGATATGAGCACCGAGGAAGAGACCACGAGTCTCACCGTGCGAAGCCACGCACTGAAGCAAAGCCAGAGCATTGCAGACACGGTTGGAGGCAGCGGCGGTGAGCTGCGAGGGGTTCAATAGGGGATAAAGAGAGATAATCTCTTGAAGGAGCGAAGTCATGACACCTAGCTAAAGTCAACGCAATGATCGGCCACAATTCAATACAGGGGTACATACCAAACGAGTGCCACAGGATCAGAGCCAATTCGGGAACTTGTTCCCTCTTCTTGCTCAGCTCAAGCAAAGCTCCCTCACGTGTCTGAGGGTTCATCATCTGGGCGATCCACTCGAGTACGCGGCGGTTCTCGTCACTGACGGCACCATCACTGGATTGCAGCTGGAGCTGGTGTTCGTGGGAAGGCTGCATGCTGGCGGCTGAAGCAACATTGTTCACAGCAATGCGATTGTAATGTTGTTGCTGGGCAGCTGCTGCAGCGGCGGCGGCAGCGGCAGCTTGTGCCTGGGCTTGAGCCTGAGCTTGTGCTTGAGCCTGAGCCTGGGCTTGGGCCTGGGCTTGAGCGTGTTGCTGCTGCAGACCATGGTGCGACTGCTGATGGTGGTGAGACTGCTGCTGTTGTTGCTGCTGCCATTCCTGGGGCGCATAGTGTTGCTGGTGCTGGTTATGGTGTTGATGCTGATGTTGGTGCTGATGCGAGAAGACATGCTGCGAGGGCAGCATCTTGGCTGCGCGGGTGGTGAAAGTAGACAGATTGAAGGATTGGATCGGTGAAGCTTCGAAGGCGACGGCGACAGGGAGCGTGAGACGACGAGACGAGAAGGAGCGGCCGATTGTTACGATATGACTGAGTGTTGGTGAGGAAGGCACGATGCGCACACACTGCTTCCTCGACTCCGCTCGGCCCGTGAAGCTTATTCCATATGGCTGGATGGTCCGTGCACACATGCATCCTGCCGTCAGTGAGTGCTTCTCTGGCACTGTGTGTATCCGTCGAGGATGTATAAAAGGCTTTTGGTATTGTGAAGTGAGAGAGCGAAATAGCTGTCGTCGAGACAAGACGAGACGGAACGTGATGGAATCACAACATACAATGCTTCATGTCAAAATTCTAGCCTCTGCTTTCGTTCATATTCATGCTTCTTCGAGCCAAAGGAATCCCATAATTAAGCCCATAAATCTGCCTCATGCTTCATCCAAACGCCTCTTTGCCTGCAAGAACGCCTGGAATGCCATGTCATGCCTACACCTTCCATTACCTCCACCACCTGCTCTCGTCATCTTCTACAACTTCAGCTCGTTCAAGATGGTTTGCGCCATGTTCTTGTACTGCCAAGTGCCACCATCCACCTTCTTGAACTGGATACCATGCAGGCTCAACAAGGGTACCTTTACCACAAAGATCTCGAACTTGAGAACCATGCCTTCGCCAAGATCGCTCTGCACATGTGTCGAAGTTTCACCAGCGGGTCGGTTGTGCTGCTGACCACGAACCCGTCTTGCGTCCTCATCGTCAGAACTGTCGCTGGCAGTATAGCTGTTATCTCTTCTAGGACGTGGGGGTGTGGGTGTAGCTGGGTCGGTGCTGCCGCCTCCCATCAACCCACCAAAGCTGATCTTTCGTCTGTGACTTCCATATCCTGCCGCGGCTTGCTCGTCCTTGGGCTTCTCCATATCGATGCTAGGAGCGTGGCGACAGCTGAATCCACCCTTGATCTCACGATACTCGACACCGAGCTGTTTCAAGACCCTGATGATGTCTGTTCGAATCACAGCCAGAGGCTTTGAGCTGGTGGTCGATACACTGAACAAACCCTTGAGGTAGACAGGCTTGATTCCGTTCGGGCTCTCACCAGCACTGTTAACTGCATGAGATGCCTCAACCTCCCTGAGGTCCTGATCTGTCTCTTCAGGTACGTCTTCGGTGCGAGTGTCCATTCTTCTAGCCCTGCGAGCCTGGAAACTCTCCTTGCGACCGTGACCCATTGACCTGGTCCTTGAAGCGAGAGGCACTGTTCTAGAGCCCGAGGTTTCGGCATCCGAAGAAGCATCGCCGTAGTGTCTGTCGCCGCGTCTGCTAGACTGAGGGGTCATTACTGCTGGTCGAGCACTAGAGCCCTCAGAAACACCTCTGCGAGTGTTATCGCGATTGTTCTCGGCAGCGCTGACGCTGGTAGAGCGACCTAAACCAACGCGTTCGGGTGTTGGCGTGAGTAGTTCTGCTGGCTTCTCGAGAACAGGTTCGGGCTGTAGTCTGTTGGCGCTAGAGTCTCGCTGTCTCCTCATGCTAAAGCTCTTTCTCGGGGTGGAGTAGGCATCGTTGGTCGCTGCTGGGGCTGGTCTTTCAGGGTCTTTGTGCCGTCTGGTGCTCAATCTGCGGAGCAAGCCCGCTGCCGTGCTCTCCTTCTTTACCGGTGTATGTTCAGGTGGAGGAAGAACGATGGCAGGAGATGGCACTGGAGGCGCGCGGTCGGTGGATCTGGCCTTCTTTGCGTCCTCCTGCAATTCTTCTTCACCATGTGTCCTGGCTCGAGGACGGCTTCTACCTCCTGTTGGTGCCTCTCCGGCCATCTCGTAAGTGGCAGTGTTCGTGTAAGCAGCCGCCGGTGGCTGGAGATCAGGCAATTGCAATGGCTTCTCACCAGGCGAGCGAGGAATAGCTAGAGCGCCTGGATTAGACTCCCTTTCTTCACGCTCAATCTTCTCCTTGGCTAAGAAGTACACTGAAAGCAGTGGGTTGTAAGCATTCAAAGGGTCTGAACCCAGCTGAACAGCCTCGGAAGAGGGTCCAGTAAGAGTGTCGCGACTTGTTGTGGATTTACGTCGTTTGTAGAAGTCAAACATGCTACCTTGTTTGTTTTGCGCATCTGAGAGTCCGGATTGGTGGCGGCGCTCCATTGCAACCACAGACTTTTGATAGTCCTCAGATTGTATGATCTTGGTGAGCTGCTGCTCGATGTATTCCGCAGTACCAAAATCGAAGCCATCCATCTTCTTCAGGACTCGGGGATCCAGTGGCAACTGTAGTGGCTTGCGAGGAGGTAGGTAGTTCTCAGGAGGCCCGCCGAATCCTTTCGTCATCCAAGGGTGTACCATGATTTCCCCAAGACTGGCGCGTTGCGAAGGATCGGTGACGAGCATGCGAGCGATTAAGTTCTTGCACTCTGCACTCAGCCAAGGCGGATACTCTACAGCTCCTTTCTTGATCTTTGCATGCAGCTGAGGCATACTCTGATCGTCGAATGGAACCTTTCCGCAGACAAGGACATACAAGACAATACCAAAACTCCAGACATCAACTTCGGGACCGGTGTAAGCTTTTGCCTGCAAAAGCTCAGGAGCGGCGAAGTAGAGGGAACCACAGAACGTCTTAAGGAGGCCCTTGGGTGAGAAGGTGTTACTCAAGCCAAAGTCAATGATCTTGATGTCGCCGGTTTTGCTGATTAGAATGTTCTCGATCTTCAGATCTCGATGCACGATGCTGTTGCGATGACAATAGTCGAGCGCACTCGCAATCTGACGACCAAATTTACGCGCCTGCTTCTCCTTCAAGCGACCATGCGAAATGATGTAGTCAAGCATCTGACCACCATTGACATATTCAAACAGCATGTACCAGTGGTAGTTCGTGCGAACGACATCACGCATGCCGCAGATGTAGGGGTGGTCGACCAAGGTGACAATAGCAGCTTCGCGAGCGGTTCTTACTTCTTTGGAATGATCAGCTCTTTCTCGGTCTTGGGCATTGCGATGTTCGTCGGTTGACTGGCGAGGAACAATCTTGACAGCGACCTGATGGACGTTAGCATGGGAATATAAGAAAGCGTATCGCAGTTGGGTCGCGTACTTGTTCACCAGTCTCCTTGTTGCGAGCCAGCTTCACCTTTCCCATGCTTCCCGCACCGATTGTCTTTCCGAGATCCCAGTGACCAGTAGTTGCGTCGATAGTGGTCCGTCGACGGACATTTGTTCCAGAGGCAGCGGCAGCATGAGTGCCGTTTGAACTAGAGGTGTGCATTTCCTGAGAATGGTATCTTGACTGAGAAGCGGCGTTGCGCGTTGAATCGGATCGTGCAGGCGCGTCAGCGCGATGGCGGGAAGAAGAGCTTTGTTGTGCTAGATCGTTGCTCTCATGGTCCCTTCTTGCGACATTTACGAGCTGTGGAGCTGCAGCGGCGGAGGCCGATCTGGTATGAGACTGCGATGGGTGACGACGAGGGGAGGGCGGAGCAGGATTAGTCTGCGGGCGGCTTTGCGCAGCGATGGCGGACATGTCTAAACTTCAGCGCCCCGAACAAGAAAGTGCGTCTTGGTGAAAGGTGACTTGTTGGAGGAAGTGACGAATCGCGACAGGTTTGTTGTTATTTTAGGAAGGATCGCGACTTCCTGTGCTTCGCAACTTCCTGTCTCAGAATCCTGTCTCGGAATCCTGTCGACAAATCGAACGTACGCAGCGAGAGACACCAGTTGGTGAAGAAAAAGGAGACGGACGCGCGAGGCAAGGTTACAGTAAGCATCAGTGTTGTGGAGAACCAGCCTGAGCCTGTCAGTCTGAGGTCTCCGCAAGTCGAGCCCGTTCAACGTGTCTTGGCAACCGGTCTCTACCTTCAATTAACAACCCTGACGTAGGTTGAGTACTAATTTCACCAACTTTAGAATTGGTAGCTGCCTTGACACGACACGACACGATGCGATCAGATGAGAATGTCATCATTCAAACGGAAAAGAGACCATGAACAACTTTCACCATATACTATATACGGAACACCCTTGCCGAATATCGACGATAGCCGCGACGACGGCTCTTTTGTACCGGTATGGAAACAAGATGCTGTTGATGAGCAGGGTCGGAAGCGTTTTCACGGTGCTTTCACCGGAGGATACAGCGCTGGTTACTTCAACACAGTAGGCTCAAAAGAAGGATGGACGCCCTCAACCTTTACCTCATCGCGGACAAACCGTCGCAAAGATGCACAAGTCGCTCGCCCCGAAGACTTCATGGATGACGAGGATCGTGCAGCTGCAGCAGAAGCCCGAAAACTCCAGACTCAAACCGATTTCGCTGGGTTGGGCTCCACCAGCCAGGATCAGATGCGTCGCAGCCTAATGAGCGACCTGTTCAGACCAACAGGAGAGACTATGGGCGTGAAGCTTCTGCAGAAGATGGGTTGGAGACAGGGACAGGGCGTCGGACCCAAGGTCAGGAGGAAAGCACGTATCGATGACTCTGCTGGCGCTGCGTCTGGCGACGAGACACACCTTTTCGCGCCTGATAACTCGCGCATGGTAGCTTTCAATCGCAAGAAAGATCGATTTGGTCTGGGTTACACCGCGGAAGAGCGTTTGGGTCAAGACAGATCTACCTATCAACGAGACAATGGAGAAGAAGACGACTCTGAGCAGTTCAGCCGACCCACGAAATCCAAATCGAAAGTGAAGCGTACCGGATTTGGCGTCGGCGTCCTAAACGATACCGGCTCAGATGAGGAAGATCCTTATGACATGGGCCCGAAAATATCCTACAATCGCATCATCAGCGGTGATCGAAAGAAAAAGAAAGGTGGTATCCTTGCAACTACAGCCAACCCTGCTTTCAGTGGGTTAAAACAACCTACGTTCTTGTCCAAAAAGCTAGGTCAGAAACACAGCAATGGTTTCAGGAAATGTCATGACGGTCGTCTTCCACTCGATGGCTTCGTACTGGCATCTTCTCTTGTGTTGACCAGTCAAGAGAACAAGTATCCGCCTCCCGACATACCTCAAGGATGGGAGCCGAACAAAGTTGCTACGGCGACCAATCTTGATCAGTCGACTCATCTATCTACCGCCGATGCCGCTCGTGTCTCCACTATGGATCCTGCGAAAAGAGCAGCCGTACTAGGAGAAGAGCAGCTTCCTGGGAAGTCCATATTCGATTTCATGAGTCAAGCGGCACGCGACAGGCTTGCAACGGCCACAGGTAGATCAAATCTTCCAATGGCTCGCGGAGAATCCGCTCCTGAAGGCTGGCAAAGATCGGAGGCTGACAAACAGAGGTCTTTGTGGGACTTGGTACCCAAGTTGGACAGTTCAGTCGCAGCTTCGGCATTGCAACGCGGTAGTAGTGGCTGGATGCCATACGCAGAAGACGAAGCCAAACGAGCTCGGTATCGTTCGTTTCTTGAGTCTTGCAGCGGACAGCGTGATGCACTACCTGAGCGTGTCAAGGGTTCGTCTATTGATGAGTGGACAAAAGAGATGCGTGAGTTTGCACAAGCGGCAGAGGTCTTCAAACCAATCTCTGGTCTCATGGCATCACGTTTTACCAGTTCGTCATCGGCACCCCGACTTGCTACAGATGTGGTGCCGTCAAGTTCTGAACAACCCACAAAGCCCGAAGATCCTGCTGAAGCCGCTGCGAAGATTGGCATGTTTGGTCCAATGACTCGCACGCGTATTCAATTCTATCCAACTCGTCTTCTTTGCAAACGATTCAACGTTAGAGCACCGGCCCACGCGGACCCAGGTCATGGCCCTACTGGTGATGAAAGTGCTGTCCTAGACAGCAGACTTGACGTGGTTTCTCAGCACAAGATGGATCAAATGATGCGCGAGACATGGTCACGGCCTCCGAATGTCTCCGAAACAAGTAACGTCACTTCCTCAGCAAAGCCAGTTGAATCCCAAGCCAGATCACAGGTAGATGTTGAAGTCAACGAAGCCATCGAAGCGGAACGACCCGGCGATGCTGTCTTCAAGGCGATCTTTGGCAGTGACAGCGAGGATGATTAGCAGTCCTGATTGAGACACCATCATTTTTCTGGCTTGACAATATTTCTCTGAATCACGAATCACGTTACAACGCAGGCAATTGTCGATCTTCGCATCCCTGAAGTCATGAGGTAAGAGCCTTCATAGGAGCCCATTATCATTATCTACATAACCCTGATGAAGCGTTCTCAATTCAAAACCCGCCAACCTGGTCGAAGCGACGGACCACGGCAATGATACTGCGAAATTGTGACGATCTGATTGCTAAGCTATGAGACACAGCCAAAAGCATTGTTCCATGTCCTTCCAGAAGATTAAAGGGGCTGACACAGTCCATCGAAGACTCCATTCGGTGCTACAAATGTACTATGGGAAATACATCCGAAAGTCCATCAAGCAGAAAGTATAGATGAATGTTGAACATGCCCTATGTGTCGCGCATTGCTTGGTCAGGTCTATGTATACTAATCCGCACGCTATATCGTTGAGCACTATGAGGGAGCGAGCACAAGCGGCAAACTTCGGTGCAATATGTAGAATACCAAGAGCATGACCAAAACCTGATCCTGCGATTTTTATTTTTCCATCCGAACGGCACTGAACGGCAATATCTGAGCAGGACATAGTAATATACGGTTCACGTAACGTGTTTGTGGTGCAGCAGGCTTTTTAGCCGCGAGGTCGGTTGGAGAGGGAAATATATTGAGGACGGTCAGCTCTCGGCCCTCAGCAGCAGAAAGTGAGCAAGCTTTTTGCTGAGCAATGTCCTTGTCTAGTCAAACCCCGGCTCGCCGAGAAGAGAAAGGCTTTGTCTGCCATTTTTCCCAGCCTCTTCTTCCGGACAACACGCGGTCAGGTTAGATAGGCGGTATGTGATAATACTGATGGACAACATCGTCGTAATCGGCAGAAAAGCCACCAGTCTGGCCTTTTTTCGCCATGGCCTTATTCCCTGTGCATGTGACCCAGAGGTCAGAGCCAGACTTGCAAAAGCACGAACTCGTTGGAAAGCATCGAATGATAGCCAGGCGTGATCTTCTAGGCCAGCAGCAGTGTGTGAGCAACAGTGGATGATACAGCAGCCCCGAGGATTTGGTCTTTGGCTGCCCGCGTCGTCCCAGCAACCACAAAAAGCTCCACACACACACACCGATAGTGTACACGAAAGGTCAAAGGCAACGACGCAAAGGAACATCGTTCTTGCTTTGGTGCCGAGGACTTTTTTCGTGGATAGCCGGCAAACGCGCTTCGTGGTAGACTTGTAAAACTCTTCTTCTGACTGGGTAACAGATCAACAGTGTGTCTTGGTAGGGCAGATGAGCCAGACTTTTGGAAGCCACGTCTCTGTTGTTTTGCCCTTGTGGATATTGTTTCGGAGCAAAGGGATAACGACAATCACAGACCAGAGCTCTCTCCTCAGACTCAAGAGGGCACGTCTGTTCAACCAACACCGACGCCCGCTGTGAGGTCTGCGGACCTGGTGGCTGGTTCGGATGATGGTCAAATGACAGCAGTAACAATGAATGTGCACATGCGCACAATGGCGCGCAAGCATCAAGGGAGTCAAAGCATTACGAATCCTTCGTTCCAACTATATTCTAGAAGGTGATCCAGAGGCGTCGTGACTTGTAGCAGACTATCCAATGTAGTCTGTAGATCCTATTGAGCCGGCAACCTTGTCGGTATTACTCTTGAAGCTGATATTTTGGCTTTTGATAGCTCTCGGGTGGAAATGAAGCCATTGTGGTGGACGTGACATGAGCTTCTGTCCCTGGTAAGAGCTAAGAAATCTGTTCAACTCAACAGCTCGTGTAGACATGAGTCTAGTCGGGCACAGTATACTAGCATGTATTTGACTGCACACAATGAATATCTTATTAGCAACTTCCATCAGCACATTCGAAATCTCGCAAATCTCGCATAGCCTTAAGAACTCGAGAATCATCTCGAACCGACATTGATACTCGAAGAGTCCGACTTGGCTCTGTCGAGACATAATATCCAACATCCATGTCCTCGGTAAAAACTAATATCAGGGACGATACAGTGGGACAATGGCTATCGTCGCAGACAGATAGTCAGGTCGTCAACTCAGTACTGCACCGTACCTGCTGGTGTCACTGCGCTGCTGCACAATCGACCCTACATCCCGTCCTTACTTGCATATAGCCTCGTGGACAATGTTACTCTGCATCGGGCACGTGGAAACTGAATGCGGAGCCACCTTGTGAAGGTTGGCTGCGGTACGACGAAGTCATCATGTTCCGACGTGCAGTCGTCTTCGGATCTGGAGGACATGGTTCATATTCAGCCGTCTAATATGGGAGCGACGTGAACGCATGATTGTCATACAGCCCCAGACACTCCGCGAAATAGAGATCTCGGTACACCATTGACGATTGTACAGTTTCAACACGGACACCCTCGTCTCAGAGTAATAGCAAATGACGACTTTGATGTCCCGACTCGAGATTTGGGTGTGCCTGCAGCACGTTGCTTTTTCCCCGTGGTGACTGACAGGGGCACAAACTTGTTCCTGGAGATCCAAAACAAAAGAAGATCGACCATGACATTGTGTAAACAATGGTAATTCCTGCTGCTGCTGTCCTTATGACGTGGTATGCAGTCCCAAGCAGGTAGACGGCGCTGCTGTCTTGACTCTTTGCGCGCGAGCTGCGCGAGTATCGCGCGTCCAGAGTCAGATGCAGAGATGTTTTTATGCAGGCCCAATATCCGCCAACCCCCGGCCACCATGGATGAATTTGGCGAATCACAGACGACCCCAAAATCCACGAATTGCAACGACCTTCAGGTAGCAGCGGGGAGTCTGGAAACACTCGCCTGGTCAATCCGTATGGCAGATCAAGGGGACCAGCACACCAGATAGGCGCACGGCAGCGAGCTTCATCTCAACAACACTTGACATGTCATGAGCATGTCGAAGGGTCCACCGATCTTTCTCCTGGCTTTTTGCTACAGTTTCCGGCACTGGGCATCCCGAAAGTCAAATTCAGACCAGTCGCTGGTGATCACAACGGGGCTTTCTCGTCCAAGTCATTTATAGCAGGCTTGCCAACGGTTGTCTCTTCGCTGATGCATCGGAGAATCACTGGTCTCATCGTCTGGTAGCCGAGCGTGTAGTCGACAATTTGACAGTAGCCATAGCACTTGATCAGACATGTCATATATGTGTGCAAATGAATTTCTTCGCGAGTAATCTTAGATTAAACCTTGGAGTTTACTGTAGCCGCGAGCGATGTGCATGGGCCAAGTTTATCATCTGTGTCATCAACAACAGCACAATATGCATGTGCTGGTGACTGCTCGGGGCAGTCGCGAGCCTGCCTGACTGCGCCTGCCATTTAATGTACCCAAAGAACCGAGGGCCGCCGTTTTCTTTCCTGCTGCTCACTACCAGATTCACTGTTGCGCTCGCTGCTTTTCATCAACAAAACAACAAGCAAAGCTCCGTTTCAAGAAACCAGCCAGTGCAGCCACAAGCGGTGTTCTCTCGCCTTTACTCTCTCCGCTCAGCATAGGCAAGTAGCCCATCTCGCACGGTCGCCAAAAGTCGCACGGTCGTCAAATCATACCATTCACAGTTTAATTCAATTGCATTATCCAGTCGACACCTCTGTCGATGTTCTCTGGCGAGTTTCACAAGCTGCATTTATCTCGCACCTGCTCTTCATAAAACACCACTTCAGGGAGGCTGCAGCCCTGCCCGGCCGAGTCCTTCCAAGCTCAAATTCAGGGGCTTCCACCTAACAATAAACCATTCACAAGCACAGGCCCCTGGTCAGTGACTCGTGGTGGTTTGAGGACTCTGACTCTGACCGCCGCCTTTCCGTGCGAAGGTCCCAGCCACCTTAGCGCGCCGCCAGTGCGCCACGAACGGCCGCAAGATCTACGCACACTACGCTACTCTTGCCCTCTGTCTTGGGGGTCCTCACGTCCTCTACCTTGGACACCGAGATTCCTTTTTCCTTTCCATAACAACTCCCACGCTCCTTTGTCTATTTTTTCGCTCTTTTTGTTTTCCTCCGAATCTGGATCCACTCACTTACCGTACTCCTCGATCAAACAACCACCAAACTCTTATACCCGTTAACCCGCAACGAACTAATCCTAATACACGCTGCTTCCCCTCAAGACAACTTCAACGGCCTCCCGAGTCCTGATTGTCTTGTCCACCGTCCCAACACGTTGTTATCGTATGCCTAGACTTGGTCTTGCTGAAACCGGTATGTCTCTACCACAATCAATAGGTAACCAGCCATCTTGTGCAACACAGACTGATGATTACTATCCAGAGTTTCCCTCTTTCATACTCTGCGATTCAATCTGCATTTAGATGCAGTAGAGTATCCATCTCAATTTCCTAAGCTTCAGCTTGATATCTTCAAGCAAGCTTATATCGACCATGACTGTAGCCATGGACAACTCATTTCGTGGCTGGTCCTCGAATGCTAACACCGGATCTCTCTGTCTGGAGGACAAGTACGAGATCATCAAGGACATTGGCGATGGCAGCTTCGGAAGTGTAGTCCTCGCAAGGACGAGGAGCGCTGGCGCTCACCTCGTACGAAGGAACACTTTGGTATGTCGATCTTCTAACGTCGATATCATTAGACTCGGCCTAACCAAACCTTGCAGGTCGCTGTCAAGACCATGAAGAAAACGTTCGAGTCCTTCTCGCAATGTATGGACCTCAGAGAAGTCATCTTCCTCAAGTCAATACCGGCTCACCCTCATCTGGTCCCGGCTTACGACATCTTTCTCGACCCTCTTAGCAAGAAGCTGCACATTGCCATGGAGAACATGGACGGCAATCTCTACCAACTGATGAAGACGCGGGATCACAAGCCCTTCGATGGCACTGTTGTTAAAAGCATCTTATTTCAAATTCTCGGCGGCCTGGAGCACATTCACGAGCACAGCTTCTTCCACCGCGATATCAAACCGGAGAACATTCTGGTCTCATCGTCGGCACCCGATACACAGAGCTCCTTCAAACGATACTCGTCATTAGTGACACCTCCATCGACACCTCCAACCTACACTATTAAGCTTGCCGACTTCGGACTGGCAAGAGAAACACACTCCATGGTTCCCTACACAACATACGTTTCCACCAGATGGTACCGTGCACCAGAGGTACTCCTGAGAGCTGGTCAGTACTCTGCGCCGGTGGATATCTGGGCCTTTGGTGCCATGGCTGTGGAAATTGCAACCTTGAAGCCTCTCTTCCCCGGTGGCAACGAAGTTGACCAGGTTTGGCGAGTTTGTGAGATAATGGGCAGTCCTGGTCTTTGGGTCAACAAGCACGGTCAAAAGCTTGGAGGTGGCGAGTGGAAAGATGGTGTCCGCCTGGCCGGCAAGCTTGGATTCTCCTTCCCAAAGATGGCACCTCATCCCATGGACACAATTCTTCAGGCCCCTCAGTGGTCCGCAAGTTTCGCACGGTTTATTACCTGGTGCCTAATGTGGGATCCTAACGCTCGACCAACTTCAACACAAGCCCTTCAGCACGAGTACTTTGCTGATGCCGTTGATCCTGCAAGACCCAAGTCATCAAATACCGCCAAGTTCCTTCGCAGCAAGAGCTCTACTTTGGGTAGTCTCGAGAATTCGCCAGATTCTAACCAAGGCAGTATCTCTCTTAAGAAATCATCGTGGTTCAGAAAATCCATTAGCACTACAGACTTCACACCACCTCCAGAGCACGCTCCTCAAGCACCCACTTCCCATCCTTCACCCGTTAATGCTAGAGGAGTTGAAGGTGCCGGCTCAATCAAACTCCGTCCTCCGTTCACCAAGAGAGCAACATGGAACAGCGCCGTACCGATCCCTATTCTACCATCAATCAAGCCGGTCTCGCCGATACATGATGCTGTGACTGCCAGTGCTAAGACTGAAGCCACCGAGAAGAAGAAGATCGCAAGGCAGCTATCTGTTAACTCTCACGGAAACCATTACGCCGAGTACCATCGTCAGGAAGCCGAGAAAGCTCTCAACGGTATGAGTGGCCTTGCTTCGCCTACTGGAAGTGTCAGAGAAAGTTTCTTCTCTCACCTTCGCAAGAGGGCTCGCAGATTCTCCGGTCGTAACCAGATTCCGGGATCGCCTGGACCTGAGGAGTCAGAACCAACAAGTGTTGGGTGTGCACCGTGGGCATCAAGTAACAGGTCATCTATGTCTGTAGAGCCACCTGCCCGTGACTCTGCTGCCGACACGGGATTTTCAGAGCTTGATAAGGCTCTAGAAAGCGTTCGTTCTAGTCTTGACGCGCGCGCCTCAAATGCGCCTGCCAGACAAGTTCAACGCATGTCAAGCACGCCTATTCTCAAGCGCCACCACTCTCTTTCCACAGTCGCAGATGGACGCACCTCGCCTGCACTTTCTGTTAATGCGCAGACTACTAGCCGAACACGACGATCAGTCAGGCAATCGCTTAACCCTCGTCAAAGATACGAAACTCCCGACGAAGAAGAGGAGTTACTTGACGAGGCATTGACCAACGCGCGTCGGGCAGCAAGACGGCTTGAGAAGCCCACCCCAGCCAAGCCATCCTCGGGCAAAGAGAACACCAGGCCTCCAATCGCGCACGTGACCTCGGATCCTGGCTACTCAGCTCCCTACCTGACACCCTCTCCGTCTAAGGACAATAACATTGGTTTTGGTCAAACAGATATGACCCCTACCAAGTCCATGGCCATCACACCCCGAAGGCAGCGCGACAGTCTAAATCCACAATGGCCAACACCTCCTTATGACGACCACGAATGGGCTTCGTCAGCTGCAGCATCCATCCTTGCTGTGCATTCGGACACTAAGCTCAAGTGATTCGTGGCTACCTGCATCCCTGTTCCGTTGCTGGACTAACAGGCATTTTCCGTTCCTTTACTGCTTATGCTGTATTGATTTGGCTTTTGCGCGTTGTACATACCGGTTATGTGCTTGTCACACTCTGGAGTTCGACCATCACTATCATCTAGCTTTCAGCATTTCTTAGCGTCACATCGGCATCTTGTTCTTGTCTTTACACTTTCTTTTGACTTCCAAGTCTCAGTTTCATACCCCGGTACCGGCAGAAAGGACCACTGTTTTGTCGATCTTTGCTCAAGGAGGCGCAATGCCTTCTGCCTGCATCTATTGCATCTTGCACATATACACATCATCTTTTATCTTTCCAGCGGTTTCGCATATAGCGCTTTTCACATCTCATTGCGCCGCGCCTTTTTCTTGTTTTGCTGGCGTAGACAGCGCGCCTCGACCTGGCAGAAGTTGTTTCGAGCAACTTCGGTTTTCTTTTGTCCTTACTTTCGATTCGGCTCCGGTAATGGGGCGATGGTGTTTTGGTGGCGTTTCCAACTGTACAGCAGCTGGTTGGAAAACGGACGGAAAATGAGTTTATACATTACACTGACCACAGTATGGCTGGGAAGATAGAGAGTTTCGGTCCACTTGTCTGTACATAGGCCTGTTCGAGATTTACAGCATCTTATACCTCAATTCTTGCTTGGAAATGCCTTCAATCAATCGCTCATCAACGGCTTACCTTCTGCCTCTTGTCTCCCAATCCTTATATTTCTCTGTGATCTGACTGCCACATCAAATACTGAGAGTTACTTGGCTCAGCAGACTTATGCACGAGTCAAGGGGTCACTTCGATAGTTCCATATTGCAATAACAGCTCCGTCGGATCAGCACAGCATGAGTAGTCAGGAAGCTTTCGCGCCGTTGATAACGACCAGATCGTTCCACCGATCTGGGCTGGGCAAGTGGAGTACAGTATGTACCGTAGATTGTTAGTGCCAGTCTCTACATCGACAAGACCTTGCTTGTACCATTGCAAGAGCGCATCAAGCTGTCGCGTAACATTTATAGGACACAACCGGCGTGGATGTCATGCATGCAAGCGTGCATCATGACGCGACTCCTGCCTGTTTAATGCAAGGCCGGTCGAGACGGCTGCAGGAGAGAATCTGCACCTCGAACGAGCGAGTAAGAACTGACACAGCAAGCCTCGGCATTTCAATTTTCCTCTTCAGGTGAAGACGTACTCGTACGTGCAGGCCGCCGTTGGGAAGGGGAGGGGCTGCATCGGACGGCGCTGTCTCAGGCTCTCAGCTGTTCCTACGTAGAATGCTGTCATCAACAAGCTTGCAGACAAAGCAAGTCGTGGTCTGTAAGCCCCTGCGTAAGCTGAACAACAACAATGACTCGCAGGTCGCTCTTGCCTTGGAAGTCGACCACCCGTTGCGGACTGCCGTAGACTTGATGAAATCCAACAAGAGCCGAAATGGAAGCAAATCCAAAACCACTAACAAAGCCACGTCTTGCATTGAACTTTGATCTACGGCATGCTTACGGCCCGCTGCCTTAACCCTCTTTTTCTTCCTTTTTCTCCATTTCCTACACGGCACGTGTTGTTCATCCGCGGAAAGCCTCGAGTCAACCTCAACGTCTATTGAGCTCTACCTTTGCTGGCGCTCGATGGTGTCTTATCTCACCCAAAGTCCTCGTTCAATAACAACGACATTGCCATCAAGTGCCGACGGCTTTCGCTCAGCTTCGGGTTCGTGTCCAGGACAACGAGTTTCGGGCTGAGGCAGCGCATACGCCTTGCCCAGACGACACAGCTGCAATGGTGATCTCACTTGCAGCGGAGGGCCTGCAACCTGCAATTGTCCACTGCTCACATCCCTCTCCACCTGGTTCTCGGGCTCGAGCCGTCCTCGAATGAAGCATGAGGATCCTCGAGTCGTCAACGACTCGCAGGGAGCATCCTGCTTCTGCCCGCGGTGACGGGGGTCGCTCCGCCGGAAGAGGATCAAGGTTCATGCATGCATCTAGACAACACCACCATCGGTATTCGGCAAGTGACAGACAGCTTCACGAAAGGTTCGTCCCTTGAGCTTCCAAGCAGTTACATCTTGACTTCATGTCAAAGCCTGCACTCTGCTCTTGCATGTGGCCTCGCAAAGGAACAAGGCACGTCTTTGCCGAAGTGGAGATACCGAGTCGTGTAGTGATCATCTGATCAATTCAACTCATCTCGATTTCAATACATGTCCAAGCACGAGAGCCAGCACAACACTACCATTTTAGCCAGGCGATCCCGGTCACCACCATTATCTATCCGCGGGACCTTTACCCTGATCTGCATTAGAGCTGTCTGAATGAAGTTGGTTACAGAGCTTGACGGCGTACAGTCGTGCTTGATCGCGGTGTTGTCTGGGCGTGAAAGTATTGTAAGTCCAGAATACCAGCTTATGGACTCGGTGTGAGCTTCAACATCTTTCCACACTGACAGGCAATTAAAGCACTGGTTCATCCAAAGGTTTGACAATGGCGAAGACCCGTTTCCTGACACAGTGTCACTGTCACAGGAGTTTTGTGTACGAGCCCGTCGCACTCAAAAGCTGCGCTCTTGCCAACACGATTGACACCAAGTGAGTTGTTTTGGCAAGAGGCGCCTTGGTTTGTCGTGCGTCGCCCTTCTTCCACAGTAGACGGCGTTCTGACCAATACTGAGCATGATGGACCAACAATTACACACACATTAACCAGCAGGTGATGCACTTTCAAATATCGACTCCGTATGGATAGTGCCGTTTCTGTCTTTGACAAGAGCAATAGCTTTGAGTAACAATGTGACAGCAGTCTTTCTATTGCATCTACACCTATGTATTTGGTGGACCATTTCGAGCCTGGTCTCTTCAATAATCACTTAGTCCATTTATGGCTACACTGCGGCTTCTGATGGTGTTGACATATCGATAGAGTGGCATTGTATATACAAGACAGGGTTGTCCCATCAACAACATCAAACATTTTATCATCACTCACTCAGTGATAGAACCTTTCCATGAAGAGCATGGCACCGTGTGCCGTGATAACATTCTTGATGGCTCAGCTGTACAGCTTTGCTGAATCCAAGTTCCCAATAGTGTTAGAGCGATTGACCGTCGCAAACACAATATGCCCAACATCATCATCTGATGCCGTGTCTCCGATCTTCACTCTCAAATCTCTCAGGAGACGAGCTCGGTCCATTGCGCCTAGAGACGCTCCACCGGCGGGAATCTGCATGTAAGGGTTGTTATATGTAAAGCTCGAGACATAGCCTATCATGTCCGGTGCATGGCATAGATGACTAATGGCGGTGCCAATAGCCCCAAGCATGATAAGAATGACTGAAGATGACAGGAGTAACACAAACCAGATATAGTTACAGTGGTACACCTCGACCATGGTAGTGATTGTCATGTTGAACGTAAGGGGACGAAGGGTAGCTTCTTATCGGCACCACCACTATAGTCGAACACCGCTAGAAGGTTCCAGGTGCCATCAGAAGCGCCAGGTAGAGCGGCCGTATAAGCCAGAGGGGCCATCGACAGCTGCTAATAGGTATTGAGGAGTAACTGGAGTTTGGATTGGAACATGTCATTGGTAATGTTCAAGATCAGAGGCTGATCTGAACTCGCTCTGCCAAAGGGCATTTCCAAACCACGTATGTAAAGTTCTGTTGGTGCCGAATCACCGACTCGAAAACTTCCGGTCGCTAAAGGCATGTTTCGCATGAGATTAAATGAGATCGCGGGATCTTCGAGACGTGTCAAGTACGGGTTTCTGTTTGCGTATCTGGTAGATGGACGTAGCGCGACGACTGCACAGCCATCATTTGTACAACGAGCGCGTGCTTCGATATATCTTTGCTGTATCGTACAATTTCGAAGGGCTAGGGCAAATACACCTCTCGGATCAGTGCTGTTTGGGACCTCATACATAGAACCATACAGGATGTTGCGCGAGTATTGCAGAGACTTCATGCCGAGTGTTGTTGAGTTTTGATCATAAAACAGGGTAGTTTGACGATCAACGTTCAACGGAGTATTCGTGTCCAGGAAGAAGGAAGTCTGTGTTCCAGAAAGGTTGTTGTGAAGTGCAGACGACCCATTACTAGCAGACCAGACAAGTCCTAGGTCATCTATCCAGGAGCCATCATTCTTTGACACATTCAGTAACAAAGGGCAGTCTAGCTCCATGTACGAGTTTTCAAAACCGAAACTCTGAATCTTGCCAACCTTGTTCATGAGACCAGAAATTGGCAAGCCAGCAAGAGACGTGTAGTTGTCTGGTGAATGACACAGGTGGTACAGATCTCCATCCATTCTGATCGGATGGTTCCACCATAGTAACAGTGCTCCAATTGGGGACCTTCATGTTCCCCCAAACATCCAGGCTGGATCTTTTGACAACATCTGGTGACAATAGGTTAGCGTTATAGAGGGAATTTGTTGCTGCAAGTCCTGTAGCGGTATCGGCCTGAGCGAACACACTGCTGGTCATGTTAGGAAGCATGGCACCAGTTGGTAGGTATACGAGACCGAGGCCAGGAGTCGTCGTAGCATCAATCCTGGTAGTCAACATCCGCAGAAACCCTTGACCACCAAGAGGAGATAAGCTCCATAAGAAGAACAGATGAACTCCCACTACAGTGAATTTTCGCAGAAGCATTTGACTTTCTATCGCACCCCAGACACTTTGACTGGCTAAGAGGAGCTCAAGGACACCCAGCTGCATACCTCGCTCAGCACAGTATCTGGTGAGTGTTTTGAGTGATCTCCCAGCAACTGCAGCAAAGATGATCGGAAATATAGTCGGTCCCTTGGATTGTCAGCTTGTACTTCTGCCTGAGCAATGTTCTGAGATACTTACAAGCTGGGTGATCCTCTTAACATTTCGTCCGAGCTCATTACGTTCAATAGGTTGACCATCAAGCTTAGCGGCAAGAGCAGCGAGTACTGTTGGCGATTAGTATTGTCTGTGATTGCATAAAAAGAATTGTTCTACCGATGAAGGCCACTGGTACTAACGCGATCAAGACATCGCTAATACTGAGCAAAACGGACAGAACTGATCTGTCTCGTAGCTTGCGAGGCTGTTCTGGCCATCCTTTGATTTCGTCAAGACCATCCCGAGCCTCTAATATTGACAAAGCAGGTGACTTCCGACTTTCCTCCGCGTTTGTGTGTTGATTTGGTCCAAGTAAGTCTAAACTAACTGTAGTTTCAGACGAAGAGATAATCCTGGGCATGACTGAATCGTACGAAGGAGGAGATAGAGTTGGTCTGGTGTTGGACATCTGGTTCAAAGATCCAAGTGATTACGTATAGTCGCCTCTGCATGTACCATGTTGAATCTGTACCGTGCCTACTCTCTAGTATATATCTGGTCGCTTGGGGGCGTATGTAGCGCTCATCAGAACACGCCATACAATCCAGTCTCAGTTAGAGAATATGGCCAATGAGAGCAACAGCCTCTCCGAAGCAAGCGCTATGAATGGAGGTGTGGTTACAAGCGCTAGTGGATGAGCGCCAAATACAATCTGCGAAAGAATATTGCCGGTCTTTTCGAATCGCTCGAGAGAATCGCTCTGTGTAAAGATACAGAGATCTTGCAAGAGAGGTGGCCTTTTGAGTACACAAGTAAGCATACTGAGCAAGTAGATGGTTAGATGCCAGGTCCAGATTGTACGTCGAACATTTAGGCCTTCTGATCAATGTTCTGAGCCCTCTATAATATGCTTCGGTGCAGGCGAGTTTCCGAAAGACTTCGGACGATTTCTTGCTTTTCGACGAGTAGTTGTATGATCTCCTTATCATTCAGCGCTTGCATTGTGTGAGGAGAGCAATCGCACATTCGTTTGTCGTTTGATCACAAAGATTTAAGCGCCAGACGCTTGGAATCTACAGCATACGTGCCGTATGGGACCATGCTAAGAAGGCCCTACATCTTCGAAGTGATGTGCTGTAACACAAAAGGATAGTACCTGCTTCGCAATCAGGCTGTCGACTGCAGGTTCAGACTGGACGACTCTGCCCTTGCCTCGCCGGCAGCGTGAGGGTCTCAAATTATGTCGTGCATAAATCGGTGCAATCAACCTCGGGACATGCTGGGTTTCGAGACTTGCAAGAAGAGACAACTGAAATTGAGTTCAAAAGACGGACAGATTTTTTCCGGCGATTCGATCTCAGAACCATGGGCCCGATTTTTCGTACTCTTGTACAGTACTCGAGCAATTTCCGTGGATGATGGGCTCACCACTTATGCCGCATTCCCCACCTGCAGGCAAAGACCAGGCATCAATGACCACTCCAGGTACATAAGGCCAGCGACATGACCGGTCGATGCAGTGCATCGCGACCTGCGATCGTACCTTGTAGAGTTGACTTTGCTAGGGCTTTGTTGAATAACGACTGGCTGGTCAGAGACATATGTCCGCAAAGAACTGATGGCTTCGGGTTTTCCAGCGCGAACTGGAACAACTTTCATGCTTTGGGAACATGATTCGACCTTGCAAGAAGCCACATTCAACCCAATCGCCAATAGAAGCTTCAGGACCAGCTTCCATCTGAATCACTTCTGTTCTCAAATCAGCAGAACAGTTCGCGCGAGCGCCCTGGCAGCGACAGCACAAACGTCGTTCTGGGACAATCGATAAACGTGAAAGTCGACTGTGCTGCGGCCGCACACGAACACGATGGACACGTTTTTTTGCCATGGTTGTCAGATCCACCCCTGACGCTAATCACTTTTTACCGACTGTCCCGACCAATGGTCGCTCACTCCACACACATCACAAGCATGTGGCTTCGCAAGAACCTCGGGATCTAGACTCAAAGTGGTGTGGCGCCAGGCACAAAGAGAAGAATGGCCACACGGACACAACAGATAGCACTGCGGGTGCATGGAGATTGGACCGACTCGTTGCACCGCAACTGAGTACAGGACCTGGTCACGTCTTGTTTCTGCATCAGCCAAGTCTGCAGAGTTTTTCTTTGTGCGACGAGACTAGTGGAGTATACAAAAGATGTAGATGTACCGTCTTCTTTTGCTGAGCTGCAAGAGAAGACCCTAAACACCCCGCAACCCGGCCCAGAAGGGATGTGGCGCATGTTATTGGGTCTGTTCAAAAAAGCCTCCAGGGGAAGGGAGCGCTAGACAGGTACCGGTTGAGCTCGGGAGGGGAGGACCGTCTAGCGGTCTTGCATCGAGAAACCGATTGGACTCCACAGAGTGCTTTGGCACTGTGTTCGCCGAAAACTACAAGAAGGAACGCTGCATCCACCCACCCGCGCTTTCTCCTTGTTCACAGGCTTGAAGTCTTACGGTTGTGTATCTCACATTCACTCTCATTTCCTCCCCCATTCACTCCTTCTTCGTTCTAGGGATCCAGTATTCCTACACACTCTTTCGCTCATTACCCACACACCTCCACGGTCTCAACCACCTCAGAATTGCTAGCCAATTCGTTCAGTCTTTCCATCAATCTAAGAAATACCAGCTTCACTCTTTCAAGCCTTTCTTATCACCATTATCAAAATGAAGTCCTTCGGAATCATCGCTGCTTCTGCCCTCTTCGGAGCCATCGCCAACGCTGCGCCTCTTAACAAGCGTGATGTCGTCTGGGTTACCGAGATCGAAACCGATATTGTTACTGTTCCAGTCACTATGACCGTCTGGGCCGATGCTGAGGAGACCGCTGTGTCGACCACCACCACTTCGAGCAGACACGGACACCAGTTCTTCCACTCCAAGGCTTCCACCACCTCTACTCCCGATGCTGTTGTTCCTACCAGCAGTTCTTCTACTTACATCGCTCCTACCCCATCGAGCACCTCGGTCTACGTCGCTCCTACTCCCTCGACCACTTCGATTTATGTGGCACCTACCACCAGCAGCTCTGAGATTTATGTGGCACCTACCACTAGCAGCTCCGAGGTCTACGTTGCTCCCACCACTTCCTCTGTTTATGTTGCACCCGAGACCACTTCCGCCTACATTGCCCCCACCATTGAAAGCACTTCAGTCTATGCTGCTCCCACCACCAGCACTACCAGCAGCGCTCCTGCCGCAACCACCAGCGCCTCATCTGGATCCGGCATGAGCAGCGGTATGGCTGCATCTGGCACTGAATACTCGGGAGACCTGACTTGGTACGATGTTGGACTTGGTGCTTGCGGTTTGACCAGTGTTGATGGTGATCACATCGTTGCCATCTCCCACGTGATCTTCGATGCCTACTCCACTGGCAACCCCAACACAAACCCTCTTTGCGGCAAGTACGTTACTATCACCGGCAAGGATGGTCAAGCCTACCAAGCTAAGGTCGTCGACCGCTGCGTTGGCTGTGCTGAAGCCGACCTTGACCTTTCGCACGAGTTCTTCAACTCTGTCACTTCCAACGGCGACGGCCGTGTCGCTGGCATGTCCTGGACTTGGAACTAAGTCAACCATTGCTCTACAATCGATGCCAGTCTAGTCAGTTACTTCTGCGAAGTCGATTAGACTGGCCATCGCTCACTCATTTCGTATCTCACTTTCGCTAGCGCTGCGAGCTCGGTGCTTTGCATGATTTCTATAAACGAATTTGGGAAAAAAGGCAAATGTGACAGGCAGTGCCTGAGCATAAGCATAAAAGGGACGAAACGGTGGCATGTTATTTCAATTCTTTTCTATCTGTTGATAGCCTTTCTTCTCTTCTTGTCGCTATGTTTTTGCTGGGGATGCGGTTTGGAGATCTTACTGTCGAGTTGATCAAAATGAAAGAAACACGCGTCGTTGCTGCACGATACTTCATTGTCTATTGTGACCTTCTGTATCCTCGAGTGTCTAGTAGCATCAACGTGATCCTCGCGACGTTGCATTGCGAAGCTGACCCTACTCTGCCAAGAGCGGCCTTGACATCTATTTTAGGAGCGCGCAATAAGGCCGGCGTAACGTCAGAAAAAACGACTTGGCGATGTCATTATTGGATTGTTTTGCGCAGCAGTCACGAGGTAATGGACTACAGTAGCAGTTCTGTTTCTGAAGGCTGTGTATGAGGAGACTATCGAATGTCGCAGCAAAAAATAGCCTTGTTCAACTGTGGAAGGAGCGAAAGTCAAGATGCATAGTTCGATCAGGTGCTCGCGCATACATCGGCTAGATCAGGCTTGGCCAAACCTTGCCGTTGTTGTTTCCAGGGTCAGCCCCGGTCGAGTCGTGCTGCTCGAAATGAGGTGTTGCTCTGGCCATGAGATCTGTGCAACAGTTGGTAGAGATGACGCTGATGATGAGGAACAAACAGAAGAGCAGGTTGCCATGGACATTAACAAGCAGATTGCCGTGACGTTTGGTCGGCAGACTCTCGAACGAGGCACGGCAAAAATCCGAAACAGGGATAGTTTGTGGCTTCAACTTTAATGATTGGCCAAGGGCACAAACGAGGAGGGAGGATGAAACCTCAACTGCGAGACTGTGGCAGCCCTGGGTTTTCAGACAGTGACTCTCTTGTCTCGATTGACGTCTTGCGAACAGCAAGAAGGCTATCAGAAATAGACAAAGAGGACCACAGAGAAGCATCATCCCGGTCACCGCACGCAGATACAAGGATCGAAGGACAAGCGTGGTTTAGAAAACAGGCGGGCCAACACGAAGATCCCATCCCGCTCTGCTTCGTATGAACAGGGACCCTTGGCCTTGAGACAAGACTCTGCCGAGCTGAGGAAGAACGTCTCCAACACGCATACCCTCCGACCTGCATTTGCATTCCCATTCTCAACCACCTATTCAACCTTCAGCCCTATCTCACTCCGACTCTTGTCGTCTGCTGCACATCACTTGTCGACACCTCCTGTATCGCTCGTATCACTTCTCTGTCGCATGAGACCGACTCCCGCGGCCGGATAACAATCGACTCGCTCCTGGCTTTGCTAGACCGCAGACATGTCCAACTCGACAGGTAAAGCGGCCGTGCACCGTCTTCTTTGTTTGCGACTGACAATCCAATAGCTGCCATCACCACGCCGGCCTCGTCGACTTTCCTTTCGACTACTGTCGCCCAAGCCGGAACCACGACTCCAGATGCCGCCCAGTCGTCCTTTTCGTCCTTCTCGTCCGCCGTCGCATCTTCAGTATCGTCCGAAGTCTTTTCATCAGCGTCCCAGGTGGCTAGTACTGTGACCGTCGAGCCGTCCTCAACCAACGTCGTCACTTCGGTCGTATCTGCCTCTTCACGACCTGCTTCAACCCAACTCATCACCTCCGTCGTCACTGAAAGCGCTTCGAATGGCGGTTCATCCGCCGCCCCCGTCACAGTCGTCGTGACTTCCGTCTATATGCCTGAAACAACCACTACCGCTAAAGGCTCTTCGACCTCTTCTGCAGCCAGTTCTTCATCTTCAGCAGCTGGAAGTCTACCAAACGGCACTACTGGAAAGGGCTCCAACAACAGCCATGGACTCAGCACTGGTGGCAAAACCGCTATTGCCGTCGTGGTCCCTGTTGTAGTGGTTGCACTGCTGGTTCTTGCTGGCCTGTTCTTCTGGAGGAAGCGCAAGCAAGGAAAGATCGCCAAGGAAGAGCGCCGAAAAGAAGTCGAAGAGTACGGCTACAATCCCAACAACGACCCTACCCTGCCTGTTGTCGCTACTGATGGATCTGAAATGGCCGAGGATTCCAATGGCGGCTACCGTGGCTGGGGCAATACTTCCATGTCGAACCGCAAGGCTTCAACTACCCTCTCTGGCGGTCATACCACTGGCCTGAGCGATACTGGAAGTCAGCCTGGAGGTTTCATGCCTGGCAGTCCTACTGGCAACAACTTCTCGGACGGACACAGTGGTGATACTCTCATGAATCAGCGTGAAACTTTCAGCAGCGATGATCTTGGTGCTCTTGGTGCAGCCCCTGTTGCTGGAGCCCACCGTAACAACAACGATATTCGCCGTGGACCTTCCAATGCCTCCTCCTCTTATTCTGCCGGCAACCACAGTGAACGTTCCGACGTCTCGGCGGGTATGGGCCAATCGAACCAGGCCTACTCGCCTACAGAAATGTATGGAGGCAGTTTCGGTGGCTTTGGGCAGCATGGTCCATACGGCGATGGCTCGTATGGTGGCGGTGACAGTGGTATGCCGATCGTTCGTGACGTGAGTGCTAGGAGGAACACACGTATCGAGGCTGGAGGCAACTACCAGTCAGGAAACAGTGGTATTGCGCAGAACTTCTGAGTCCTGTACCAACACTCTATTCCTTTGAGTCTTCACGAATTTCCTTATTTTGTCACCTCAGCCAGCGCCTTTGAACATCACTTCACATGGGATCTTACCGACTCCACCTTTCTCCTTGTCTCTTCTCTTCGTTGTCTGCTTTGATTCTTTTGGGTACAGCGCAGGTCGGATGTTCATACAATTTGTCTCATATTTCTTACTTCTCTGCTTCTCGCACTCTTTTGATGGCAATCTCTGTTTTAATTGTAGCTTGTTCCCCTCACCGAGGATTCCTAGAAAGGCAGGGCAAAGCGAAGGTGGAGTGGTCTTAGTGACAAAGGTCAGCTTGTTAGGGACGAGAATTAAAGGCAAAACTTTGTCTCTTGAGATTTACATATCCAAAAATTGATTTTCTATGGTTCTTATTCTATCCTCATGGTGATTATGAACAGTGAGTTTTGTGTTTGGACTGTAAAGGCAGGTGCAATGCGTGACGTCGATTGCGAAAGCGAAACGCGACTTCCTGATGAATTCGCGTCGCCCATGCTACACGAGACACAACTTTTTGGCAGGAAGCAATCCATATCATCTCTTTCTCAGACCATCGTGCTGGAATCTCAACCATTAATACACCACATTCACGACATGGAAGCCATCCAAACGGCCTTTGGCCATGATGCCGAATTATGCGATCGTATCCTTGCCGCTGCAAGTAAGTCCTATCTACGACCCCGTTGACAGTTTTGAAGAGGCAGGCAAAGTACCATGACCGACCAAACTCTGGCCCAGGTCCCTGGGAAGGTATCACATCCGGAAGCCGACGCGTCTGTCGCAACTCTATCGGCTTGTCCACCTGAGGTTGTAGCATTCGTGCTCCCGTAATGAAGGATATGGACAATGACCGCTCTGGAGCCAAGACAGTGCTGGTAGGCCATGGCAAGCGATGAGCCCGACCACACCTACCGAGGACCTTGGGACTCTTGCTCTGCCTCTGTGACAGCATTGATACAAGTAATAACCTTTGCATGATACCGTCACTGATTCGTTTGCAGAGGAGAACCGCGATCAGATGCAATTGTTTGTCGACATAGCCAGATACATGTCCCAATACATGTCTGGAAAGAGAACCTCCGACGACGATGCCACCCAAGCTCCAGACGCAAAGAAGAGAAAGGTGCAGGCAAATCATTCTGCTGCTGGCCCGCCAACGTCAACTTCCAGTTCGGCCGCCATCATCAACCAACAAGATGTTGCCAATGTACTATACTCAGTCCCGGAAACGAGCTTTGCAGTGCCACAAAGGAAAAAGATGACAGTCCAATTGGCTGCGAACACGCAAAGACTCGAAGAGGGAGTGCTCAAGGTCGTACATGAGGCATCAGGTGTCAATCTAGCCGTTCCTTTCAGCAAGATCGGTAAACCACATCCTAAGAGCATCGTGCAGACTTGAACAGCAGGAAACTAACAACCACCACAGAGCAAGTCTTCTGTCTACCCGTACCCGAGAAAGCGGCGAGACAATGGAACTTTGTCATCTTTGCCAACCACACTGTTGACCTTAAGACTGGTGACAGAGCTACCGAGGCTGAACAAATAGTGTGGACCATGCCTGAAACAGCCCCTGCTAACGTCACGGCTGCCGATGGCTTCAAACCGCTAGATGTCGATACATATGTGACCAGCACTATGAGGTCGCTCAATGTCTGCCTACAAGGCCATGGCAAGAACGTCATTATTCCTACAGAACAAGAGTTCGCAAGCGCGATACCGCAAAGCCATAGAAAGGGCGAAGCTGCATATCATGTCAAGGCTCACAAAGGAAGCAAGGATGGTAAGATTCTTTCAAGTACTATACATGCTTCATCGCTAACAGAACGCAGGCTACCTATTCTTCCTTTCTGCTGGCATTGTTTGGGCTTTCAAGAAGCCCTTGGCGCTTTTCACGTTCGAGAACATCGAGTCTATCTCGTACACATCTGTCCTACAACGCACTTTCAACATAGTCATAACCACCATGCCGGATCCTGTCACCGGCGAGAAGCAAGATATCGAATTTTCCATGCTGGACCAAGCAGATTTTGCCGGCATAGACGAGTATGTCAAACGTCACAACCTCAACGATGCATCTATGGCAGCCGATCGTCGCGCTAAGAAGCTCAACATCAACCCCAAGCCGAAGACCGAGGCCACAGATGCAGAGGGTGCGGACGCAGACGACGATGACGATGAGATGACAGAGCTCCAAAAGGCCGAGCAAGCCCTACAAGACCAAGAAGACGAGGAAGAAGAGGACTATGATCCTGGCTCCGAAGGCGAGAGCGAAGGCTCCGGATCCGATTCTGAAGACGAAGAAGAAGGTGGCGCAGAAGGTGGTGACGACGAAGAGGAAGAGGAAGAGCTTCTCGAGGATGAGGAGGAGTAGGAGCTCGATTCATTCTTCGAGCCTTTCCATGGGAGGTCTGCAGTCCCCAACATAAGGGCGATGTGTGGGGATTGTCGATTCTGATATGAAAATACGGAAATGTGGCAGTCGCGATAGTGAGAGCTACCGAGGATGGTACAACTAGATATTGCTATCGCATGGCACGGTTTACAGGACAGGTATATTGTAAGCGCAAGCTGTAGGGAGAATTTCTGCTCGTCGATGGAAGAATCATTCAGACACCTTATGATTGAAAGTTGATGGGAAGACGTGTTTTCGATATAGTGTACAAGAAAATAGAAGATAAGGTGATCTATCAGATGATCCTAGAGATACCAGAGCGTTACGTTCTCCGATCTCAAATGACCAGGGTCTAATTTCTTTCAACAGCTCTGTGCACCGCCTTCACCTCTGGCCATTTTGGCGCCAGCGAGCAGAACACTAATGCCCATGACAACACAACCAAAAGCTATGCAGACATATGCAGCGTAAGTCTCCCACGTTTTGCGTTGCGTGAGTTTGACATAACACAGTGGAGGCAAGATGTAAGCAAGAGCGCAAGCACTGGTGGCGCCAACGAGCTCAAACACAATACCAAGGTCGCAGGTCAGTAGACTCAGTCCCATAGCTGAGATGACCAGTGCAGTCGTGAGGATGAGATGGCGATTGGGGTCAAAGGCCTCGTGGGAGAAGTAGTAGAGGTTCATGACTTCTCTGCAGACAAAGGCTTCCAAGGGCAGTGTCGTGAGCATGTTGAGGCCGAAGCATCTAGAGATAACACGTCAGTCATGCTGGTGCATAGAGATTGAGATCGAAGACATACAATCTGGCAATGTTGACGAGAACATTGTCTGTAGGGAAGTTGTTGAGGACGTTGCCTTGGGTTAAACTTCCAAAATTCAGATAGCCAGAAAGGGCCATGGCGAGACAAGCAAGCATCGAGATACTGGTTGAGTAGTGAGTGACCTTTGCGAAGCGGTCCATGGTTGGCTTCTGTAATGATCCATAGATGAGTAGACTGTTATGATCTGGTGGTTGAGGTCAGTAGGCATAGAACAACCAAAGCAGGCACGAACATACGGCAGACGAAGGCTAGTATGGATTAGTTATACGGTCATTACACATGAATGATGGATACATACCGAAGGATATGACACCGATAGCCTGAAAAACGCCGGTATTGATAATCAAGGAGCCTTTGATGGGGCCCTTCATCTCGGCAGGAACTCTTGGCCCTTGGGTGATGACGGTGATGACAATGATGAGCATGCTGAAGAGAGCCAGCGAACTAGCTTTTGCGAGCTAGAAAGCTATCAGTAAGAGTCGAAGAGGACGAACACGCCCAACCTACCTTTGAAATATCTCTATATAACGAGAAAGGGTAGGAGATGCCCATGATGAAGACGACTATGACGAATCTCCTGTCGGTAAGAAGCCATAGAAAATGACTGTCTTCCAACGAGGGAAATAGAGCCGACATGACATGAGGGATGGTATCTCCGACAATGATACAAAAGGCAATCATTCCACCGAAAGCACTGTACATGTCAGCAATCTTGACATGGCAAGTCGGGTTCAGGGATAAATTACAAGGCCCATTGCGCAATGGAAATGGCAACGAGGCCGGACTTTCCGAAGCAATGCTCGACTGTCGCCTGGAAGGAGTTGGTGCCGCTGAGCTTTGAATTTGTGACGATCAGACGGATGGTCCAATCCACAGTGATGGTCAATACGATGAGGAGGATGACACCTGTAAGCAGACCGGCTTGGCGAAGAGCGTATGGTTGACCAATGATACCGGCACCACTGCAGAGGCAGGTCAGATTGCAAATGAAATGGCCAAGCGGAGATTCAAGGCTCACATGATACTATTAGCCATGTTCATAAAGGCGCTAGACATGGAACTCTTGGGTCGCGCAGTCTCCAGAAGTTCATTGGGATTGAAGTCGGACTCGGCCAGGGTAACAGCAGGAGCCTCGATGCCTGTCAGGAGGGGAGCGCGTTGACCGGCATTGTGTCTCCTTTCGCTCCAGTTGTCTGCAGTCAGATAGTCCTCCTCTTCGATCAAATCTTGGTCGTTCTGATGGACATTGTCGAGACTGGCGCGGATCGAGTCTTCAATGTCAAAGTGGACACGGTTTGTTGTTCGAGGAGTGCCGGCAGGGCGTGGCTGGGCGAATGAAGACTGCCTTCTAGGTGGAAAGGCAGGTGGATGGGGCGATTGCGACTTGGTCGCAGGATGGACTACAATGTCGCTGTCGGGTGAGGCGGAGCGTGGAGATTGGTTGTAGGATAGCAGCCGACTATGTTCATATTCATCGTCGTCTTGAGCGACGTGGCCGGAACCTGTTGCTGTGTTCGGGTGCTCGCTAGCCATGACATTGCGCTTTGGTCTGATCTTGTCTCAATCCTCCATCGTGCCTTCCTCTAGTTGTCCTGGGAGTGACGCGTATGTTTTGTTGTCCTGATGCAAGCTCGCCCTTACCCTCCTGCTTCCCCCGGGACAACCCCACCCGAGCGTCACAACCACCTACCCCGAATCTCTTATCCATGCATCTTCCATTCCTCCCACTCCTTCCGACTCTTGTCATCCTGCCGGATTAACATCTTTCCTGCTCTGATTAATTCGCAATGCAATGGCGATCATCTCACGTCAGACCTTTGTCCAGAATAGGCACGAGGAATAGCTGTTTGACCTGTGAGCTCGACTACAAATGCGTCTGCCTGTCCATCAAGGACAACATGTCCATTAGCTTCTGTCTACTGTTTTGTATTTCGTATGAAGATTATGCCGCTCCTTGTCCTTTCTCCAACCCTGCTAGCGCTAAGTCTTCTCTCCTTGACCCTTCTCTATCTCGTCTATCGTGCAGTCTTTCCCCGTCCCATCCCAGGTATACCATACAATAAAGACGCTGCAAGATCCATTCTGGGTGACCTGCCCGAATTCTTGAAATATGTCAAAAAGAACAACGGCCAAGCCGTGAACTGGTGGCATATGCAAGTCGAAAAGCATGATTCTCCCATCGTCCAGCTATTCTTGAACCCTTTTGGTGGACCAACCGTCATCGTGGCAGACTTTCGTGAGGCTCAGGACGTCCTCCTTCGCAGGTCTAAAGAGTTTGATCGGAGCAAAGGCTTTGACAATGTCTTCAGCGGTGTCCTCCCGTACCATCATATCGGTCAGAAGACAACCAACAAAGTCAAGGCTCAGAAACGCTTGTTGGCTGACACCATGTCGGCGTCCTTTCTCAACGAGGTAAGTCTTGTCAATCTTAGCATATAGTTTGATCTATTGACGGTAGATGCATCAGGTCGCTGCCCCTCGTGTTCATGAATCAACCCTGGATCTCGTACGCTTGTGGAGTCTGAAAGCAGATCTTGCCAAAAACCATCCTTTCGAAGCTCATGAAGATATAGCACACACTACGCTTGACGCCATTTGGGTTGTCGTCTTGGGTTCTTCAGCCGATACTGTCGCGACCCAGGCGAACATGTTAGAGGCTTTGTCAGATATGCAACTTCCAACAGGCAGAGACGTACCAGTTGTCTTCCCTCAAGCTCCTCATCCACCGGCGTTCGATGCTGTCTTGACCTTGGCAGAGTCAGTGACTCCCTTGATATCATCTCCGTCTCCCAAAATTCACCACTGGTTCTTGCGGCAAAGCAGTTCTTACAAGGACGCTAAGCGGTACAAAGACCAGGAGATAGAGACTATGATGAAGGCAGCAATTGATAAATTCTCTGAAGATCGGGTCGATGCTCTGGAGAAGCAGGGTAAAGACCGATCGGCCATAGATCATATGATTCGACGCGAGCTTCTGGCATCCAGGAAAGAAGGCAGAAGTCCTCAGTAAGTTCTTGCAAGGATTACACGAGCCACAACACTGACCCATCCTGACCTAGATATGACACGCCCGCAGCAAAAGATGAGCTCTTTGGCTTTCTCATAGCCGGCCACGAAACAACTGCTACAACGACCGCTTGGGCGGTCAAACTGCTGAGTGATAACAAGAAAGCACAATCTAAGCTACGTGAAGTATTGCGCTCAACCTACACTGATGCCGCTAGTGAGCAGAGGCAACCTACCGCTGGAGAAATCGCCACCTTGCATCATCCTTATATTGATGCCACTCTGGAAGAAATACTGCGCTGCGGTGGTACAATAGCCGTGATGAGTCGATGTGCAATGGTCGACACAGATGTGTTTGGCATTCGCATCCCTAGAGGAACTGATCTCAATTTTTTGACGCACGCTGGCTATGTCGCACCACCAGTCGGTGTTGTAGAGGAGCATACGCGCAGTCCCAGTAGCCAAGCAGCCAAAGACAAAACCGGTATCTGGGAAGTGTCTGACATAAACGTCTTTAAGCCAGAGCGCTGGCTAAGACCGACCGACAAGAAAGGTGAAGTCGAGTTTCAGAAGAACGCTGGCCCAAGTCTGCAATTCGGTGCAGGAATTCGCGGTTGTTTTGGTATGTTGCACTGCTCCATAAAGAAGATAAAGCCTCTGACCATCCTGCAGGACGCCGGCTAGCATACATCGAGCTCCGTATGCTTATTGTCTTGATCATATGGAACTTCGAACTCCTTCCAGTACCCGAGAAGCTCGGTACTTATCTTGCGAGTGACAAAATCACTCATCAGCCCCAGAAATGTTATCTTTGCTTGAAGAAAGCCGGCTGGTGATCGCGGGCAAGCCCTGATAGCCAAGTATACAGAATGTGTCTGCAACTACTCCTGAGCTAGAATCGATCGTGATGAGCCTGCCACATGTGAGCACACATGACACTAGTGATCAAAGGCTGACTCTGCCCCTGCATTAGACAGCGTGATGTGCGTTCCGCTCGACAGTCCTCAGCGCGATAGAGCAAAGCTGTGGAGAAGACCTCCCCGGGTGATGAGATTGAACCATTTGCTAAAAGGGAAACCGGATCTACGCTAGTGGCTCGGGTAAGCAAGCTTATCTCCGCGTGTAGATTGTTAGCGGTTATTTCAGGTTCTTTCGAGAACTGCTTACTGCAGGTCTGATCTTGCGCATCAAACATTTGGCTTGTGACTCAAACAATCGAGACTGTAGAAAGAGATTCGAAGCACTTTTCAATGAGAGCACAGTGCTAGAACGTGATGCCGGGAGCTGTGGGTGATGAATCTGTCCTGCATATGATGCCGCTTGACGTATCAGATCTTCCCCGACATCGAGGAACGCTAGCGCAGTTTGGCATACTGCTAATATCGCATCTAAACATAAGGGGTTTCGTATCGTCGCAACAGAATGTTATGGCGATGTTGGTTAGAGATCATTTTTCCGACGTGAGAGAGAGAAAGCATAGATAGCGAGCCCGAAGAGCCGCGTTGTGTTGCTGATTGGTGATTGTTGTTCCGGAAGGATGGGTGTAGATCGATGTTTTAAACTTGCCAATAAAAAGAAAAGCAAGGGATGCGGGCGTCAGTTTGTATCGGACATGTTGTTGTCCGTCGCTCACGTTCGACTCTCCTTTCTTTCTCAACTCCCTTGCAACGCTCTTTCTCCGACACATTTTTCTCGAATCGTCCGGTCATCTTGCGAGAGGACACGTTATCGCAGGACACGTTATCACAGAGCAAGAGCATAGAAGCGACTAGCTCTTTCCCGAAACCTTCTTGGTCCCAGCAATCGCGACTTCCGACCCCAGGATTTGTAAACCCTTGGCTGTGCAGCAGCCTAAGTTGCGTAACATCACGCCTTCCCACCTCTTTACTTTTGCTTCTCCACTCAACTTCTTTCTCGTCATTCTCTTGTATACCACCTTTTCACCTTTGCGACTTTCGCGCAAACTCCTGAATTAGTTTGCGACGGTTGTCTTTGCGGACTTAGCTGTTGCGCATCGCCTCCGTTTTCCGTATCCTCTTCGGCGCAAACCGATTCTCGAACGCGACGTTCGCCTTGCTGCAGATGAATCACTGAGTTCGGATTTTTGAACGTTCTCTGAGGTCATGCAAAGCATTTTTCGCCTGCCATGGTGTACGGACCCTTCAGGCGACGAGAAGCCCGAAAAGGCCATGCTCCCCAAAATGCGCCAACCTCCTGTGGTCGACATGGCTCTGTTCAGCAAACTCAAGCGCAAACGAGCCAATAGCCCATCCTTCGACTCTCTTCCTGCCTTTGACCATCCTAAACGCCTCAAGCTGTCAGACGCTGATCGTGACTCATCTCTGCCTGGAAAATGGCAGCCTGATTCTTTGATCGATGTCAAGATGTCTGAGCCTAGATCGCACGACTCTGCTAACCATACTCATCAAAATTCGACGGCGAATGTTCCACTGCTTACTCCGGATGTGTCATTTGCCGCTTCATGCTCTACGAAGACTGCAACACCTTCTGCCGATCCAAAGCAACTTCTAGAGACCAACGATAAGCCGGAAATCATGGATGGAATGAAGCTTCAAGACGTTCTTGAACATCAGTTCAACCTCGAAATCCTACTTAAGCATCGCGAACTTCGACTCATCGAGCAAGAACTTGCCAAATGCCAGGTTGCGCTCGAGCAATTACGAAGATGTGAGGTCATCCCGTACCCTGGAGCTTCTGGCCTCTCCGAATCTCTTTCTTCTGGTACTGGACCTGCATTGAAGCCTCAGCCTGGATTCACGCAACCGCAAGCTCCGTCACCATGGGGCGTTACGGATGGTCCTTACACGAGGCATTATGCAAGATGGCTTCTCAACGACCCAACCTTTGACTCGTTACCGTTCAGTCAAGTCATGCCTAACTTGGACAACTACGCGATGCAGCCTGAAGGTCGATCCACACGCAACAGTGGTGCTGGTATTGGCAAGGCTGGCAGATCTCGCCCTACGCGTGATTCGTTCGGCAATCTTAACCAAGCATTGCCCAACTACCCTTCGCAGCCTCGCGGTAAACAAGGTCCCTTGGTCATAAGAAGACTAGCCGACAATCTGTTTGTCAAATTGATTTGCAACAACTGTCAACGAGGCGATTTTTCTAGTGTCCAAGGCTTCTTGAACCACTGCCGTATAGCTCACAAGGTCGATTACAAGAGCCACGAAGCTGCGGCCTTGGATTGTGGAAAGCCATTGGAGGAGGATGAGACCCATCTGATCCCTCAAGGTGCTCCTGCATCGACACCTGGCGCCTCAAAACCACAGCAGGCTGCTAAGCCCGTCGCATCGCAGCCTATCCCTGCACCACTAGCTGGTTTTGTTCACCCGCTAAACGCGCAAGTCTTGCCACGCTACACGTGGAAGAGACAGGCAGATGAAGCAAGAGCGTCAATGTCTCATCCGCACAAGCATCGCGCAGTTGCAAGCAACACAGCTAAATCTGCTGCCGCAGCTTCTTTCCATGCAACCCCTTTAGTAGGATCGTCGTTCGCGCCATATCTCTCTGCTCGTTTCGCCAAGCAAGGCCTTGGTGGAAATCTGCAACACGCTACTACCCAAGCTCGCGAGAAGATTGATCTCGGCCCGGACCCTATCGAGGATGAGCAGTCGACATCAGCAGACAGCGAGACACCCAAGTCTCATGGTGCATCAGCCATCAACCTCAGCAGACCTAGAGACAAGCTGGCACACGAAGGATCGCAGGGTCACAAGGGATGGCATGCGCCCGTCTCGCGCCCTCGTCCTGCACCAATCATGGCTCGCCACGTTTCCGCAGAAATGATGTATTCACCACCCACTCTGTCGCCGCATGCAGTGGACAGCAATCCAGGACTTGTGTCCGATCATGAGGATGACGATGCACCTTCCGACTTGGACGATGTCCATTCAGAACGCCACGAGTCCCCTGACGCAGTGAGCAGGCTCGGTGCTCTCAGGAACCGAACATGTGGAGATGAGATGGATGTAGATCTCGAGATTGACGTGAACGACGAGGCAGATGGACACAGTGTGTTGATTCGACCTCGAAATTTGGGTCTGCAGATGCGCTCAAGTGGCAGTCCCAGCAGGGCCAAGTGAAGGTATGACAAGAGAAAGTGAGACAACTCTACATGTTTTAGAAGGACCGAAGGAGAAAATGTTGCAAGCTTATCACTGTACTTTTATCGATGAAGATGGAGGACTTTCGTTTCGTCAGTGTTCTTATTAGACATGAAATTGGAAAAAGCTTTTATTATCAGTCCTTCTTTCTATTGCTCGCACACGCATTACATTTGAGCAATATAGCTATGCCGAAATATGGACCGACGATATTGCATGATCAACCGCCGCTAGCTTCACGGTAGAAGCTGATGCTTCTGTTTGCACCAGCTGTGACAAAGGTCTCGTTTCTTGTCATGGACGTCTTGGGGAGCCACTTTACAGCCCAGAGTGTCTTGTCTGACTCGGTCTGAGTAGCGACACACTCGCGGCGCTCAACACTCCATACCTTTGCCTTGCCGTCATAAGCACTGCGAAACTATTAGTACCATACTTCGAATAGAGACAAAAGATTATATGACATACCCGCTCAGGAGATTTTCACCCGAAGTGCTCCAGTCCAGACTCATGACCCAACTCTGCGAGCCAGTGAGGTTGGCCACCTGCTCGCCATTCTTGACATCATACAAAGCAATAATCTTCGCATCACCGCCAGCAGCAAGGAACTTGCTCGCAGGCGAGAAAGCAACCGTCCTCACAGGCTTGACCAGCCCTTGCAGCGAATGCGCCAATCTACCAGTAGTGTTGTTGAATAGATACACAGCTCCATTTGCATGTCCAGAAGCAGTGAACTCGCCATCGGCAGACAGCGCAACACTCATGCCGAAACTGCCTTTTGTCTCGTACTCGCGGAGTTTTGTGGCGCCTTCGGAGGACAGGGTGTTGAGATCCCAGACATTGGTGCGGCCATCAAAGGTTGTAGCGGCGAGGAATTGGCCGTCTTCGCTCAGGGCGACTGCCCAGATCTCGCCCGCGTTTTTTGCTTGTGCTGTCTTTGAGTTGTCTGTTTGGTTGATCAGTGATCTGTCTGGGTGTTGGGTGGGAAACCAAGACAGTGGGTGGCCGCACCTACTATTGAGCCCTTGAGTGCCCATTGCGAAGACTCGTCGTCGATGGACCAGACCTTCAGCTCACCACCAAAGCCAGCTGATGCGGCAGTCTTGCCATTGGCGCTGACGGCGATGTGGTGGGCACCGAGTTTGTGCGCATCTTGCAGGGTTTGGACTAGAGGATAAGGGTTGTTCTCGTCGTTGGTGGGAGCAGTCGAGTAAACGTGTAGTGAAGATGAACCAGAAGCGGTAATGAGTTGGCTAGAAGTGGTTGCGACGCTGTAGATGTCGGCGGGCGAGGCGTCCGGGATGGTATGCGTTTGGAGATATTGTTTCGACTGGAAGCGTGCGTTAGAAGCTTGTGTCAATAACAGTCTATGAATTGACTTGCCATGGTGTCGAAGGTGCTGGGTTTGGTGGTTGTCGAGTCGGCGAGAAATGTTTGGAGCTGATCGATGAGGTCACTCTGTTGGCTTTCACGGACAAATTCACATGAAAGAGGAATATCTCAAGATGGTAATAATACAGTCAATTCGTGCCGCACGCGATACTTTCGCCGCGTCGTCTTCTTTCCCTTTGCCCAAGTAGAAACACCTGCAAATGCCCATGTCCTTTTTACAACGCCGTGTCCACAACTATACAGGTATACACTCATCTCAACCCTCCCTCATCTGTCCTTGTTCCTGTTTGCTGTTGACAAGGCCAGTCAACAGTCGGCCTTGGACTCGTAGACTCTGCTTTTGTCACTTGTAGCCTCTCTTGTCCATTCTTTGCTTCTTATCCTCTTTCTCCCACTCAGTCAACTCGGTCTTCTTGGGACTGAAGTCGTTGCTGAACCACTTCTTGATGCCTAGTATCTGTTAGCAAGACACTCCAGGCAGCAGTCCAGAGAGCATCGACATACTCATGACGCAGTGAGGACACAGGTAATGTGCGCGCTTGACTCTTCCACAGCCAGAGCACTTGTTGAGCGAAGTGACATCCTTGAGACCCTTGCCAGCCATCTGTCGGTGGCGCTTCTTCATGTGTGACGTCTTCTTCTTGGGCACAGCCTTGAGGATTGATTCCCAGATATCCGAGACGAGGCCAGGAATAGGAATGACAATCGAAGGCAGTAGAGGGGCGGGCCATGTTCGTGCGCCGATGGGCAGGAAGCTCCTTGAAGGACCAGCAGGACGGAGAGATGCAGAAGCGACGGCGAGGAAAGATTGGAGGAAGCCCATCGAGGGCGCGGCGCGGAGCGACATTGTGGGTGATATGGACAGGGCGAACAGACTGTTGATTGCTGCTCAAGTCTATCGCATCGACAACTTCTAAGAATTCACGGATGGAGCAAGAGGCGTGCTGAGACCAACGACGATACGTGCCTAAAACTACGCCTGCACAAGAGACTCGGGAAGCTCATCCGAGGGCTCAGCGGTGCTGGGGGCCGTGCATGGCAGCTTCCCCTTTCGCTACCACAGACAGACCCTGTGCCCCAGACGGGCCTTGGTGTATACCACAACGACTTGCTGTTCTCTTCTGTCACTCCCGTCTTGCAATCTTTGTCGCCATCGTCGAATCGGCCCTCTTTACCTCGCTCTAACTTTCTTGTTCCGACACTCGCTCCAGCACATCCACAATGGCCACCGCCGCTGCATCCTCGCAGCAGACAGCCTCCATCTTCCCCAAAAGCCACGTCGGTTTCGACAGCATCACCCAACAGATCGAGAAGAAGCTCCTCAAGCGCGGCTTCCAGTTCAATGTCATCTGTGTTGGTCAGACTGGTCTGGGCAAGTCGACCCTCATCAACACCATCTTCGCCTCGCACCTGATCGACTCCAAGGGTCGTTTCACCCCCGACGAGCAGGCCCGCTCCACCACAGAAATCCACCCCGTCACCCACGTCATTGAGGAGAACGGTGTTCGTCTGCGCTTGAACATTGTCGACACTCCCGGATATGGCGACTTGGTCAACAACGACAGATGCTGGGACCCCATCGTCAAGTACATCAAGGACCAACACTCCGCCTACTTGCGCAAGGAGCTCACCGCTCAGCGCGATCGCTACATCCAAGATACCCGCATCCACTGCTGTCTCTACTTCATCCAGCCCACAGGTCACGCTCTCAAGCCCATCGACATAGTCGTCCTGAAGAAGTTGAGCGAGATTGTCAACGTCGTCCCCGTCATTGCAAAGGCCGATGCCTTGACTCTCGAGGAGCGCCAGGCTTTCAAGGACAGGATCAGAGACGAGTTTGCTTTCCACAACATCCGCCTCTACCCCTACGAGAACGAAGAGTACGACCACGAGGAGACCGCCGTCAATCAGCAGATCAAGGTAGTACTCGCCAGTCACAAAGAGAAAGACGCTCATATCTGACACACTGACCAGAACCTCATTCCCTTCGCCGTCATCGGTAGCGACAAGACTATTAACATCAACGGTCGCGCCGTCCGTGGCAGACAGAACAAGTGGGGCATCATCAACGTCGAAGATGAGAACCACTGCGAGTTTATCTACCTCCGCAACTTCCTCACCCAGACCCACTTGCAAGACTTGATCGAGACCACCAGCCAGATCCACTACGAATCCTTCAGAGCCAAGCAGCTGCTTGCCCTCAAGGAGAGCAGCGCCGCTGTTCCTCATGGTGGTAGCAGGTGAGCCTTTGCCTAGTCTTGTTCTCGAGTACTAGTACTAATACGCGATGCAGACCCATCAGCCCCAGCGCCGACCGCGAGCTCAGCCGCAACAGCAACAGAATGACCATGAACGGATACAACTAGACGAGCGTCTATGCGACAGAACAAGGTGTTTGACAGAGGGATTTGTGGGCCGGCCATTATCCAGGTCTCTCGGGAAGCGCTTGATTGAGATACCATCTTCTGTTTTTGTTTTAGCATCTCTTTTCTCTCTATCTCTTCCTCAAAAGCAATCCCCCGGCTGTCTTCTACTATGGGGGCTAGTGATACTGTAATCGTACGGACTTTAAATTATGCTCTTCATGTGTGCAGAACACTTCGAATCTGATGCCAAGACGTTGAAGTCTAGAACAACTTCGACCTCAAGCTTTCTTCAATGTCAACATTCAACTATCAAATTATCTCAGGGTACATGCTTTTACGTCGGTGTTGGACGCACCGCATTTCTATTGCGCCCGTCGGTCTACGTGCTCGCTGCTACAGTTCTGCTCGGCATCATGGTATAACTCTCGAGAAACCGGTCCAATCTTACATATCCCGGAGTTCGGACCCTTTTATCAATCTCTCGATCGAGCACTATCTGCTCCAGAAATCACATCCAGAATCTTCGATACTATTTCTCTATGTCAACCGGCCCAGCGTTATCATCGGAAGAAATCAAAACCCATGGCTGGAAGTAAACCTCGGGCTTCTCAATGCCGCAAAAACGAGTCCCGATTCGCCATCTAGGATCGAAAACGAACCTCCGGGCTTGGGAGATGTGGACCTAGTTCGCAGACGTAGCGGTGGTGGGACCGTATTCCACGACGGCGGAAACGTAAATTGGACGGTGATATCTCCAGCCGCCACTTTTACCCGCGACAAACATGCGGAAATGGTGACACGGGCTCTACGTTCTTGCGGTGTTGGGAGGTCTCGCGTTAACGAGCGGCATGATATTGTTCTAGACCAGGGAACTTCTGATTTCACTGGTGCTTGGGGACCTGACGACGATACCCATTCTACACCATGGCAGAGCTCTACCATTCGCCCTCTCAAAGTGTCAGGGTCGGCGTATAAACTTACTAGAGCGAGGGCATTGCATCATGGGACTGCATTGCTGAACAGTCCGAACTTGCACGTCATTCCTTCTTATCTGCGTAGTCCGGCCAAGCAGTATATCAAGGGCAGAAGTGTGGATAGTGTCAGCTCGCCTGTGGGCAACATTTTGCTGAATAATGACGAGTTTATCCAGAATGTGCAGAGGGAGTACAAGGAGTTGTATTCAGGTGCTGCAAAAGCGGTGGAGTTGGGAGATGAGTGTCTTGAGATTGAGGAGGTCAGGAAGGGACATGCTGAATTGAGCGTAAGTTATCCTTGTCATCCGTGTCAGAGTTTAAGAGAGGATTATGGTGCTAACGAATGTGTGCGACAGAGTCTCGAGTGGACATATATGCAAACACCACAATTCACCTTCTCTGATCTGCCTCTGAAGCCAGAGCAGAAGGAAGGAGAGATCGATTATTCAGATGCCAAGGTATGTCGCTGCACTAATACTACGTAAACATTCAAGCAGACACTGACATCAGAAGTTCCGTCTGGATGTGCGTTATGGAGCCGTTACTGGATGTCAACTCAAGTTGAAAGACAGCACTACTCAACAAAGCGAGCGTCTCGCCCAACTGTTGGAGAAGAAGCATGTCCATGAGATTACAGACTGGGGAGCCTTGTTCAAGGAAGCTGCCTCAGAGTCAGCTGAAGCAATGGACATGGCGAAGTGGGTACAGAGTATGCTTAGCATACCTCACTAGGCTCTTCCAGCGTTGAGGTCTCCATTCGATGACAGAATGATTGTGAGACAATTGAGAATGGAGGATTAGATCCCTGTCCAAAATGAAGAGGGAATATACTTTTAAGTATTCTTTTCAGACGTGCTTTTTATATCATATCATGCAGATTCGTTCTTCTCCACCAGCTCCCCAACACCAAGCCCACGGCCAACCTTGACCTTCTTCAACAACTCTTGCTCCTCCTTGTTCTTCCCCAATGAACCGACTGCATCGCCTTCGTCGGCGTCACCACTGGTCTCCTCTGGCTTGAAATCTTCGTCGTCCCAGTCACCGGGTTTGGGCTTCAGGTGGTCGAGGTTCATCTTCATGCCATAGGCGTCTTCGCCGTCGGCGTAGTACTTGGCTTCCGTGCCGTCGACCTTGAAGCCCAGGGTATCGCGGTAGAGGGCGAGAGCAGCCTTGTTGGAAACACGGACGTGTAATGAGACGTACTTGGCGCCGTAGGTTTCTGCCATTGCTCGTTCTGTATGCAAGAAAGGTGATCGTCAGTATGTGATTCGTAGCAAGACAAAGACACAGAAAAACATACGACTTTGTCTCATCAGCTTCTCTGCAAGCCCTAGTCTTCTATGCGTGCGCATGACACTGAGCGAGGTAATGTGACCATGCTGAATTCCATCGCTGGGCTCCTCCTCCATCTTTGCGAGAACGTAGCCGACAATCTTGGGTGGGTCGTAGGGTGTCTTTTGCGGGCGCGATACCTGGAAAGAAGAGAAAGATGAAGTATGAGCAAGGAGGTATCTCGAAGGGTAATCAATCGGAAAGGCGACACACATCGACGGCGACATAGCTGAGTTGCGGCCAGCTCATGGCATGGTACATGTAGTATTTGCAAAAGTAGTTTTCGGGGAGGTTGGTGATGTTGGTTTGTTGGACATGAGGAATGTCGTCTGATCGAAGTACGCGAATATCCATGGTTGCGATATGTGGTGGGCTGTTTGACGAGTTTCAATGTTTCAATTCGTAGATTCGCGATTCGGAGACGACGAGGTCGGCGGCGTCACACCTTCCACATGCTCGTGCCAAGGCTTTTGGTGGGGGTGTGTTGATCGCAGAGGAAGGCGCGACTTCACACTCTCCTTCTCGAGTACTTTTCATCATAGACCATTGGCGAAGAAAGAAGCCATGGACTTGCAGAGTGATAAGCCATGCCCTGATTCTGTCTTGTGAAACCTTGAAGGACTCAGGTCCCATCATCACCACTCTTTTTGAACTTCTGAACGATTTATCGATGCACTACACGGCTAGACGGAAGATTCATGACGATATACAAGGGCATTGAGTACAGGTTGTATTTGTGCGCTCTTTAGAGGAGTGTATACGGCAGGCAAAACTTTCCCCAGCACATCACAACCCTTGATGCCAAAGAATGGCTATGCCATCCATACGCTTGTCTGCTCCTCTTTCATGCTCCTTCTATACCACAGACTCATCCTCAGCCTCCTCACCAGCACTGTCTGCAGCACCTTCTTGGGTGATGGCAGCAGGCTGATGTTTTGTCTTGATGTGTACAGCCAAATGCTGTTTTCTGATGTAGGTCTTGTCACAATACGGACACTTTTCATCGCGCATGTTTTGGACATGCTTGTACATATGCCGGATGTACTCCCCACGAAGGTCTGCCGTGAAAGTGCAGCCGATCCAGCGACAACGGCTGATGAGATTGTGGGTGTGCTTGCTGCCGATGTGATCCTTGAGATGCTCCTGTATTGGGAATCAGAAGGTGAAGCTCAACCGACAAGAGGAGATGGGTACTTACAAAAAGATCTCCAGGTGTCAAGAAGGGGTTTGAACAGCCAGACCATTGGCAGACTTCGCTGTTCTCAAGCTGGAGCTTCAGCACAGCATCCTTGATCTCAGTATTGTTCAATCCATTGTAGAGAGCACTCTTGACAGCCGTTTTGGCTTCGTTGGCGTCTTGAATACCAGTCATTGCGGCAACACGTTCAAAGTCGACCTACAGAGCGTTCAGCAAAACGCAGTTTACCATCAGTTGTTGGCACATACCTCGTCATAACCTTCATACACAGACATGATCATGTGTTTCTCATAATGAAAGACAATGTCCTCGCAGATCTCCAAGTATGCTTTCTCGATTGCTGGAGCGTCTCCTGGTTCGTAACCATGTTGAACAGCAAAGTCGACAAAGTTTGTCTAAACATACACGTTAGTATCCCTGCTCATAAGAGAGATCTATGGAGGGAGATCGAATTTACTGTATCGTACGCGTTAAGCAGGCCAGGCACCAAAGACAGAAGCTGCCAGATCTTCGTGTCGTCAGCCATCGTCTCGCGCGGCTTCTGGTTGTGAGTAAAGAAGTCCGGCTCTGGGTTGACGTTCCGTCTCTTGATATGAAACAAGAATCCGAGTTCACGGGGCGACGACATCATCGTACGCGCCAGGCTTTCCTTGCTCTGTCGTTGGATTGGTTCTCGTGCGTTCGACTACAGCAAACCATTCCGTCCCTAGTTATGAACTGAGAGAACACCGATGTGTATAGTACAGCCGTGGTCTTAAGATCTGCTTCTGCACCACTTGAGACTCCATGTGTTTGCAGAACTTGGCCGTTTCTCATTTTACTGTACTCGAACAAAGGAAGAAAAACGACGGAAGCAAAGGTATATCGTACATAGGCAGAAAGATGGCCCCTTGTCTGGATGCAAAAGAACTGTATCGACCCACCTTCCTCCCAAAATGCTGGCATCATTTCGACTTGATCATTAACGTGCATAGTGGAACCCACTAACCTCAAAACGCCATCATGGAACAAAGCTGCCTTGTTGGATCCATGTTGCCTATCCCAAACTCCACTTTCATTTCGTAATGCGCCCAAAGAAATCAAAAGCATAAAACGAGTCAAGCAAATTTGCCATACAAAGCCGAGACGGATGACTGGACGATTACAAAAAGTATTCTCCAGTCCTTCCTCTGCCTGCGGGAACGGCGCGTCTGTGATCCGGCACAGCGGAGAAGATGGTAAAGTCTGGTTCTAGATCCTCGCCAAGAGTCATGATACTGGCAACGTTACCACAGCGGTAGCAGTAGTTTGGTGCTGACCAGACAGTCACTACATCTTGGTTCTTGAAGTGGTACTTGTACCCTTCGTTGACCAGTTGATGAGCGCGGGCGATAAGTTGCAAACCGTTGACGTGGTTGAACTGGAGCAATTGTCAGTCAGAATATGGCACCAGGGGCAACAAAACAAAGAATCGACGTACCTCTGTGGCGACCTTATCACCAAAGAGCCAACCAGCGCCTCTGGGACTCACAGCCCATGTATCAACTTCCTCAGGATCACTCCATACTAGATCGCAGAAAGCACCCTCGTGGGGAATCTCCTGGGCTCTGGCAACGACACGAATCTGGTCCAAGGTGCGAATCTCGGGACTCAAGCCACCGTGCACACAGAGCACTTTGCCATCGACAATCGCAGCAAGAGCAAGGAAATCAAAGACCTGACAGCAAGACTTCCAGACCGAGGCATTTCCATATTTGGTCTGGCACTCTTCGTAGAAACCGTAGACCTGAGTGATCTGTCTAGATTCGTGGTTTCCGCGCACAAGGGTGATGCGGTCCGGGAATTTTGCTTTCAGACACATGAGCAAGGTAAAGGTCTCGAGGGAGAAATATCCACGATCAACAAAATCGCCGAGGAAGATGAAGTTTTGCTTTCCGTTGTTGTTGCTGCTGGATCCAGGTTGCTTTTTCCTAGAGGCTTCTGGGCTGCCGCCAATTCCGCTATCACTATCGTCTTCGTCTTCCTGGTCTGACTCGTCGATATCGCCACCTCCAGCAGGGCCCCTGTGGTCGGAACCACTGCTACGGCTCCTCACGCGACCTCTGAGTTCGCTTCCTTCTTGGCCATCATCCCCTTCCGGATCGTCACCGGTATCGTCTGAGGCATTAGAGGCAGATGAAGTGTATGCACTATCGCGTTGGAAGCGACGCTTCATCTTGCGCTTGACGCGGGGGTCATTGATTGTGGAGGGTGGTTCGATATCGGCAGCGGAGAAGCCTTTTGGCAGAGGAGATTTGGCAAGCTCAGGCTTCGGAGCTTCTGATTGAGGTTCGTTTGGGTTGTTGTCACAAGGCATGCCACCGGCGACAGCGAAGAGCTCGAGCAGGTCGTAGAATTGGCCGTGGATGTCACCACAGACAGTGACAGGAGTGTTGACTGGTTGAATGTTGGACTCCTCCATCAGGCACTCCTTAACAATCTCACACAGGCGCTTCATGTCGGCCTCGGGCAGGTACTTGCACTGCTTTGCCTGCTCTAGCCATTCGTCGGGGCCGGCGCCGGGAGACAGGCGGGCAGGACCCGGTTGAGGGACTTGGCTTTCTCTGGCCATGTTCTGTCGTAAGTCCCACGGCAAAGCGAGGGAGTCGTCGAGAGTGGTTTAGGGGGTGTGGGGGAACAAAAAATGCGGTGGTTGCATGGTGGTCGGCGGCGTCAGAGAGAGTGGGTAGGAGCGAGCGAGGGCGGATGGACCGTGCGTGGCTTCCCGCGGCGGGCAGCGAGCATAGAGAGTCTCTCCACACAGGCACATGATGATACTGGCACTGGCTGTTGGTTGCTCTTGCCCTTCTTATCCTGCGTCCGACTGTTCCTCATGACCACGCCCACCTCTACCTTCCCTGCTCCTAATGCCGCCTAAGCCCATGGTCCTGCTGGCCAAAAAGGGCGCCAATCATGCTGACTCGTCTGGTCACTCTCAGTCACAACATTCTGGCAAGCAGAACCACCAGTCCAAGAACGCTGCTCGTCTGAAACTCGTCCTGCGCCGCCTGCCTCCCGCCCTGACCAAGGATGAGTTTCTCACTACCCTCGGCGAAGACTGGAAAGTCCCTGGCCCCAAGATCGACTACCTGGATTATCGTTGCGGAAAGATAAAGGCTCCTGGAAAGTTGTCACTGCAGTCGCGCGCATACATTCACTTGACCAACGAGCAACACATCAAGCCCTTCGAAGCCCACTTCTTGCAACTCACCTTCCATGATGCCAAAGGCTCCCACAGGGATCCTCAGCTCAAGCAACTTCTGCCCTCTCTTGCCTTCGCTCCCAATCAGCGCATCCCTACCAACAAGCAACGCCAGGACGGCCGCCAAGGCACAATCGATCAAGACCCCGAATTCATTGCCTTTCTGGAACGTGAGACCCAGCCCGTCGCCAAACCTCTCTCTCTCGACCAGGCTCTTGCCCAAGAGAAGCCCAAGGACAAGGTTTCGTCCACCCCTCTGTTGGATGACTTGCGCGAGAAGAAGCAGAACAAGGCTAGGGCCAACCAGAAACACAAGGAGGAGAAAAATGCAGACAAGTCTTCGGGTAGAGGCCGCGACAACAAGTCTGACGCCAAACAGCCCGTGAAGCTCCTCGCAAAGGACAAGAAGAATCAATCTGCTCAGCCTGTCGCACCTGCTGCGCCGGCCGCTGCTACTCCTGCTTCTGGCCGTAAACGCGATCGTGCCGCTCCTAACAACAGCATCAAGTCCATGCTGCAAAGAGATCTTGGTCTGAACCCTCCTACCAAACGTGGCGGAAAGGATGCGTCACCAGCAAACACCTCGAAGACAACGTCTCCTGCTCCAGCTACTGAGCCCACTGCTAACTCTCCTGCTCCTGCTGCTTCATCCAAACCAGCCAAATCCAGATCCGGCCGCAACAAGGAGAAGGCAGCCGCTCAGAGCGCTGCACAGGAGAACTCGAAGCCCGCTGCTCCTGCTCCAACTGGTATTCTCAAGAAGCCCGCTCAACAGCCTGCACCCAAGGCTCCCAAGGCCGCCAAAGGAAACAATGGCGCTACTCCGGCACCTGCTTCAGCGCCAGCTTCTGCTAACAGACAGCCCAAGGCTTCAGCGAATGCAGCTAGCAGCACCACAAAGGCTTACCTCAAGCACGCAAATGCTTCTCAAGGTGTGACTGAACCCCTGCTCCTTGCTGCTCTGTCTGCGTTCGGCCCCGTCATCAAGGTCGAAATTGACAAGCGCAAGGGTACCGCTCTGGCTGAGTTCAAGGACAACGAGGGATTGAAGGCTGCCATGGCTAAGAAGAGTGTTCCCGTTGCCCAGGGCGCTGTCGAAGTGCTCGAGTTCAGGGACAAGCAATCTCAAGGCGGCCGCAACGCCCCAGCTAACAACAACCCCAGAGGTGGTAATGGTAATGCTTCCAACCGAGGCAGAGGAGGACGCGCAAGAGGCGGTGCCGCCGCTGGCAACACCGCTGCTGCTACCAACGGCAATGGCCAAGCAGTTGCTTCGAGTGGCAACAAGGCGGATGCTACATGAGTGCTGCCGACGCTATGCGCGACGCTTTAAGCGTGCGCTTTCTCAACCAGACAAGCAGATCCATATCAGCCTTACTAGCAAGCATGTTTGCAACGGCGGCGTGTACCAAGAATGACTCCAAGCAAGTGGTCCTTAGCATCATACTCGCTCGGAGTCTCATCACCCTTCCGACACAAATCCAGGACGCCTGGCCGTGAGTTCCAAGTAAGGCTACATGTCCTGGATTGCAGTTTCCGGTTTACACATTGCTCGACGGAGGTAGGAGCAGAGGACGGGAAGCATCTACTCAGTTCTTTCAAGACCAGCCTTTGGGCCTTTCTTACTCCAGTTGGCTCTCGCGGGCAGGTCTTCGAACTCAGCTTCTGATGCTTGATGTCGATTGTTGATTTCTCAACAATGGCTTACTAGAAACAACCTACTTAGCAAACTGTGTATCGCAGACACACAAATCCATGATCCTCAGTACTCTATTTTCCAGTGCTCGTCTTGCACCAAAGACCCCCTCTCATGTGCGCATCGCAAACGAGGTCACATCTGTACAAATCTGGAGTTTTCAAAATGTTTTTTGTGATTTTTCAATTCTGAGAAAAGCGACCATCGCTCAAAGACCATTCATCCGTCCCTGGCACCGTCCCATGCACCCCTGCAGCCTTCAGAAGCCGGTTTCCCTGCGTTCTGATACGAGCATGTTCCACCCTCCGAGATACAATCTGTTCTCCACTCGAGAGGTTTTTGTTTCAAGAGAATCGAAGAGAAAAGAAGAGAAAAGTGATGTTAGGAAGTAAAATATCGTGAAGCTCCTTTTACATGATCTCGTCCTCCATGGTGGCGTCACCAGTGGCAGGGGCAGCAGCAGGTGCAGCGGCACCGTTGGTGTTGGCGGCAGGTGCGGCGGCGTTGGGGTCGAAGTACTCGCTCATCTCGGCATCAAGCTCCTCGACAGTCTTGGGCTTGGGACGGCCAGCACGGCCCTTGCGACCAGCACGACCAGAGGCCTTGGTCGCACCAGCGGCACCAGCAGTGGCGGGCTTGGGTGCAGCAGCAGCTGACTTGGGCTTGTTGTTCTCCTTCTTTGCCTTTGGTGCCCTGAGAAACAATTAGACGAGTCAACGAACTATTACCGACTTTTCAAACTTACTGGATACGATCACCAAGGGACTTGGGTGCAGCAGGAGCAGGGGCATACTTGGCACCGAGGATAACTTCAATCTGGACGTTTGTGTCAGTATGTGTCCAGCTTCCGAACCATGGTACAGGTTAATCTCACCTTCATGGGCTTTCCGTCAACCTTGACGGAGTCGAGTTTCTTGGCGGCCTCCGCTGCGCTCTGTGCCTGGGAGAAGATGATAGTGGCGACACCGACACTACGGCCGTTCTTGTTGTAGTTGAGGAGGACCTTCTTGACGGGTCCGACAGCCTGTGAGAAATATTCCTGGAGGCGAGGTGTTAGTCCACATCTGGAGGGAGTTTCGAATCGCAATGGTAATCCAGCAGACAGAGCAAAGCCGGCCATAAACAGTCCATGTTTCAAGTTTGGTATTGAGCACCAATGAGCGAGCAGCAGAGGTTAGCATCCAACGCCCACAGTCATTGACCACTCATTAATCCACTGAAATCCGGTGAAGGCTCAAGAAAAATTCCTGGATAGCCTTCATGTTCTTCGAATAGCTCCATCATGCCAGTGCAGAGCCATGAACCCACATGGTCTATAGCGATCAAACCAGGCGCGCAGTATCACTCCACCAAAGCTCATAGAAAGTCCTCGGTCGGGAGCATATACCAGATAGAGTTGCGGCTCTCGAGTCCATAGCTCAAAGTCTTGCTGATTCTGCTGCTGTGCTCATTGATGCTCGCAAGGTTGCCTAGACCTTTGGCGTGGGTCAAACCACATACGCCTTGTGGTCTTGGGACATACGGCAAAGCCTTCTGACCTTCAACGCTTGCACCTATCCGGATGAATCTGCTTGCCAAGCAGTACATTGCCGAGTATAGATTTCTTGCAAAGCGCGCGTGCTGCTCCTGTTCCGTCTTCGCACTGCATCAAGCCTTTCAAGGAGAGCAAGCTAGGAAGGAGTGCATCGGGTCTGGCAGTACTCGAAAGAGTAGATAGGTAGGTGCTCTCGCCATCTCCAAGGGAAGAAAAGGAAGGCGCAATGTAGGTACGATCGAAAGAAAGAGTCGCGCAAAAGTGGGCCATATCCGAGCGGCCATGTTCGGTCAACGTACCTTAATCTGCTGCTCCGTAACATCGGAAGGCTGATTATATTAGCAATTGCGCGTTAATGGACAAGGTTAGTCAACATACCAGGTTGCTGACAATGATCTTGCTTTCTCCAGTAGCGGGAAGAGCGGCACCGACGATGGCGGCAGCGGCGGCGGCAGCCTTGGGTTGACGACCAGCGGGCTTAACAGCGGCGGCGTTCTTGGTGACACCACCGGTAGACACTCTAGGCTTGGCTCCACGGCGGTTGCGACGAGCGTCGTTGCGGCGAGAGCCGGCGATCTCCTCGAGGGATTGGTCAAGCTTGGAAGACATTGTGTGTGTTTGTTTGCGGAGAGATGTGTGAGTTATGGATGTTCGAGGGCGAAAAGTTGGCTACCGTATTAACACAGGAAGCCTGATGATGGTTGGATCAAGATGACGCGGAGTTTGTGGCTGGCAAAGCGCAGATGCGATGTCTCTCGATGGGGTTGAAGTGCAAGACGCGTGAAGGTGAGCAGGCTGACGGTAGCGTGAGGCTTGTCGCAAGGTTGGCGCGTGAGTTATGATAGAGCGCGAAGTGGCAGAAGACAACGCAAAGCAGAAGAAGAGTTGCGGCGAAGATGGAGAAGAAAGACGATGAAAGTGTCACTCCGAAGTGTTGGCTTTGATGGGAGTGAAAGGGGGAAGAGGGCGAGGGGAGAGGTGAGTGTTGGAGGAAGCTGCGAAGCGCTACAGGCAGATGGTCTGTGCTTTGCCTACCCTAATCCGGTGGCCTGCAAGCAACATCGCCTGATCAATTATTATGACTGTCTCTCAATGGATGTTATTGCAAGCAGATTTCGATCTTGATTTTCTTGTCTGGATCCTTGTCTCGATCAGGTGAACGCTTAGGATATCTTCCAGTCTCACATCGTCCTCACTTTTCATTGGCCAGAGCATAAGAGTAAACACATCGTCCATCAACTCAGGTATCATAGTATTGTAATAGCAGGTTCGTTGGGTGAATACGCATAGTCGCGCGAGAATGTCAAGCCAGTCCATTGTATCCGTCGCGCCAAACGCCTTGCCGTCGTCTTCCATATCTAACTCTTCAGTGCTTCGAGGCGCCCTCTCATTTGAGCAAGCAGCTCTTCCTGATCTTCTTCCTCTTCGGGTTCTGCTGCTGAAACAGGTGGGAGATCCATAGGTTGTGCGTCTGCGGGCAACTTGTCCTTGAGTACTTCGCTGAGGACCTTGTCCACCTCGCTCTCTGCCTCTTCGTCCTCATCTTCCAAGAGCTCATTGTCAGGCAGACTGTCGCCCACCATCTCTTCAATTATACCAGCCTTCATTAACTCTTGACTGAGCTCTCGCATTGTGCCTGTCAATTCAGGCAAGCGCACCAGCGTATTGACGTCCTTCATGATTCCTACACTCGCTTGAATGCTTCCCTGGATCTTGCGCATTTGAAAGGCCTCGTTGATCTGCATGCCCACGCTCTGTAGCTGCGCCTGACTGGTAATTAATCTTGCCGTCTGCTTGCGCGCCCTGATGAGCTCGCGCGCAAAGGTACGAGTTTCCTGGGCGGCGAATTTCGCTTGCGATGGATTACGTTGGGCGCGTCTGGCGGCTTGGGTGATGAAGGTTTTGGTCTTGGCTTCGAGTTGCTTCAACTTCATGATCTCGCGATCAAGCTGGCGTGACTGTTGGCGCATCAGAGTGTTACATTTTCTTTTCTGTTGTCGTTAGACAGACTGCGACCGTATGTGGACATCCACGGATATTGTCTAACCTGCTCCTCGGGAGTGGGGCCCCAGAGGAAGCTCTTCACCGACTGCATGCTTGCGGATGATACAGGTTGTGGCACTTGCTCATAGCACGTAGGGTGCTATCGAGTGCTTGTCGAACAAGGCCTGACACGCGAGTGAAGATGGTGCAAGTGAGTGTGGGATAGCGACTACCTATCTCGGTGCCTTGGCTACTATCGCTATCGACTCGGCCTTGGCATACGTGTGTTGGCGGACTTCTCCCCCGCGATTGATCCCAAAGCATCAAAAGCTCCAAAGCTCGCCGCGGTCTCGATCGTTCATTGAGACGCTGTCGCAGTTGAGCCATTAATAAACGTAGATTCTGCTGGCCTTGGCTCGGAAAGATGTGCTCAGTAGTCTACATTTTAATATATCAGATTTCACATGATGGTCGACTGTTTGTTGTGTGTTTGTGCGGCGGAACAGCTTGGGAGTTCCATCAGCTTCGCGTGTATTCTAGACTCACCCCACAAAACGAGTGATTGACGACTTGCAAGGTCTTTTCTAGTCGACATAACTATTCAACCATCAAGACATCTCTGTCGCATTCTTCCATATCCATTCACATACAACATCATACACCATGGAGCAGCCTACCAACACTACCGACACCAAGGGCATGAAGCAGATCGTCCCTGAGGGTGAGCCGCCCCGTCAACAATCGCACCCTCGCGAAACATGCTAACCCCCATGCGCAGTCACCTGGGCCCAGCGTTCGTCCACCACCGAGCCCGAGAAGAACCACATCTACATGACCATTGTTGTGCCCGATGTCGACCCCAAGAACATGAAGCTTGACCTGCAACCCTCATCGCTCGAATTCACCGGTTACTCAGACAGCAAGAAGGCCACCTACCACGTCAAGATGGACCTGTTCGCCGAGATTGACCCCAAGGAGAGCAAGATCAACCACTCTTCGCGCTGGATCGAGCTGGTCTTGAGAAAGAAGGAGCTCAACGAGGAGTACTGGCCCCGTCTGCTCAAGGACAAGCAAAAGGTCCACTACATCAAGACCAACTTCGACAAGGTACGCTCCACATCTTCTGAGCATATGATCAATAACGCATACTGACCTTTTGTCCTAGTGGGTCGATGAGGACGAGCAGGATGCCGTTGCCGAGGATGACGACTACATGTCCCGCATGGGTGGCATGGGTGCCGGCGGCATGGGCATGGAGGGCATGGGCGGCGACGGTGGCTTCGGAGGCATTGATTTCTCCAAGCTTGGTGGTGGTGCCGGCGGTGCCGGTGGCATGCCCGACCTCAGCGCTCTGCAGGGTATGATGGGCGGCGGCATGGGAGGTATGGGTGGCATGGGCGGCGAAGAGGGTGACGATGACGACGACGATGACATGCCCGAACTCGAGGAGACCGAGGAGGCCAACGCTGGTGCTTCCAAGAGTAAGATCGAGGAGGTCGAGTAAAGAGATGGCTTTGGATTGATACCCCTCATCACCACCGCCTTGGAAAAAGAAGTTATGAACCGCCAGTGACGAACAAGCGCTGTTACAGCATTCGGACATAGATACGGACGATAATCACTACGAAGCTCAACGAGATACCAAAACAGTTTTGAAAACACAATCAGTGTTCAAATGCACATGTTCTAAATGAGTCTGGTCTGTCTTCAATGTTTAAGCGTTTTGATTGAAATTCATGCTGTAACCTCCACTCTTCTCGTCTTTGACGAATTGAAAATTGTTCGTACTGAGCCCAAAAGGCTTCAAAATGCTGTTGCCCAGACCCTTCAACTTGCCCATCATCTCTGCCATTTCCTTGGATTTGGCGTCCTCCAGCTTGGGACCAATGTCGGTCATGGATTTTTGTACCGTTCTCTTATCTAACGGCGACAAATTTGGTACAGTTGCAAGGAAGGTGTAGTCTAGGGGAGATCAGATATGAGTTTGGACACAAAGACACAACAAAATTCCTACCTTCGTAAGCGCCCTGTAGAGCGGCCCATCCTCCTGTCTCTGACCGTGCTTTGGCTCGTCTCAGGAATGCCTTGACGCGGATTTTCTGCACATCGTCCCGTGTTCTTCCACTTTTTTCTAGAGCTTCAATTTTCTCAGCTGTCTCATCGTCGATCTCCTCGACAGCAGACTGGGGTTGTGGTTTGGCTCTGGCAGCATCTTGTGTAGCCTTTGGTTTTGGTAGAGGGTCGATTCGCTCTAGTGCGTCTATGCTTTTAGTGGCACTGTCTATTGCTTCTTTCCATTGTTCCGACTTGATGTGGCATGCGGCGATGTTGGAGTGTAAGACGGCGACTTCATATTCGAGATAATTTGGACAAGACGAGAGAGCGCGGTCGTATGTCTGGACAGCTTCTTCGAAAGAGCCATGAGCGAACAGCGAGTTGGCTTCTGTCTTGAGCTTGTTCGACTCTGCTAATAGTGACTATGCTGGTCAGCACATGATATGTAGAGGAGCAGTGCGACTCACGGCTTCCTCTTCTGGTGAGAAGCGCGTTTCGGTCTTGAGATCGTGCGACGACTTTGCCGAGACGAAACTCTTATCATCGTCCGATGGATAGTCTTCTCCTGTCATAACGAATCTGTTCTATCAGCAATATGAGGAATGAACTGTCAACAACAAAAAGTGGAATGACGTACGGGGGTTTCTTGTGGCATGTGAAGCTTGGCGCCATCCATCGCACCTTCCTGCGGTTTGCAGCTACTTGTATCTTATCTCGCAACGAATGATCTATCTGCAACTCATCGAGCATCTTCAATTCAGACATGGCATCTGAGGGCAACTCGGGTACATCTACCCCCAATTCACGCTTCACAACCCAGGCAAAGACGGCCGACGACATCCTTTCGGCGCAAACTGTTGGTCTTGTCCAACTCGACGACTTCCGCAAGCGACGCGCAGATGCTATAGATGCAAAAGAGCGAGAAGCACTCGAGTCTGGTCGCGCCACTCCTAACAGTGCCTCAGATAGCCCGTATGTGTCCTCCTACTCTGTCAAGCATTCATGACTAAGAGAACAAGTGCAGTGACCCGACATTCAAGCCCTCAAAGAAGAAGCGCAAAACTGTCAAGAAGGGTGCCCTGTCGTTTGGAGACGATGGCGACGATGATATGAACACCCCGAACGAATCGTTCAAGTCTCGCTCCAACACACCTGCAGCTACAAGAGAGGAAACCGCACAAGACGAGGAACAACCCATGAAAAAGCGCCTTGCTGCGAACTCAAACGTTGGTTTCATGGCCAAGTCCATGACAAAGTCAGCTCTGCTGCGGGAGGCACAGACACGGGAGCAGCTTCGAAAGGAGTTTCTCGTCATGCAAGAAGCAGTCAAGCAGACCGACTTTCTGCTCCCCTTTGTCTTCTACGACGGTACCAATATCCCCGGTGGCCAATGCCGCATGAAGAAGGGAGACATGGTCTGGCTCTTCCTCGATCGTGCGAGAAAGGTTGGCGCAGAGGTTGGAGGCAGCGACAAGGCTCGACGCGAATGGGCCCGCGTGGGCGTCGACGACCTGATGCTGGTAAAGGGCGATATCATCATCCCTCATGTACGTTGCCGGCATCCAGACCCGCCATGCAGCTTACTGACTGTGCGCCAGCATTATGAGTTCTACTATTTCATGGTCAACAAGACGAAAGGCTACAATGGATCCCTGTTCGCTCACTCTGCCGAACCCACAGCGGCCACTCCCGTGGATTCCTCGGCTTCGACTGCTACGGGTGGTCTGTCCGTGCCAACGGCACCATCAAAGACGCCAAAGACGCAGACGCTGTCACCCGCAGTTCCTGATGCAGACCTCGAGGGCTTCGGCTCAGACCCAAACTCGACAAAGGTCGTCGATCGACGCTGGTACGAGAAGAACAAGCACATCTTCCCCGCCAGCACATGGGAAGATTTCGACCCAACAAAGGACTATACCAATCATGTGCGCAAGGATGTCAACGGTAATGCTTTCTTCTTTTCGTCGTGAGATCGATACCTGTTTAGGCTGCTTCTATTGGCCCCATGTCCCGTGACGATGTCTTTCGAAAGCTTGCAGCTTTCCGTCTGGAGCGCACGCAGGAGAGACGAAACTTGGACCACCAGAGATTCCCTGAGCCGCACCCATGGGTACGACGGCTCCGCACCCGCTGCGTTGGATATCACCTTCCGACTGGTAAGCGATGTGCAAAGCTGTGGTCGACGAGCACGCACAGAAACCACGCATAGATGTAAGTAGTCATGATACGTTCTCGTCGACGTCGACGAAAATATTCAACGAAAGGAACGCAGTTTGGATAGACGTTCTCAGCTCCGCTCATCCGTGAGTATGTGACACCCAGGTGCTCGGTCCGCCCTCCAGTGCCACATGACGAAGTCCTCTGCTGCACGGAAAATGCAGCTTTCCGCCCGCATGACATCCAATCATTGCATGCGAAGCCTTACGCGGCTCTTCCAGGACTTGTCTAGAGGCATAGGGCACGACTGCAACATTGCGAAGTACCTCTGAGACTCTATTTTGCTTGAAATCACATCCACGTAAGGAGTATCTTGTCTCAGATTTGCTCCCAAAGCGGACTGTAGTTGACAAGCGGTCTGCACGTGGTAACAATCATCGTTGCGACTGAGACTGACCTCTACGATGATTCGATCACCTTCATAGCACAAGAATCTATCCTTGGACCATATTGTTGCACTGCACTGCTTACTCGAACCTACAATTCTCCTATTCGGGGGTTTCCAAGTCCGATGCCAGGCACACGTTTTGTTCTTTGTTCCTGACAGATTGGTAAATATTCCGAGTCACACAACATCTTCAGTGTCCGTCGTGAGAATAAGCTCAAGACAATCCTGTAGGGTGTTGAAGCAATCTCTTGTTCTTCGAGTTTCCGATGATCAAAGGCACGGCAACCCAATGCTTTGGTTTCTATCTTCCTTCTGGAAGTACAAAGAGTTGATAACTCCACGGAATTCTCTTCATGCCTTGCCAATACAGCTTGCATGTTGCATACTGCACAGTGTTTGAAGCTCGCACGGGGATTGATCCACAACGTTCGAGTACTTCGGCCTCGAGGCTGTATGACCATCACGCTAGATAATGGAGAGCGATAACATGCGCTGCACTATGAGCGAGAAGATGAAGTCAGACATCGCTCGTGGGTCAAAGCAAAGATATAAATACAGCTTCAGCTCGCTGGCAGAAAGAACTATCATCAGCATTCAAGGACGAACCAGCAGCAGAACCGTCACGCCCTCGCTCATACACTTTCTTTCGAAATTTCTTCCAATACCAATCTCAAGATGATCTTCAACACTCAGGTCGCAGTCGCTGCACTGCTTACTTCAAGGTAGAACTTCCATGAACACACGCCATGTACGCAGAGTTGACATTGAATAGCTTCGCTGTTGCTCTTCCTTACGACAGCTGGGGTTCCAGCAGCAGCAGCAGTACCAAGGAAATTAAGACCACTTCCTCCCCCGCTGGCTACGGTTCCACTCCATCCTACAGCGGTGGTTGGGGCGGATCTGCCACTGAGTCCAAGACCGAGTCCAAGACCATCGAATCGAAGACTTCTCCGACTGTCAGCTCCTGGAGCCAGACTACTGAGAGCAAAACTACCCCTACCATCAGCTCGTGGACTACCGAGTCTTCCAAGTCAAGCAGCTACAGCTTTTCTACGAGCTCTTCCAAGTCGAGCAAATCGTCCAAATCCAAGAGCTCTTCCACCAGCGTCAGCACATCCTGCAAGACCGAGTACGTGATTTCGACTTCTACTGGATACTTGACCACAGTCACCTATTCGGCCACCACCATCTACGTCCCTACGGTCAGCGTCTCCACTTACGAGACTGTCTCGACCTTTGTCAGCACTGGCCAGACCATCATCGCAACGCCCACCACTGTCGTAGAGACCAAGCCTGTCTTCTCATCTGAGGTGACCTGGAGCACCTATTCCACCTGCCTTGTGACTTCTAAGCCCGTTACCATCACCTCCACCGCTTATGAGACTCAAACCGAGACTAGCGTGGTCACTGAGACCAAGTCTGTTGAGCAGACTCAGACAAAGACCGTTACTGAGGTACCTACAGAATTGATGTCGTGCCCTTGCTAATAAATGCTAATTGGTATTGTACTTTCTACAGGTCAAGACCATCACCGTCAGCGTGCCCGAAGTTGAAAGCAAGACTATCACTATCACAAAGCCAGCTATCCAGACATTCAAGACTGGCAAGGCGGTCTGCACCACCATTCCTTCCTACGGTGGCGGCGGCTACGGCGGCTGGTAAAGAATCAAAGACTGCTGCTCTTTTGGCTCTTTCTCGAAGCACCCCGATCTGTTTGACCGGACGTGGTTTTGGAAGTTTTCCTTTCTCCTGATCTCTGATTCACAAAAACACACTCCTTAATATGTTGATGACCTCTTGATGATTTGTTCTGCTGCTTTTCGATCTTTTCTTTTCCCTTTCTTTTCGATGGACTTTCTGGTCTGATGGCTTTTTCTTCTTTTCTTTCTCTCATTTGACTAGCAACAAGATATTTCTTCTTTATAAACCGGTATACATTAAGTTTTCTGCACCGAAACATAAATGGCATATCTGCTTTGGGCGCAACATCATTAGGACTATCTTTATAGGATGAAGAAGAAGAAGAAAAAAAAAAATAATTTCATGGTGCTAGGTGCAAAGCAACATCGAATCAAGACGGAAATCACAATTCGATGGATATGGACACGAAAAAGCATCAAACACTTGCACATTGAGAGACAAAATTGGTAGGAATAAAGGTGTCTTTGATTGTTAAGTATGTATGACTTTTCATCCTTGCTTCAAGCACCTTCATTGTATTCACAAGTCAATGATTATGACTCCTGAACCTGATAACAACAGAACCTGTGCACTCAAAATCTTCAGGCGACTGCAACTTTGAAAGTTCGTCATCTTAGGAAGTTGATGCTGATCCTCGATGCTGGTCTTCCTTCTCCTTCTTCTTTTTGCGGTTTTTGCTTGTTTCATATTCGCGTAGATCTTTTACGGCTTCCCCAACAACACAAGTGAGGCTTTCGATTCTGTACTGGCAGAGGGAGCAATCGCAGTTGGAAAGATCGTTACGCGTGATGTGGTAGACATGTGTGGCAAACTCTTCGATTGACTCGAACCAGCGAAGACTAGGATATCCGTGGATGGTATACCTCGCAGTCACGGGCCAGAAAGGCGTTCTGCTACTAATGATACATGGCTCGTGATTTTCGCTACGCAGCTCCCTTCACACAGCTACCTGGAATGTTCATCTTGCATGATATGCATCAAGCAACGATCCAATGGGAGAGACAAATGCACATCTTATGTGCGTTCTGAACCCAAGCCGCCATATGTCCATCGACCAAGTTTTCAATCACGCTGCCACATCTTCTGCACTGCCTGACCTTTGCGTTGGGTGGAATGGCACATTTGCGCAGTACATCGTACTGTTGTCTTCCTGCTCGTTTGTTTGCTTCTTCGTCCTCGCCCAAACCCAACCAAGCCGTTTCTGCAGTGTAGATGGCGACTCCATCGATCTGCTTTTCCAGCCGTGGCACTATATCGCCGAACAGCTTTTGTAGTACTGGACTTAGTGCTTCAGGAATGTCAGCATCGACGAGCATGCTCTGCTCATAGAAGCTCCTTTGTGGAGGCGATGACTGCGCGGCTTGGTATGTTGCACGAACATTACCATCAGTCTCTGCGACGAGCTGCTCGAAAAGCCTGATTTCAAAGGGCAGTTCTGCACCCATCATGGCTTCCATGTGCTGTAACTCCACGCTATCCCGAATGTCGTTTGCTCTGCTGCTGTGTCGCACCTTCTCTTGGGTCTTAACGACACGCATAGCGAAATTACGGATCAAGTTGCCCAGCATACCCAGCAACGCGCGTGATGTACTGCTGAGCAGAAGGTGCAGAGTTGCAGTGTTCTTCTCGTGCACATAAGTCAGTATCTTCTGTCGATCGAAATCGCTTTTGCAGAATCGCATCATCTCAATCATGTCGTCGAAAATGAGCGTCATTAGGTCCAACGACCATCTCACCAATCCTTTGAGTGATACAAACAAGCTTGACTCTAGATTTTGCATGCCCCTGATTGTCTGTGTCATACTCAGGGTTTGTGCAATGTTGGTGCATACTGAGCGAAGATTAAGCAGCACCCATGCTGCCTTTGCGGGAATGTCTCGTCGTTTGGGGTCAGTCTGATAACTGACAATCAGCTGAGCACTAGCAATTCTGTACAGAAGACTATCTTTCAAGACTCTGCCAGACTGCAATTTGGGATCATCGAGCGAGAAGTCTGTGTTGCGATTTATCGTGCGGAAAATCTCGCTGATGAACTTGCGGCGAAGGCTCCTGTCCAGGTCTGTTGGGATCACAGAAAGGAGGTCGTCGAAGCCGATTTGGTAGCAAGTCACGATGCCAAGCTCTCTCGCTAGAGAGACAACAGCGGCTTGTGCGAGATCTACAGCAGTCAGCTTCGATGTTCATTGAAAGTGGGAGTGATAGCCCACCGTTGTCTTCCTTTACATCCTTCCATCCGTGTATATACTCAGCGCTATGCAGATTGACAGTGCCATCGGGTTTGGTGATAACAGAAGATGCCATGCTAGGCGACAGAGAAATGTCGACACATTCCGAAGTCAGAAAATTGAATCCATTCTGAGGCAGACTTGTAGCTTTGTTGGCATCGTGGTCGGGTTCAATGACCTGCATGGTCTCCCGGGAACGAAACTCAATTGTACCATCGCTCGCTGCAAAGGCAAATGTGTTGTGGTATACATTGCTCTGGAAAGCCAGTATAGCCTTGGGTGAGATCACGTCTTCCATACGGTGCAATCTCTGGATAGATTTGCTGTTGTTAGGTTGTGAAGCTGTCGGCTTCAAGCCCTTGAAACTTTCATGTAATGTAGCCTCTGTCTGTTGAAGGTCCCATCGAGATATGACACTGAATTTGCCGCCGTGGTCCTGCGCAGCGCTAGTAAAAACAGCCACGACTGTGAATGTGCTGTTATCAATAGCCTGCGAGATTGGCTCAATATGCAATGATGACAGTTGAGCACTTGCTGCTCTTTCAGAAGATTGGGGAACACATTGGTCGAGAAGCTCGACATGCAAAATCGCCATTTGAGGGTTCAGACTGGCTTTGTGGGTATTTCCATCGCCAGCATTAGCCTGCCAGTTGATCATAATCTTATATAGCCGCAAATGTTTAGAAGCATCGTAAGTAACCATAACAAGATGTTCTAAAGGAGTCAGTCTAGTCACACGGGTAGCAGAGGCAAATGTCACTGACGGTTGGCTTGACAAAAGGCGGCATGTGTGAGCGCGTCTCCAGAATCGGTGAGACTGTCCAGAGTCGAGCCAGCTTGTGACCAAGGCTGGCCAGGTTGTTCGTAAATGAGTTTGAGTTGGCATCTACGAGTGATGCACAAGAAGGCCGCCTTGTTATCGATTGGATTGGAGACACCATGAATATCGTGAAGCCTCATCGTATTGCTCCATCGGTTGCCTTCTTTGGCCGCAGGATTGATTAGCGCAGTCTATCACTTATTGTCAGACAACACCTTTAGAGCCAATACATGTACATTTCTTACACGCGTCTGTCCTGCAAGATTCAGAGGTAGCCAGTGAAGGCCGACAATTTGGTTGAGATCATCCACGTTACTTGTCAAATTCACAGGACGACGCTCGAGACTATTCAAGGCATGTGTCAAACTGAATAGTGTAAGACGACCAAACTGATCTGCAATGACCAGATCCAGACCGGAGCTGCTCCATTCAACGTGGGTGAAGATGGCACCATCTGAAGCATTTACCTCTGTTGCATCGGACAAAGACCACTTGGCAGTGTTCTTGTCGCGACAGAGAGCACGCACGAGGACTTTGCGAGAATCTGCAGATATTTGAGCAATGCAACTGGTCCTGGACCATGCTAGCCTCCTGATAAGAGGTTATTGAGTGTCCAAAGCATTGACGAAATAACGATAGAAGCAAACTTACTGACAACAGCCTACGATGTGAGAGCGCTCAATGCGCTGAGAGAGGGCATCAGTATCAAAAGTGGCAGCGATGGCGGCATTGATGCCTTCCTCGCCAAACAAATCGTCAAGATTGTCCATGCATGCGACAAATGTACAGATTTGCGACTCGATGAGCCGGGATACGGAGACTTCTCGGAAGAAGACGCAAGCTTCACAGAATCCAGGACGAATTGAAGCCTAGATCGCAAAGGGACAGGGCGGCTTCTGCGCCCGGAAAGAGTGACTTGCAATCAAGAGAATGGTCGGTGGGTGTGTGCTGTCTGCAGATTTGGTTGACAACGAGTATGGAAGGAATGCGATTGTTGGACTGGAATTGGTGCCAAGGAGGAGGAACGGTGAAGTCATTCGGTCTCTCTCGGCGACGGCCAAAACAAACAGCAGGATTTGGTTGCGAGAGCGGGAGACGCGAGGAGCCGCGGCGCTGCCGGCGCTGTGGCTTCGACTCTTGTCTCAGCATCACTTCAAGGTTCTCCACGCCCGCTCTTTGCAGATTCTCTCACCTTTGTCCTCCGTCTTCTTGTCGCATTGTTCTTTTCGAGAAGGTCCGTGTCGCTCGGTCCTTCTGTTTCTTGTTATTGTGTCGCGCTATTCCAACCAATGGTCGCTGCTTCCGGGTGATTGTGGAATTGACTGTGGCCTTCTTGACCGCGCGCCCAACTTCCTGACCGAGCTCCTTCCTTGTCGACAACAGCTGCTATGGACGGCTACGACTCGGACGGCAGCTCGCTATTGAGCTCGCCCAAGTCTCCTACTCCTCCCCCCGAAATGCAGAAGAATCCCTACCCTTCTCCGCCCCGATCCAAGCACTCGTCGCAGTCTGCCTCTCCCTCCCCCGACGACCAAATGGACGCTTCCGACAGTCAACGCCCAGCCAAGCGACGCCGCATCAGCGAAAAGCCTTCACGCACCACCGAGTACCTCGATTTGACAAAGACTCTGCGCCCGGAAGACAAGACCCAACTTGATCGCGTCTTGAACGTTTTGCACAAGCGCCAGAAGATCGTTGTTGTCGCTGGCGCTGGTATTTCCGTAGCGGCTGGCAGTAAGCCCACACTCCTTTTCGACCTTGTCCCAACGTCAACACGTCACTAACGCTCCACAGTCCCCGACTTCCGTTCGTCAACCGGTCTTTTCAATTCCCTCCGCGCCCAGCACAACCTTAAGGGCTCTGGAAAGGATCTTTTCGACGCGTCACATGTTTACAAAGATGCTTCTTCCACCGCTTCTTTTCACCAAATGGTCCGAGAAATGTCCCACATGACCAAATCCGCTCAACCCACACTGTTTCACCAGATGTTAGCCACTCTTGCACAACAGGATCGCCTTCTACGTCTATACTCACAAAATGTCGATGGAATTGACACGTCTCTAGAGCCATTAGCGACGCGTATCCCTCTGAAAAAAGAAGAAGGTAAATGGCCAAAAACAATTCAACTGCATGGTGGACTCGACAAAATGGTTTGCTCAAAGTGTCACGAGATTTCCGATTTCGACGCAAAATGTTTCGAGGATTCTGTACCGTCTGTCTGCACCAATTGCGAGGAGCTTAACAGGGTTCGCACCGAGGTCGCAGGAAAACGCAGCCACGGCGTTGGTATGCTGCGACCCCGCATGGTCCTGTACAACGAACACAACCCAGACGATGAGGCCATTGGAGCTGTAACCCGTGAGGATCTTCGCAAGCGTCCGGATGCTATTATTGTGGTTGGTACGACTCTCAAGGTTCCTGGTGTCAAGAGAATTGTACGTGAAATGTGCGCAACTGTCCGCGATAGAAGAGACGGTGTAGCCATCTGGATCAACGCGGGTCCTGAACCGTCTGGGAAAGAATTCGAGGATTGCTGGGACATCGTAGTCAAAGGCACTTGTGATGAGATTGCTAGACACGCTGCTCTAAGGCAATGGAACGAGCCAGATGTTGGCATTCCTGTGTCTGAAGAGAGTCTGGAGAGAGCTCGTCAAAAACAGCCTACGGTCTCAATAGTACGGACGTTCAAGGCTCCACCCGAAAACTCTTCGCCAATGCCTTCTCCGCAAGCGCCAGCGAGTACTCCTCTCACCGGCCATCGTCATGGCAACATTGTCGACAATTCCTTTAGCGAGGAAGAAGACTTGGTGGATATCGAAACGCCCTCAAAGCGCGCGGAGAAAAAGCCTACACCGTTCGCTATGCTCGGCAAGACAGCCCCTGTCCCCAAAAGAAAAGCTCAGCCAAAGACCTCGGGCACAAAAGCAAAAGCAACCACGAAAAAGAACGCGCCAAAGAACGATCCGCCAAAGCCGCAAATCAGGATCGACCAGACGCTCAAGCTCACCAAAACCGCTGCGGCTGCCGCAATCAAGGTGGAGAAGAATGTCAAAAGCGGTGCCGCTTTCGACGATATTGCGGCAAAGAACGTACGGCTCAATCCACCACGATCCAAGTCTACCGACAGACTTTTCAAGGCTTGAGGATAGCCGAGCTTTACGTGTTTCATGAACTGGTAATGATTTCTTGGACCCGCATTCTGCTAGAGTGTATATTAGCTGTCTGCATGAATTGGAAGGCTGGCGTTTCTTGTGCTCTTACGTGGCACTACTTAGCACGGTGGAAAGGGAGTAAGGATGCATACAAATCTGCATATGCATTATGCGCGGAGTCGAGGTGGTAGCTCTTGCCATTTTTGGGCTGGCTCTGTTTTTTTCGCTTTTGCTACTCATAGACACTCAGATGGTGTCGTTTCATTTTCCGCTAGAAGGCGCTACAGCTGTGCTCTATTTTTATTGGCATCGTAAGGCTACTCACGAATTTCAGAACCTTTTATCATCACACTACCTGTGCAGGACACTTGGGCTGATGTGCACGGCAAGAACGTCAGCTGCGGGGGCAATGTTGACGCCATTAGTGACCTCGCAATGCCGAAGACCACGTTTGCGAGTGATTAATCATCAAAATTGCAGCTTACTGCCCTACTATCTACTAACGAGCTCTTCTTTAAGACAAAGCAGAAACAGATTTGCAAGCATTATGTCTAAAAACGACGATATCAAAGCCTTTGCGGACAAGGATGGCCATTTTCGACGGCAACCATCAAAGTTCCGCGACTGGATTTCAAGAGAATCGGGAGCCAAGTTTCCGCCCGAGAAAGATCGTTATGTATGTGGTCTATGATCATTCGCATTTCCAGAAGAGAGGAGCTATATATCTGTTACAACAATTTGCAATCAACCACTGAAGCATTATTCTGATGAATCAACAGGTTCTCTATATCAATTGGGGATGCCCCTGGGCGAACCGCACAGCCATTGTTCGCATGCTCAAGGGCCTCGAGGACATCATCCAACTAGTCGTGATGGACTATGTGATGTTCCCCGAAGGCTGGGGCTATAGCGGCCGCGACGGAACAGCTGAAAAGGATCCTCTGTATGGGTTCACCAGACACCGTCAATTGTACGAGAAAGCAGAGCCAGGTTATGAAGGCCGTGTCTTGGTACCCACGCTATGGGACAAGAAGAACGAAACCATCGTCAATAATGAAAGCTCAGAGATTATTCGCATGTTCTACACCGAGTTTGATGACTTGCTGCCTGAAAGGTTCCAAGAAAAGAGTCATCCTGCTGGTGGGTATTTTCCAGACTCATTGAGACAGCAGATTGATGATTTCAACGAATGGGTCTACGACACCGTCAACAATGGCGTTTACAAGTGTGGCTTCGCTAGCTCAAAAGAAGCCTATGATAAGAATGTGGTCATTCTGTTTGACAGCCTTGATCGTGTGGAAGCACATCTCGAGAACTCAGACGGACCATTCCTGTTTGGAAAACATCTTACCGAAGCAGATATCAGATTGTACCCTTCAATTGCGAGGTTTGATGTCGCATATCACAACATCTTCAAGTGCAATCTGAAGATGATCAGACATGATTATCCAAGAATCGACAAGTGGTACCGAAACATATACTATGACGAGGGAGAAGAAACAAGAGGTGGCGCATTCAGGAAAGCGACACATTGGGATGCTGTAAGTAAAATTTATGTAGCTCTGTGTGTTGAACGTGCTGACACGATTAGATCAAATTTGGGTATGCTGGCGCGAAGAAGCTTCAAGTGGTGCCTAAAGGTCCTGTGCCAGACATTCTACCTAAAGATGCATGAAGGCAATCAGTTTCGAGAGGTAGCAGATTTGGTTATAACGGATGTGTTGCCGCCTAAGGCTTCCTGCTGTCAAGATATGTCAATTGATCCCTGCTTTTCTGACTGACTCGAAGTGTTTCGGGATTGCTTCTGCTCCAAACTAGCGAATGAGACTATGCACTGCAAGTTCTGCAATCTGAGTCTTGTGTCAACTTCTGCTCGGCCTCACCTATATCAATGGTTTGGTCTCTACACTGATCTCATCCTCGTACAAGCTACCTTTGCAACATGACTCCAGTCGCATTTACACGTACTCTATTTGCCCTGTTTGCTTCATGTCTGATCGCTCTGGTTCAGTCTCATACACATCTTGTTTGGATTGTTGGGCTCAGGGAAGGTCAGACCATCGAAAAACATCTTGACTTGGTAGGCCGCTCGATCCCCATCAGAGAACACAGGCCAGAGATCAATGGATACACCGCTTCCGTTTCAGATGATGATAGCGACCTTCCCAAAGCCATCCGTAGTGATGATCAAGTTGGCTTTGTGGTCAAAATGCCAGAAGACTATTTTCGCAAGACCGAGAAGTTTATCCAAGATGGTTGGAATGAGGATGACGATGATCTATATGAGCATATGACAAGACCCGATCACCACTGGCATAATCTACAAGGCAACGATCCCGAGATACGAGTTAGTGACGAGGGCGGAATGTAAGTCTTTTGCTTGTCTTTTTCGATGGTCTGTCACTTACTCGGCATATCAGCAAGGTGTATCTGGAATGGTACGTAAGACTTGAAGATGGATATGATTTCGACGAGCACGTGTATCGCATTATGGAACGCGATCCTCTACCCTTTCGATTTAGTCGCAGTAGCTATGTCAACAGCTATAGCGTAAGCTTTGCCGACGAAGAGCAGGAAAAGAAGTTTTGTCCTCTGATTCAAGCTGATCCTCGTGTGGAATCATTTGGACCTGTTCGCGGCTATGCAATGAACGATGAGATTCACGATGTATGTTGATCCCATCAAACCATGGCTGTTCATTAACAAAACTACCTAGGAACTATAAGAAGGAGACAAGGCTGTGTATTAGTATGAGCAGGGTAACCAGAGAAGCATGGGTGGAGAAACAAGGGTAGATCCGTAGGCACGGAGATTAGATAGCAGTGCGCCGCAAGCTCCACAAAATTTCCCTTTTCCCTTCTTTCGCGAACTTTTGTTGCCCGCCCGCGCTTAAGCCAGTGAATTTTGCCGTCAACCCAAGACCCAAACCCACAACACCACAGACAAGATGCCGAAAGCACCAGGAGGAGATGCGCGTCAAATGAGACGTCACAACCCATTGTCCGAAGACTATGCCCCTTCAAACCCGCACAAGCAAAAAGCACCAAAGAGGAAAGGCCGCTCCAACGCCGGCGACGACGATAATGAACAACAAGCATACATCGACTCGAAAGCGTCAAGGAAGATTATCGCTTTAGGACAGGATCTGGCTGCCGAGGAAGATGCCGAGCTCGAGGCCCGCAGACCACAAAACGGAACAAAATCAGCTTTCGAGTTTGAGAGAAGTCTGCGCGATGGGGAGGATTCTGACGAGGAGGCTGGTGTTCCGGATGATGAGGCTTGGGGAGACGAGGAAGACGAGGAGGTGGAAGAGGTCGAGGTGGATCCTGAAGATCTGGCCATGTTTAACAAGTTCAATCCCGAATTCGACCCTTCGACACTGTTGGCACCCGGGTCAGCAGAAGACCAAGGAGAGAGCACCAACCTCGCAGACTTGATTTTGGAGAAGATCGCACAGCATGAGGCCAGCCAGGCCCAAGGGCAAATCATCCGTGGTGGTGGCGCTCCTGAGGACGCCATCGAGTTGCCCGCAAAGGTCGTCGAGGTCTACACTCAGTACGTCAAGAAGGCGCCCTCAGAAACACCAATTTCGACTAACACAAGCTTCTAGAATCGGCCTCATCCTCTCAAGATTCCGATCCGGCAAGCTGCCCAAGCCCTTCAAGATCCTTCCTACCCTCCCCCAATGGGACACTCTCCTCTCCATCACTCGCCCCGACTCATGGACCCCCAACGCCACCTACGAAGCCACCCGCCTCTTCACCTCCTCTCGCCCCGCCGTCGCCCAAGCCTTCATCCACGACATTCTCCTCGACCGCGTCCGCGACGACATCCGCGAGACCAAAAAACTAAACGTCCACCTCTACAAAGCCCTCAAAAAGTCCCTCTACAAACCCGCCTGTTTCTTCAAGGGTCTACTCTTCCCTCTGCTCGCTTCCGGCACCTGTACACTCCGCGAAGCCCATATCATTAGTTCCGTGCTCGTGCGCGTCAGTATCCCCGTCCTGCACTCTGCAGCAGCCATCCACCGTCTCTGCGAAATCGCCGCCGAGCAAATGACCGACAACCTCGAAGCCGGCGGCGCCACAAACATCTTCATCCGCGTTTTGCTCGAGAAGAAATACGCTTTGCCGTATAAAGTTGTGGATGCGCTTGTATTCCACTTTTTGCGTTTCCGCGCTGTGGATCAGGATGCCATGACTGATGCTCCTGTGACCATCAAGAGTGGAGAAAAACTTCCTGTGCTGTGGCATCAGTGTTTCCTGGCTTTTGCGCAGAGGTACAGGAATGATATTACCGAGGATCAGAGAGAGGCGCTTTTGGACTTGTTGCTCGTCAAGGGTCACAAGGCTATTGGTCCTGAGATTAGAAGAGAGTTGTTGCAGGGAAGAGGCAGAGGTGTTTTGGCCCCTGAGGTGGCCATGGCTGGTGTTGATGGCGATGATACTATGGTTGATATCCAGTAGATTTCGTTTCTGTGCTTTTCATTTGCATGTTGAGGTTTACATCATTACCAAAAAGGAAAGGCGTTTGGGCGTATCACTCCTAGGCGCCGATGTTATGCATATGAGATTGAATACATCGGCTCTCTGATCCACGGGACTGTTCATTGTGAACTATCCATGTTTAATCAAGCTGCAAGCAGCGATCAAAGGGTACAGAGCAAGTCGTGGTTTTCCTCGAGTTTGATGTTAATAGTGACCCTGTCTTCTTCAAGAAGTGGGGCCCGATTTTGCTCCTTCGACAGCGTCACAGATTTTTGAACTTCTTGCAGCATGTTTGGAAAAATGTTCAAGCATAATAGTGCATTCGAGCAAAAACCTAAGAGACACCTCAACGCCTTTCCCTCCCGAATCGAGACCTTACGAGCCATAGGTCGTCCAAATGACAACGACCGTTCTGTCCCTAACCTAACAAAATGTCGAGCGACATGAAAACTCGGGTATATCACCCCTTTCAACATCTCAACTTCCATCAAAGAAAAGGGCAAATTCACCTGCTTGCCCATACGAGCTCCTTGAGGGCCCTGCAGATGAAATCTGGAAAATGAGCGCTCCATGCGGAATAAGAAAAGCGGCGTAGCAATGTGAAGAGAGTGTAACCCAGCCATTCGAAGAAGAAAGGAAAAATGCCAGGCAGAAAGAAGAAACAAAGGCAGCACTGGAGGCTGCAGAGAATCGTCGTCATCGTCGTCGTCGTCTCATTAAAAATGCGTTGATCGTGAAAAATAGGTCTGGCAATGGGAGCATGCTACTGCCGCGAATATGGTCGGTTCATGGCTGCGATTTCGCGGGCTATCGTGCCCCATTCGAGTTCTCTGCGGACTGGTTTACCGCGCTTGGAACACTGGTATTCCTCCCACTTCAGCAGTTCGTACCTGGATCTGGTCAGCCAATTGTCACTATACTTGTCCCTTTCGAAACCTACGTGAACCGCAAATGAGGTTGGATGATGACATTCAACCGGCGAGCTCGTACGAAACAATATGCGCGAGGAAGTGAAAGGCCGAGCTCATTCATCACCTCTGCAATGCAAATTGTTGCAGATCTGGATACACCTACTCTGCAGTGGACAAGAGTGGCAACACCAGCCTCTCTTCCCTTCCCTGTTGACGATATTGTCAGCGTCGGCATTAACATACAGATTCAAGGCACTTACTAATAAACTCTAAGCACCTGGAGAAGGACGATGTAAGCGGATCCACACCATTGTCCTGGACACCATCGACATAGAGAATGCTGTCTTTCGTGCGAGCGTCATCTTTCCACTTCTTGGTCTCATCACCGGTCCAGCTTATCGTTTCGCCAACACTGAGGATTTGTCCAATATTGAGCTCACGCAACAAGTCTGGGTTGTTTGCATGGCCAAGATTTCCGAGATACATGTAATTCATGATTCTGGAAGGAAGAGAGCCGTCCATCTTGCCGAGCCATCGAGGGGTCGGTTGGCACAGCGCTGCCATGGAATTGTTCGAATTAGGGGATGCTTGCAGAATTCTGGGCTGGATCGAACTCAGAAGAGCGACATCAGTGGGGTACGAGAAGAGATTGCGCTGATGCTTGGTGTGGAGCTCCACGTAAGCCCTGTCTACCGTCGCACAGTTGGCGTACATGTAGTAGGCGAGTGCCAACAAAGACGTCTCAGTATACCCATCTGTGCAGTGGATGAGAACTTTTCTGCCTTCACGACTAACGCCAAGATCGAGATCAATCATGCCAATATCACCATCAACATCTCGGTATTTGGGTGGGGTCATTTGCTGACTATCCTTGCGTTGGATTGGCTCTTCGTAATCCGGGTTTGCTTGCTTATAGAGCCACGCTACTGTGTCCATCAAAGCATCTACTTCGGCCTGAGACCACGTTGGAGGCATAATCGAGCCAGAACCTGGGAACTCTAATTGAGGAATTGCATTGTTCGAGATTTTCGGATTCGACAAGAGACTTTCCATCAGCTGGAAGGCTTTCTTGTCTGGTAGTTGCGCTGGATCAGTCGCTTCCACAAAGAGATCATAAGCTTGCGCTGCGGACGGCAGTGCGGCGTCTGGATCAGATGGCATTGTCAGAGAAGGGTCAGGTGTAGGGCCGAGCCATACGTTGTTCGCTATCTCAGTCGCCGAAGACATGGTGTGCATCTCATATCGCTCCGAGAAGACTTTGTACATGTCAGCTATGTCGTCTTATGGTGAACCGAATCGTCACCTACAGAAGTCCATGACCGCACCAGTCATGTTGCCTTTGGCATCGATAGCCACAATTTCAGGGTGCTCGGCTTGTAATTTTGCGAACGAATCTGCGGAGATTTAGAAAGGGATCAAGTCACACTTAAGCTGAACTTACCATTCACTACATATGTGTGGAACTGTGGGACTTCAGCGTCATTGTCTCTGTCTTTCTCCTTCCAGACTTTTTGGGCTCTAGCAATCAGGGACGCCAACTTGTTGAGCGCCGTCTTCGACGTCTTGTCGTCGGCATAAATGACGATGTCGCTCATAGTAGCCATCTTGACTGCTTGAATCTGGAAGTTACGGATGGAGAAGCCATCTCTAGGGTCGACATCGAGGAAAGTCGAGATTTGCTCGCCATTCTTGGTCGCAAGCAGTAGCTCATCAGGCGCAATGGCACCCCTAAGCTTAGAGTGACTGAGATCGCCTCCTGCCTTGACGACAGTTATGCCGCGCAATGTGCGAGGGGCCCGTCGATAATGCTTCTTGTTGCGCGCCGAAAAGTAAGTCAACTGAATGTTGTTGTCGGGGTGTAGGCCATGGAGCCAAGGGAAGACAGTCTTAGTGTCTGGCAAAGGGCGCGTCGCAGTGTGTTCCAATGCTTCGTGGAGCTCTTTAGCAGTCAATGCATAGACAGGTGGGTTGTCGCTGACTTTAGGGTATATGTCGGCTTCGAACAGCAGAGAAGGTGTGTCGATGACTTGGTTGTTCCCAGGCGCTTCGGGCGACTCTGGCGGAGTTTCGAGCTGCTGCTGCTGCTGCTGCTGCTTCTGCAGCTTGGTTGGAGTGGGACCAGGAGAACATGTGTCAGGAAGATGCTTGTTTGGTACAGCGGATGGCTTTCCTCGAGACGAGGTATTGATGCTCTGCTGCGAACCCGATGCTCGTGGACCCACTAGCGCTGGTCTTGCACAGACTGTAGCCATAAGAGCGTTGGTTTGAGCTTCAGCGCCAGTCGATGCAAGGGCGGCCTACGCTTAAGTCGTGGTTTTGACGTCGGAATGGAGCGACTTGATGTTGCTTGGGATCAGGAGATTGTACGCCTGAGGAACCCACGTCTTACGTAGGTCTCCTGGTGAGATGGCCTTTGTTTACTGGAGACTGATAAGAAGGTGGAGATAAGGTGATCCGCGCACGGGAAATGCTAAAGATTGACAGGCGAACAATTCAAAAGACACAGAGGAAACAAGAGGAGCTATATCAATCGCCTCTTGCTCGACACAAGTATTGATGGATGGGAGCGAAATGGTTGAGGAACTGCAAGTAATACTTTTAGGACGACGACGGCGGCACTCCCGTACATGTGATTGCTTCGAGGCAGGAGGATCGTCCAAGCGCCCAACTGCGGGGACGACGGGCGTTAGTCGAACGGGGGAACCTTTAACTACCACACACACTACTGGCGCGAACCCTTGGCAAATGCCCGCTGCCAGATTGCTATCTTGTGCAATCTTCTTGTCAAGCCCACGTTGGTCTTTTTGTCTTCTCAGAGGCGCAAATCTGTGACCGTGGAGGGTTTTGTGTGAGAAGTGGCACCTTTGACGTTACCCTGCTTGCGCAATTGGCAGGATTGCGGCTCGGTGTCGCGTCGTGGGCTTGCTCAGGGTCTCAAAAGGTCCCGAACAATTTGGATTTGTGATGCGCCGCCCACTGCCGATCTCACCTTCTTCTTATCAAACGAAAGCCCAGGCGAGAGCATGCCAGCAAACGACTGGTACGCCTTGCCGTTGTTTTCCATTCCTACTTTCATCATGCTGCAGCTGGATAAATTGCCCGTTCAGACATGCCACTCTACACAATCGAACGTCCAAAGGCGAAACTTGATGATGATGTGCAGCGGCAATAGGGTGAGCGTCTCTTGCTTTTTCTCCCTTTTGCACCGGGTTCCTTGGGCTTCGAGGCAGAAACCCTAGGCAGGTCAGGCCAGCTCGCGTGCTCCGCGTCCCCACATATCGGTTTGTGCCATGATCCGAGGAGGAACATGCGGGAGGGGCGTACCTCGCCGACCCATGGATGACTTCAACTCTGGTTTAAATTGTGTTTGGGCCTGGATGATCTCCGCAAGAATCAAGGCTGAACTTAGAACACCCAAAGTGGCTGCAATGTTATCAAACTCCCACGACCAATATCAGAGGCAGAGCTACTGAGCATGTACATGGGTCCCTAGATTGAGCCCTCGAAGTACTTGACCTCAATTCACTAAATGAGGGGAAACCCGTGGGGTCACACCCGTGACGGTGGACAGGCTCTAAAGCCCTGTTTAATCGTCGATATATGGGAGGCAATTAAGGCGCCGCCTGGCTGTGGCCTTCTTTACTGGTGGCGTCTTTGTGGTTTGCTCAAGAGCAAAGCTGTGAGACGTGTGCAATGTCATTGTGTTGCATACTGCCGAACAACGATCCATGGTCAGTGGCCACATGAAAGGCTTGCCTTTGCAGCTACATGCGGAGTACATGCGGTACGTACTGTGCAACGCCCACGGGTGACGGCAGGGAGCCGCTAACAAGTGACAGTGTCTAGATCGATCAAGCAAAATCTTGCCCAAATCGGCACTTTGTAACCAACATCGGTCCTGGCCACTTGAAGCAAAGGATGCTGGACTCTTTGCTCGATGTGGCGGACGGAATAACAATATTCGTGCTCATAAGGATCGATTCCTAGCTTTGGGTGTTGCAGGCTTGCACGTAAACTCGTCAGCTCTACAAGAATATGCCCATGGCTCAGTCAAAGCAGCAGCAGCGAGATCCAGCTTGTGTGAGGACGATGTTTTGAGCATACATCTCTCTGTATGTAGTAGAGTACAGCCAACTCAAAAGGGGTATCAGGCTACAGCCATATCCACCAATCTAACCCAAACTCCTGCCATGCAAAGCTCCCATGATAACGCAGTGCCATAACTCCATGAGAACCCAGAATGAACCCTTCCATCGCTACCCAGATGCTTGAAAACGGTGCTTAGAATAGCCGTGTATCTCACGCAGCCTCATCATCCCGAATCTCCTGCTGCAAAACAATCGAGTAAACACTAGCTTTAAGCAGCGTGAACACCGTCGATGTCTTTCTCTCCAAACCTCTCAACGCATCGAGGATTTCTGCGCTGGGACGTGAGGCGAGATCGTTGAGAAGAGCAGACAGCTAGCGACATCATTAGTATCCTTAGTTTGCGTTGTGAAGGAACCAGCAGATTGGAGGATATTTTGCAGCGAAATGCTCCGTCCTTGTAGCCGATCCGAGAAGAGAGAAATGGAAACTTACATCTCCGAGGTTTCCTGCCAGCCGTACGTATTCATCTAGTACTTCTTGCTCCAGTGGTGACAGGGATTCTTCGCCTGTGACTCCTGGGCTACTGTCCAGTCCCGACATTGTAGCTTTGCGATATGTTGATTGCGCGTGATCGTTTAAGTTTTCGCTTTAAGGTCCTGTCTCCGCTTCTGACTTTGCGATTGCGTTCCAATAGGATGAGTAATGGTTGTGTTATGGTGTTTTGGTCAAGAAACACAAGACCATTCGGTGTGTTTTGGGCTTGTCGATGCCAAGACTGTCAACATCTTGACAGGGTGCTCCCCTAGACCACTACTGCAGAGATAAAGATGGTAATTTGGGCCTCAGTGTTCTCGATAGCTAGCTATATTTCGTTGCGTCATACTCTTGAGCTACCGCTCTCTGATATATACCGTTGAATCTAGGATCCGATCAAGTGTGGTGGCACAATGGCCAAATTTTGTATTCTGATGGGTTTCACGAGCAAATGCCTTCAAGCACGTATCCAAACACCACCCTACTTCAGCAGAACAGTATTTTCACCACCGAACTGCTCGAGAAATACGTCATATGGATGCAAGAACAGGTTTTAAATGACTCGCACTCGTAATTCACACAATCATCATCTAGTCTTAAAAGAAGAACCTGGAAAGTATCATTCATCAACTCGAACACGTCAAAGCGCTATAGTAGGATGTGAAGACCACCAAGGAGGAAAAACAAGCAGAACATTCGCTTTCCCGTGTTGAGCCTCGAAGGCTAGAAAGAATATAGACGCCCCCAAAAAACCCCCCATCGGATCGCATGCGTTAAAGAATAATGGCATAGATATACAAGCTGCCCGACTTGCTTCAGGATAATATGACTTTTTTTCATGTCGCCATTTCTCTATATGACGATATTGTCAGCATAGCACAACGCCTCCCGAGCACGGAGGGGCAGTGTCCTATCTCTGCTCCTCGTGATATTGATGATCTTGATGTTGGTCGTCTCCATCGTGATGCAACGTAACGGAGTTGAACTCCTCGAATGGATCCGCGAGCTCGCCGCCCGGCGTGGCCAGATTGCTATCGAGGGGTACACCCTTCATCTTACTTGAGTTTACACCGAAGCCTTTGTTGACCTTGGAACCACCCAAGTCGACACTATGACTTTCCTTGACATTTCTGAAGTTCACAGTGTCGATGCCACGGCCCTGGTTGGGTATGATTGGAGGCTTGGAGTGGCGTAGCAGAGCCCATTGTGTGGTACGGAAGAACTGGTGGCCTTTGACGTCTGACGCGCCAGCGCGAGAGCCTAGTCGACGAAGTTCGTCCTTGATCAGAAGCTTGCGAATCAGAGACTTGCACAAACTGAGAGCTGTTAGCAATCTGAAGCGTTACCTGCAGTGATTTGAGCAATTTACCTGCTGACGTTAGGATAGCCACTGCCCTCAGGGAAGGGCACCTCATCTCTCAAGATGTTTGCAAAAGTGGCGTTTCTGTTCTTTCCCTTGAATGGTGTCGTGCCGTAAAGCATCTCGTAGATCAAGATTCCCAATGTCCACCAATCAACTGCACTAGTGTGACCACAACCCTTGATAACCTCAGGTGCAATATACTCTTCTGTACCCACAAAGGAGTTTGTGCGGAAGTTGTTGATACACGACTTGGTGTCAATGGCAGGCATGTTGTTGGGGTTGTTCGAGACACCGTTACGGCCAGACATGATCATAGTGGGAACACCGCCGGGGTCTGACTGCTTGGAAAGGTCAAAGTCTGAAAGCATGATATGGCCTGACTGGTGAAGAAGAATGTCTAAAATACATGTTAGCATGTCGGAATTTGGATTGGCCTGGAAGTTTGACGTACTCTCAGGCTTAAGATCTCTGTAGATGAAGCCCATAAGATGCAGATACTCGAGTGCGGCGGTGACTTCTGCGGCGTAGAAGCGAGCGGCGTCCTCGTCCACACACTTGTTGGGGCGAGTTTGCAGAGCTCTGAAAAACTCGCCTCCACTGCAGTATTCCATGCAAAGGTATAAATGTTCTTCTGATTGGAAAGAATGATACAGTGTGACGATGAATGGGTGGTTGCTGGTGGCTAGAATCTCCTGCTCGGCCAGAGCACGCTTGATCTTGTTGCGCTTGATCATTTCCTTCTTGCTGAGCACTGAGGGGTGTCAGTTGTTGTCGATATGGAAACATTGTGTATGTGCTTACCTTTCATGGCGTACAATCTTGAGCTCTTCTTCTCGCGCACCAGATATACCTTTCCAACATCACCCTTGCCAATCAACTTGATCTTGTCGAAGCTTCCGGGACCGACTTCGACATCGCGTACTTTGATGCTGTTACTGCTATAGGTCCTACGGAAGGCGGCCGCACTTCTAATCTTGCCAGGGCTGGGAATACCAGGTACGGGAAGCAGATCAGGAGAGCTGCTCATAGGCACTGTCTCGACCATTGACTGCACCGAAATATTGGAGTGTTGCTGAGCGAGGGGAGAGGTCTTGGCCATCATGTCGGAGGTCTGTGGCCTGCTGTCATTGGAGTTGGTCTTTGAGAATAGGCCCTGGGCATTGGGAGCACTAGCAACGCGACGCAATTTCCGTGCCAGCTCTTCTTTACCGGCCACAGCAGCAGCTTCGTCTTCAGCTTCCTGGCCTTTCTTGATGGGTGTGTCCGGGGGACTCGGAGGTACACTGTCGGCGTTGTGATGGCGGATAGCAGGCGGGCCCTGGTGTGCGAAGTAGGGATTGGCGTTAGCGGTAGGGCTCAGTTCGTCGAGAGCATTGCCTTCGCTGGCGACGGTCTGACTCCTATTTCGACCGATGTGTGGCAGGAAACGACTGTTGCGGAGTTTGTGTTCAGAGCGCGGGGTCGAGGGGCCTTCAGAACTGGTCTTTCCCTGGCCAATCAGCTCATCCTTGGTGGAGGATGAGGTGATGCGGAAAAAGTTCTTGATCTTCTGGCTGACCTGCGAGTTGGAGCCGTTGACCGACTTGTTGGTCGACATGGACACGCCCGAGAAGGTGCGCCGGTCACCAGGCATGATGATGGGCTACGGCAGCCGTAGACTGGCGAGACGGATAGAGAAGGCAGATATGCGACGGCAGAGATTGAGCAGACACCGTCGCAGCAGGCAGGAGAGCACTGCGGTCGAGGGTGGAGACAGTAAGGGGAGTCTGAGTGCGGTGGTTGCAGCTGTCAACTGGGCCAGAACACGCGAACGAGCGAGGACAGCGGGCCAGGGTTATGCTTCGGCGTGGCGGAGGATATTCCCGGGGTAGTTAAGCCGCCATTCGAGGGCGAATGCGAGTTCAGCTGCTCTGTCCGAAGCTAGCGGTGTGTGTTTGTAAGGTGAAATCGAATGGTGCAATTGAGACGGACAGGGTCAGAGATAATGTTCTTGCTGAGATTGGCTTGGTTGGTCCAACTGGCAAATGGCATGTCGCAGTTGGCATGCCGTTGGCTCGGTCATTCGTTGCCGTGAGTGCGTCAGCGTGGAGTCGTTTCGTTTCGTTTCCTGCCTGCCCATCGGCCTTAACCGGGCATTTGCTTGCTAAGCTGCCAGCCTGTACTTGCCGAATCTTCTCAGCGGGTCAATCTGCTCGCCAATTATTACGACTGCTTATCATTCACCACCCCCTATTGCAGTCAAGCCAAGCTCCTAATCTACTTGTACACAACTTGTTGTGTGGTGTGAATAATATCGGTCACCATGTTGACGTGATCATCACCATCCCTATGGCATTCCTGCTTGCGGATCAACTTGACACCATGTCGAAAATCATCCTGGCAACGATAGCCATTGTCTACTGAGAGTGCACGTGTACCGTATTTTCGCAGCTGGCTCTCCTGCTCGATCGCCTTGACAGTTGGTCGTCCTTAATTTTGACCAGCCACCTATTTACTCGATCGCCTGCCACTTCCTCCTGCCACAAACTGCCATCACCAGTTTCACAACCATTGAGAGCAGATGTGCCATCTCAAATGGCCGAACGACATCAGAAGCAGCGAAGGGCTCTGATTATGGTCTATCAATGAGAGGCCAAATGGTAGACTGATGCCCGATCATATCGTGACTCTGGTCGATAGGGCAACTACTGCCCCGCTTCGTACAAAAAGGGCCGTCTATATTGTGATGATGGTGGTGATGCATCTGAGAGCTGCACCCCTCATGCGCCAATGCTCAGAGCTCGTATACCTGAGTGGTGTGAAAATTCATCACCACAACCTCATGCCCGAATCATCTCCCATGGTGACATGAAACGATATCGTAAGCTGTGAAAATGCACAGTTGTGATCGGAACCGGAAGTATAGCCATGGAGATACTCCAGACCATGTCGCTCTACGAACATCACTTCTTTCCAGAAAACTTTGTGCATTTCTACAGATCCAATGTAACAGTCTTTGGCACATGGGTTGCATCGAGTGTTGATCACACAATTCAGCCGAATCAAACACGATCGGAGGTGGGGTCTCCGCATGACGTCTCCCATTCTGTGCCTGCCCATCTTCACCTTCCACCGATCAATTTCCTTATGGAGTGTTGCGAGTTGCAAATTTGTCCGAAATATGGTCTCACGAGAGGGGTAGCAAGGGTGGTGGCAGACAGAATTGAGTTGATCTCGGATGAATGCATAACGATGGTCATGGCCATAAAGCTTCAGGGCTGCGCCAGGCCTTTTCATGCCTTGGACTCAAACCAACAAGACACTACAAGATGGTGCTTGGTAAAACCTTCGTGAAGGCCGCTGCCTTGGTGGCAAGTCTGGCTATAACTTCGGATGCTCTTGCTGTCAGGAAGCCTAATCTCAATGATATTATCAAACCATACAAGAGAGAGCTTCTCCAGGACCTCGTTACCTGGGATGAACACTCTCTGTTTGTACGTGGCGAACGAATTATGATATACTCAGGAGAGTTTCACCCATTTAGGTATGAGAATGGCCATACTGAGTGTGTACCCGATACTGATAGCTCCAAGATTGCCTGTACCTAGCTTGTGGCTGGATGTTTTCCAGAAAATAAAGGCATTGGGATACAACGCAGTCTCCTTCTATGCTGACTGGGCTCTTCTTGAAGGGAAGCAGGGTGATTTCACCGCCGAAGGGGTCTTTGCTTGGGAACCTTTCTTCGAAGCTGCTCAGGAGGCAGGGGTGTACCTGATTGCTGTAAGTTGTCTAGCCTCCTGTGTGCCTCGCAATCACTCCTTTCCCCACGTATGATTCTCTATAAGCTGTCGAAATGCACAATTGTGATCTGGAGACGAGTCTGGCCACGGAGATAGTGTCTTCAAGGGGTTGGCTCTGTGGAGCCCACACTCTCTGCGAAAGTATTGTGCATTTCGACAGCTACATGGTGACAGTGTTTAGCACATGGGGAGCACGCAAAGCTACAAATCGATTTACTGACCTATTTACAGCGCCCTGGTCCATACATCAATGCTGAGGCATCTGGTGGTGGTTTCCCTGGCTGGTTGTCTAGATCACCAGGTATTCTCAGAACAAGAGATCCTCGTTTCCTCAACGCAACCGACAACTACTCCCGCCATATCGGTGAAATTATTGCAAAGGCCCAAATCACTGAAGGAGGCCCAGTAATCCTCTACCAGCCTGAGAACGAGTACTCCCAAGCCGTGCCCAGTGATACTGATTTCCCTGATGGTGTAAGTTCTTCTTGAATTCTTCTCTGCATTTCATCAAGAGCGTTGCTTGTGGGAAGTGTATCAGAGACCCTTGCTAATTGATCGTAGGTATATATGGCGGCCGTTGAACAGAAGTTCAGAGATGCCGGTATTGTCGTCCCATCCATTCTTAACGATGCCTATCCTCATGGCTACTTCTCACCATTACACCCTGGACCCGGAACAGTGGACATCTATGGATACGACGGCTATCGTAAGTCTGAAGCAATAAAGCATGAACGATTGATGAAATGACTGACATTTCGACCAGCTCTCGGCTTTGACTGCGCAAACCCAACCACCTGGCCTGACAACGACCTTCCGACCTATTACGGAAACCTGCACGAAGAACAAAGTCCCTACACTCCTCACTCAATTGTCGAGTTTCAAGGAGGCTCTTTTGACCCCTGGGGTGGGCTCGGCTTTGCTCAATGTGCCGAATTGCTTAATGCCGAGTTTCAAAGAGTCTTCTACAAGAATGACTTTTCCTTCGGAGTCACAATCTTCAACATCTACATGACATACGGAGGTAAGTTGATGAACCACGAGCAGGTCCATGCACCCGATTCTTTTGATCCCCTTCCCCCATCAGAGGTAGAGTGAAATGTAGATTATGAAAAGGCACAGTTTTTTCCAGATCAGAGATGTGACCATCGAGAGCGGATAATTTCTCGGCTCTCAGTGGTGGCTACTCTGTTTCTCGAAACCATCGTGCATTTCTACTGCTACAAGTCTCACATACCTTGGCACATGGGAAGACATCATTCTCCCCCTTCTTCTGACTGCCCCCTTCTTCTGACTGCCCCCTTCTTCTGACTGCCCCCTTCTTCTG